TGCAAACGACAACTCATTAATTATTGATGTACCTAACGAGGTAACGATCCTTTACAGCGAGTCAGTACAGGCATGGTACGTAGTATCAAAGGGACAGTACTCACGGACTTCAGTAGGTGTGCAAACGACAACTGAAGTCCGTGCCACGAAACACCGGGTATATAGCCAGTCGCTACGCGAGGTGAGTGATTGCTATCTCGGGAGAAAGTTCAAAGAAAAGGGGAATGAGGTTACAGGTACAGGGACACCAGGGGCACATCAACATCGCGCCGATCCTGACGCGATAATGCGGCATCATGCATGCGCGTGCACACGCGAATCAGTCGGACGCGCTTGGTCATTAACAGTAACAATGGTGCAATCGCGCGCACGATTTTTTCGCGATTTCTCCCTTTTTTGCGGTTTTTTGATGTTAGATCCCATTTACCCCCGAAATCAACCGAAATCAGGCGAGGTTATATGAAGTTCCCCCGAAATCGACCATGGGCTGACCCTCGAAATGGGGTCTGCGTGGGATCAGAGCTCTTGGGGGATTAGCCGGGGTCCTGGTGTGTTTCGCACAAGTTATTGTGAGATCTGAAATAGGTAAAGACGTCGGCAACGGCCGGTGGATGCCCACGACGACCCTGCGCTCCTCGTGCTTTCAGCTCTTACTTCAGCTCTTACTGTTATACGAACTTCGCTTAGACTTGAACAATTGCGATGCCGTACTGGATCTGCTCATTTATGCTGCATTGGCATGACTCTCTAGGGACTTCACAATGCTAGTCATCGATCGGTTTCCACCGTCATAATCCTCGTCTTCACAGGCGGACATGGATACTCAGCAGCGACTATCGACAGTAGTCAGCCCTCAGCTCGCAAACAGTTCAAGATAGAAGTAATAACAGTCTCGTAAAACCACAAATACAGCGCGATCATAGAAAATAAGGAGTCGTTCGCAGCACAGATACATACGAGCCAGATATGACGCCGGCGAGGCAAGAAGGACAGGGACGGTGAGTGTTTCACATGGCAGCGTACATCTTCTCTCCAACAAATGTGATAATTTGCTGCGCCTCCAAACCCGATAACTTGTGGATGTTATCAAGATGGCGCCTCAAGGCATCATGTCTTGATATTTTGGTGCCGCATATGACACAGTCCCATTTGCACCCGCCCAGGTGCGTGGTCCGTACATGCCGGTTGAGGTTTTGTCTATGTGCAAACTTCTTCTTGCAGATCTTGCACCGGATTGGCCCTTGGGCTGTGCGGTCTGGAGTGGTGGCTATAATTGCTGGTGCGCGTGTACGCCGCGATGTCGACTTCCTGTCGGCCTTTGTAGATGATCGTCGCCGCTTGAATATGTAGGCGGGAGCGTCGGAGGTCCCGGCGGTGGGAAGTACGCCATCCTGGGGAGCCTCTGTGGCATCTCTGCTTCCGCTGGCCACGATGTTTTGAGTGATATTGATGTACTGCCCTACGGGTCGTAGGCCAGGCATCGGTACGCTTGACACACCTACTGGTGTGTAGTGCGAACATAGCTCTTCGAGATCTCCATGTCCAGACCCCATCGCGACGAGATCGAGTATGTGTAGATCAATATGAGCAAATAGATCAGGCTCCGAGGGTTGATTAGTCTCGTCACCGTCAGCTATAACAGTGTGCCAACGAGCGACCTCCCGTGAGAAGCCGGGCCCCAAGGTTGATTGGTACCCTCGCGCGCCATCAAGCGTCGTCGAGGGCATCATCTCGAAGCCTGGCACAACTGGAAAGATGTCGTCCGGAAGCAATGTCTGGCACCAGTTGTCAGTCACCATATGGCCAAACTTTGGCGGGCAGCTCACCCGTCGTGTGTTCATGAGTAGCGCTTCATTGTTTTCAGTTCTATCTGGGCGTGCTGATGGCTCGGTACCGGCGAGGTGTTGTAGAGGCGGATAGTCGAAGCTGGGGATTTGCTCGGGTGCCACGCCGTAGGCACCGGTGTTCCCATTGGCGGCAGGAGTCTGCGCATTGTAATAGAAATACTGGGATGACATAGTGTGATGGGCCAGTTGTGATTGGAAAGGAGGGAGTGGTCGACGACACTGTCGGTTCTGTGATTAGCTCTCTGAGCTCGCTGTGAACTAGTCGACACAGAACTCACCTACGCAGAACAGTGCACAGACTTTGTTGGATTGCGGTGAGGGACTCGCCTGTGAGGCAGGACGTGTTTTATATGGCAGACCACGGTGCGTCCTCGGCGCTTGTGCAAAGTCCTTGTCCTTTGTTCCGAAGACCTTCACATCTAGTCCCGACTGACACCAGAGACTGCGGCGCGCATCCTTTTCATTTCCGCTACTCAAAGTGAGCTCTGGATCCCCAGGGATAATGCAAGCATCGAAGCTCATGGCGAGAGGCGCTGATCGCAGATGCGGTTGGAACCGTTGACTACCGACCGAACAAGGCGGACATAATGGGCCATGATGTGACTTTGTTCTCTTTTTGCCCGATTGGACAGCTGGAATTTCATCGCTCTCACACGTCTTCACTCTCACGAGTGCCCGTCTCATCGTGTTGTAAAAGCGGCTTCAGGATACCTGTGAGCCCCGTTCCCTGAGGATGTCCTGACCTATCTATCCAAATTGATATCATTTCAAATAAGTTCCTCTGTGCTAGCGAACAATTTACGAGCGAGGAGCATTCCTAAAGGCACATTCGAGTATTGTATCGTAGTGGATATTTGAGTCAATATCTACATGCCACGAGCTGCTGACTGTGAAGGGACACGGTCGATTGTGGCGCTCATTCAAGTGGCGACCACGAGGCGCAACAAGGACACCGGTGCAAGCGCTCAGGCACCTGAACCCTAGACCGCCGCTCATTTCGGTTGTGAACCGCTGTGGGAATGTCACTTCAATCGTAATCTTGCTATGGCACTTATCACTGTCATCTCTCTTCTTCTCGTGTAGTACACTTGTCGACACCTGTGTTTTGTCAATATCCTCTCCCATCTGATAAAGAATTTAACACCCAGCTCACTCGAGTGAAGTCTCTCCGGTGAGGCTCGCTAGACAGCCCGGGTTTCGTATGCATGCGACGTCGGCATTATCTGCTGTTGTGTGTCCCATCACAACTGTTGATTACTTACGGCGCTCTCTGTTCAATACCTGTGCCTCTGAGCATAGCCTTAACCTTGGTCCACCATACGCTAGAATGCAGCGGCCAATATCATAGCCATATATAGGTCGACTGCTCCCGCAAGCATTAACGATGTCGTCGTTGGAGTTCCATATCAGTATGCGGTATCGTGGCTAGCTACGAGCCTGGGCCATTGAACCTGTTCTGACTTCCTCCACCATCAGGGAACGTGCAGTGCGCGACGTTACGGCTGCTTACGAATCACATGCCGCTGGATGTTTGCTCTCTGTTTGCTCTACCGCAGATAGCGAATATATCCTCATCTCAAAGAGGACTACAAGGGTAGCGTCGTAGTCTAGGGCCGGCCCGGGAGTAAAGATCAGGAGCTAGGAGTCGCACGAAAGGAGAGACCACCTGTATTCACGCGAAACAGTTCAATAGCGACCCAGGAGCGACCCAGGAGCAAAGATGCGCAGGACAGCATGTGCATCAAAGCCTAGCTGACGCTGAACTTCTTTGCATCACACGGTGTCTCTTATCGTATGTATTCCTTGCAATAGTTCCGTCCGCGTGTATCGTGCCACAGGCTCAGTTGATGACGATACCGTCGTGAGCGATGCTCCGCCAGACAAGGCTACACGTGCGCCCTTTTTCACTTGTATAATGCTCTCTGAATCATTTATGCCAGTTCTAGACTTGCCCTTGGGTTATTGAGTGCACATGGATGTTGAGAGAAAGACTGTGTGTGTGGTCTCAGAGAAGAGATTTAACAAGATGATATGCGATGCGCCACAGTTGACGGGGCGCGACGCGAGCCCTGCGCACGATCACGTGACACGTGTCGACGCGTTGTTGAACGGTCACGCGTCACGCCCAAGTCGAACCCGAACATACCAGACCCACTCTCTTTCATCTATCACTATTCAACGCCTGCATCTCCTAATTCTCCTAATTATTGCTACTTTAATTCTCCTATAGTCTCTTCGACATACAACATGGGTTCCGGCAGCGGGATCCGTAATAGAGCGCGCGGCAAGGGCAAGTCGGTTGCTCCGCTGGTCATTCAACTCCGTCGCCAGGCAGCTTATGGCGAGTTGAGGATCGAGAGGCCGCGGGCTCAGAGGAAGGAGGCCGAGGATGAGCCACTGTATCCGTTCCTCGCACTGCGCGGGGCTGCGAAAGCGGCGGCTGCGGCCAGTGAGGCAGACGCTCTCCCTCCGCGGACACCTGCAGGGACACGGAGGTTGGAGCTCGAGGTCGTCCGGACACTGTCGAATATGCACGGGCGGCACAAGGCACTGCGGAGGAAGACGCGACACGAGATTGGAAGGCAAGAGGAGCACCAGTATGATGAACAAGCCTGGCGGAGGTGCGCCTGGGATGAGCAAGAGTCGGAACATACGGGTGAACGCGAGGGAACGGCATCGGTGAGTCTGACATGCTTGTTATTGTCCATGCGCACTGAAGAGCTCGACGACGGTCAAGGTGGTACCTGTGCAAGGATGCAGTGTCAAGGTCAAGCACTCTGCGTCTGGAGCTAGTCGCAGTCGGCGCGGATGGCGGAAGCTGCTCGGGCTGGTGGAACGCGATATCAAGCGAGTGCCGAAGAGCTCTGTGACCAAGCTGAAGGGTGTTCGTGTGAAGCCCAAGTCTGCGTCCAAGGCCATGGGGTCCGTCACAGCAGCAGAAGTCGAGCACCAGTCGAAGGGTCCTCAGCACAACGAAGAGCGTGTCCCAGTGGACGTCGCCCCGGCCTTCCCTGCCAACGAGATTGAGCACCCTGTCGCACCGGTCGGTACGTCACCGGAGCACTCCGTCACTGCTTCTGTGGTCGAGGTCGAGCCTGTGCAAGTAGCGATGGCCGTAGAAGGGGAGCCGCGCGAATGGGGCGTGCGGATGGAGGACCTTGCCTTTGACTTTGGCTCGTGTCCAGGAATGTCGGCGGACGTCCTCGCAGCATTGACCGAGCCTGCGCACGTCTTCACGGTGACAGAGGCGCAAGAGATGCCTGCGACGGAAGGAGAGACTGCAGAGGCTACGGTCATGGCCGTCGATGCCGAGATCCTCTCACCTGAGCCGGCTCGCGACACGTACAATGCTTTTGCGGTGGATCTGAACATTATCCACACCGAGGCCCCGTCCAGCGCAGAGGAAGCGATGGAGGACGTGTACACCACTGACGACGTGCTGGTCGAGATGGCGTCTCCCGTTGTATGTTCTACAGACCCAGCTCCTGTTGACGAGGACAGCGATATGCTGCACGCAGAGGAACAGGGTGTGGAGATGGAGATGGACGGCTTTGACAGCGTAGTAGCTCCGCAGGCACTGCTTGCTCAGATTGAGATGGTATGTGACACGAACGAGGTGAGGCGATGATGCTGTTATGTGCGCGCAGGGTCTGACGACAGACTGTTTGCGTTGATGACCACTCAGATTGCCGCCAACCCTTCCACCAATGCAGGGCTCGCAGGGGTTCCGGTCGAACTCATCTCTGCAGCGATTGATATGGCGCAGCGTGAAGAGGACATCGAGATGGAACACCAGGAGCAGCCTGTGATTGTGGAGGAAGACATCGAGATGGGTGTCCAGCTGGTATCTGTAGACGCGGTCATCGGTGCGGTCGCAGCAGCACTGATCGCAAGAGGAGACGGAGGTGACAACATCGAGCAAGACATCGATGCAGTGCTAGACCGCTTTGGGTTTGTACAGGAGTGCGCTGTCGCTCACCTTGACCAGGAGTGCGCATCCGTGGGGGACATCACGCTCGTTGGTGGCGCACTCGACGAGGATCTCAACGCGACGACTGTTCAGGATTGGGACACAACGTTCGTGGAGGACGCTATTACATCTTCGTCGCCGAACAAGGAGAAGCATAGTAGGCTTCCTGCGATGCCACTCCCGGAGGTCGTGGTGTCTGGGTCAGATGTCGGCGAGCAGGTTGTCGTTGCTGGAGTGGAGGACGTCTCCAACCCTCCCACCTCGTCCACGCCTGTTATCAGCCTGCAGGCACTATTGGACGTCATTGCTCCCCACCCCGCGCTACCCGAGCGTCTCCTGGAGGACGTAGACCCGACCACTGGGCCGATGTTCGACATGCAATCGCTATACTCGACACTTCCTACGAAGATCACTGAAGGCGCGGAGAAGACGACGAACACAGGTAATTCAGGACTATTCAGTGCCTTTCAAGACGATTTCTCTGACGATGATTTCACTCCGAACGTTGGTGAGAGTGCAACTACTTGTGCTGTGTGATGCTCGCCACTGACTATCGCGTGCTTGATGGCAGGTTCATCCGCTAGGGCGACGAGAAGCGGCAAGGTGTATGGCGGCGGCATCAGCAAGGCCAAGAAGACTCTCGCCCAGCCGACGCGCAAGTGCACGTCCAGTTTGTCGAGTGGGCTATTGGACAACGACGCTTTCAGGGCGGTGCGCAACAAGAGTGCGGCAGAGCAGAAGGCGCGCAAGGACACACGCAAGCGATACAAGAAGATATCGCGGAAGCTTGCACGACAGGACGCGGAGAGCGCGGAACCCAAGGGAGGATGTGGACGATTCCTGCTATCAGCTGTGTACGTGCTTATGTTGTGTGTTCCTGCTTTCGTGCTCACGCTGTGATGGACAGGAATCCTAAGACCGGACGGCGCGAGAAGATGACGCCAATCACCGCGGTCAAGGAGAGCACCGACGACGACCTCGGCCTTGACGTGCTATGTCGCATGTCTGCGAGTCTGTCGTTGACGACGTCGTCCCACGGGCGCACCGGTAGTCAAGAAGCGACGGATTCTGCGGACGACCTGCTGGGTGCGTTTTCCTCTCTTGGGCTCTCGACGGACACTCCCGCGGCATCGTCAACAGGCGGCTCGGCGCTAGACGATCTGTGCGACCTCTTCAATGCGCTGGTCTGAGTCTCTTCCTGCCGTGAACGCTAGACACGATTTCTAGTGATCTACCTCAACGTAAATCTACAACGCCTCAGGTCTCGGATCCATCTACGTCGGTCTCAATTACTCATTTTTGGCTCCGTTTCTCGTATTCTTGACTGGATCTCATCAACGTCTTGACTTGGACCTCAATTTGTCACAAGCATCTTTTCTTGGATCGCGCCGTGGTCTTCTCTCTCGCCTGCACAAGTCTCGGATTCCTCTACTTCTATTTTCTCGACCTTGGATCTTTCTATGGCTTGGGAACGTCTCGATAACTCATTCTGGGCTTCATCTCATATTTTTGACTCGGTCTCATTTCATCAACGTCTCGGCATCGACATGGATTTGTCAGAATTGTCTTTTGTTTACTCCCTGGTCTTCTCGCGCACTGGCCGACCTTTTCTCACTACTGGATTGCTACACAACAATTCCGAAGACTACTACGAAACGAGATGAACGCGCCGCAACAAGAGGCGAATCGCAACTTAGGCTTAGTTTGACTCATTCTCTCTGGTTCACGAACATACACGAAACACCAAAGAATGAAGATAAAGAAGAAACGCGACAAAAACAGAAGAAAAGACAAAACACTACAAATCGACTGTCTCGGTTCTTGATCATCTCATTTCGTTTCGTCATTGGAGTTGTCTCCTCCATTGTATTTGGATATCCACAAACTACCTTGGAGCGACCGTATTCTCTGGCTATGGCTAGCGATCCGGCTCACTCAAGCGTCGACATCGGCCTCGTCCGCTCGGTCGGTGCTGACATCGGTAGCGCACGACTTCTTGGGTCGATCGAACACTCGAGTGTCGTTATTGCTGCTACTCGTCTCACACCGCTGGATCTCAAAGTCCATCCAGCTTGACGCGCATCGTGCGCGTCTTCGCGAAGAACCGAAGTCACTGACCATCTTCCATTTTGGTCTAGGGACTGTCTCCGTTCGCATCCTCTGTGGCTGTCGCGTTATGCAAGGTGCCTGTCCATTCGTATCTTGGACGTGAACAGTCTTGGTCTGTCACGGCCGTTTCTCCCGTCGGTGAGTTGTCACTTTGTTCTAGTATCACCTCGTCTCATGGTTCATGGGTTCGATAGCGTCGTGCAGTCTTCTCGCGGCTTCCTGGCATCTGGCGGCCGGTGTTTACCTCGTCACCACTCGCTGAAGAATCGGCCTTGTTTCTCCTCTGACGACGTCAGCTCCTCGTTGATATCCCTGACCTTCGTCTGCTCACTCTGGACTGGTCATCGGATTTTCCTGGCGTACTGTTCTTCGTATGCCGCCACATTCTCTACTTCTCGACATGTCTCCGACCAGCCTCTCCTGGACTCGACGTTCAACTAGTCTGAAAACCTCGGAATGGACTGGCTTTGACGACCCGTTCACGACAACAATGTTACAATCTCTGCTCTCTGAAGATCTCGGTCGCGTCGGTCGCGTCGTCCAGACCCCCAGCGAAGATCACTCAAAACGAAGTACAGCCTCATGCCTACTCACCTTTCCTATAGCGTACTCCACTATCTCCCTACCAAGGGCACTCTCACATTCGCGGCTTCAAGTCACTTGTCTGGCTATTGTTCCATACTGGCTTTTACCTTGCGATCGCGTCTTCCTCGTGCATGCTTCCTCTCTGTTCTCAACTCATCACTGCCTTCTCGCCGCAACTTCAAAACAGCTCTGCTCATCTGATCCTCGCGACCGCTAACCGCTCTGAAACTAGTGCTTCTCTAAGCCATCTTGCGCGCGTTGTGGCCATACTGCCAAATGTCAATGCGCCTCACATTTCCCACCTCAAGACGGACTACGTCTTCAAGCCCTGAACCCTTCACCATCCGAAGCTGTCCGCGTCTTTGCCTCTGACCAAATATCATCTTCTCGCTTTCATCTCAATGCTCTCTCCCGCTCTCTTCGCCGACTGCTGGCTGTGATTTCTCCTCCGTCTGTTATTCATTATCGCATCATCACCATCCTCCCGGTCCTCAAGAGCTCACACAGACTGCGGTCCTTCGCCCTTTCTACGCTCTGCGATTTATCCCACGGCCATTCTGTTGCTCTTCACACTCCTTCAAAACACCCCATCTACTCTCGGAAGCGATCTCTCGAAACATGACTTCTGCTGCTCATTCTAAGCTTTCATGCATTCGAACATTTTATGTCAATGTACACGAGATACTGTGAGTGCTTCTGACCTGCTAATTCATGGCCGTCCGACTCACCGGGATCATTCTAGATACCCCTTCGATATCAACTCATTGTCTCGTCTGTGTCTCCCTCAGTTAGCGTGATTACTAACTAGCCACCCTCACGATCCGGTGGACTTCTACATATCTCCTATGCTAACACGACTACTACGGCCTTCTCCATTCCACTGATACTCGCTCGGGCGATGCCTCGCCTGTTAGTCGCCAATCTCTGACGCGACAGATGAATTCCCGCCTCACGTTCGGCCTCATTAAACCAGCGCTTGATCGCCACAAGGCTGCTACTCCTCGACTGGAACACGACTATCCTGATTTTCGTCGCATCACAACTGGTGCAGACAACCTTCCATCTGTCTGGACTGCGGCAACTCTTTCGTAACAGTCTACGTCTCCCATTCGAGGCTCACTTCGTCGTCTCTCCCCGTCTTCGACATGCCTATCCATTCTATCCAATCACCTCAATGCTCGTCTCACCATCCCCAGGGTCTGCTACCCTTGCTCGATATCGCGGATATATTCACTACCTCAGTGCTCCACCTCCTTACGACTGCAGAGTCGCATCCCTCTTATCAAAGACAGTGCTCTATTTATTTGTCGAGTCTACATACTATTCAATACTATCGTTCGCGGGCAAGGTTCGTCACTATCGCGTGAACACATACTGTGAGTGCTATCTCTGCGTCGCCCGACGTTATTCTGACTCGTCGCGAATGACTCCAGCCTCTGAACATATCTTGGACGGGCTCCCTACATACCAAACTAGCCTTCAAGTCGCACATCACAGCTATCCGCATTGCGCACCTTCTCATGACTACTTGCGACAATGCAACAGTCGAATACCCCATTTGCTCATCCAGTGCTCTAGAATCCGGCTCCCGGCTGTCTTGCTGGTCATAGCTAGTGAGTCTCTGCTTCGCTTGCTAGTATTCCTCGTACTTATTCAGATGCGGCCTTGTCGTCAGTCTTATTTACACTCTCATACGAATGCGTACAATGCACATCACATCCTATCGCGCTCCTGCAGGGACCACATCCATCATTCGCGCATCCTTCTCATCGCCGTTTCGAAACGCCCTGCAACACTATGCACAGCATTGTGCCATCCCCTCGATTATTTATTCCCAGTGACCTCAGCGTCTATACGCACTTGCACGCCCACTTGCAGGTGCGCAGTGCTCTGATACTTCCTATGCCTTCTTGGCTAATTATCTGCTTGTCTCAGCCTCTGTACGTTTCACACCCTTCGCTTACGAAAATCACGGCATTTAGAGCGACTCGGAACAAACAACAAATTCTTGGAAAGGTCACAAACGCGCTCCTGTCATCGCAACAGGTCACGCCTTAGCGGTCTAGGTCTGAGCTACCATCATCACAGCCCTGCTCAGTCGTAGTCGTAGTGGTTTGATTTTGTTGTAATAGTCTATACCCTACGCGCAATATACAAACATTGTTAAATATGATGCGTGGCTTCCAGTCTGGGCGGTACCTCTGCCTGAGTGTGCAAGCCGTCATTCCACGTTCTGGCCTGCGGAGGATAGTCCTGATTTGGAAATCAGCGACGCTGCCCTACACTATGCAATCGGTAGGCGTCTGTCGGGCACAAAGAAACGACCTGCTGCCCTAAAATTATTGACATCGCGTCACTATGGCATTATTGTTAACAATTCAATGCGTATTTTACGCCTGCCGTGTATGATTTTTCTAACCTTTCGTGCGGGATTCGAATAACAGAGAACAACGAGCGAATATGCGACAGGGGAGACATTAGTAATAAGTCGCTAGGCATAAGAGATGCAACTTACGGGGGCCGCTTCAGTGCTGAAGTCCCAGGTGATACAATCTATCAAAGGAGAAGAGGTAAATTGCATCACAAACAATATAGAATCGAGAGGGCACGAGCGCACTTGCGTGGTCGCGCAAAGGAACAACACCTCGAAAGGACTATTGTTAGATTTCTGGCAGGGATCGAGACTGAAGACGATAGGATAAATCGTGTTTGACCCGGCTTGTAGCCAGAAAACACGTAAGGAACTAAGTACAGGTCGATCGGTGTAAGTACTATATGCGATCTGATCTACTACCGTAAGTATTGACTGTTATTTCCAACAACTATATCGGGCTCCGCTTTCAGCTGTCTGCGCCAATTTTTCACGCGCCCTGGTGGCTACATGACATCTGTTGTGCTCGTTGTTCTGAACTCCCGCGCGTGAGCACGAAACCCAAGAGGTCATAGGCTATGGGCAAAATATGGGCACAAAATGTGGCGAGAGTGCGTAGCCAATGAGTACGTTAAGGGCGCGCGCCACTTCCAGTATTACAGACCCACCGTTTGTACGGCAGAGACTGATTGCACGAGTTGGCAGTTCTACGTGAATTGATATATGACAACCGAGAGACTCGGAGAAAGGCTTCCAGAAATACCATATCTATTCCGCCCGTAGTCAAATTACATGATGTTCAGATGGTGAACAGGAGTGTCTCGCATACAACATATCGATGGGAAACACCGCTCCATGACGTTCTTTACTGCTCTGGGAGAGTACTATTCCCCATCAGATCATTGATTCTATTTAGTCGAGACGACGAATAGATGAGCCATGCATAGGTATATATCTTCACATAATAACTCGGAGCGGCACACGTCTGATTCTGAGGAAGATGGATCGCGGAGAGGGTTGTCCGAGATGCGGCAGAATGTGGCGGTGATTGTCAAGGCGGAACAAGCGCCTGCGAGAGTGCGGGTAGGCGCGCGTCGGCATGACGCGCGTCTCTGCCGGCTCTCCACTGCCACTAAGTCTCGACGTTCTTTGCATAGTAGCGGCGTTACAATCAGCCTGCGAGTTGCGCGCTTTGGCGTTTTCCCTCATACCGTCGACAATATAATGTCATTGGCACAGAGCGCAAAACGCGGTGTACGCATCATCGCGCTCCCACTCGCGACATCCGCAGCGCCGGCGCACAAGGCCTCGCATCATCTCACGTACTACCATTTCGTCACTCCACCCCCACACGAAAGCAACGCGCAGAGCTGGAGCAGCTTGATTACTACGAAAGCAGCACGCCTCTGGGCAGAGCTCGGGAACGCGCCGGAGGGCAACTGGAAGGTATGTGCTTGACATATCCACGCGTTCTGTCGGCGCACGTGGAGTTAGAAATGTCCTCCCTCGTGTTATTTGTTCTGTATATTATACTAATTCAGACCTCCAATGAAGCGGAGAGCGTTCCTCTACGGTGAACGGTTTATCGACCGCATAGACTTCGAAGAACTCGCCCTCAAGTCTTTTGACACGTCCTTGGGCCCAAAGCTCCTTCCGGTTGGGCACACTGATAAATTTGATGCAAATGGCCATCCAACGGTCAGTGCTCCCTGTCTTTCCCTCCTGCGCCCTGCCAACTCGTTGACGTAGCGTCCGCCTTGATTCGCTTCCGTGCATTCTGTGTCTTGACACGCCACATGCTGTATGATTCCCACTTCCACCGCGAATGCTCTTGTGTCTCGGATGATAGATTCCTCTCATTTACCCACCTTCAGCGTGTACCTCGCCACTGGCGCACCTGCACGCCCTGCTTGAGAAACGCACCCCACGACATCGGAACGGCTGCCTCATCTGGACCGCCATCTCCCCGCTCACTGCTCCCCTCAAGCTCATCCGTGCGTTTCCTGTCTCTTTTCGCCTCTAAATCACGTTTTTCATTCGCGTTCGCAGCCATAATCCCGAACTTCCCGTTTTTCTTTTGTGCATGGCGCGCGTGGTCCCACTACAGAGGTCGGTCCCTACACTTTTCTATCCGCCCAGTGCTCACTGTCTAACAACGCCTAGCATTCAAAGCCTCGCGGTACCTGCAGGCCTTCGTCGCCCAGGGCGCCATCCTCCCGCAGGAGAGCGCCGAGCTTGACGCCATATACCAAGCGTACGCGCCTGCATCGTTGGACGCTGCGCCTTCAAGCCCCGATTCTGACCCGTCTGCCCCGCCGTCCGCCTCTCTTCCCCACGACCAGCGCGCATTACTGTCGAACGCCACGAACACGGAGGGCGACGCGCGTCCGCGCCTCCTGCTCACGCGCGCGGCCGTGCCCGCGCTCGAACGGCTCTTCGCCCTCCCGCCTGGCTCGAGCTTCGCGTCGGATGTGTACCGTGCGCTCGAGCAGGCACGGCTGCGCCTGCAGGCCGAGCGGTAGGGCGCGTCGCGAAACGGAAGGGGGTGGCTGTAGCATGTGTGATTGGCTACTAATAGTACGGTATATGCGGCGGCGCGGACTTTATACTCACTTCTTAGATTATGCTGGTCGCCAGCCGGTGTATGCATTGATTCAAGGCTGTTGGCCCTGGCGCGGTTCAAATTTAATGCAGCGACGCCAGACATGCACTCATGGTTTGCGTGAAGTTTGGCGAGATTTCACACGTCGGAATCCACACCCTGACATGCAAGGAGGGCTCTTTTGCCTCCCGCTATTTGCGTATAATGCGCGGGGAACACGTCTCAAGGGCAGTACAGCCATGGGTACCGAGATGGTGGACGCCACTCCCAGCCGCCTCAATCTCTCAATTTCAATCTCAATGTCACGGAGCACATTATAGATCCGCGCTATTACGTATTATTCGTCAATGAAGTCCATGATTGAATGAAACGAATGAAAGAGCGTCGGACAACCGAGGGGGAGGTGCATAGTGATCAAAGACTGACTGGAGGAGGGTTCGCCACCCGCCTTCTCCCCGGCTGCTTACCCTTGTCGGGCGGGAACGTCGCTGACAAATTTCTCTTCATCATCTCAGCCAGTGGGCAGGAACCACGCGGAAGGAACAAGGGCAGGGAGCGCAGGACGACTGCAAAACACCATGTAATGCAGGGGGGACTTCAGTGGCCGCCGACATGTGGCTGGCATAGCATTGGCTGCTGCCCGCTAACATGTGGCGGTGGAGGAAGTCAAGGTTGCGTTCTATGACACGGGTGTTGAATGGAGAAGGCATGGCAAGCTGTAAGTTCCCGTGCCGCGTTTGAGCTATGGCGAAACATACGGCCAACTGAATGACAGAGAAGACGGTAGCGAGTGCTGTGGCAAAAGTGATGACTGGAGCAGCCTTCTCGCTGTGCTTTAGACCCTGACATGGCTCAGGCGGCCGGGCTTCTGCACTCGTGTTCTTGTTGTGAATTGTGGCTAGCACATTGACAAGCTCCGTGACCCCCCGACATTCCGGAAGTGGTCGCATAAACCGTCGACATTGACTTTGACATCTACCACGATGCAATACATGAGTGTGCCTTCAGATATTCCCTCGCAAATCGCTTGATAGCACAAAGGGATTCATTTAAAATGACGATAATCCAGCTCAACAGGTCGAGTACTCCTCCGGAAGGGAACGGGCATCTGTAAGCCACATCTCCCACGCGATGAACTGCGCACAAGTGAAGGCGCGTGCGAGTGACGAGACTCCAGCCGTCTAATCGGCCTGACGAGAACAAAGGTACATCATGGCCTATTATGTCCGCCTTGTCCGATCGGTAGCCAACGGTTCACTCCGCACCTGGGAACAATGTCCCTGGGCATCAGCTTCGACGTTTGCATTATCCGGAACTTACCTGGAGGAGTGGAAATGAAAGATGTACGTTGTACACTTCGGTGTCGGTCAGGACTGGATGTGAAGGTCTTCGGAACAAAGGACAGGAACTTTGCATGAGCGTCGGGGACGCACCGTGGTCTTTTATATAAACCGCATTCTGCCCGTCTCAATCCCTCACTACCAACTCTCTCATCGCAACTCGTAAGGACCGGGAAGTGTCGCTCCTACTGATGTGAGTTTCATCCTATACTCAGCATCAGGGCCCAAACACTAACATCCAGTCAGCAGCAGCAACAGTTGTGTCTTTGTATCTCAATCACAGCTCATATATCCAACGATGTCTTCGCAGTTTCTGTACACCTCGATGTATAGCAATACTCGCGACGCATTCGACTACTCCGTATTCTCCGTACCAGCCGTATTTCCCGGACCAACGACAGACAACATCATCTGCCCTCCTCATCCCGGTAATATGTCGCATTGCCACCCGGCCTCTGGCGATGGAAACGCCCAATACGCCGGCCTCTACAACCAAATGAATTGCTTCGAGCACAGCGCGCCGCTAGTGGGTATACGAGAGGTAAGTTGGCCACTCACGCTTGGCTGCACAAAGGCTGACAGCCTGTCCCAGACGTTCGTGCCCATTTTCCCAGCAGCTGCAGGCTTCGAGATGGGCGCTGGAGATGGAGCAGCAACATCTCATGTGGTCTCATCCGACTCCGCACAGGCGACCGTGCCTCCCGGTCTAGTCATGGCTGATGGTCCTGGTTTGAGTCAATACTCAGAGCCAGATCCGTTTCCTCATATCGATCCGTACATCCTGGATCTCATCGCGACGGAGGCCGGAATGGGTGGCCTCAATAGGGCACCATGGCTCTACACGCCTCCCGGTGTGTACAGCGCACCGACTCCTGGCCTACATGCTGTAGGACAGGAAATCAACAACACCGAACAAACCAACGGCGCCAGCGAGGATGCCACCGAATCTGAGGGGCATACATGCCTCCTCGCCGAATCTTCCGCGGCCCGCGCGTATCGGCTCGCACAGCCACGCAAATCCGCGAAGGTAAGGAAGACAAAGAAGACATCACAGCGGCCACGCGCACCTGCAATCAAGGCAACACGACCCCAAGTGGCGTCGAAGGGGCCCCTCCGGTGCCAAATATGTGACCAAAACAAAGACACAGGGTACGCCCACCAAGCGTCTCTGAATCGGCACATACGAACAGCGCACCTCGACCCCTCACGATGGCAATGTACCTTGTGCGACAAGTCAATGATCAGGAGTGATGCACTGGGGCGGCATGTCAAAAAGCAGCACCGCATGTCCGACGTGAGGGCAAAGGCGATCGTCGCGCAGGTTGCTGCTAGCAAGTATCTCACCGGGTGACCACTCACTGTTCTCGGGCAATCGTCCTCCCTCCCTCCCGCCTTGCCCTTCTCGTATCCTGTCTCTATGTTAACGTGGTACGCTCCTGGTCGTATTTATCGTTGCCTTGTATTTATGACTGGATGCCTATGTTCAGATGCTATGTGCCGTGATTTTAAATGATTAGCCGACAAGAGCTGCATACTTACCAACTGCTTGTGCTCGCAGCTGACTAGTCGTCTATTTGTAGACCAAAATGATGATACGGATCGACATGTGAGATTTTGTCGCATATTTGATGAATGAAGCACATCCGCCTGGTAGGCTTCCAAGGAATCATGGTATAGTGAGCGACACAATATGAGAGAACAGCATCACAGTTGAGATAGCATTTGAGTCTCCACGAGAAAAGTGGGACGAGCCGCCGGCATTTGCCGTGGACCGATCAGGGCCCGGGTGAGTCGCCTCTGGTCCCAAAACCCACGAAAATGACCTTATCCCAATTCTACATCTAAACCTTCTTCAACGTCGCGTCACTTGGATGTTTTTCGGTAGTGAACATTTCGTCAGCTATGTCACTCCAGTTATCAGGCCATTTCACTCGCGTGCACTTTCATTTCACTGGCTCTTCGAACATGAGCTCTGCTGACGGGAAGGGACGCTGATTGTGGATACTAATTGAATTAGTGGTCACTGATACACAACGTCGGTCGTAATAGGCTGCAACACGTTTTCATTCTCTTTACGCCGATCAAGCTGCGGCGCGACGATGTACGTGCTCCGTTCCGGCGTGCACGTTGGCTTTGTGGCTTTGTGTGACCGGGTGCGTCTAGCTCCCCTTCAAGGACTTCCTACTCGCAGATTGTATTGCATCTTCCAGACCAGCAGCGTTTCAGTGATGGCTTCTGGCGTCAGTTATACTTGTTGGGTGATATTGACTGCGAGATGTTCAGGCCTAGAGACTCGCGGAGGCCTCGGAACTGCCACATGATCGGTCGACTTCGCGCCTCACGCTACCGACGTGTGGTATTCTCCACTCCACTGACGAGACCATTCGGATGACGATCCTGCCTCCCATTTTTAGAAGACTGAACAACGTAGTCTTCCAGAGTGTGGTCTTGATTTCCGCTGACGTTGTATGACCTGCGAGGATGTAAATAGAAGACGGCTATGATGGTGGGCACCTCGTTTCTGAACTGCTAGAATATCTTCTCACCATGTTTGTCGTGAAGCGCCACCGTGAGTAGATTTTGTGGCGGTTTTGCTCAACGGCAGAGAATGAACTGCCCCTTGTGCAGACCTTGGAAGCATCTCCTGATGTACATGGATGCACCGGATTCATACTGTCGAAGACGGCTTCCAAAGCCCCGCCACAGAATGAGTAACACAGTCAAATATGACTGTCTGCAACGCTTTGTGAGAGTATTAAAGGGCTTCGCCACAAACACCGTGGGAATCCTTCGCCACGAACTCTCTCTCCCCATTTTTCACTATCCCCTTCTCTCCCTCCTTAACACGTCGCCCCTACCTCGCAAAATGGCCTCATGTGGATCGACTGCTATATCCGCATTCTCCAGGTCGTCGACGCGCCGAGCACCTGTGGTCGCGGAGATCGCGGTAAAAAGCTGCCACTTTGTCCGACAGGCCGACATTAAATGGCTTGTTATATTCGCTCTGACATGTCGTGCGCTCCGCGTACTGCTATCGAAGTCCTATGGGGAGGTCTGAAGAACCTCATACCAATATTTCGATTGTTGCCTTCCGATGCCTGGGCATTTCATGACGATGCAAGAACTTCACGTCGAGTTTATGTGCGTGCTCTACTTCCATCCCCCAATTGGTGATACTGACATAGTTGCTGTCTACCAGCGCCTACAGCGTGATCTCATTCCTGAGGACTTCACAGAGATTGGGAGGCGCCACTCGCGAAGACCATTGGTTTCAGTCGGGGCGGCGAAAACTATCCTCGCTACGAATTCGATGTCCCACCTGCAGGACCGATGCAGATCATGACGCGATGCTCGCCTCAGCCCCTCCTGTTCCTGGCTCTCCGTACCTTGGACTGGCTGCACACTTTCATTATCCATGATTCAGGCCCTTACATTGCGTGCGAGGACTTTTGGACTTGCGCTTGTCTCTACATTGGTCCTCAGCTCAAGAAGGTCGCCATAGACTTGACCATCCCCTGCCCGCATGTTTCAGGAGAAGACTGGAATGCAGAACTCATCAAATTCATGGCGCAGAGTGCCCAGAGATTACTGAGATGGACATTGATGCCACTGGATGAGGAAGTACTGGACCTCTTCTCTCTACCACAGAATGGCCCTCCTCGCTGGCCTGCCAATTTGTACGGCTCGAGGTACTTCTTTGCGGCAACATTCCTCTGCGCGGAAATGCGCTGGCTTATCTTAGCCATTCTTCCACTCTGAAGGAGCTATGCGTGCTTCTGACTCGTGATACTTGGTCTTCAATCTCTCTCGGTTCTCGCGTTCAAGCGCGCTTCGCCACACACCGGAAATTGGAGATCCGGACACAAGACCTGACAGCGTTCAATGATCTAGCGAATGGCAAATTTATGTTCCCACAAGTGGAGACATTCAGCATTGACTGCTCCTCGTTCCCATCTGCATCTGAGGTCGATGCATTCTTCAACGCTCTACAGGATCTATTCTCGCCTTCGCGACTCCAGTGTCTATCTATGGAGACAAGTCCCTGGGAAGATCAATGGCGCAGCAACACTATCTCGTCTTGTGGTGGTACTCTGCGGCGCGACCATCTGCGCAAACTTCTTGCTTTCCGCAGAGTACAGACAATCATATTACAGGCACATGTGGCGGTTGACCTCGACGACGACATCGCGGAGGAAATGCCAGCAGCGCGGCCACAACCAGAGACGTTGTGCATCTCACCGCAATGCAAGCTTTGGAACAAATAAAGGCTACGTTGCGTTCTTTGCAATCATTCGCCACAAACTGTCCACGCCTGATCCATTTGGACATACCATTTCGCGCAGATGGTGCCTATATCCAACTTCTGCCACCACGTCTTCCACAGAATCACCCTCCCGAACGTCTCGACCTAAAATGGGTACTCATCGACGAACATGTCTCCGAGGTCGCAACGCTGTTGGGAAAACTCCTTCCTAATCTCAAGATTGACACGAATATCTCCGGCGACTGTGAGCAATTTTATCGTTGGCTTGCAGTCAAGAACGAGCTCAAGTCGACACTAGAAGGACCTACAGAAGACGAAGCGGATACTCCATCCGAAGCCTAGAGATGGCCACGCTGAGCCATTCGACAAGGCATACGACAGGATTGTTGGGCTTAGAGCGCTGATGGCAGACGACCGGTGCCGCGCTGAATCAGAATGACATTGAAGCGAGTGTTGGCGATATTCGTGGTGAAGTAATCGGTGGTCTGACGGCAGTTGTATTCAGCAGGCAGATCAGATCCATGGATGCAAACTCGCGCTCTTGAGCAGCCTCGCACAGTGGCCATCCGGACGGCGGACATAGGGATACATTCACGCGTCGAAAAGCATCTCCTCACTATGGCACAATGAGTCACATCGACCTTCCTCTCCTATTTGACAAGTCATTCAAGCTGGCCTGAAATTCTAATAGAAAAAGACTGGCAACGCCGTGAACTGCGCTCAGGACACGCGCCCCTTTCCCACCTAGGCAAAGTTGACTCGGCGCTGTGCTCTACATGCGGCACTGGCAGAGAGATAGCCACACGCTATGTCCTCAAACGCTCGACTGGAATGTGCCTTCCTCCATCGAACCTGCAAGCGCGATTTCTGCTTACATACTCCGAATCCCTGTGCCACCTTTTCTACCTCAAGGTAGTCTCGCAGTCCGGCGTTGTACCCTGCACGGACATGTCCCGATCCCCAATGAAACCGGCTCTTTTGTCACCATGCCCGTAGACATCCTCATCGGAGTCACCAACTTGACGAAGCTGCTTGTTGCACGTGCTCATAAGCTCGCCAAGGATTCCCGCCTCCTCGGCCTGATGTCAATACCAAGCTCGCCCGTCCAAGACATTTCTACCACCAAAATCTCCGCACAGGTGCTCGGGAACTTCGCACTGCTGAGACCCCCGCAAAGGTCACCGTTGGCAACGTCTACTATGAGTCTATGACGAAGAGCGCAAGTTTCCTAGCCCGCTCAGGCACATTCGGCAAACCATGGAGCATCTCGTTATACTCGGTCTCCGAGGCATACTGGACGTCTACCATATTCATTGCATAACAAGGAGCACGTCACTTGAATAGATTATGGGGCTCAGATGCGGTGATTGCTCATCTGGAGTTCCTGAGCACGCGATGATGCATCTCACACACAAATACTAGCCAACGTATGGCGGTAGAGGAAGGTGGAGGCGGCGTTCTGAGACATGGATGATGAACGGAGAAAGTGTCGCAAGCTGAGGATTCTCTAAGTACCTACAGCCGATTGGTAGATAATGTTGATGTGACTTGTTTCGACGAAAGTCACCTGAGCCGCACAACAGGTTCTTTGACGGCTGCGAGAGGTGATGGACAAAAACCAGGTGTCGACAAGTGTACTGAATGAGAGTGAAGATGGCAGCGAGTGCTGTTGCGAAATTATGGCTGAAGCGGCATACATATGGCGGGTTTGAACTTCAAGTGCCCGGCCTAAGGCTCAGATTCTCGGGCTTCTGCACTCGTGTTCTTGTTGTAGATTGCGGCTGATACTTTAACACGCTCCATGACGCTCCAACATTCCAAAAAGGCCGATTGAATTGTTAATATTGACTTTGATATATACCTTGGCACAATACTTGAATGTGTTTTCAGGATTACTTCTCGCTCGTGAATTATTCGCTAGCACAAAGGAACTTATCAACCTGGCTAGTTAGGTCAGGGAACCCTAAGGGAACGGGGCTCACAGGTATCCTGAAGCCACATTTACAACACGATGAGACGGGCACTCATGAAAGTGAAGACGTGTGGGAGTGATGAAGGTCCAGCCGTCCAATCAGGCAAAAAGAGAACAAAGCCACATCGGGGCCTATTATGTCCGCCTTGTTCGATCGGTAGCCAACGGTTCACTCCGCAACTGCGATCAACGTCTCTGGCTGTCAGCTTCGATGCTTGCATTATCCCTGGGGATCCAGAACTCACTTTGAGTAGCGGAAATGAAAAGGATGCGCGCCGCAGTCCTTAGTGTCAGTCAGGACTGGCTGTGGAAGTCTTCAGAACAAAGGACAAGAACTTTGCATGAGCGCCGGGGATGCACCGTGGTCTTCTATATAAATTGCGTTCTGCCCACCTCCACTCACAATCAACTCTCTCTCTCCACAGCTAAACCAAGTCTGTGAATTGCCACTCCTGCGTAGGTGATTTCGGTCTCGACTAGCCCACATCGAGCTCTTAGCGCTGACCGCAGGGCCAACAGCACCACCAATCGCGCCTTGGCATCCAACCATTGCTTGTCCAACCTACCATGCCACTCCACTTCTACAGCCCGCAGACTCCTATAACTGACGGAAACACCGTCACCTACGACATGGGGCTTTTTCAATTCCCAAGTTTCGACCCCCAACCTCTTCCTTTAAGGCACCTCGTCGGGGTTCAGCAGTCAATGCGTGCAGACGAGACTCACGAAAGCGGCTATGACCTCTATTCAATGCAGGCCTTGGGGCCAGTTCCGCAGAACATAGCCATACATGAGACGTGTTTGCCGCTGGAATATCATCATCCAGGGTCTCACAATTTTATTCAATATCTTCCACACCCGCCGCAGAACGGCACGATACATCAAGCAGATGCATCCTATGGCACATGGATTCTCAGCCATCAGAGGCCAGAGGGCTACATAAGCATCCCACCGGCCCCAGAGGTGGCTGCTCACGCTGCAATACCTTTCGCCATGGATCCTTTTGCCCACATTGACCCATATATTCTCGACCAGATCGCTATGGGATCTGGAACAAGCGATATTGACGGGCCGCGCTACACACCTTCTGGTGTGTCAAGCGCATCGACCCCTGACCTACAGGATGTAGGGCAGGAAATCGACAACACTCTACACATCAACAGCGCCAGCAGAAGTAACAACGTTACAGAATCACTGGCCTATGCTTGCGCACTTCCAACAGCCGAGACCTCCGGCGCTCCCGCCTACAAGTTTAGACGGCGACGCTCATCTACAAAGGCCAACAGCAAGACGACATCACGGCGTTCACGCGCACCAGCAGTCATAGCCACCACTCCGGACGAGAAAACCAACGGGCCGATCAAGTGCAAGGTCTGTGGAAAGAAATTCTCACATAGACAGAACCTGAACAGGCATGTGCGCATCACGCACCTGGGCGCTCGCAAATGGGACTGCGTGATATGCAGCACCAAGAATTCGAGACACGACGCACTGAAGCGTCATCTAAACAACATCCACAATCTGTCGGATCTGGAGGCGAAGCATATCGTCACATTTGTCGGGGAGAAGATCAATGCTGCCGTGTGAACCACTCACCATGCCTTGCGTTCTCGCCTCGCCCGCCTCGTACCTGGCCCGTATGTATCTGTCCTGCGAACGACCCCTTATTCTCCATGACTGCCTTGTACTTGCGGTGGAAGGTTCTACGAGATTGTCTTTATACATGCATTGTGCTTCTTATCTTAACGATCTTCGAACTGAAAGCTTACCGGTGTGGCACCATCGACCGGCGTTGCTAAGTATGTGAAAGACGAGGGTTATGACGACGGGCAAAGCCCTCGAAATAGCATCGTGCGAATGTAACGATAATGAGCAGGGAGCAGCTGACCGAGTACGACATCGCACGAGTCCTGTACATAACAGTAAGAGAACGAGAAGGCGACGCGGAATAGCCGTCGTGCCCAGTCACCGGCCGTTGCCGACTCGTTTCACCATCACAAATCTCGCTGCCACGGCCCACGACTTGATTCTTTCCTGGACGGAACATTCAATCAAGAATGCAGTCGTTCTCTTTTATCGACACGTCCATGTACACCCTAGGCTCCTCCCCGTCTTCGCATTGGGACATGTGCTAAGCTCCGGTATTGGTTCAATATTGACATTATCGAGCGTTCTTTGACTGCAAGTCTAAAGCAAAAAGAGTAAGCTTTCACTTGCAGTAGAATAATTCATAATGCTCACGTACTGTGAGATCGATTGGTTGTATGCGGTCTTCGAAAATCTTCTCGAAGGGAGTCCTTGGGGACTCGCGGATGCAGAAGATGTCGCCAATTTGATAAACCAGTGTTATGTCACGATGCCGGGCAGTGGGAGACTCCTGGTATAGAGCTGTGGCGAGCGTAACGTTCGCGTTTCACTTGGTGAGGATCGTTGCCGGCCGCTCCGAGCGCGATGTCCTCTTTTGCCTCCAAATCCGATAGCTTGTGGATGTTATCGAGATGACGCTTCAATGCGTCATGTCTCGATATCCTGGTGCCACATATGACACAGTCCCATTTTCACCCACCCAGGTGCGTGGTCTGCGCATGTCTGTTCAGGTTTTGCTTTTGTGCGTATACCTTTCCACAGACCTTGCACTTGATTGGCCCGTCGGCCGTGTCGTCCGCAGTGGTCGGTATAACTGCTGGTGCGCGGGGACGCCGCACTGTTTCCATCCTGTTGGCTACCGCGGACGAGCGTGGCCGCCTGAGCTTGTACGGGGAGCGCCGGATGTCTCGGCGGTGGGAAGCGCGTCAGCATGTCCTGCGGCACTTCTCTTGTCGTGATTCATGATTGTGCACTGATTGTCGTCTTTACATAGCCCTGCGTATTGCAGGTTTGCAGCGATTGCTCTTGGTGCGCCCTTTAGTCTTCGTTGTGGCGGATGCACATAATGCTCGCGTAGGCATATGATTGTGATGGACCAGCTCCATATGTTGTTTGAACGCTGGCTGGCCGTCTGTGGCACTTTAAGCATCTCGTGCGGGTAGGAAGAGCAGAAGACGGTCGGTAGCGAGTGTGCGGATTGACCGAGCTGAGAACCTGGATTATATACCATATCGCAATAGCGCCTGTCATTGTCGACCTCGGTGCTTTGTCCTGAAGACAACACACGTCTCTCTGCAGCCCTCATAATGTATGCCTCCATTTCTATATCTTTGAGTGAGTTCCCGATCCTCAATGACAATGCAAACTCTGATGCAGGCTGAAGTCGGAGGGGCTTTGGTTAGATTGTCGGTACTGGACCGGACTAGGTGCCCGCCGGTGTAGTTCATTATGCATCGAATAAGTTGCCATGGTACTCTCCTATGCGGGGCTGTTACCATACATATGGTTGTTTACATTTGTGGGACTAGTTGTATTAGCGATGGATGTGACGATCGAGCTCCTCGATGTTGGATGCGTCCAGTCGATGACTGCTGTATGCAAACCTTTTGCCGTCTCATTCGTGTCCTGCTAAACATTTCCATATTGTTTACTTCATTGCCTATGACTGTGGAGCAACCACGGCGAGTGGCACTAAACACAGCTACGCGGGCGTAACAGTAAAAATTTGAAGGCAATCGCGCCAGGCTTAAGATATACCAAACTTTCAAGCAGACGTATCTTGCGAGCCCTTCCATTGAGCTAATAACACCTTCTGCGCGTCAAGTGAGGTGCGACAGTGCCGTCTCGAACCCGGAAATTATGAATGTAGTGACCACTATGCGTTTGCGTACTGGTCACAAAGTAATCACACACAAAAAATGACGTCTGATGCCTGGATGATTCCTGAAGTCAGCGAGCAGACGCCGCCAACATCGGCAACGGCAACTTGGGGAGGGGCGCGACGCGAGCCTTGCGCGCGATCACGTGACACGTGTCGACGCGTTGTTGAATGGTCACGCGTTACGCCCAAGTCGAACCCGAACATACCAGACCCACTCTCTTTCATCTATCACTATTCAACGCCTGCATCTCCTAATTCTCCTGATTATTGCTACTTTAATCTTCCTATAGTCTCTTCGACATACAACATGGGTCCCGGCAGCGGGATCCGTAATAGAGCGCGCGGCAAGGGCAAGTCGGCTGCTCCGCTGGTCATTCAACTCCGTCGCCAGGCAGCCCATGGGGAATTGAGAATCGAGAGGCCGCGGGCTCAGAGGAAGGAGGCCGAGGATGAGCTATTGTACCCGTTCCTGGCACTGCGCAGGGCTGCGAAAGCGGCGGCTGCGGCCAGTGAGGCAGACGTTGTGCCTCCGCGGACGCCTGCGGGGACACGGAGGTTGGAGGTCGAGGTCGTCCGGACACTATCGACTATGAATGGGCGACACAAGGCACTGCGGAGGAAGACGCGACACGAGATTGGCAAGCAAGAGGAGCACCAGTACGATGAACAAGCGTGGCGGAGGGGCGCCTGTGATGAGCAAGAGCCGGAACACACGGGTGAACGCGAGGGAACGGCATCGGTGAGTCTGACAAGACCTTTTATGGTTCGTGCACACTGAAGAGCTCGACGACGGTGAAGGTGGTACCTGTACAAGGATGCAGTGTCAAGGTCAAGCACACTGCGTCTGGAGCTAGTCGCAGTCGGCGAGGATGGCGGAAGCTGCTCGGGCTGGTGGAGGGCGATATGAAGCGAGTGCCAAAGAGCTCTGTGACCAAGTTGAAGGGTGTTCGCGTGAAGCCCAAGTCTGCATGCAAGGCCATGCGGTCCGTCACAGCAGCAGAAGTCGAGCACCAGTCGATGGTTCCTCAGCACAACGAAGAGCGTGTCCCGGTGGACGTCGCCCTGGCCTTCCCTGCCGACGAGATTGAGCACCCCGTCGCACCGGTCGGTACATTACCTGAGCACTCCACCGCTGCTTCTGTGGTCGAGGTCGAGCCTGTGCAAGCAGCGATGCCCGTAGAAGGGGAGCCGCACGAACGGGGCCTGGGATTGGAGGACTTTGCCTTTGACTTTGGCTCGTGTCCAGGGATGCCAGCTGAACTCGTCGCAGCTCTGAACATGCCTTCGCACGTCTTCACGGTGACAGAGGCGCAAGAGGTGCCTGCGACGGAAGGCCAGATTGCAGAGGCTACGGTCATGGCCGTCGATGCGGAGATACTCTCACCCGAGCCGACTCGCGACACGTACAGTGCTTTTGCGGTGGGTATGGATACTATCCACGCCGAGGCCTCGTCCGGCGCAGAGGAAGCGATGGCGGACGTGTACACCACTGACGACGTGCTGGTCGAGATGGCGTCTCCCGTTGTATGTTTTACAGACACGGTTACTGTCGACGAGGACAGCGATATGCTGCATGCAGAGGAAGAGGCTGTGGAGATGGAGATGGACGGCTTTGAGAGCGTAGTAGCTCCGCAGGCACTGTTTGCTCAGACTGAGATGGTATGTGACACGAACGAGGTGAGGCGATGAAGCTGTTATGTGCGCGCAGGGTCTGACGACAACCTGTGTTTGCGTTCATGTCTATTCAGATCGCCGCCAACCCTGTTACCAATGCAGGGCTCGCAGGGGTTCCGGTCGAGTTGATCTCCGCAGCGGTTGATATGGCGCAGCCTGAAGAGGACATCGAGATGGGGCACCAGGAGCAGCCTGTGATGGTGGAGGAAAACATCAAGATGGGTGTCCAGCTGGTGTCTGTGGACGCGGTGTTCGGTGCGGTCGCAGCAGCACTGATCGCAGCAGGAGATGGAGGCGGCAACAACGAGCAAGACATCGATGCAGTGCTAGACCACTTTGGGTTTGTGCAGGAGTGCACTGTCGCTCACCTCGACCAGGAGGACGCATCCGTGGGGGACATCACGCTCGTCGGTGGCGCACTTGACGAAGACCACAACGCGACGTCTGATCAGGATTGGGACACGACGTTCGTGGAGGACGCTATTACATCTTCGTCGCCGAAGACGGAGAAGCAGAGTAGGCTTCCTGCGATGCCACTCCCGGAGGTCGTGGTGTCTGGGTCAGATACCGGCGAGCAGGCTGTCGTCGCTGGACTGGAGGACGTCTCCATCCCACCCACCTCGTCCGCGCCTGTTATCAGCTTGAAGACACTTTTGGACGCCATTGCTCCTCACCCCGTGCTACCCGACCGTCTCCTCGAGGACCCAGTTCCGACTGCTGGGCCGATGTTCGACATGCAATCGTTATACTCGACACTCCCTACAAACTCCACTGGAGGCGCGGAGAAGACGACGAACGCAGGTAATTCAGGACTATTCAGTGCTTTTCAAGACGATTTCTCTGACGATGATTTTACTCCGAACACGGGTACGAGCGCAACCATCTGATCGATTTTTGAATCTGCGCCACTGACTGACATCTCATGGCAGGTTCATTCGCTAGGGCGACGAGAAGCGGCAAGGTGTATGGCGGCGGCATCAGCAAGGCCAAGAAGGCTGTCGCCCAGCCGACGCGCAAGTGCACGTCTAGTTTGTCGAGTGGGCTACTGGACAACGACGCGTTCAGGGCGGTGCGCAACAAGAGTGCGGCAGAGCAGAAGGCGCGCAAGGACACACGCAAGCGATACAAGAAGATATCGCGGAAGCTTGCACGCCAGGACGCGGAGAGCGCGGAACCCAAGGGAGGCTGTGGGCGATTCCGGCTGTCAGCTGTGTACGTGCTCATGTTGTGTGTTCCTGCTCTCGTTCTCACGCTGTGTTGGACAGGAATCCAAAGACCGGACGGCGCGAGAAGATGACGCCAATCACCACGGTCAAGGAGAGCACCGACGACGACCTCGACGTTGACGTGCTGTGTCGCATGTCGTCGAGTCTGTTGTTGACGGCATCGTCCCATGGGCGCACCAGTACTCAAGAGGCGACGGATTGTGCGGACGACCTGCTGGGTGCGTTTGCATCTTTTGGGCTCTCGACGGACGCTCCCTCGGCATCGTCGACAGGTGGCTCGGCGCTAGACGATCTGTGCGACCTCTTCAATGCGCTGGTCTGAGACTGTTTTTGGCGTGAACTCCAGACACGATTTCTAGTGATCTACCTCAACATGAATCTACAACGCGTCAAGACTCGGATCCATCTACGCCTGTCTTGATTTTCTCATTCTGGGCTCCGTTTCTCGTATTCTCGGCCTCAATCTTTCACAAGCGTCTTTTCTTGGCTCCCGCCATGGTCTTCTCTCTCGCCTGCACGAGTCTCGGATTCCTCTACTTTTATTTCTTCGAGCTTGGATCTTTCTATGGCTTGGAATTGTCTCGATAACTTATTCTGGGCTTCATCTCATATTCTCGACTCGGTCTCATGAACATCTCGGCATCGATATCGATTTGTCAGAACTGTCTTTTCTTGGTTTACGCCTGGTCCTCTCGCGCACTGGCCGACCTTTTCTCACTACTGGATCGCTACACAACAATTCCGAAGACTACTACGAAACAACATGAACGCGCCGCAACAAGATGCGAATCGTATCTTAGGCTTAGTCTGACTTACTCTCTCTGGCTCACGCGAATACAAGAAACACAAAAAATGAAGATAATGAAGAAACGCGACAAAAAACAGAAGAAAAGACAAAACGCTACAAATCGACTGTCTCGGTTTCTGATCATCTCGTTTCGTTTCGTCATTGGATTTGCCTCCTCTATTGTCTTTGGATATCCACAAACTACCTTGGAGCAGCCGCATCCTCTGGCTCTAGTCACGATCTGACTCGCTCAAGCGTCGACATCGGCCTCGTCCGCTCGGTCGGTGCTGACATCGGTAGCGCCCGACTTCTTGGGTCGATCGAACAATCAAGTGTCGTTACTGCTGCTACTCGTCTCACACCGCTGGATCTCAAAGTCCATCCAGCTTGACGCGCACCACGCGTGTCCTCGCGAAGAACAGAAGTCACTGGCCATCTTCTGTATTGGCCTAGGAACTGTCTCCGTTCGCATACTCTGTGGCTGTCGCGTTATACAAGATGCCTGTCCGTTCGTATCTTGGACGTGAACAGTCTTAGTCTGTCATGACCGTTTCTCCCGTCGGTGAGCTGCCACTTTGATCTGTCATTACGTTGTCTCATGGGTTCGATAGCGTCGTGCAATCTTCTCGCGGCTTCTTGGCATCTGGCGGCCGGTGTCTAGCTCGTCACCACTCGCTGAAGAATCAGTCTTGTTTCCCCTCTGACGACGTCAGCTCCTCGTCAATATCCCTGGTCTTCGTCTGCTCACTCTGGACTAGTCAACGGATCTTACTGGCGTACAGTCCTTCGTATGCCGCCACATTCTCTAGTTCTTGGACATGAGTCCGAACAGCCTCTCCTGGACTCGACGTTAAACTACAGTCCGAAAACATCGAAATGGGCTGGCTCTGACGACCCGTTCACGACAATGATGTTACAATCTCCGTGCTCGCTTTGGATCTCGGTCGCGCCGGTCGCGTCATCCATACCTCACGCGAAGATCCCTTAAATTGCACTACAGTATCATGACTACTTGCCCTTCCTATGGCGTACTCCTCTATCCTCTATCCGGGCGTAGTGCCACTTTCGCAGCTCCACGTTATTAGTCTGGCTATTGTTCCTTACTGTTTTTTACCTTGTGGTCGCGTCTTCCTAGTCTTATCAGTTCCTCGCGACCGCTCACCGCCTTGAAACTAGTGCTTTTCTAAGCCATCTTTCGCGCATTGTGACCATACTCCCAAACGTCAATGCGCCTCATATTTTCCACCTCAAGATAAACTACGTCTTCAAACTCTGAACCCTTCACCATCCAAAGCTGTCCGCGTCTTTGCCTCTGGCCAAATATTACCTTCTTGATTTCGTCTCAATGCTCTCTCGTGCTCTCTTCACCGACTGCTTGTTGTGATTTCTCGTCTCTGTTATTCATCCTTGCATCGTAACCCTCCTTCCGGTCTTCAAAAGGTCCCACATTCGTTGATGTTGAGGTCCTTTGCCCATTTTGCGCTCTACAATACATCTCACGGCCACTCTGTTGCTGTTCATCCTCCTCCAAAACACCCTATCTACTCTCGGCAACAATCTCTCCTCGCAATATTACTTCTGCTGCTCATACTAGGCTTCCATGCACTCGAACGTCGTCTGTCGTTGTACACGAGATGCTGTGAGTGCTTCCCATCTGTTAGCTCATGGCTGTCGGACTCACCGGGATCATTCTAGATGCGCCTGCGATATCAACTCATTGTCTCGTCTGTGTCTCCCTCGGTTAGCGTCATTACTCACTAGCCACCCTCACGATCCGGTGGATTTCCACACATCTCCTATGCTAACACGACTACTACGGCCTTCTCCATTCCACTGAGACTCGCTCGGGCGATGCCTCGCCTGTTACTCGCCAATGTCTGACACAACATACGAATGCTCGCCTCACGTTCAGCCTTGCTAGACCAGCGCTTGATCGCCACAAGGCTGCTACTCCTCGGCTGGAACACGACTATCCTGATTTCCGTCGCATCACAACTGGTGCAGACAACCTTCCATCTGTCTGGACTGCGGCTACCTCTCCCGCCAAGCTCCATCTCTCATTCGAGGCTTACTCTGTCGTCTCACACTCAGTCAACGATCGCAATGCTCCTGGTCCTCGACATGCCTATCCAATCTATACCATTACCTCAATGTTCGTCACATCACTATCTGCTCCAGGATCTCCTACCCTTGCTCGGTTGCTCGACATCGCGGATTTATTTACTACTTCAGTGCTTCATCTCCTTACGACTGCACAGTCGCATCCTTCCTATCAAAGACAGTGCTCTATCTATTCGTCGAGTCTATATGCTATCCAACATTCTATCGTTCGCGGGCTAGGTTCGTTACTAGCGCGTGAACACATACTGTGAGTGCTATCTCTGTGTCGCCCGACATTATTCCGACTCGTCGCGAATGACTCTAGCCTCTGAATATATCTTGGACGGGTTCCCTACATACCAAACTGGCCTTCCAGTCGCACATCACAGCTATCCGCATCGCGCGCCTTCTCATGACTACTTGCGACAATGCAACAGTCGAATACCCCATTAGCCCATACAGTGCTCTAGAACACCGGCTCCTAGCTGTCTTGCTTGTCATAACTAGTGAGTATCTGCTTCGCTTGCTAGCACTCCTCGTACTTATTCAGATGCGGCTTTGTCGTCAGTCTCATTTACACTTCCATACAAATGAGTAGACATCTCTATCAACAACGCGCATCATACCCTATCGCGCTCCTGCAGAGGACGCACTCATCACGCCCCGAATCATCATCGTATCAAAACGTCTCGCAGAACTATGCACAGCATTGTGCCATCCCTTCAATCCCTTATCTGGACGCATCGCGCAGAAGTTCGCAACGACCTCCACTTCCTTACGCACTTGAACGCGCGTGCCAAGTGAACACTTTTCTGACAACTCCGATGTCTTCGTGACTCATCGATTCTCAGCTCACCTCAGTGTCCGTCCAATCCATACTCTTGGCTTACAAAGATCACGAACATGAATATGCAGAACGACGCCTCGGCACGAACAACAAATCTGGTTAAACATGCGCTCCTGTCATTTCAACAGCCGAAGCGACTACTTGCCACGCTCCAGCGGTCTGTCTGAGCTAACACCATCAAGGCCCTGCTCGATCGTAGCCGTACTGCTTCAATCAGCTATTTTTTTATAATAGTCTAACATACGCGCAATATACAAACATTGTAACATATGATGATCGGCTTCCAGCCTGGGTGGTACCTCTGCACGAGTGCATGAATCTCGTAGCCGTCCTGCTACGTCTTGGTTTTCGGAATACAATCCAGATGCTGAATATTAATGGCGATGCGCCACACCAAGGTATCGGGATGCATTTGCGACGTCTATCCGGCACGAGGACACGACTCCCCCAAGTGCGGTGAAAAACCAGAGGACGACGGAGGCAACAGGTTCAATCTCGACTGAAGCTGATGGCGTCTCCAGTTCGCGCGCACGTATTTCAGCTGAGCGCACCAGTCACAAAACCATGCCAACTGGCGATGCGTGGATGGCATAGGCGGGCGACGCGACAGCCACCGGCGTTTGCCGTCGGCGACCGCATCTGAGATCATGAAGTTAGCGGACTGGCCAGGCGACCTCCGGCGGATGCCGAGGTGATACATCTAAGATTACAAAAGTTAAGACGGGACAAATGCTACACCTCAAACCTCCACCATCACCTTTAGTTGAAAATGGCATTCTGCCGCTCGGGCATACACCGCCCCGTTCGCTCAAATCTCTGTTGACTAGAAGGTGACCTCGCTGTCAATCAGTTCCTGCTGTTCCTCAGAGCAGAACGCCATCGCATCGCTGGTCCAAGCGCCTCTGTATCCCGCTCATTCGCGCCCCATAGTCAGTCTCGGACACTCGTGATTGGTGGCTGCGTCAAGCTATTTGGAAATGCGTGAGCACGTAATCCACACTTATTGAACAAGACATATCATATATTGTGGCATAGGCGACGAAGACAAAAGCTATAGACATAGGCACATGACGAACAAGCACAATGATCAAAGCAGTCGTACATGAATAGAGGCCAGCATTCGCGAAAGAGCAAGGAAATCAGCGGAGACCGTGGAGAGAAAGGAAACGATGCGAGGCTAGTAGTCATCAGGCGGTGCAGGTGAGCCTTCGTTCTCGCTTGCGTCCCTGTTGGTCATTCTTTCCTTGACCCACTCTACTGCATCCCTGTACGACATGTTGTGCTGGCTGTGGCAATGCCTCCCGCGCGAGTCGGTGCGGGAGTACATTTTGAGGCAGATCGGGCATTGCCACTCCTGCTGCTTGCCCTTGGTGCAGCCTGTTGTCATGTGGCGGTCGCGCACACCGCTGCGCGAGAACCATTCATGGCAGTCGCTGCATTGATAATTCCGTGCAGCGGGCGTCCAAGTCCTTGGCTTCCTGACGACGTGGGATTGCCGGAACCTGGTGCGAGCCTTCTTGGAACGAGGACGACGTGTGTCGGGAGCGGGGGTAGCGGTGTAGCCGTAGCCGTAGCCGCTGTTGGTGTAATCAATGGATTGAATCTCCTGCCCTACATATGGTAGGCCAGGGATTGGTGCGCTGGTTACGTCATACGACGCAACATGGGGCGCGTTGAAAGCGAGGCCGTGGTTGAGGCCCATTGAATACCAATGCATCTGGGTAGCAGTGGCATCCCATTGGCCGATGTAGTGCGGCTGATGATCGTAGGGCAGGTTGAGGTAGGGTTCTGTGGCAGGATCAGCCAGCCACGGGTATCCCATGAACGGCGCCGGCTCTTGGATGGAAGAGCTGCCTTCTGGGGACCTGAATGGTGTCCCTATGTGACTGAACGTTGAACTCCCATTTCCGAAGCTGGGAACCTGTGCGAATGATGCGAGACGTCAGATGTGGTCTAGCAGAAACACAGGATGCGACATACCTCTTGCGGCTCAAAAGGTGGAAGGTCCCAGTCGGTTTCCTGAACGATGGCCTGTAGATCAGGGATATCAAGCGAGCCCTCCGCGGTTCGAGGCCCGGCGACCTCTGTGACTTCTGCCGGGTCCGACGATAAGGACGACCACTGGTCAGTGCTCGTGGACGCCATTTCCTTGAGCTTCTCGCAGAATTCTAAAAACGGGTCCGAGGCCATTGCGGAGGGAGCAGGGGTGGTGTGGTTGGAGCTCATGATGTGGCTGTCTGACTCACGTAGAGATTGGTCTGTCTATGGAGCTGGAAAAGGTCGCTGCTGAGTGCGAAGATGGCCAAAGGGTAAGGAAGGAACTGCTTATATATCACTTTTTCGACGCCTCTGGTCCAACCATGGACACGTCGAACACCGGGCATGTTTACATTGTCCTTGTGAAGGTGAGCGTCCGAATCTTCCAGGCAATACAGTCCTGAATGACGAATGACAGACCGTAGAAGCAGGACCAGTCGAAAGCATGCGAAATGAAATGCGATCGAGTGGCAAATGTAGCGACAGGCCTTTGTTCTCGGTGCGGCGATCAGAGGACGGTGACACTCCCCGGTTCTTGCGCTGATGCAACGTGTCGTCAGGTGGGAACAAAGCTGCCTACCTCAATTCTCGAGCTCAGTGGATCCCACGGTCTGGCATTAGGTGCAAGAAGGCGTCGTAGGCCCGTTTATGGTGCGTGCCCCTATGACCACGCGAGGAAACGAGTTTCATGAACCGTCTTGCATTCAGCGTCTCTTCGAACGTGGAAAAGTACGACGGTCCTTAGGGATAGTGTATGCCATGTTGGATCGACCGTGACAAGGGTTCACTTGTCACCTTCCCAGTATTACCTCTTCACTCCATTGTGTGCCACTCCCGCCTGAACACCTCGTGCAGCGTGACATCTTTCTCTGGCCAGTTCGCGGCTCGAGCCTCTGGACCTAATTCGCGATGCAGATCTGTGGCTGAATGCTATCGTAATCTGCTCACGCACTGCAGCGGTCAGGAGCACCAACGGTTCGCGCCCTAAACGTCAGTGATAGACTTTGGGGATGGACAAACGGAACTCACCCTTGATGTGGTGCAGATTCTTGGTGTTTCGACGCGGGTCCAGAGACATTACGGAGGGTAGGCAGCTCTGCTGCATTATCGGTCTCGCTGACAATCAGGTCTAGGGTATTTATTTCATATGCGCTTTGTTGTATGCAAACTCGTGCTCGCATCCTCGGCGTGGGCCTTGAGCTTGCGAAGCGCGAGGGGTGGGGCCTAATTGTCCGAGCGAAAAGCCAGTTCTCCCAACGACTCGGTAGCGCTGCAGCGCCTGTCGTCATGCAAAGCATGGAGGAGCTGGGATGGGACATTTTCCTTCTTGCCCTACTCTGCGTGTACTTGGAACTGGTGCAATTTACTGGAGAGGAAGCCCTCCACACACCATTTGAGTGGTGTTCTTTCTTTTGCAAAGCCTGCAGCATCCATGAATTCCTGCACATGCGCGGTGGTGTTGTGCTGTGACGGAGGAGGTAGAGCAGCGGGCGGTATAGCCCTGATTTTTTGGCGGCGGTATCGTGTCCCCGTCACGGTCGTGAGCTCTTATTCGCACTGCAGGCTGACTCTGTTGGGTCGGTGAGTCGAGTCCTGGTCGGCGCCGCTCGTGAGGTGAAGACCTGCCCCAGGGGTCGTTCAGTTTTGATCTCGCATCCTGTGGTTCGCTTACGCTTCTTCTACCACAGCTCCGGCATCTATCTCAGGTGTAGGCCAATAAATTATGTTCCTTATGTGACGGGAATCCCAAATGGCATAACGCATGGAATGTTTCACATACTCTGACGGGTTTCTTGGCGGATACAATGCTTATTCATCATGAACATCTAACTCGGACCGTCACATCGTGTTGTACAAGGCGACCACTGGTGTCAGTCATCGCCACCCTTTCATGCTACGCTTGCCTACATGTGGAATCGCGGCACATTTCGCATCATCTGTCGATCACATGGTATTCGAGACGTAGATTCGGAATCATTAAGGGAGTTGGAGCTCGTAGTATTATCTCTCCTAAGTTTCAGCAAGATCCTGAAGTCCTCGACATAGATATGAGACTACCCAGCCAAGCCTCGACATCCTACTCATAAGAGCAATCAACAGCAGCTGCACAAGCCATTTCGGCAACATTGTGTGGTGCACGAAGGAATAGTGGGTTCTCGCTCGTGTTTGATGAAGGTCTCTATTTTGCAAACAGCCATCAATGATCGTTAGCTCAAATAATTGTAGGCGACCTACTGTCCGCAAAACCGCTGCGCTCCTGCAAAAATGAATCGCCCAACCCCCGGGCCTCTCGTTCTGAAGAATACGTGTGAATCAGATATGAAGGCGGCTTATGCTATGTGGTCCTCCTGCAACGGGGGACGCACTAGCCAGTCCAAACATGGCTAGGGCGAGTGCCAAGGTGAGTGTGACTCGCATAGTGTGAGGATCCAAGTAAAGATGGTGGATACTGAAAACCGGTGTATTCAAGTGAGGAAGATATCTAGCCTGTGTGAGCCAAGGGTCCCGCATAATGAACCTTTATACGACTCGGAGGGCGCCTGTCAGTCGCACATTCACAATCTCGGCCTGTCTCCATGCCTACTGGAGGGTTCATTCCGACGCTGGTAGATCAGCGTATCATAACGATGTCACGGAAAGTAGATACAGTGTATAAACCTCAGACGTCGGATTCTTGTTGTCGTGGTAGACAAGGCGCTCCGCGTGAGACAGCTTCCACGGCGCATGCTGAGCGATCCGTGGAATATGCAGTAGCCTATGCTTTGCGAAGCAGGTCTCAGCGCGCGACGCAGCTAACAATATGGTTCATGATATGTCAGAAACCTCTCAGTTAAGGACCAAGCCTTAAGGGGTTTTTCCGAAGCAGTATTCCTGATCGACTTGAGTGGAGAGGCAGAATGCAAAGGGAGCATTCGCTCCTCCATAGCTATCTGGTATTTGTTAGACAAGATCACACCTCCGGAGGTACGCTTCAGATCGCTATACTCGATTTTGTCCACTATGCTGGCACGACCTAGAATATAAAGAGAAGTATCAATAGCGACCGGTGCAGTGCCTAGCCATGCAGTGATAGTGTTTGCCCATTCGTTCTTTCTTTCATCGCATCTTCACCTTCCTGGAACTATCTCTGATACCCATATACCACTCATATGCTGTATCCTTACTCTCTGAGCCCCCCATTCCTTCTCTATGTAGTCTAATTCAGATCGCACAAGATGATTTTCCGCCGCAACAAGGAACCTCACCAAAAGGGGAAGTTGCATTGCATTGGCCGGCGTCAGGACGATAAAGGCTCCGATTGTTGGCCATAATCGTGGTCGGACAATGCGGAGTAAACTCGCTCGACATCAGACTATCGAGGATTCAGTCGGTAGAATTCTATTTCCACTAAAACGACACCTTCTATTTCTCCCTGCTTGATTTTCATCACCATGTGGACGGGACGACTCGTATGATAAATACTCGCCGCTCTTGGCATGCCCTTGTCTAGAGGATCTTCTCCCGTCCGCCGAGAAGCTGGGAGGGCTGGCGAGGGGCACCGCTGGCCACGGACCTTGTCGATATAAAAGCCGCAATCGTCTATCTGTCTCCGCATGTCTATCAGGCAGCCCCTGTCCTGGACATCGCAACTCCGGTTACCAACATAGTTATCGTGAGTATCACACGGGTTCATCCTTTGTGATGCACTGGCCGAGAAGCAACAGATGAGCACTCTACAGCACATGCCTGGCGGTAGAGCATCTCTATCGACCCAGCGTTACTATTTGTTTCATCCGTCCGAGGATATACTCTCCACTGACACGGCATGGCATGGGAGTATGGACAACACTGTCGACCCAGGAGACCCAGCGTACTTCCTACTGGAACCATTAGGGCTATATCCGGTACCAATCCACACAGACGATGTGTCCCCCATGTCTGCTCCTGGTCTACACATTGTAGAGCAGGAAACAAACAACACTGAACAAATCATCCACGATGAAGACCTTGAGCACATGCTTGACCTCGATCTCGAGAATGCTCGTGAAGAGCCTGACGACATCGATCATGACGGCACACCGCGCGACAGTGTTTCCGCCGCAATCACCAACCAACCCCCTGACCTGCGGCAGTCGCTCAACGTACTTACCCCAGTTTCCCAGTCATGCGAACCACCTCCACTTCTGGTGAATCGTGGAAAGAGAGGTCTCAGAGGTGAACTGTCCTCACTGCTGCTCCAAAAAGCGGCGCCATCCAGGACTCAGCCCGCACGGGCTGCAAAGAAGCCCGCCCGCAATGCAAAGCGGAGCTCCGATGACGTGCATGATGGCGACCGCGGAGGGACGACATCACGCACCAGTAAGAAGATTCGACTCACTATGCCTCCTGCTCCGCTTGCTTAATTGCGGCAGGACCGCAGCATCTCTGTCCAGCAACTCGTGGATCCCGCAGCCTTCGAGTGCCCAAAATGCAAGAAGCCAGAGGCAGACTTCACGAAAAGGCCTCAATTCGAACGGCATGTAAAGGGCTGCATTCTGGGTAAATTGCACTCGTGCTGGGTATGCGCGGAGGAGAAAAAAGTTGCCTTTGCTCGGTTCGACGCTCTGCAGCGTCATTTCGAGGCGAAGCATCCATGGGCGCCGGTCCCGTCGCGGAAGGGTTGACGTTTCAGGCTTGTCTTGGATGCTACGTACGACACACGGCTGATTGTAGTAGATCTGCCTCGATCGACATTGAGCGAGCGGAACACAGCTGAAGGAGTAATTTGTTCTTACGCTGGTAATCTCGAACCTCCGGGTTGTGTATTAACACTATGATAACAATGTTTCGTGTCGCCGGGTAGCTTTGTGTGATGAAAGGACAAGATGATCAGGCGTGCCATCCGAGATGGTCAGATGGACCGGCGCTTGTAGATGGATCATAGCCGCGTCATCAGTCACATCGTATGGCACTGCGTAGTCGCCTATAATATGGCCAATTTCATTACATTCATGTCGGGGCGATTTACATCTCGGAGATCACCTCTACATACGTATGCTGTACGTATGCTGAAGAAGATAGACAACTCGCATATACTCAGCCTGAAACGTACACAAAGGTAGGGCGAGCCGCGACAAATCTAGCAAAAGCAAAACTAGAGAACGCTAATGTTGGCAGCTGTGGCCGTTCCGAGCAAGTACAATCTTGACCAACTGCCAGCGGGCATCGGCACTTCTGGAAGGGGATTGAATAGCAGCCTCTCACGCAACTTCTGCCGCTCGTCTCCACGCACGTCCTTGAACATCGGGTAGTACTGCTCCCTGACATTGTATCATCGCCTTTTTTGTTCAGCATCGTTGCATTTACTCAAATGGAAGATTTTGAGATTAAGATCGATCTCCTCCAAAAACGCGGCAGCCTCGGACACGAGACGGTCAATGACTATCCACGAAATGTCGAGTCTGTCAATATTGGGGAGCTGGGGCTGCGCCGGAGAGTTTGTTGTCGCGGAAGGACCTGTAGTACCGCTCGCCATGAATGGAATTAGAGACTGGAAGCGACTCGACCAGAGCGAGAAGCAAGATTATATCCGTCTCGTGTTTCAGCCGTTGACAACCATGTCTGGTGTTCGACGAAATCTGATCAGCTTCACCAGCGGGGCATATTCAATGATTGCGGCGAAGTCGCTAGCAATGAGGTTTCGTTGTACATCCTGTGGAGGTGATATATTCAGTACGTATCCCGCTTCTGAGAGAGACTGGCTGCGCACATAGACTCGAATGCTTCTGTTCTCCACGCATTGGCCGGGTAGTAGGCGGAATATTGGGATAGGGTTTTCCAAGCATCGCCATAGCACTTCAATTGCAGTTGGGTAAAATATGCTGCCCAACCGTGCCAGCACAGCAAGGGATGGGTAATCGCTGTCTGACAGATTATCCGAAAGATCTCCGCGATCGAGACCACTTGATACATTGTATGTGGGTGTCGACGATGTGCTGGACAAGAGCGGCTTCGGGAGCCCTCTGCGCTTGTGTTGCCAGCTAACACTGCCGGCCAAGGTACAGGATCCCAAATGAGCGTTATAGCCAAGCACCACACTCGCGCCCAGCGTGACGAGTGGCCTCATGCACCCTCTGCATTTGTGTTACCAGCCAGGTGTGCTGTCCGTATGTGTCGGTTCAGAGATGCTTAGCGGATGTACTCGTCGGACCCTGTGTCTGTGTCACGGTCACATATCTCGCATCTGAGGGGCCCATTCGACGCCACTTGGGGTCGCATTGCCTTGATAGCAGATCTGCATGTCTGCTGTGGTGTCTTCTCCCCTTCCTTCCCTTCGCAGGTGCGCGTGGCTGTGCGAGTCGGTAAGCGGGGTCGTGGGCACCATGAGGAGAGATACCCCAGCATGCCCCTCAGAGTCGGTCGCGTCTTTGTGTGTGCTGACGCATATGCGATGTTTTTGAGGAATAGAGGTGGACAGAAGTCTTTGTCTGTTGTTGGGCTGGGGAATATCGAGTATGTGGATGCGTTGTCGCCAGGTATTTGGGCGCATGAATGTGAACACGACATGGCGTGATACAAGTTGCAATTCGCAACAAAGGCACGATTGGTGGTGGTACTACGAATTCTGTGGTTAGCTTCGGAACTCGGTGTGTGCTTGTCGAGAAAGACTCACGTATGCAGGAGCGACAGCCCACAGGCCTCGTGATACTGCGATGAGAGAGTTAATAGTGAGGGGTGGACACAGACAGGAAACGGTTTATATAGATGACTACGGTGCGTCCTCGACGCTCATGCAAAGTCACTGTCCTTTGTCTGTTCTAAAGGTCTTCACACCTAGTCCTGAATAACACTGGTATACAACGTGCAGCCGTTCATTTATACTCTTCAAAGTGAGATCTGGGTCTCCAGAAATAATGCAAGCATCGAAGCTGATTACGAGAGGCGTTGACCGCAGGTGCGGAATGAGTTGTTGGCTGTCGGTTGAACAAGGCAAACATAATAGACCAGACTACACCTTTGTTCACTTGAGGTTTACAATGCGTGGAGTCTAATTATGAGACTAGGAAGAAGGCTCCGCCGCACCTTCGGCCACGCCGCTTTGCCAGCGCTCGACGCCCCCTCTTCCCTCCCTTTACCTCGAACCCTCACGATGGCAATTCACCTTGTACGATAAGTCAATGGTCAGGAACGACGCATTGGGGCGGTATCTCAGAAGGCAGCACCACATGTCCGAGGCGAATGCGAATGCGGTCGTCGCGCATGTTGCTGCTAGCAAGTAGTTCACCGACTGATCACTCACTGTTTTCGGGTAGTCACTAGTCGTGCTCTCTCCTTCTCGCCTTGCACTTCTCGTATCCTGCCTCTATATTAACATAGTGCTCTCCAGATCGTATTCGTAATTGTGGTGGATTATGATTCGAGGCCTATATGAGTATGAGTGCATATGCACCGTGTTTGTAGATAATTGGCTGATATAATGTGGGCTGCATGCTGGCGGACTGCTTGTCTACCTGTGAAGACCTCATGATGATAGTGATCGATATGCGACATTTTTGTCGCGTACTGGCGTCGTTGACTAGCATCATGCCTTGAAGCGCTACCAGGTGCATGTTTTTCAATCGCCAAGATGGGGAGTAGCATAGAAATCGGCATAGCATGAGTCTCTGTCCCCGAGCAGAGTCAGTGCGATGGTGAAGAATGGGGCGAGTCGTCAGCCGATCTCATACTCGCTGCTATGGGCGTCTGCACTCCCACCGGTGTTTGCCGTAGATGATCGCGTCTATCTTGGGGAGAGCGGACTATTGTTACTCTCATCATTATATTGACCTCTCCTTTCTCTCGACGGAGCTGGAAACACTGGCGCTCGGAACTCTGGATACAACCACATGCTCCGCCACGACGCAACTATATCATCGTGACAAATCTTATACTACGCACGAGCAACGCCTCCTAAGTAATAGGGGGATCTCTGCATTTCTACCACGACGTCTATTTATGACCGGTCACCGTAACGCCAACTTTATGTGACTGTCTGCAGAGCAACGCGCGAGGTGAGCCGAATACTTTGACCAGCGACTGGGAAACGTGCAAATTAAGACCTGTCCTATGTGACACGCAAACAACGAGAATGGGCATACAAGGGACACAGCTAGAAGAGCATAACCGAGACTGGTTGAGTCAGGAGAGTGATAGAGGGAAGAGAACATAACGAAACAGTGAGTGTTTCGGTTATTGGCATACCTGTCGGCGGCAAGCTTCGAGACAAGGGCGCTCGCCTCGTGTGAAGTGACAGATTATGCTGCTTGAGTGCGTCGCCTAGTCATACTCTTGGGGTATTGAGAGCGGAACCATGACGATGGGTCGCGATGCGTGTCCCATACATGCTGGTAGAGTGACTAGATGTGGGGGTAGTGTTAGTGTTTGCCACAGGCGTCGCATAGGAACAGCCCCTATGATGACTTTGTAGGCGACGCTTCATTGATCGCGGGAGCGCGTAGGCGGCGTGGTACCTTGGCTCCCTTTGTCGCATTCACAGGTGTGCGCCGACGCTTTAGGACTGCGGGCAGGGCGGGAAAGGTAGACGGTGCAGTGGGAGACGGTGCAGCGGCAGGAAGTGGGTCAATGTGCCGGACTCACCATGTGGTGTCGTCGGTGTCGTTGCTAATGGCTCCGTGTTAAGTGTGATAGTGTTCCTGCCCTGCGCATTGTGGGCCAGGACCGGGTCCACTTGATACACCGCTCATCGTACTAGGTCATGAGGGTATATAGGACCCGAGGACGTATCTATCCCCGTTTTCCGAGTGTATCCTGAAACAGGCGCGAATGAATGATACTGATCGACCGCTACATTTGACCAGGCACTCGGCATGAAGAAGTCATCCGTTGGGACGGAGGGAAACTGGCAGGCCCTGCGTGGTAGTGCGCATCCAAGGCCCTCATAATCAAAGATGCTAATGACCAGAGCTCGGATAATGCCTTGCAGAAAGCTGTCAACGTCGGCTTCGAGATGTAGAGAGACTACTGCTGGCAGGAGCGCTGTCGCCCTGGAGCTGTGCAAGGATTGCATATGTCCGTCATGGTACGAACCGCGTTCCTTAATTTGCATTGGAGTAGTATCTCACTTTTCTGGTAAAGCGCCATGAATAGAATCTGTAGGTGAATCGTGTAGAGGCAGAGGGTAAATGTCCAAAATGTCCATTATGCAGACCTTGCATGTATCCCCTGAAGTACTAGATTCATGGCGTCATATATTTAGAAATTGCCAAAGCCGTCGCCGAAACACGTCAAAGCCACCTGTCCGCAGCGTTTTATGAGCGCGTAAAAGACCTTCGCCACAGTTGTCATCGAACACCGTGGGAACTCTTCGCCACACACAAAACTCGCCTCTCCTTCCCCTTCCTTCTCTTACTCCTTTCATTCATCAATGCCCCTATCTCGCAGAAATGAATGCATCTGCATCGACTGCTCTATTACTCAATTCTAGGTCCCCGACGCATCGGGCACTTGTGGTTGCTGAGATTGTGGCAACAATCTGCCAATTTCTACAAGAAGATGACGGTGAATCGCTCGCCGCCTTGGCCCGAACATGTCGTGCGCTCCGCACGCCTGCGCTCGAGGTCCTATGGGGCCGCCTTAAAAACCTTATACCGATTTTTCGACTGTTGCCCCCCGACGCGTGGGCATTCCACGTCGATGAAATCACTTCACGCCGTGTCTATGTGGGTGCTCTGCTTCCATCAGCCAATGAGTGATACTGACATAGTTGATATCCACCAGCGCCTAGAACGGGACCTCGTCCCAGAAGACTTTACGACAATGGCAAAATACACCCCGTTGGTGAAGACCATTGGGTTTAATCGACGCGGCGATGGCTGGCCCTCCTACGAGTACGACGTCCTTCCTGCAGGTCCAACGCAAATTATGGCGCAATGTTTCCCTCAGCCCATCCTTTTTCCAGCTCTACGTACCTTGGACTGGCCGCGCACTTTCTGTACTGCCACAGCTCATCATCTTCAAAACCCTCACGACGCGTGTGAAGACTTTTGGGCTTGTGCATGTCTGTGCATCGGACCCAAGCTCAAGAATGTCGTTATCGACGTATCCGTCCACTGTCGCCATGTCCTAGAGAAAGACTGGAATGCCCAACTGATGAACTTCATGACGAGGGTTGGCACAGAATGCCCACAGCTTGCCGAGATGGACGTAGACGTCACTACCGAATGGGGAAGCTCTGGGATTCTTCCATTCGCCACAGAATGGCTCTCCTCGCTGGTCTGCCGAATTCCACGGCTCGAGGTACTTCGCTGCGGAACAGTCCCTCTGGACGGAACTGCGCTGGCTCATCTCGGTTGTTCTTCCACCTTGAAGGAGCTGTGTGTGCTTCTGACTCGTGACACTGTCGACTCCTATACGGCAATCTCTCTCGATTCTGGCGTTCGAGCGCGCTTCGCCGCACTCCGAGCATTGGACATCTGGACAAAAGACCTGGCAGTTTTCAATGATCTGGCGGATGGCAACGTTATGTTTCCGCAAGTGGAGGCATTTAACATTGAATTCATCTCGTGCCCATCTGGATCTGATGTCGATGCCTTTTTCAACGTGCTTCACGATCATTTCTCGCCCTCGAGACTTCAGCGTCTCACTGTCAACACTGATGCTTGGTCCGATTCATGGTCCAGCAACACTGTTTTTTCTCGTGCATGTGCTCTTCTGCCCCTTCATGTGCGTCGCCTTCTTGCGTTCCATGAGTTGAGGCAAGTAGACTTCAATGCACGCTGGTCAGTAAATCTCAACGACGGCATAGCGGAGGCCATGTCACAGGCGTGGCCGCATGTCGAGACGCTGAGACTCTCACCGCAACGCGGGCACTGGGAAGAAGACGAAGTCACATCAACGCTGCGTTCGCTGCACGCATTGGCCACAAATTGTCCACGTCTGGTCCACCTAGACATACCATTCCAGGCGGATGGCGCCAACATCCACCTCCTGCCACCGCGTATCAAGCAGAATCACCCGCTCAAACGTCTTGGCTTGCAGTGGGTGCTCATTGACGAACACGTCTCCGAGGTCGCGGCGTTGTTGGGAGAAATCGTTCCTAACATCTCGATCAACGCGAGTTGCTTGCGCGACGATGAGCAAGAGAGTCGGTGGCTTGCAGTGAAGAGCGAGCGTACGCCGGCGCTGACAGGATCTACAGATGCCGAGCTAGACACTCCGTTCAACGATTGGGACTGGTAGGGATGACCAATTTGCAAGGAGTACGACAGGGTTGTCGAGACAAGAGCGCTCACCGCAGACGACCGGTGGCATCGCGTTGAACCGCGTCAAAGTCTCAGCGAGGCAAATCCTTGCTAGCTTACTTCGTTGTGACATAATCGGCGCCCTGAGGACGGCTGATTTTGGCATGCAGATTATTCACAGATGCAAATTCGCGCCGCATCTGTGCTGCGTACAGTGACCATCCGGACACAAAGTCACGATGATGGCTAGGAAGCACTTCATGAGCAAGACCATAACAAGACTTCATCAACTTGTGGATCTACAACTTTCCGCTCATAGGCCCCGATGAACACGTAGTGGGTGGGGGAGGATCGACGATGAAAGACTCAATGGCCAGGGTATTGTTACTATAACAGTATATAATACGTCGGGTCATCTGATCTTTTGCATATGAATATACTTGAAATACTACCAAGCCGGCGACAGAACTTTGCTTATAAAAATGTATGGCTAAGATGCGCATAGACGGACAACAGATGACAAGTCGCGGACCGTATCCTCGGCGCTGTCTCCCTGAACAGGCCAAATACCTTCCCGAATAGGGCGACAGCGACGCCACTGTCGACGACCCGAAGACGATCCGCGCGGCGTATCGTCTTCTACGTCACGATATCCTCGCGCATCACGTATATAAAGAGAGCGTGTGGTCGACCTTGTGCGACAGCCCCCTCTTTTCTCCCCCGCTCTCTCCCCCGCCGACTCTGCGGCGCTGTTGCCATTTGACGCCATCTTGCAACTGCATGCCGCTAACGCAGCTCGCCGGCATCGCGTCAGACGGTCTTCGATGGTGACACGCTCATAAACCGTTTTTCTCTTCCTTCCACGATTTTGTCTATTTCGCAACACTCGGAACGCCCTCTGCTGCCCCTCGAGATTCTCATTCTGGCGCATACACTCTCAAGCACGAATCGTCGCATTTCACGTCTCTTACACTCGGCATCGCAATCCCTGGCCGGACGAGAACTGATGAAGCATCTATGACGGAAGACACAACGCGCTACACATAATCATACCGGTATTAAGACACAGAAAAACACTTCCGATTTGTAAAGAATGACACAAGCGTCCGTCTAAAGCTCACCCTCCACCCGTCCACCTCCTGCCTGCTTTCTTTGTTGGAGCCGTCGAAAGCTTCCGACGGCGGTATATATCTCGTTGGCGCCAGCATCATGACTGCGCTACCCGCTTCTCGTCGCTGCCCTCCACCGTGCTCCCCGTGCTGCCCTCGTGTTCCCGCACCGCAACGTCGACCCCTTGGTGATGCAGGTGCTCGTGCTTCGGCTCGCGGCCACCGCCTGGCGCGGCAAGGTCGCTTGTCGGGCGCAGGTCGTCGCGGAAGCCGCCGCCGGAGATGTAGTCCAGGCCGACATAGTCGTACGCGAACTCGCCCATCTCCGTGTCATCGATGCCGATGATCTCCGCATCATCGGTGCAGCGCAGACGCATGCCGGGGATGTAGTGCATTACCCAGAGGATGATGGTCTAGAACGCGGGCGGTGAGTGCGCATATAGTCGGGCAAACGGTGCGTGGGACGTACGGTCATGACGAACGAGTAGCTCATACCGGACACAGAGTCCGCGAGCTGGTATCCGAGCTGGATGTAGTGGTGGTCGAGCCAGCCACCAGGGATTTTCGTGATGGCGTCGAAGCCGGCCACGCTCGCCTGCGCGAACAGGCCTGTGAGAATATTGCCTACAACTCCGCCGATAGCGTGCGAGGCGAAGATCTGCGGCAGGTCAGTCCCATGTATGCGTCGATTTAGAGCGGTGGAACTCACATCGAGACAGTCATCGTAGCCGAGATAGAATTTCAGCTGCGTTGCAAAGTTGCATACAGTGCCGGCCATGAAGCCGAAGAGCACCGCGGCCGCTGCAGCCAGCGTCAGCATTGGCAGGTACTATTGTGATACTAGAGACATACGTGAACCGACGAAACCGGAGCCAGGCGTGATGGCCACAAGGCCGGCAATAGCGCCAGAGCAGAAACCGACGGTCGACCATTTGCGCTCGAGACGGTAATCCTGGCATAGCAGCGTCAACGGTCTCGTCCCCCGCCAAATACACGTCCCCCGCACTCACCCAGAGCATCCATGTCAGGCCGCCGACACTGGCAGCGAGGTTCGTGACGATGCACGCCTGCACCGCGCGCAGGTTCGCGCTCAGCGCGCTGCCGCCGTTGAAGCCGAACCAGCCGAACCACAGGAAGACGGTCCCGAGCACGACGTAGGTCGTGTTGTGCGGCTTGTACGCGAGCCGCTCGGTGCCGTACCCGCGGCGCTTGCCCAGGTAGATGCTGATCGCGAGCGCGGCCGTGCCGGAGGAGATGTGCACGGGCGTGCCGCCAGCGAAGTCGAGCCCGCCGAGGATGAACGACCAGCCGGACGAGTTCCACGTCCAGCACGCGATGGGGTCGTAGACGATCGTGGACCATATGAACACGAAGACCATGACCGGCCCGAGGCGCGCGCGTTCTGCGAATGCACCGATTGCGAGCATCGGCCTGTGGATGCGTCAGAAAGGGGCGGAGATGCGCTGTGCGCGGGGACGTACGTGATGGCCGCGAACATAAGCTGGAAGACGCAGAACGCGATGGACGGGACGCGTGTGCTCCCCACGGATGGTTTCTCCAGCACGCCCTTCAGGCCGAAGTATTCTGTGGGGCAAGCATGGTGAGCAACCGCACGGATCCTGTCTCCATGCATTCGAGGTGCAAATGTTGCCAATGGACCCTGAATCGCCGGAAATGTCCGGAGCGCTATCGTAGACAGAGGAATGGAAGAGCGATGTAAACATGGCTGCTAGGTGTGTCGAGCTAGTGGTTCGCCGATCATATGCCGTCCAACGGAAGCGCACGCATGGAAGCACAGGTACATCTGACAGTCCACAGGTCCCGTAGACTGCCAGATGGAGGTCAAGCAAAATTGGCGCGCGTGTGGCGTCGATTTGGCGTCGAGCACGCGAGTAATTCATTCTCCTGTCAAACCTGAAGCCGGCTCGCACTAGATGCCATAAGGCGGTGTCCGTGTACGTGATGGGTTGGTCGCCGAGTTCAGCTGACTGTTACTCGCCTCCGCAGCCGACAGCCCATCCAACCCCCGCCCACTCGGAAAAAAAGACAATGCAGAGCAAGACGTGCACTCACGGAGGTTGCCAATGTAGTGATTCGTCGCCGTATCACTGAACGCCAGCGAGAAGCTACACCGGGTTCCCACTGTCAACACATATCCCGAACAGCATCCTGCGCACCACTTACCCCCAGAAAAACCACTACCAATGGATCGTGGTGAGGATTGCATGACATGTGCGCGGAGGTAGCGACGTACCTGGAAGGAGACGACAGCGATGGTCATCATGCACATCCAAATCATGCTGAGAGCATTCTTGCGTCGGAGAAGACCCGAATAGAAGAAGCCGACACCTGGAATCATGATCCACACGAGAGCCGTGGAGCAGAGCACCCAGGCAATGTCGCCGAGGTTGTACACGTATGTGGTGTCGGTGGACGAGTCGTACCATACAAGGTCGCCCGCTATGCGGTCGTCAGTGGGCACACGGAAGGGCTGGGAGAGAGCGGTGCGTACAAGCATCGTACGTGACGTTGACCATGGCGGGGCAGCAGTCTGCGGTGGCGGATGCAGGGACTGGTCTGCTGAAGGCGTGGAGTGGGCCTTCTGAAAAGGAGAAGGAGCGTTCGCGAAGGCGGAGGAAGAAGGACGGGCAGCGCAGACGACCCGGGCGCGATAAAAGGCGTCTGCGACCCGCGAACCAGGCGCCCGCCCCGCCGCTTATCGTCCAATGGGAAGCCCGGCGTTTATCGCTGGAGGGATGTCAAGATCGCACAGCAGATCTGCCCGCCCAGTGGTGATGAATTTGCGCCCCGGCCAGGAACAGGTCCTTGCAGGCGCGTTCTCGCTCCAGGAATCTGCTGGCTTGGCTGTTTTGCGGGATCCTGTCGTGCATTCACCGACGAGACAGCGTCGGCGGTTCACCAAGGGCGATGGCGATGCGACCTCTGCAACGCGGCCGTCGACCAAGAACTGTCGAGGCGGAAGGCGGGGAAGCGGGATCAAGATCTGTCGCCGATTTGACGGGGTCCCGGCACCCCTAGCGCATCTCGAATAGGACATTTCGACAGGCAGACAGACAGTCAGTCAGCACGCCAAGCACGCCAAAAACAGTTGCAGTAACTTTGCAGGCAGTTCGTGCACCGTTTCCTATGCATCTTCTCGTAAAATGATGGTCACTGAAGCTGCATTTGTAGGAGGACCCCGACAGCGGCTGTGGAGAAAGAAGTCTCGATCGTGGACTCGATCGCATCGGTCGCATGCGGAAGAGCGCGCGCGCACCATAGATAGCGACTACATCCTCCCGTTCCTGAACGTTTTCTCCTCGGCTTCCGGCTTCTTCCTGCACCTCGTCCTGTGCATCGATGCCACATTCCGCCTCGCGACGGCGGCGACCAAGTCATAAAGCCTTGATAGCGACGCGGCGGATGTGGAACAGGCAAAACGACCAAACGACGTCCATGGCTCTCTCAGCATCCGGCCACCGTATACCCAGGCCTGTCACCCCCTGAGTTTCGGCCTCTGCTGCGACTATCTTTTGCTGTCGCCACTTGGACTGGGACGTGGGCTTGGCTATTCCTATCTGCTCACGGGTGCCATTTTCCCGTCCTTTCCCTTCTCCGGGGATGCTATAGCCGTTGGATTTGTAACTGGCAGCCTGGCCTACACTGAAACGATGCGACGTTTTCGGTGCCACCGGTCGTGTCGCAGAGTAATGTTTGTCAAATATGTGCTGACGCCCTGCCGTTCATTTCAAACCTGCTGCGGCAAGTCCGTCTGCGCTAGAGGACAGATGACGTCCCAGTGTTGTATGTGCGCCTCCATTCACATCCAATCTCTACTGCTAGCGGGCTATCTCGTAAGATGTACCTTGCCCCGCGAAGCACCAGGGTCCTAGTCTCGATCGAACAAACTCTGTTTTATGAGCTCGCCCCTGCGCGCCCGCTATCCTCTATCGACTTCCCCACATGCCGCCGGGCTACGACCGGCAAGCGTTCTCTGGCGACCGATAGACGGGTTGGTAACGCCCTACGGATGTCTAAATCAAACACTGTTATCAGGCACAACGAGTGCCTTGCATGTGCCTGGCGGTGTCTTGATAACGCCAGCCGACAAATACATTTCATCTTCGGCTGCGCCCTTCTGCAGCTTCTCTTCTGGCTCTGAAATATGTGTACTGTCATATTCCGTCGTGGACGGGCTTCTTAGCCCTCACGGTCACCACTTTTATAGAGAAGAGGATTGCACTCATATGGCCCAGCACTCGGGCCATCTTATCGTGTCCTATGGTTGTCGCGACGGATCGGGTGCGTTGTGATTTATTACTGCGGGTGACAAAGTCGCACATGCCGCAGCGTATTTCAAACCTCCTGCTGTACCGAAGGCGCGTCATACCCCATTTCACACTACTCCCTCCATCGGATCCGCAAATAGTGCAAGTATGCGAGCAGAACGCGGGAGGTCTTATCAAACAGAGAGGGATTTGGCTTGGCCAGCATGTAGGACAAATACGGAACATGTGCTTACACGAACTTCAACGTTTTGAAGGGTCGGCCCGAGCTCATGACATATACGCTACGTGATCTAGACACCTACGGAAGCCCTGACGTTTCGAGTACGGATACCGCTGGCAAGACCCCCGCGGTGTCGATGCACTCCAGGTGCGGCATAGAATTATATTGTACACAGCCGCAACATCCCCCAGGGGCCGTAACATGCAAACCATCTCGCGGCTACGCTTGAGGCTCCGTATCCACCGGAAGGGTAACGCATTTGGGCGTCATGGGTCTTCCATCCGGATGCAAGTAAATGTCGTCGTCAGAGGGCAGCAGTATGTGATGGCTAAGAACGGTGTAAGCGTTCCACCTCCGTCGCTAGAGACACATGGCTTACTGCTCGTATAAATGTGTTTTCACAATGTCATATTCTTTCAAGCGGAACAGCGGCTGGCTCGTACACAAGGCACAGCACCAGTATGGCTGTGCTTCGCACTCCGCCCTGGATGAGGCATGTGTTCTTGATTCAGCGTCTTGCGCTAGGCATACTTCCTGCCGTGAAGCCAGACGCCCTTCACCATTTGTCCAGTCATCCTGTGCTGGATCATGTACACGCTCCAGCTAGCAGCGTCCTCTGTCAGTATCCCTCGGGAGACATGATTCATACTTACAGCTGCTCTCCAGGTCATGATCTGTCGCGAGGAGCCCCCAGCGGGAGCGACAAAGCATATGCGGATGTCTGAACGGTCCATCTCCTCCACGGTTGTAGTCTGCGGGTCCTTGCCACACGCCTGCAGCAGTTGGGCGGTACGGCGATGATCAGCAATTTCAAACCCGTCCGCAGACCAGACGGAGGTGGCGCCGTCGACTTTGCGCGCGACGTCGCGGTACAGATTGTTCTCTCGCCCCAGCCTGTATACGCTGCTCAGGTGGGGCTGGTGGCACTGATGCGCGATGACGTGCGGGTAGTACAGCCGTTTCTTGCATGCGGTGCACGCGAATAATGCCATGGCAAGCACGAGCGCGTTGGCGCCGAAGGGGACAACAAATGTGTGCGTAGCCTTGGTCTGGAATGCTACCCTGATAGCGGTATCTAGCCCTCCGATCAGCGCAGCTATTTGACGATGCATTGCCTGGAACGTCGCCGTGTCGACGATGTCGCTGCTTGGCGATTCTATGACCGCGCGGACCGCCGGCAGCAGCGCGAAGTCGAGGAATCGTGGCCGGCATTCGCTCGCTGGAGATCTCATGTTTGCGGAGTACGTTCTCATATACTTTTTCAAGAGCATAAGGCGTCTCTCGAGGACGCCCTTGCGCTCCGCGAGGGAGGCCTTCTGCAGCTCGCCGACGATGTCGGGGCATATGCGCTCCCAGCCTGCCAAACGGCACGCGGTTGAGGGCGTTGCAGAGAATAGATCAGAGTCGAGCGGGGCGCACCGCTCTCCGTCAGAGCCTTGCGCGTATGCATGTGTGGGAGCTTGTTCCACTTCTTCTGCGCCTTGAATTGCTCCACCATCCTGTCCCACCCCAACGCGCGTAATTTTATCTCGATACTGTAAGGCATCAGCACTGCACGCCTTTCGACAGTTCGAACAACGTACAGCTGTGAGCGCGCTCGTTTGATGTCCTCTATTTCTTGTGCCCTGGAGCGCACCCTATACTCCTGCCAATCCCGGCATAACTTCGCATGCTGTCAAGGGAAGAGCGATACAGCCCGTGCAACGGGAAAGATACAGTAGAATTCCTCACAGTCGCAGTAACTCGTACAATGTCTGCAACAGTCTCCAAGAACGCCCCTCGAAGCGTTTCGGTCAATGCGAGAGCACTCCAGTTCTGGCAGATTTGTTCGACCTGTGGGATGTGGAATAGATTGCGCTGAGGAATTCCTGCGCAATGCGGTGTTTTAGTTAGGGGCACCTACGTCCTACGACGTCACTACTGACTTGGGTCAGGTATGGTGTTGAAGAACAGCTCGTAGCCCCCGAGCCACAGCATTCTGGTGTTAAGTTCGGTGGACCAAACTAATGGTACTATCGTGACCCTGTGACAATTCTAGCGATCAAACGACAAAGTAAGCGAGACCAAGTCCTCACATGGAAGCCCTGCAGTCATAGCAGTATCGTACGCCGAATTCCCATAAGACCGATGACCGAAGGTTAGGAGCTAGGCATCTCTATAGGCGAAAGAAGTCACGCGAGGCGACCGATCCAGCACGTTAGGAGGCGTACGTGGCAATGGTTAGAGAATACGAGGTTGGCATAGAACGGTTCGCTCATATACGGGGAGCAATCAGGCAGGCCCTCTATGTTCATACGGGCTGCTCTCCAGAGATGAGCCGAGTCCCGGCTCATCAAAAGTCTGCGAAGGTTTATGCTTGTTCTAGCTAGATGTAGCAAATCTAGTGGATCGAGGCGGCGCAATATCTGTGAAGATTAGGTCATTGAGCAGCCTTACTTGAGCTAACACCTGCGCGCGAACCTCCTCGAAGATATCGGTGTCGATTTCCAGCATACGTCTAAGGCATCCCCGTCTCTTGCGTATTGGTGCGACACCTCTTGGGGTCTTCTGGCCTTTCTTATTCGCATTCCTGCCGCGGGCGCTCTCAGAGCATTGCTCGTACCTGTGCCCGTCCAAACCTACCTTTCTGATGCTCTTTTGCTCTTATACCATGCTTCGCACGCAGTAGCGCTCTAGAACACATATGTGGTGAGCTGACCACACAGAGACGTATGGCAGACGCTGACCGTGTCGGCCTGCTTTACGAGCTCTGAAAGATATTCACGGACGATCTTGCGTCCTGCGTCATCGGGCCCGACGCCCGACCATACGTGAGCGATCTGTTCTAGTTGGGGTACATGATACAATTGGGACAACCTTGACTCTGAACGCAGTCCTTTTGAGTAACGTACTGATCACATATGATCACGCACCTCACTAGGGTTGTTTTCAATGCAGAAGAGACGTGGTTGTGACCAGATTGTGGTAGCACCAGGAGGCAGTCTACGTTTTAGCTCGTGTGGCACCTGATGGTAGTCGATGGTCCTGGTGATAGAATTAAGCAGCAGTATATTTTGTAAAGTCAGTGAAGCTCACAATTGCTTCCTACAGCCTTTACAGTATCGTGCGCTGAAACGCCAAAAGATGTACTCATCGTCCTCCGGAATATTCAGCAGACATGACTTTGTATGACAGGATTAGGTGTTATCCGTCCCGGAAGAACGACAACGTCTCACATGACAGTGGGAAGAGAATGCCAGGTTGGCATATGCCGGTTCGCTCAGGTAGGACGGACAGGGAGGGAGATCATCCACGTTCGCTCGAGCAGCCTTCCAGATATGAGCAGACCTACGCCTGAGTAGAAGTCCTCGGATGAGCTTGTTAGTTCTGATGAGTTGTATTAACTCCTGTGGTGTTAAAAACAGCAGGATCTGTGACAAAGCAACATAGCCATCAAACTTGCATGACGTTCCAAGGCGTGATACAATACAACGCAGCTTACCTCATAAAATACGTCGAGAGGAATGTCGGCAAAAGTCAGAGTGGTGTACTTCCTCCAACGTCCTATTTGGAGAATCTGTGGGAGGAAATGGGTGGCTGGACGCGGACCCCAGACGCTTGGCGCTGTAGCGGTCGTCATGCCAAGCCAGATGGTAAATGGACGAGGTATGGGTTCAATACAAGGATGCAGAGATGAGCAGGGTGCAAAGGCGGCCGGCCGAGGTGGACAGTCCTCGAGGCGTGCGCTCGGACATCAGCGTGACCACAATATGCGGACGAACCTTGACCGCCGCAATCGAACTCGCGCGGGCTCGCGCGAGTTCTGCTGCACCCATGATAGCGTCTCGTAGGTCTCCGAGCACACAGACCACAACAATCGACGACAAGACGACCGAGTCTCAGGCATGCCCACAGCATGGCCATCAGGAAACTCGGAAGTTCTCTGAGACGCTGAATCAGCGCTTTCAGAGCGTCCATTCGGCTCCAGCGGACACTTTCGGTCCTCGGAGCCTCAGTAATCCAGCTGTCAGAACAACACTTTATTATTATTATTACCTCGCTTCGCTTCAGCAATATTATGTCAGTGTGCTAGCAACCTTCAGCGCTCTCAGTCGAAATCTTCGGGGACATGCTGTAACGCGGTGCGTTACATGGACGTATTCCTAATTAGTATCTACTGTACTAAGTGTGTAGGCGCTCTATCATGCCCTGCACCTAAAAGGGGCAGGCGCACGAGCGAGCGCGCAACTTCTACTCTTACCTTGGTACACGCACATCTCCAATACAGAGATTGGTGCAGCGTACCTCCGGTTCGAGTGTGAAGTCATACACGTGCCGACTTGAGCACCGATAGGTACGCAACACATTTTGGGACACCGCGACATTTATTACTAGCCTATAATACATTGTTTCTGAAACAAGGTGTTGTAGTGTAGTGGAGTTGATGACGCTTGCAGCACAAATTCCCCTCAGGATCTCGAAGTAATTGAAGATAGACACATAAAGAGGCGCAGAATGGACTGATTTCAGAGTACAAATCACTGTACATACTTCCTATACATTGTTATTAGTCTCTGAGGCCGCTCTGCAGGTTACACGGGAGAAAAAACAAGTTTCTCGCCGTCATGACAAAATACATTGCACCGAGTTCAAAATTCTGAACACCTAGTCGAGTCGATACCTACAGTAAGGCCGAAGAAAGAAACAGGTGCTACCGTATTTGTAAGAACAGACCCTAACCCTGAGTCATATTAAACCCCGTAATCTAATCGTTATATCCAGTGAATTTGCTAGTCTCCTGAGAGCAGAGTAGACAATTCCTTCAACCTGCGCAGGCTCCAGATACCCATGTCTGACGTCTGCTATCCAACGCGCTGTCTTACGGTAAGCTCGGTACGATGGTCGATTGCCGTGTTCCCGCCACCCGGCATATCACGCATGTGCACAAATAGAGGCAAGCAACGCGCATCCTGTACTCGGATGTGTCGCGCTAGAAAACATCCCGCTGTCTGCCTGCTAGGGCGCGGTGAATCTGGTTACCTTAATTAACAGCGACCTGATTTACCGGTTAATTACCGGTAGATTAACCGGTAATTTACCTCGGGTCGAAAACATGGGTGTTAATCTGGATTGATCTGACTGTTGAGTTCCTGCAGGACGTTTTAGCTGGTAGTGCGGTTTCCCAGAAGGAACGACAGGAATGCGTAGTGTCACCGAACATCGCGAGCTCAGTCAAAGTTCGCGCGGAAGACCTGGACTGGGATACATGGTAATTGACGGTCAATGTTATGATTTACCGCTTTAGGCTGTTAATTAACGTTAATCAGCACGTAGACGCTTGTGGGTTAATTAGCCGTTAATTACACCTGTTAATCTGGCCCCCTAATAGGCCGACTGCTAATTTACGGTAAATCAGGAAGCGATTCCAGATTCACCGCGCCCTACTGCCTGCTTCCGATCATGTACTTATGGTCTGGTATCCAACATAATTACATGTCTCATATCGTGTTATCTGTCGACCAACTGGCTGCGCTACCGCATGACCGGCAGCGCGAGGGCGCTCGAGAGGTATGTGCCTAGGGTCTGAGGTCTTCACAGCAAGGGTTGTCCTTTTATGAATGATAGCGCGGCGACTAAGAGGCTCCGTGCAATTCGCCCAAACCACCTTGCAGGGGCCTCCGCACGAATGTCTTACTACACGGCGTCACTAAGCGGGCCGTGCTTGACCAATACAAGCAGGTCAGACCTTCTATTTCACGTTAAGGACATCAGTCCACGGCCGCCGCATAATAGTCACCGTGTTTCCCGAAAGCACGGTTCGCGTGCGATGTAAGACCCAGGCGCCCGTGAAGGCTTGCAGTATCCTGAGAGGACGGCTGTCCAGAACCAGTTCTGGATGAGAAGTTCGCCCGGGCCGGGAGACATGAGATTCACATTATGCCCTTGCGCAAGTAATGTGAGTTTGACGTTCTCGTCCAGTTGATCTTGACCGCAGCCGTTGGCCGGTTCTACAGATGGTGCATCAATAATCTGACTTCTGAGAAGTTGAGATTACAACTCTACAGAGCGCTGGCATGGCTTCGTTGCGGTACTGCATGCGGACCCATATATAATGTAACCAGTGAGTGGTGCTCAGTGTGTTATCAGAATGGACTCGTCGACGTCACTGCTACCTCCTCTCGGGAGTATCATCCTGGCCTGCGAAGGCCTAACAAGTCTCGTCCCGCTTATCCTCTCTGTGATGGTCTGTCTCATCGCTACGGTCACAATCTCGCCAACCTTGCTTGCATACTTCAATGACCCGTTCGAACTTCGAGCGTACCCTGGACCGTTCCTCGCGAGGTTCACATCCGCTTGGATCTCTTGGATCATCAGCCAAAACCGATGGTCAGAGACTGTGGATCTTATGCATCGTCAACACGGTAATGTCACAGAGCCAGTACTTGAACGACTATTGCTCAACATTCCTACACTGCAGGCCCCATTGTTCGCCTCAGCCCTGACCACGTCTCTGTTGCTAGTCCTGCCGCCTTCGCAGCCGTCTATGGTCATTCATCCGGTGCATTGAAGGCACCTTTCTACAACGCCTTCGCCAATTTCAAAATTAGAAGTATATTCAACACGCGCGACCGTGCAGAGCATTCACGCAAGCGTCGCGTTGAGGCACACATGTTCTCGCCTCGGAGTATCCGAGCGTTGGAGGACACTGCACGTGTGCATTTCCAGGTACTGGTGCGTCAGTGGGATGCGCTCTGTGCGCCCACAGGTAAGACAGTACGCGGAAGTGCCGAAGGGACACTTGGTACGATTTCCTGGAAGGTCCATGGCGACAGAGTCTGGTTCGATTGTATGCCTTGTAAGCATTTCACAATAACGTTCAGAGAAGGCCTTACTCATGGTTTTGATCGCCAATTAGGGTTCAACTTTTGGTCATTCGACACGATTAGTTCGTCTAAGTCGTCTCTTGCAGATGAACCTTGCACACTGACGAACTGCTGTCCCATGCACCATGGGATATGATACATAGGTGATCTTGCATTTGGTCGTCCTTTCGGTATGCTGGAAGCGGCGAAGGGTAGTGCTCACGTATCGAAATCCAATACTAAAAGTGTGCAGGCAGTATCCCAGGATACTTCCCACTCAAACGAGGCGCAATCGGAGTTGCTGGAGATCCCTGCAATGGAGGTGCTCAGCGAGCTTTTGGACTTCACCGTTGCTCTAGCGTATCTCCCAGCATGGGTTCAACCCGTTTTTGGCCGTCTTCCGATGTTCCGTGACGGCTACGACGCTGCTCCAAAACTTGCGAACCTGTCTCTCACTGCCGTAGCTAACCGGGTCGCGTCTCAAACTGACCGTGCGGACATGCTGTCGGAGCTGCTGCGAGGAAGAGACGAAGAAGGAAAACCTTACGGTTTAGAAGAGCTTAGTACTGAGGCGGAGCTCCTGATCATCGCGGGTGGAGATACGACCGCCAAGTGAGTGGATCTGCCCACCTAGTCATGAGATTTGATGCCGAATACGCTTTGCACAGCACCTCGTGCGCGACAGCTTACTATATCGCCCGCGATCTTCAAATCCAGGCAAAGCTGCAGGCTGAGTTGGATGTAGCACTCGACGGCGTCGAATCCGACGTGGCGCCTTACGATGCAGTGAAGGACCTGCCGTATCTCGACGCTGTGATCAACGAAGGCCTTCGCCTGCACTCTACAATAGGCGCAGGCTTGCCACGCGTTGTCCCTTCAGGCGGAATGACAGTGCTTGGACAACACCTGAAGGAAGGGACGGTTGTGAGCTCGCCCATTTACACTTTGCACAGGAACGAGGCGGTGTGGGGCAAGAACGCGTACGAGTTCTATCCTGAGAGGTGGCTTGAGGCGTCCGCCGATGCCAAGAAAGAGATGATGCAATCATTCGCTCCTTTCTCTGTGGGTCCGAGGTGAGTAGGAACGCAGGTGGCTGTGATCCGCCGGAGTCGAATTGCGTCTGCACACAGGGCCTGCCTGGGGCGAAGCCTTGCGCTACAGCAATTGCACATCCTGTTGGCGACCATCTTTCACCGGTACAGCTTGGTTCTGGAGAACAATGCTCCGGTAAGCTTGCTTTAAGCTATTCATATGATGCACGTAAGTGACCTCTCATGTAGGCACAGCTTCCGCTCCGGGACGGTTTCGCGCGGAAGCCGATGAAGTGTATCGTTGGCGTACAACGACGGAAGTAGTCGATATCTGGTATAAATGATAGCTGTTATTCTAGAATCATGACCTATGACCTGTACAATCTACTTGCTCTTCGGTACGAAAAATGACGCAATGTGGTGTTGACGAAAACTCGATCCGGGATCGAGTAACATGGGGATCACGCAGGTGTCCGACTGTCCATGACATCGTCTAATTAAACGTACAGTGATTATGTCCAGAAGCTCCGTGCATACGTGAAGTATACGTCCACAAGTAATACTTTCTCCTTCTAGGTAATCACTGGATACTGGCAGGCTACAGCGTGTGTAAATCCTAGCTTACGATGGTCCTCAACCTCCAGACTCGAATTCGCGTGAGCTGCGCCCAAAATAGCGTCTCGTATGTCTCCGAACACACAAACCACAACAATCGGCGACAAGACAACCGAGTCTCAGGCATGCCCACGGCATGATCGACAGTCAGCCCCCGATCATACATCTCTGATTGCGCTATACAGGTCCATGGCGGCTGGTCGGTTGAGATCAGAACCATGATGTCAGCCCTGGAGGGAGACTTGATGCTGCACTCTCGTATCTTCGTCCCCTGCAGCACAAGCGCAACCGCAAATCTCGAGGAGCCGCGAACACTCCGAAGGTAGTATAAACAGCCTAGCAAATATGCCCCCGCTCGCACCAGGTGGGTGCGGCTTCAGCATTTCGACTAGAATTATCTTACTGACAATACTTACTGGCAGGTGCTATCGCAGGTCTCGTGCTCGCCATTCTGGCACTCTTGTCGATCGTCTCTGCAGCCTGTATCGTTCTCCACCGCCGTCGCAAGGCCGTCAACTCGAACATGCCCATTTTCCATCCGAGTACACCCGACCTCGAGAAGGCAGGCACACGCTACTCCCCCAGCCTCAGCGGCTTCTCGAACAAGAAGCTCCGCAAGAATCGGCGCAAGGCCCCTCCTGTCCTCCCCGCTGACCTGGATCACGACATCTTCAGCCCCGCGTGCGTCGTGCTGGCTGGCGGGAGCGGTGCAGCCTTTGCCATAGCTGCGGGCAATGGCGTGAACCCGTCGTGCTCGACGCTGAACGTGGACATCTCTCCGTCTCTGCCGCGTGTGTTCAAGGTCAAGACAGAGGGCGGGACAACCTTCGGTATGGAGGTGCGCGTCACGCCGCCTACGCCGAGCGCTGGACGTGGAGAACTTCCGTCGAGGAGATCCGAGTTCAGTATCCGGCGGCTTGTGTTTGGCGGCTCAGCCCACGCAGCAGGAATGGCTTCGACGGACTCCAGGTGGTGGCACATGTAGCTCGCGAGACTTATCAAGGCGAATATGTTACGGGTTCCTAGGAAACGCTTTAATATTCCGATTTCAATAGCGAATTGCATCCAAAGAGGCTGACCAATCGATGAATCAAAGTGGAAGTATGAAGGAGGAATGAGTCAACTCGTATGGAGTCATTAGATAGCCGAGATTGCGTCCCACTCGTCGTTGTTCGTCATGAAGCATTGCCCTCGCTGCCGCCTCTCTCGAGCGCGTGCTGCTCCCACTGCTCTCCCCGCTCGATGTCCTGCGACTCTCGTGCACGCTTCGATGCTATATCCACCTGTTCGATGTCCGGCATGTCGAATATGCGCCCACTGATGACGTTCGGAATGGTGAGCGAGAAAACCACGATCCACAGCAGCAATGTCGCCGCAGCGTATATCGCGCCCCACACACGGAAGAACGTGCTGTCGAATACCACCGCAAGCTCAATGGTGCAGTTCGCGTAGACGACCTGCAGGGTGCCCGTGAGACTCGTGAGACTTGCAGACTTAGAGACAGCCACATACGTTCGGAAAGATGAGCTCCCACCACGGCAGGCTGAACGGGAAGCCGCCCTGTCGGATCGCCTCCTGCATGGCCAGTAGGTTGTAGAAGAACCACATCGTGGTGATCGCCCACAACATGAGCCCAACGTACACGCAGATAGCATCGAGCGTCGTCCCCGTCGTGTCGCTGCGCATGAAGCTCGAGGAGCCGTACTGCACGGGTATCCACTGCTTGAAGGCGTTGCCCAGCACGAGCACCGCGTACCCGCCCTGGCCCGCGATGCCGAGTGTGATCCAGCCGGAGAGCACGTTCACGCCCTGCGGAAGCCCGTACAGGATCAGACGCAGGAAGTAGAGGGTGAAGAACATGAAGCCGATCATGAGCCCGACGATGAGTAGAAATGCAGACATCATGATCGTCAGGCCCGCGCGCCAGGGATCGACCGCGAGGAGCGGCGTCGCGACGACGCCGCCTGCGGATGCGACGACGATCAGGGCGACGGCCGGCAGAGCCCAGAGGGAGTTCGCGGCGCTGAGCGTGTGGTGCTGTCGGGTGATCCTGTGTGGCTGTCAATAGCGGCGGGGTGAGGGCGGGAGATGGCACGTACATGAGATGGATGAGCACGAAGCCGCAGATGAACCCCATCGCGACGTCATACCACCATACCGCCCAGATGAACCACAAGAACGGCTTGCCTCCCCACCCCCATTCCGTGTTTAGCACGGAAGTCGCGACGATAATGAGGGTGGCGAGCCCCATGGGGTAGCTTCCGAAGTAGAGGTTGTGTACGGGATGATAGAGCATAAGCGGGAGGATATCGTGCCACATGATGAGACGCGCAATGAAGAGGATATTGAACAGCACGAAAAGGAAGAGGTTGAGGAAGAAGAATATGGTAGAGAAGACCTCCATCGGCTTCGAGTCATAGGCGTAGAGGAAGTTGTGAAAGAGCATGGATATTCCTCCTGTGCCTATACCGAGATGAGGTCAGCGAGCACGTACTATAGACATCGATGTGCCGAGGATATGTTCAGGTCGAGACCCAATCAACTATCATCCTTAATTGCACACTTACCCATTGTGACCACGAACCATCCCGGGGAAAAGTGGCTATGTCCATGTTCGTCGACAGTCAGCGAAGTTACGCAGTACCATTCTTCAAGTTGAGGTACATACCGAACAACATGAGTCAAATATTTCATTGTATCCCTGGCGTTCCGCAGATGTAGGAAATAAGGCGAATGAGAAATGTGGTACCCATTGTATCTTAATAAGCGAGGGATATGATAGACGACTCCAAGGACGACGTAACTGGCGCATTCAATTTACATTAATTGGCAAGAGATGCAGGGTGCAGTTGGACCTATAAATAGAGCACAAAGACGTCACCCGCGGTTAGCATGCTATATGTGACAGTAACGCCTACCAAAAAAGCAAATGTGTAACAGCAGGTCTTTGTGACCCTCCAAGTTGCGAGTATTCTCCACGACAACTCAAATTGTTGAATGTCCTGGAGAGAATGGCCTCAAAGACTTCGTTGTAAGCACTCTTCATGTGCTTGATCTCATGAAAGAGAGAATACTTCACCCCGCCAGGTGTAATACTGCATGCGGCCTATCTTGATAGAATACATGTAAAATGGAGTTCTCATGCGTTTCACTCCACATGATACTCCATATGCACCTATGGCTCCGTGTGATAAGAAAGTGGCTCGTACAGGGACCTTATGACATCGTTAAGTAGTTCGAGCCACCACCAAGAATGCTGAAACAAAAAAAGCAAAACCATGTCAGTATGTCGCTTCTTAGAAAGGATTGACATCTGCTACTCTGAGAAGTTGTACAATGAATGCTTCAAGAAAGGACAGATACATGATCAGATCGTATCTGCATTTTTGAGCATGCGAGCATTGTCGGAGAAACACGATGTATCACTATCTCAGGAATGGAGAACAGATATCGCGCGCTAGCAAGATGGCGTACTATACCCATTCTGGGGAGTACGCAGATATAACGTGAGGGAGTGCCGCACAGTTTTCGTAGCTTCTATGACGCATTCACGGCATCTTCTGGTCGCGTTTTAAAGCTATCGTTCGCGTTGATGCAAATCCGTTCAGTTAGCGCGTGCCTGTATTGACAGACGTACATCATCTTCCCGGGCCAGAGGCGACGTGAAACTTGTGTAAGTCTCACACTGAGACCAACTGGCAGGAACGGAGCTTGTATGCAGCGTAATATAATATAGTTGTAGACGCTGGTAGTACAAATGGCAGGCGAGTGTTTCTCCCACGGTCGCGTTCATGAAGTGCTTCTTGGCCATCGACGTGTCTTTCTGTCCAGATGGTCACTTAATTCAGCACGAATGCATGAGTTTGCATCTGCAAATTTGATCTGCATGCTAAAGCCATCCGTCCTCAGAATACCGAATACCGATTATTGGACAACGAAGTTTGTAAGTTCAACGCAATGCTGGTCGTCTGCCGTCCGAAGCGCTCATGTCTCGACAATCCTGTCGTATTCCTCGCAGATTGCTCATCCCTACCACCCCCAAGCCTTGAATGGAGTATCCGCTCCGGCTTCTCTAGATCGTGTCAATACCGGCGTACGCTTGATTGCGAGCCACCTTATCTCTCGCTCTTTGTCGCGTAAGTAACTCGCGTTGATCCAGACGTTGGGAGCGATTTATCCCAACAACGCGGCGATCTCGGAGACGTGTTCATCGGTGAGTACCCACTGTAGATCAAGACGTTCGACCGGGTACTTCTGCGGGGTACGCGGTGGCAAGAGGTGGATGATGGCACCATCAGCTCCGAATGGTGATTCCATATGGCAGACGTGGGCAACGTATGGTGAATGAATTCGGGGAACGCAATGTTGCTTTGATGGTGTCATCTTCCCAGAGCTTGCGTCGCGGCGAGAGTCTCAGCGTCTCGACCTGGGGCCACGCCGCTGACATCGCCTCGGCTATGTCGTCGTCGAGATCAATCGCCAAATGTGCGTGTAAGGTGATTGACCGTAGTCTGTGGCACGCAAGAAGTTTGCGCAGATGATCGTGCCGCAGAGTACATCCACGAGATAGAACAGTGTCGCTGGACCATGAATCAAACCAAGCATTAGTCTTTATGGACAGACGCTGAAGTCACGAGGGCGAGAACCGATCGTGAAGAACGTTGAACAATACGTCAACATCAGATCCAGATGGGCACGAAATGAGTTCAATGTTGAATGCCTCCACTTGTAAAAGCGTAACATTGCCATTCGCCAGATCGTTGAATTCTGCCAGGTCTTGTGTCCGGATGTCCAATGTTCGGAGTGTGACCGAAGCGCGCTTGAATTCCAGAATTGAGGGAGATTGACGACCAGGAAATGACAGTATCACGAGTTAGAAGCACACATAGCTCCTTCAAGGTGGAAGAGCAGCCTAGATGAGCCAGCGCAGTTCCGTCCAGAGGGATTGTTCCGCAACGAAGTACCTCGAGCCGCGGAATTCGGCAGACCAGCGAGGAGAGTCATTCTATGGCAAATAGAAGAATCCCAGAGATTCCCCATTTGGTGCCGTCGATCTCCATCTCCGCAAGTTGTGGCCACTCTGCGCCAGTCCTCATCATAAGGGTGATAAAATCTGCATTCCAGTATTTCTGTGGGGCGTGCGAACAGTAGACTGATAAGTCTATGGCGACTTTCTTGGATTTAGGACTTCGACCGCAGGTGTGCGGAGCGCACGACATGTTCGAGCCAAGGTGGCGAGCAATTCACCATCATCCTCCTGCAGAAACTGGCAGATTGCTACCACGATCTCAGCGACCACAAGTGCTCGATGCGTCGGCGGCCTAGAATGAAGTAATAAAGTAGTCGATGCAGACACATCCATTTTTGCGAGGTGGGGGCATTGAAAATATGGATAAAGCAGTCGATCCGGATGAGATATCCTTCAAGAGACTGTCAATATCCGTCTCGAAATATGGTGCCGAGGGAAGTTCTTACGCAGGAGCACTGTTCGATCGAAGCTGTGCGAGGGTCGAGCGCGTCAAGTGAATACAATGTCATTGTATCTACGTTTGTAGCTGGGAGTGGAAAGGACATAGTCAACACCGGGCGGAAGACGCTGGCATATGAAGCTATACCTTGCTTTCAGAGAGTGTTTGGTAAATGACCAGATGAATGAGGGCAAGGCTGCAAGAACACATAGCTTATATAGCAGATCGTAGTACGTCCCCGGCGCCCTTGTCAAATCTTGTTCTGAACAGCCTAATAATGTACACCATGTGTATTTCATTGTCGTTCCTCAATGCAAGCTCTGGGACTCAGGGATAACGCAGGCATCAGTGCTGACCACGATGCAACTCGCAGCTGCGAATTGAATGGGGCGCCACCAATCGAACAAGGACGGACATAATGAATCATGACGCACCTTTGTCCTTTTTTCGATTAGGCGGCTGCAGTGCGACACTGTATGTGACTCCCTTTTGGCGTGCGCTCTGGTGCGTCGGGTTCATGGACTGGCTTGGCTGCTCCTCCGGCTTCAAGGACGCCCTACTTGCGGACCACGCGTTGCACGTTGCCTAATAGCAGTGTTTGAGTGAGGTTCTCGGATGTCAACGATATTTGTGGAAGCAATGTCGGTTACGAGATCACCGCGTATCTGTCCCAGTATAGGATGTCGTCGTGAAGGCCTCGTTCAAGCTGCTATATGATTGGTCAGCTTCATTTTTCACCCAGCGCAGCCAACAGGATCGATCAAACTGAGACACTAACTTTGAGCATGCGCGCATTCAGGTGTGCACGAATCGGTACGGAAGCATCCATCAATTGTACGTTCTCTAATTCATCATGTGAGCATAGTATCCCTATTTCCGGCAGATGTTCCAAGCCGTATGGTACGCGTCTGATACATATGGCCGAGCCGCTTATCGTCAGCGAAGTTGTCGTGTTTGTTGTGCCCATATCGCTGCTCTTGAACGACGGAATGGTCATCTCAATATCATTCGATAGTCAGCGAGAATCATGTTTATGCGGTTCTGCACTACGTGAAGTCGGGCGCATCAACGAAAGCGGTGAATATGGCCCTTTAGGCGGAAACTCAACAGGCTCTGCACCATCTCGATCCGAGTCGCCTAACGCCATTTGGGCCAAAAAAGCGTATGTTCCTGATGAAGCGTCGTCATGCGATGTGGACGCACGATGCAATGATAGGACCGTTGTTGCATCAGTGGCATTTGCGTGGACGATGGGGGCATCTGGATTGCAGACACGGTTATGATCAGAAGGTTGGTTATCAGAATGTGTGTAAAGTAAATGATACGATACGTACCGGTCTCAGAGATAATATAAGTAGATTCTGCGGTCGAACTGGCGCCCATGTCTGCATCTCGGAATGGATCTGCTGGATATGCATGTGTTCCTTGGTTTCCCAAGGAGTTCACGACGGCACGGCGTCGCCGCCAAAAAATCAAAGCCACCACGCAAATGCATAGTGTCATGAGCCCCAGTACTCCGCCCACGATGCCGCCAATTATGGCAGCAGTGTCAAGATTATGTTGGGACGAAACGACGGTCACCGTCGCCATAGACGTGGAGGTTGTAGTGGCGGAGCTCGGAGTTGTCGATATTGACGCCGAGGAACTTGCACAGTGTGGTGTGGAAGTAAAATTGTTGCAGCCGGTGAATACTCTGTCCCGATCACTTTCTGCGTAGCCAGATGCGTTCACATGAGTGCTAGACGATTCAGAATCATACATTTCCAGGACAGGCTAAAGCACCTACAAATTCCTGTAGCTGAGAGTCACCATGATGAATAAAGCGGGACATCCTGGCAAGCTCACCACTCTTTGTCTAAAGGGGTCCACACGTCATAAACGAAGCCCTCAACGCGGATCTTTTTCTCACAGACAGCCTCTTGTACACAGAGTCTGCAAGCTATATCTCAGCTAACACATAACTCGCTGATTCATCTAGGCACCCACGGCAGCCCCGGATTATGGGATGGACATTTGGCTCCTCCTGGATTTTCTGACAGATATGCATTGTAGTCATTGGTATCTGTAATTGTCGAGCATGTTCTGAGTGGTTTACTGCTTGCAAAGAAAACTTGTTGTCGACGTTACCAGCACTAATGCCCGTCGTATTGCTACCAGCATCTTTCTGACAGCTGCGCGAGGAACCATAAGATGACGTGAGGTTGGTATACCAGGCAGGCATACTTCAGACAAAGCATGTTGAGTGTGAAGGCAACGGGGTTACAACAGCACGCAGCTGCCAAATGTCATCAGTTAGGATGCGATCGCATTCCATCTGTACCACGCACTGTGCACATCATTGCACGTGTCTCCAGGAGGTGTGGATGCGAAATTCGGGACCTGGTCTATAAGCCTGATAAGTGGTATGCTAACAACATCGACTGGAATGTACACACAAGTATCGTTGCAGATTTGGCGCAGACGCTGATATGTCTGACCTATGAAACGTAGCATAAGAAGTGCATCCGATGTGTAACACAAGTAGGGCTTACACGGTGTCTCTCCGACAATCGAGTAGTACCAGTTGAGTGTGTCGCCAGCGCACGCTGTATTGTCTCTTACAACAAGATGGTCAGTCCCGACGACTATGCTTGTCAGAATCATCCTGCCAGTGGGTGAAGTAGGGAAGGGGGCGCTGCGCGGGATCGAGATGGGAGGATACTATTATATTAGATTGTAGACAGCTGGACAGTACAGCCAAGCTTCCCGTCCTCTTATCCATCGAGTTGAACTGTCGTTCGAGCTGTCTCAGCTGACGACGAACAATGATGCTCGCTGGAACATTATCAAAGTAATCAAACCATCTAGTTGTGTGAATAGTGATAGAGTTTGGCTGCTGCAGTGCTGAACATTCTAGAAGGACGCCCTAAATATTATTATTATTTAAGGCAATATACGCGAAACTCAAGGCAGCGGGTGGACAATGTAACTGCTTGAATGGACTTACTCTTCAGCGGTGAGACCATGCCTCATACGAGGTCCCCATGTATACCGCCCATGTCTTATCGGAAACTGCAATGATGATGTATCATAGGGAAAAGACAGTTGAGACGAGTGTACAGGTTGTGGAGCAACATGGCCGAAGCTATGAAGTGTTCCATATGCGAACACGATTGCAGACAACAGCCCGTTCTTCATCGCAACGAGAACCGTTCCTGAAGTCGGATATCAGCGAAGAGTTACGAGACTCGGTCAGCAATAAGCTGCCAACTCACTCTGAGATATGAGCCTTTCAGTTGAAGAGCGGGCACGACTAAAAGGAACAGCGCAGCAACAATCGCCGCCTCTACACCAAACGTCTGCAGCGCCCCATTTCGTGAGGCCCACGGCACCTGGAAGTATGCGACACTGAATCCACCCATCGTCCGTGCAAAATTGATGAGTGCAGAGACTTCTCCCTGCGATCATACACTCCGAAATCAGAACGATCGCATATCATGCCAACGTTCGTACGCACCTGTCTCGTCGGAAAACAGTCATTGCAAAAGGCATCTAACAAAAAATCAGAACCGGTCTATTGCAAAGCGAACCCGAGGACCGATTTAGCACTCACAGACGGCGACCGTACAAATCATAACAGCGACTTCGGCAATACCCCAGCCAATGATTACTGCTGCCACGCTCAAGTGGTTCTGGAATGCAGCACCCAACATAAGAAACCCGCAGATATACAATGGTACAGCAATGTAGCAGGTCCTGAATGGGTGCAAGAGCCCGTCAGTCGAATTGAGAAACTCAACGAGACGCCTCGACTGTTACCAGAGTCGCATCTCTGCTTGGAAGACGCCTTTGTTCCTCCCAATGCAGAAGTTCATAACCCAGTCGTTGAAGTAGCGTCCCAGCAACTCTCCGATTAGGACACTAACCTGAGTGAAAGCGATGCGTCAGTATTGATAGCCTACCATTCCAGGAAAAATGTGGCTAGACGTACTATCGGTGTTCCGTACATACCAGCGATCGCGTATTCGCTCATGCCGTATCCTAATGGCTGCGGCAAACCAAGGAAGACGGCATTTGTAGTCTATAATAGTAACAGTAGAAGCTAGTGGATCGAAGCGAAAGGAGTTTTTGTGAGCTTACATTGATACCAATGCTGAAACCGAACAACATTCCCTGACGCCCGCGACGAGCAGATGAGCACAGCAATCAGCCGCTGTTCGCCTATGTCTCGAGAAGGACGGAAAACGCACCTCAAAAAGCAATATACTGAAGAGATGTGGACGCCAGGCGATGTCCAAACATGCCAAAATAGAGTCGCGCCACCGCGTACGATAGCGTGCCATGCGGGCGCCCGTTACGCCCACTAGAGTCTCGATACGGTCGCGTAAGAAAGACGATGAGCGTGGGATCGGACGCGGATTTGGGAGTGTCCTATCATACATACTGAATCGGCCAGCACAGGCGTCACATTTGCGTCAGGAACGATCGACTGGGAAATTGGCGGCTTACGTTTCCTCCGCGAAGAATGTAATGAAGAAGACAACTATGGCACCGTAGATCGAACCGGCGCCATACGCCCAGCGCCAGCTGCACATACATGGTTAGCTCCGTGTCGTAGATATGGAAAGGTCATATGCTGGAAATACTCACTCAGCGCGAGCGACGAGGAAGCCGAAGAGGAATGGAGATAAGAAGGGCGAGATGATGAAACCCATAGTCCAGATGTTGAGCTTAGCCGTTACTGGTAAGTACCGTCACGGACAGGGGATTTCGGGGCGACAGACCTTGCGTGCTTGTAAGTGGAATGGAAACATATCTGTAACAACATACAGCCCCTATACGCAATGTCAGTCTTGCCCAAATGGCAGTGATGGTATGCGGTGGACAGTCGAGCTTACTGTCACTTGCGGACATGTACTGCGATCGGGTTAAAATCAAGGGTGAAATCCGCAATTGTGGCAGTAGTGCATACCCGAAAAATGCCGTCAAGCAGCGCATTGCTGTGGAGAATACATGACCCTAAGAAAGCTTTGAGACTCGGTTGAGCATACCTGCGAATGTCCTCAAATTCGGTGCAAACGTACACCCCACAAGGAAGCCAAGGGCCAGGACCTATGAAATGAGAATAAATATTGAGAAGCTAACAAGAAACTTACTTGCGACCAGAAAAGGACCGGGAGTCGGCCAAATCGGCGCATGAGCATGACGGCGAATATGCTACCCCACCCTACACAGCATGGATGTAAGACAAAGAGTTGGACTAACGTAATGTGACCTGTTCACCTAAGAGAAAGATACTCCAGCTTCGTGATTGGATTTATTGATCGCATGAATCGATACGTCGAGAACCGTATGGTGAATCCGTGTTTGAATTTTGTGCATATAGATCAGGAGGCAAAATTCAGAAGAAACTCGAATAGAAACCGACTTCGATGTGAGATCATTGATAACTCCAGACGTCGTATCGTACTGCTTAGCAAGTGCAAAAATTGACGCAATTCCTGATGAAGCACGCTCAAGGGGCACGCTTGGTAAGCATAAGAAGCTATCGGCGTACCAATTCCGGAATCAAAGTCTGGGACCACAGCGGCAAGGGTGATAATGAACAATTGGAAGTTCTTGCGAGAATCTGACCACTGTACGCCAACAGAAAAACATTACTCCTCAGTCATAGAGATGCATGTAGAGGTATGCCTGCCTACATTTTGTGGGTCGTCCGGATCATCCGTGGGTTGCGGCCATAGGATCGTACGGCCGTCGCGCGACAGCTTCAACCTCTTCGCAATATCGTCACCGAATTCAACCCTCGCCTCTCTATGTAGACGCGATGCAGTAGTGAGTATGTCGCTGCGCACAACCTATAAAGTATGACCCACTCCGGTTTCACAACCAGCCGTCCGGCATTTCGCTCGTGGTAGGTACGCAGGAAGAGCTTGTCTTCTGGCACCAGGCGATCGGACGGGGGCCTTGATGAATGTCTCGACTCCGAATTTGCGTCCTTCTCCACGTCTCCCATGGTGACCGCTGCTTCCTTGTCATTCGTGTCGTAGGTAGACATGGCGCAGGCGACAAAGGCGGACAGCTGAAGACACAAAGGAGGGACAAGATCGGTAGACACAAATGCTTGGCAGGTTCTTGTATGGCGACATTTGAGTAACTACGCAAGGTTACGGGGTTTGATTTGCCCCGCATAGTGGTGGCAAGCGCACATGTGTGCGGAGTTTCATCTTCTCAGAAATGCTTCGCACGGATGCCAGGTGACGGTATCCCCATCTTGCATTTTGGGACTAGCACTGCGGGTTGTGGGGAAACAACCTGATGCCAGTAATCAATTTGTCTCACGTGTATGCAATTAGGCGTCATGGGTTCTCTGATTCCGGAGCTAGATTTACAAGAACACTTTTGGTCGTATGAAAAGAGCTCGATCAGACTCACTGCTACCCACTATTGCTTGTTATGACTCTATGAATGAAGATGCAGGTTGCCGCTGTAGCCGCGATTCGATAAATTTGAAACCGTTGAGTTATAATCGCTTTGTGCTTCTGCATGAAGGCAGTTTCGCATGTGAACAATCTCGAGGCATACAACCGTACAGTATAAGAAAGGATTCGCGTTTCGTGTAACGCTTCCTCATGAAGGATACGGAGGTCGTGTTAGGTCGTGCACGATCATTCAAATCATTAGGTAATAGGTTCAAGGTGCGCGTCGGCACGTGACCGACGTGCACTTAGCGCTAGTTAGCGGCGTTCGTCGCCAACTTCAAAGTATTGCCACATCTCCCATGCCACCGTCTTGACAGAATTGAGATGGTATGCGAGACGAGAAACCTTAGGGCCCGTAAGGATGTAAGGAACGCTGACGCTGGTATATCACAGACGAGCAGGAACCTGCGCAGCAAGTGCGGCGGCTTGCAAGACATGCCGGACATGCCGCTAGACATAATTGCTGAGGCTAGCTGGTCGCTGCGTCACGAATATTCTGGAGACAACTAATATATCAGCATAGATCCTCGCATACCTCACTCCTCAAGATCTCCTCCACTTAGCGTGGACGATCAAACAGTTCCGAGCCTTTCTGATGAAGCGGACCTCAGCTTATTTATGGAAGGTCTCCCGATGCAATATACCAGATCTCCCGGAGTGTCCCCCTTACCTAAGTGAGCCTGCATACGCTAACCTAGTGTTCTTCAATCACTGTCATGTGAGTACCGACGCTGTTCTCAGGCACGATGTTCTGGACATAACCTTGAGGTACAGGCCTGCCTGAAGAAGAATATCAAGACAATCTTCTGGGAATTCTCAGCAAGATATTGCACCTCATGTAGATTGAAACGGTGAGAAGCCCTCAACCACAGGGCGTAGCGGCCACTGAGAATTGTGCCACGTTAGAGTTAGCACTATGTTGGACTACAGTGGTCGAAAGGACGGTATTTTTGCTCAGGAGAACTTGTGGGACTTGATATACAAAGCCCCTAACCCTAGTGAGGTCTTTGTGGCATTTACCGCTGTTAGTCACTCACTGAACGCGTACAGGGTCATCCCACAACTACTTTGTTCATGTATCCCAAGTGGACGATGTTTCTCGCACGTGGCAAAATTTACGTAAGAACAAGAAACGCCAGATGTCCTATGTGCAAGAACAAGAGAGACACGTCAAAGAAGTCGATGAAGTAGGTCTTCATCTATACGTTGTCGTCTCATTCACAACTAGTTCTTGTTCAAGCACGGAAGACTATGTCGCCGTTGGAAAGAAGAGAAGGCAGACGACAGATTACTGGAGCTGGATGAGATAAGAAAGGAGCGTATTAAGGCGTCAGTATGTACGTCTTCACCACAAAGCTGTATCTCACAGAAGTTGCTTCATAGGATTGTGACAAAGCTAAAGGAATTGGGCTGGGGATCCCATATTGCTCGCGTCAAGGATCTGAAGTCTTTCGCAAGATGCGCACACGTGTATGTACCTAAGCCTCTTACTGACCGAGGTATGTCGATTTCTCTCTGCCAGGTTGCATACGAGTTCGTACATCCGCTCATGCTTCCTGTAGAATGGACAAAGATCAAGGGAGATATGATTGCGCTCATGAGCAAGCAGAATTCTATGCTTCTGGAATTGGACCTCAAGGACCTCCTTCTGGCTCGTCTCAAGCTCCTCGAGCGCTTCGTGTCCGCATACTACCTTGAGTCGCCGCGAACACCGGCAAAGGAGCGCATGCCCCGGTTTGCGGACATAGCTTACTTGCCACAATTTCGTCGGATAATGGAGGCCCCCAGTGCAAGCACAGTTACTACGGACATGTTCGATGCTCTACGTAACGAACTGCCAGCCTTGATAGCCGATTGGCAGGAAGATGCAACGAGGAAACTGCGACAGATTGCGGCTACTGCGGTGGGCATACCTGAGGGTACAGACCCGCTGGAACTCGCTGTCGTGATGTTTGAATGCTCCCAATGCAGCAGCGTTCTCCAGTATCCGAGCGTCCTCGGCCACGAGTGCAACGTTGCCGTCTTTGGGCCAGAAACGGAAATATACTTCAAGTTTGTGTGGGATGTAAGTTACTCGCGGACATTGCCCGTTGAGGCCTTCGATGCCGTCGACATCAGGATCGCATCGCAAATCGTGCGTGCGTGCGGTATGGACCCTGGGACGGCAACGCACGCCGAGATGGAAACTTTAGATCTACGGTTCTGCTGCCAGATGGGCCCCGAGTTCTACGCTGGGGCACGGATGGTGACGCGTTGGCGACATGCGGTTCGTATCATAATTCTTGAACGCAGTACAGTGACCCTGATGAACACCCTTTGTTTCGTAGCTTACCTTAGCTCATGAGGGCAAGATATGGCGTCTTGCCTCGGCGGAAGAAGAAGCGCAGGTAAAGGAACTCGAACGTTCCCGGGATGAGGAAGCCGTTGAGTATCATGACCTGGGAGAATACTGGTGCTGTGCATACTGTGATGACATGTCCTACCGACTCGCTCGTCGGAGCGTCGTCAGAGCACACGTGCGTGACAGGTAAGAGTAGTGGGCTATATCTGTGCCGTTGACCAATCTAAGCTAATATCCCGTCAGCCATGGCAAGCCAGACCCTCGCGCGGAAGCGGGTGACTTCTACCTTCATCCAGAGGGTGACTTGCAGGGGCAGATCCCAGTCATTTTGCTTGCCGAAGACCTTAATCTGGCGCGTCTCGGCCCGACAAATTGTGTAAAGAAGATTGTCGAAAGTAGCATGGGATGCCAGTTCCCAGAACCCAGTTCATGTACATGGCAAGGTCAATAGCCCGATCGTCTCGGCTGCTTACGCCGCCAGGAACCTATCTGGGATGACTCGAAGGATCTGTTCGAGGAAAGGTAACATTGCAAGCGAATACATACAATTCATACATCCTTCACTATTTACATTGTGTTGTGGCAAAAGCACTCAGAAACCATGTTATGACAGTAGGCGCGTCCTGTGTACCATGCATCAGTACGAATCATAAACAAGAATCACCGTTGATTATTTGAGTGTCATGTCATGTCTGAGGAATAATGGTCTTCCATGAAGATGAAGATAAATTTCTCCAGTTGCCACGCATGCATCGCTTCTCCCATGCCTATATCATTACGTCAGTAAACTCGATGCCAACTTTGCGACAGCAAATACCGTTTCTGTATGTGCTCCTTGATGGCGTGGACATCTCTGCAGTAGCCGTCAGGGTCGTGGCATAAAGAGCAGCACCAATATTGTTGCTCCCAGTAGCCAACAAGGGTGCTGTCGTCCTCGTCACCCTTTTTGGCAGTTGCCTCTGGCTGAGCCTGTGAGCTTTTCCAGTGCAACGGCTGCAATCCTGAAAGCTTGCGTTCATGCTCCATCATGACCTATAGAAGAAAAGGCTCAGCGTTGGTATCAACCGTGTAGGCTTGTCGATATGATTGGCTGACCGCTTCATGCCAACCCACAATCCGAACGTCCTCCGGGACTTCGGGCAGGTTGTAAGCGAGCTTGACGTCGCCTGCATCGAGATGCCGCCTAATGGCCGTATCCGGATAGTACCCGCAGACCTCGATGACGTGCCGTATTCGGCTGTGACTACTAGCTATTCTCAGACAGTCACTACTCCAAGCAGCGGCGTCATCCACCGCATAGACAGCTTCCTCGTATTCATCGAGCTGCGAGCGTTTAGCTGGAAAGATCGAATACGACCGTGGGCTGCGCGTGCAGCTATGTGCAACGACGTCGGGATAAGAAAGTAGCGCCATGCAGCCAGTACACTCGAAGAACGCCATGGCAAGGTCCAGATCTGCCGTTCCCATACCACTCCAGAGAATGTCTTGCAGCCGGTGCCGGACACTGCGAATCCAATATGCAACAGCCGAGGGCACGCAGTCGCGCATCGTCTGAATGTCAGCGACTTCGTCCTCTCCCGAACATATCATGTCTCTGACATGCTGTGTGAGAGCTAAATCGGCAAGCGATGGTCGGACGACGTCCGGAAAGGTATCCAGGTTAGAGGCCTGCGAGACAAGAGTGTCTGCAAGGACGCGTAACAAGACTTTGAAGTCGGAGGCCTGCGGGACTGCAACCATACTATTTTCTACAAACGGGCGAAGCGCGCTTGATGATGTTATTGAGGGCTGCTCAAAAAGCGGGAGTGCAAAGCCTTCAATAGGAGTGAGATCGTCGTCGGTTTCGCCGTAATATTCAACCTAAAGGGCAACGTACAGCCTGCGAGCAGATTTAAAGCTGTCAACACTTACAGTGTTTTGTAGGTAGCTCGAAACGTCGTTGTCGACCACGTTGGCGACTGATGAGGAGCTAAGGCCTTGTGCGCAAGTATCATATTCGGAAGCTAACCAGTCCGAAATATCGAAGGTCGTATCGTTAAGAGAGGCGTAAAAATCGTCAGAAAGCGAAGAGGCGAAAGGCACGGATGGTAGCCTCGAGGTCGACACGGTTTTGCGACGATCCGCTTCTGACTTGACCATATCGTAAATCTTCTGCCAGTCTGAGAACTTTAAGTAAGATAGGATGAGCGGCGCAACGCACAAGAAAGACTTTACCCAACTCTGACAGCGGTTTAGCCTTGTACATCAGCGAATGGCACTTCCATAGGTAGCAGCAGAGGTCTGGGCGACCTATCTGATTAAGTCGTGCATGTATTCTAAAAGCGAATGAGCAACGCTGGGGAACGTGCAAAATTCACCTACGATTCCATTCTCTTACTTCTGATCTCGTTCAAGACCTGTGCCCGCTGCGTATCCCTCTCCTTTTCCCAGGCTTCCATTTTTTTCGCGTACTAAACAAGCGTTATTTTGCATCCTGGTGCGATAAGCGCACTGTCTCACCTCATCGATCAACTTGACCTGGGTCGTTTGTCTCTCAGAAAATCGTTGCAACGCATTCACATCTCCTACTATTCTTCCGTATTCCAATTCAACCCGTCTCAGCTCAGGGATGTGGTATAGGACCGGCATGTAGAACCCTGTAATTCATGTATTAGTAATGACAATTAACACGCAGTGCGGAGAGTTACTCTTGATACCACAGAGCCAATCCTCACGGTGCTCCCACAGAGGCTGTGACGATACTCTAAGCCATTTAGAGTGGGTACCAGGAACCGTCCTGTAGGTTCAATAGTAATTGACACGAGCATGAGAATGTGTGGTATATCGTGTAGACGAGAGAGCCTTCGACTTACAAAGCCTCTCTGCAGGGCCCGCAATAACGAACGCTAAACTTCCACAAAACTATCTTGGCGTTTTTCTTCAGGCAATTCTATACGCAAATATTCAGCCATATCCTGCGCGCGCAATAATCCGGATGCTTACGTGACAATACGAGGAGAATACCAAATTGGCGTACTGGGGTTCGCTGAGATAAGGCGGACAGTCCGGCAGTCCCTCCACATTGCGTCTCGCGGCGCGCCATATTGAAGATGATCTTGGGGTCATCAACATTTTCCTCAAGTCTTTGCTTGTACGCGCGAGATGCAGTAAAGAGAGAGGATCAACATGACTAAAAACCTGGGGAAAGACCTATGCATAAGACGATCCCCCACTGCGCAGTACACCCTACCTCGAAACCAATGTCAAGAGGCACATTCAGGAACTCCTTCAGCCCGCCCCGTTTGCCCCGAAGCGTGCGAGGTCGGCTTGCGGAGTGCAGCTGACTGTTGGTATACGGACTTGACATAGTGTTGAACGAGTCGAACGGAATTCTCCTAGTAGGAGTGAAGGTACGATGGCGCTGATCAGAATCGCCTGAATGAACAAAAGAGCACCCTTCGACAACAGCGAAATGCGGCGTGAGAAATTGCCGCTATAGGAGCCTTCAGTACTGTCGGCGACAGTGAACGAGATGTAGAACAAGGGAAGCGCCCGAGTAGACCGCAAATACAGCGGCGTAAGGACGTAGATGAACGCCTTTTATGTCCTGCAAGAAGCTGCGAGTGGCAAGATGACATAATACAGTCACACCCACCGTGAATGGATGTGAAGAAGGTTTGACCGCCTACCTCTTCGTGACCACAATATGATATATCCATTCATATGTCCACGGTGGCGCTCTGTGTATCATCAGAATTCCTACAATCTGTGGGTTGAGATTAATTTGCGCCACATCATGGTCGGAACACGCCTCAGGCACGAGTGGCAACACATATCCACTGTAGATTGCCGCCTAGACCGTCCTCAGACATGAGGAATCCGTCCGTCATTTCCTGGGACTATTCCTGCCATGAGATTGTTCATTTCGGCCACTGAGATCGAGTGGCTTGATGATCGCGGACACCGTTCCCGCGAGCGTGCCGAGGCTGCCACTGCTTAGTGTACTTACTGATTGTGAGAACGAGCGCAGCCATCACTGTGACCCCACGCGCTTTGAGGTGCTTCTGATGAAAATATTCATGTCGTACTAGCTTTTTCCACTGACAGATTCACGCCGATAGTTCAGGAAGTGGGTGAATTCTGAAGCTCGAGTGGCAAAGCAGTGGCACGCGGATCGCGCATACACCATCTGGCGCCTTGTCACGAAGAGCATCACAATATTGATGGCAGTCCTTTGAAACAAGCAATGGATGCCTTTTCGCAGGAGTCTGGTCGCGATTGCAGAATAGAACCCACCTGTACTATGTGTAGTGAGGAGTCGCCCACGACTACGTTCACAAGCCTCAGGTCCATGATCCACTGCGCCTAGTGTCTTGCACCAGTCGATATGTTGAAGTTTTTTTACATAAGTTTCATAGTTCACTGTGTGAGACAATGAATACTACTTGTGTTGATACGAAGCAGCGAAGACGACTCTTTCGAAGGTGTAAAGCAAGGGGGTTGCTCAAGAACGTCACAGAATGTCACGGCGGCAGTTCACATACCAATAGAGCAACGTGAAGAGTTGAGACGCACTTGCGCAACCTGCCGGGCGGAGTTTCGACGACAGTCATGTCCAGCCACAGGAGCGAGTGATCTCATCATCTACATGATATTTCAAGTGCATGCATGTATCAGATAAATTCCTTGTTTCACTCAAGTGGGATCTGGTTCGAGATTTGAGTGCATACACTATTGCCAAAACACCTTGTCGAGCATGCTGCTCTTTCCACATTCATGAGTCAATGCTTCCCAAACAATAAGAGTCGACCGTGGACCCTCATTGGTAGAAACATCAGCTTCGTCACCAGTGGGCTTTTCGAACACTATCAATGTCCCCAGCGATGGCAAGTGCCTGACAATTTGTCTCAGATGTCGTACCGCCAAGAGTGACGATGTGGACGTCGCTTCCGCGAGAACCACGTCCGACTAGGCCTGCGCCAATTATGAAATACCACAGCCGCCAGTACCAATCGATTGGCAGGCAACAAAAATTGTGCGTTATCAGACATGCGGCACGCCAATTCGAAACAGTATTATTGATGCTCGTTGAATGGACAGAGGTCATGCCCGCTAGATCATAAGGAGACCTACCTGTTGAAGTCCGTCTAAGACCCGAAGCGAGAACGATCAACAAAAATATATCGCGTTTGTCTGAGCTCCGTCAAGCGCGTAAGGAACATACAGAGCGGCTCGCGCAAAATCTGCGAGGTAATACAAACAATGCCAAATACGATGGCATACGCTCACCACAATTTCAAGTTTCAACACTACCGTCTGATGAAACGTACTTAGATCTTCACAGAGTAAACATCTATCAGTGAGTAGTGAGAGGTGACTAGCTCACAGCTGTTCAATGGCTTATCTTCACACTAACGCTCGACCTGTCAACCACAGTGCACACATGTGAATTGTTGATACATTACAGTAGAAAGACACACGATGCGTAGATTCTAATCGAGTTCTGTGTCATGAAGAGCCCATTCAGGCATTTGACTCAGTAAGTGGGCACAACAACTCACCATCATCACCAGACACAATATACGCCTCTCCACCAGTATGCTTCTCGTTAAGCTCTGGGAGAATAAGTGAGACATCATGCGTATCCTCTTGGCATCACACACACCGCTATTCGTGGTGTACGCCTCGCCGCCAGTGCGCTTGTCGAAGTCTGGCACAATCATGCGTCAGCTTTCAGCAAATGTATCAGTCCCCACCTACTCATCGGGGTTTGTGATGTAAGCCTCACCACCTGTACGCTTGTCGAGCAGGTCTATATGTAGTGACATGATCAACATATATATTAATACCAGAGAGAAAAGACCGACCGTTGTTGGTGAACAGCTCTTGTAGCGATCACCACGGTAAATGGCACGCGCTTCGCTTCCGATGTGATGTCACCTCACCGTCTGACACAATGTATCCCTTGTCTCCGATCGGCACACGTCTAGCAAGATCTACAACAGTATCAGTGTCGTGCATCCATAATGGTGATGACCGCAAGGACTGTATTGTCATTACTGACCGTTGTCAGCCACCGGCAAGGCAGCTGCACCGTGCAGCATCACAAGAGCGCAAAGTGCGAGGACAAACTTCGACATGGCTACTGGTGAAGACAGAGACCGCGAGGAGTAAGCGCGATGAATCCAGGATGCAAGAGCCGTGTTTATACTCCATATTATCGTCTCAGGTGACCTCGAGCCTACGCATGGCATCAGATAGCACCAGAGCGGGTATGTTGGGAGCAAGATGCGGGAGAACATCACACCATGTAGTCCAATGATGGAAGAGGTGCAGATCACAGCCGTATGAGGCCGCGTACCGAGACCGGAGAATTTGTCAACGAGGATCGAGCTCGGAGATCATCTGATGGCTTGTTCGTATTGAGAATGTGCAGGTGTTCAAGAAACAATCGCAATGTTCGTCAAGGAAGAACGACTAGATGGGAAGCTAGACAATCAAAATTGAGTCGTAGCTCAAGGGCCGCGGTGGACCAACATGTCATCAGGAGACTCGGCTTATGCAGCTCAGATAGACGTAATAATGACCGACCATTACCGGATTACCGTCAGCACGCTAGTCTCCCCTAGGCCTACAATAGAGCGCCCTTTTTGATGGTCTGACTCTATTAGTATCAGTGCGCATATGAACCATCAGCGCGCCTATGAATTGGATTCAAACGCAACATGTCATTTGGCGCCTTGCTTAAGCGGTGTACATTCTGGTAAGGAAACGTACTTATCTCATGCAGCATGCGCAACAAAGCAAGTTCATCCACACCACATCGTATATCTTCATACGGCTCGCGCAAAATCTGCGAGGTACTACAAACAAGGCCAAATACGATGGCGTACGCTCGCCACAATCCCAAGTTCCAACACTACGGTCCGACAGAGTTAACACCCATCAGTGGGTGGTGAGAGGACACTAGCTTACAGCTGTGCAATGGCTGCTCGATGGCTCATCTTCACACTAACGCGACGATCACTCGACCCGTACACACACATGTGAATTGTTGATACGTAACAGTAGAAAGCAACACGATGCGTAGATTCTAATCGAGTTCTATGTCGTGTGGGGCTCGTTCAGACATTGGGCTCGGTAGGTGGACACAACAACTCACCGTCGTCGCCGGACACGATATACGCCTCTCCACCAGTACGCTTCTCGTTAAGCTCTGGGAGAATAAGTGAGACATCATGCGTATCCTCTTGGCATCACACACACCGCTATTCGTGGTGTACGCCTCACCGCCAGTGCGCTTGTCGAAGTCTGGCACAACCAGGCGTCAGATTTCGGCAAACGTATAGGTCCCCACCTACTCACCGGGGTTTGTGATGTAAGCTTCACCACCGGTACGCTTGTCGAACAAGTCTGCGCATTGCACTTTAGCATGCCACCTTATCTACTCTGGTGCAGAACTTGCCACTGTTAGTGATGTACGCCTCACCACCTGTGCGCTTGTCGAACAGGTCTATATGTAGTGACTTGATCAGCAAACATCTTCATATCGGAGATGAACAGACCGACCGCTGTTGGCGATGTAGGCTTCACCGCCAGTACGCTTGTCCAGTTCTTGTAGCGATCATTACGGTGAGTGGCACGCGCTTCGCTTTCGACGTGAGGTCACCTCACCGTCTGATACAATGTATACCTCGCCTCCAACCGGTACACGTCTAGCAAGACCTACAACGGTATCAGCGTCGTGCGTGCATGATGACGATGACCGCAAGGACTGTATTGTCATTACTGACCGTTGTTAGCCACCGGCAAGGCAGCTGCACCGTGCAGCACCACAAGAGCGCAAAGTGCGAGGACAAACTTCGACATGGCTACTGATGAAGGAAGACAGGGACCGCGAGGAGTGAGCGTGACGAGCCGAGGATGCAAGACCTGTATTTATACTCCATGTTATTGTCTCAGGTGACCTCGAGCCTACGCATGGCATCAGACAGCGCCAGTGCCCGTCCGATGTGCGGATATATTGGGAGCGAGATGCGGGAGAACATCAAACAATGTCGTCCAATGATGGGAGAGGTGTAGATCACAGCGGTATGAGGCCGCGTACCGAGACCGGAGGATTGATCAACGAGTTGAGCTCGGAGATCATCTGATGGCTTGTTCAGACCGAGAGTGTACAGGATCTCATGAAGCAATCGCAATATTTGCCACAATCTGAGGAAAGGAAGAACGACTAGAAACAATTGAAATTGAGTCACAGCTCAAGTACCGCGGTGGCCCAACATGACGATCGACACCAGGAGACCCTGCTTATGCAGCTGAGATATTGACGTAATAGTGGCCGACCATTACCGTCAGCACGCCTATGAATTGGATTCAGACGCGACATATGATCCAGCGCCCTGCTGCGCATATGGAATATAGAAATCATTTCATCAACGGCAAACTAGTAAAGAAACGTACTCACCTCATGCAGCATGCGGAACAAAGCAGAGTCTATCTACCCGGTACGGCCAAGCCTCAGCAGAGACGTTGAAATAGGGATGGCGCTTGAATGCGGCGCCTAATGATGGGATATGTAATTGAAAGCTGCAATGACTCTCGCCGGCATGTGAAGGTCATGGAGGAAAGAAGAAAATCACACCACATCGTATATCTTCATACCATATCGTGACGTACACACACCCTTCAAGAAAGTCATGTCAACGGATGGACTAACGCACGACATATGGGGCTAGTATTCACCATACACATGAGAAAGGATAGCGAGACACATGCCCCGTCCATCCACAAGCTGATGCTCAGAACAACTCCTCTTCCTCCGGCTTCCAGTTCTTGGCCTGATCCCAGTAGCCAGCCAGTTTCTGGCCCAGCACCTCCTTCGCCGCCCCATCAGTCGGGCAGCTCTTGGGCTTGAAGTTGCTGAACGCCCGATCCCTTAGCTGCCCCTCCCAGATCAGCCAGCACTGATTATCCTCCAGCGAGACAGCGCCTTCCTCGCCGTTATCCCCATTAACAGCGACCTTGGCTCGGCTTTGGCTCGTACTGCCCTCGCCCTCCTCGCCTTCATCGATCTCGACGTCCTCTCCGCCGCGTTCGCGTGCAGCTTCCGTCCACGCGATACGATGCAGCATAAGGCGCTTATACTGCCGCAGGAACTTCGTTGCACCCTCGACGTAAACCATACTGAACGCCGGGTTGAATATGCAGACGCCAGTGAGACTCATCTGCTCCGCATTCTTCCGCACCTTGAAACGATGCGCGGGATCGGAGAGGGTCTTGACTCTGTAGTGTATCAGTTCATACAGTAACGGAGTCGGTGTAGTGCAGCAGACACGTACTTGAAGACAGCCCCGTAGATACCCTTCTTCTCTTCTTCAGCCTTCTTTGTTTCGACCTTTTCCTTTCGTTGGTCGTCGGTCAGTTTGCGCTCAGCATTCATCTTCTCATGTTGGTGCCTGCGCATTGCGACTTCTCTTCGCACCCGCGCCTCTACACGAGTAGGGTCTTGCACTGCATCCGATGTCAAAACCTTCATCAGGTTTGCGAGGCGCACTGAAAATCCGTTATTAAGAAGCACTGCGAGATGAGCTACAGTAACTTACCCTTTGGTGCATCTGGTGGAATAAGACCCATCCGGATACGATCACGTTTGTCTTGCAGTTCCGCCTGACGCCGTTGCTTCCTCATCTTCTTTTGCTCCTATTTATACGCTACTACGTGAGTGATTTATGAATGCATATTTGTGGTGGACAACGTCACCTTCTTAGTCAACTTCAGAGGCTTCATGGTCAACTTGTTCTTATCACCTGGAGCGGGAATTGGAATTGGGTGCTGAACGTAAATAGTGATGGGCGAATTAGCATTCCGGATGTTGAGCGCTGACATTCCGAGCTCCAGATCCTCGTATGTCTTGTTTGGGAGCAGTGCTGCATCCCACCATTCGGCTGCGGGCGGCGGCTCGCGCTATCCACATATATTGATATTGAACACACAAAGCATGTGAGCACGACTTACTCGGATATTCTTCTCAAGAGTCTCAAACTCAGTATCCAAGCCAGCCTTACGAGCACTCTCCGCGATACGCTGCTTGAGCTGTTCAAGTTGGGCCTCCTGTCTGACCTGGTTGGCAATCTGGACGTACTTGCCCTTCGGGTTAAACCTAAAGTTCCTGCCCACTCGCTCCTTGGGAGCACCTTCAAAACCGCTGTCCTGAGCAGCGGACGCCGCGGAGGCATACGGGTTTGCCTTGGACTCAATCGGTATAACGGGCGTAGGAGCAGGTGGCGGTGTGGGAACGTTGCGAACATTCGCCTATTTACCTATTAGGGTGCGACCTAAGATAGAGCAGCATTTGACTCACCTTGATTGACGCAAACTTCGGCTGCATGGGCTTGTAGCGGTCCTTCTTGGACTGCGGAGCCGTCGGCGTGTTATCCAGGAGAAGAGGGTGCGCCGCCATCTTGAGCCCAGCACCTTGCTGCGCAGGTTCCGGCGGTCGATTCTTCTTGCCCGTTTGTGGCATCGACTGTACATGCACATTCATAATACTGAGAAAAGGTGAATACAGGTGAGACGACTCACCATGTACGGGTTGTCCTTGACCGCCAATTTGCTCTGCGCCTCTGCGACGCGGCGCTTCGCTTCAGCAACACGGCGAGCGAGGTCGTCCGACACTGACGGTGGCGTCCCCGCAGCTGGCGGTGCTGGACTCGGGGTGGAAGCGGCTGCAGCGGACGCGGCGCTGGCGCCCTTCTTCATCGCAGCGATCTTGGCAGCAATTTCCGCCTTCTTCTGTGCTATGAGGACCTCCGCTGATAGCTATGAAGCGATATTACTATTCCTTGTCGTTTTCTGACAACCATGACGAACGAACTTACCGCTGGAGTAGAAGAGCTTCCATTGGGGGTCTGAGCGGGCACAAACGGTTATAGACACAGCAAACATTACACGTAAGAAGCTAATCACCTTGCAGAGATGAAGGAAAGGCAACTCACGGCATCGCTGTGAGACGAATCGTTAGTATGTAAGACCGACTCTGACTAACTAATAAGCCGACCTTTTCAGCCTCTTGGATACATTACTATCGCCGTTGCCTTCAAAGGCTCGTTTCCTGTCGCTCATATTATCGCCGTCGACGCGCGAGGTGGTGGTCAATGTCAGTGACGTGAGTAGTGGGTAAACACAAGGCGTGCGACCGAGACAGCCTACAGTTATCCGCGTGTAATCTGACTTATCGAGGCCAAAACTAAGTAATCTCAGGTAACTAACAATACCCTAACACCTGCAACTCAATAATCCCTCCTTGCTAAATCGTCCGCGGTATGTTCCCCCTTTCATCTGCCCGCTCGCTCTTAGCAGCGTGTCGGCCGTCACTCTCGCTTTTTTCACATGGGCCAATACCACTAGCGACTCCTCAGCCAGTGTTTGCTCGGTTTCGGTCGCAGCTGGCACCAAAACGCGTCAAATACCTCAGACGGCACAAGGGTGTTGTACCAATTCCGACTGGAGGCTCCATCAAGGGCACCACGCTTGCATTCGGCGACTGGGGCATCCGAATAAAGGAGAATGGCAAACGACTCACGGCCAAGCAGCTCACCGCGGCAGAGGAGGTCATCAAGCGGAAGATTAAACCTATCAAGGGCGCGAAGGTCTTCATGAGGGTGTTCCCGGACATTCCTGTCTGCATCAAGGCAAGTAACGTCTCGGATATTCTCAAACACGTTCCAATCGTTCACAACGTCGTAGGGAAACGAAACACGTATGGGTAAAGGAAAGGGGGCGTTCGAGTTCTGGGCAACTCGGTGAGATGGATGCTTCCTTGCACATACTCATTTGCTGACACTGCGTGCAGGGTTGCTCCCGGACGAGTCATCTTTGAGATTGGTGGGACCACAGTGCGCGAGGAGATTGCACGCGAGGGTAAGCGAACCTGATCTTACGACCTGGCGTGCACACTAACTAGTGCACCGTTGCCAGCTCTCAGACTGGCATGCGACAAACTGCCAACAATCAATGAGTTCATCACTCGCTCTACCCCTCCGCGCTTGGGCAACTTGGTGCTGCCGGCGGAGGAATTTGCGGTTCAGAAATGTGTTCCTGTAACTGCGGCGTAGTTGACCTATATAATGGATCGAGTGACACGGCATTGAAGATACCTAGGCTGCCTAGGGAACATTTAGACTTGACTGTGACACAACCACAAAGCCATAATCCTCGTCCGTGCATTATATGGATAGGCTCGGCAGACAACATGTAGTATGCATTGCAAAGCGAGCCCAAAGCAGAACATACCCTGAGCCAACTACACATCGGCCTTAGTCTCTCCCTCGGCCGTCTCCGCCTTCAGACCTTCCTCCCGCGCCCTGTCCAGCTTTCGCAGCCACCTTACATCGCGCGTTACGCTCAGCGCACGCGACCGCTGCCGCCGCTTGTTCAAATGCGACCAATCTACGCCTACACCGACGTCCTTTCCATAAACGATTTCCACCTTTGGTTTCGGCGGCGTGGGCTTGTGCGCGCGCAATTGCCAACGCCAGACGTCGACCGCTGTCGATAGCGAGGCAGCTTGTTTCCGTGCTGAACGAGACAGTGTCTGTAGCCGTTGCGCTTGCTCTTCAGGAGTGAGCTCTTGCAGAGTATGGATCTTCTCTATGTCCTTTGTCTGCACGAGAGACGGGAGTACCACGCCCTTCAGATAGCTGCCGGGGTGACAGGGCGCCTTAGCCTGCAATTATAACACACTCTGAATTCTTTCACTGACCTCATGGATCGAATGGCATGGTCGGGATACCGTGGCTGAGGGGGATGTCCCGGCGCCGCTGCCTGAGATGAACTCTCGGGTTTTGAGGGCGAGCCACCTGACTCTTGCTGCACAGCGAGTTTGAAGATTTCGTGCACAGTCGGTGCTTGTTTCTGAGACCCAATAATGTTCAGGACGAGCCTACGGGCCTCTTTCGTAGCCCCCTGCTGAAAGAGGTGCAGATTCATGAATGCAGTGGCAGGAGACGCGAGCTGGGTATGAGCAAGTTGCCACAATTTGGGGATAATCTAATCCTTGTCATTATTGGACTTATCCGAGGCTATCTCCGTAAAACTATGAAAATACCAATACCTCACTAGACTTTGACCTCACCGACATCGCTTACAGAACACATAACTCTAGGCTTTCATTCGCAATATCTTACTCGTCCATCATACGCTAGCGACGAGCAGATTATTTGCTCCTATTCATTGACCCTCCCCGACACGAGATATCCGTTCCCTCGAACAGCGGCGGCGCCAACAATGTCGCCTCGACGAAACCGCTCGACGTCCAATGTGTCTGCAGGAAATGTACGTCCACAGAGACTGCATTCACCGGTCGTCACCTTGCAGCAACCTGCAAGACCGACATCGGGCATGATGTCCGATGCCACCTACGCAAACAACATGAAGGTCCTACGCCGGAGAGACCCATCCATTGTCAAGATCGCTGACGCGTTCAGCCATGTCTGCGTGTATCACCATAATGGTAGCAAGTGGGAGAAGCAGGGGTTCGAAGGCAGTATGTTTTTGTTTGAGAAGTGCGTGCTCTGCAGTTCGCGCGGGGGTGTGGTCGCTCAATGAGCACAGGCAGTCGTATCCTCCATACGGCATCTACATCATGAACCGCATGGGGACGGACGACTACGTGCGCCAGATACACCCCGAAGACGATATGGATGTTATGGGGGAATATCTTATGTGGCGCTTTTATCCGAAGTGGACACAGATGCGCATCGCTATGGGATTGCCGTACCCCGTTCCGCCAGAACAGCGTGCGATACTCGATGCCGCGGTGCTCAGACAGATGACCCCGGAGGAGGTTGCGATGTCGCAGCAGGCGCAAAGGAAGGAATGGCGAGGACCATCGACGACGATCGGCTTGTGGATGTTCCAAACAGACGCGCGGGAGCCGCTGAAATATGTGATGATGCGGTACGTCTTGACACATCAGCCCATGTCTGGCTGTCGTTCAAAGTTGGATATAGATTATTCTCGTATATCAAGAATGGCAAGCCATATCCGGAGGAGTTCCACTACGGCCCTGGCCGCTTGCCACCCCCCAACCCGCACCTACGAACAGCTAGTCGTGCTTCCGTAACGCACAGTAAGTCAGGATCGCAATGACTTGATCGAGTGTCTCCCTGACTGTGTCACATTTCAGATGCAGCCGAAGCGGCTAGCAGGCCATCTTCGGTTTCTCAACAGCCCACTTCAAGAAGCGCTAGCAGAGCACAGCAACACAACATCACAAACAGTGGGATGGCACCTAATGCAACCGTATCAGAGGTAGACAAGCTATTCGCGAAGCTTCTACCTTCAGTCCCCTCAACGCCTGTAGCGGCAGAGGTTCAGTCCAAACCCAATGGATCTACTTCGTCAATATCTGTACACGACCTATTTGCTTCCATGACGGGCCCTCAGCCCGTCCAACAGCTGCAGCCCCCACCTGCGCCACCAGCAAGTCGCGGACTTGCTCTCTTGGATTCCATATTTGCCTCTGCTTCGGGGTCTGGCTCAACGTTCAATGCGTCACTCATGGCGCCTTCGACATTGCTCTCCTCTAACCCCGAAGATATCGAGATCGTCTCTCCAAAACCAAAATCAAGCGCATTACCACATATCTTGAGCCAAGACGTCATCTCCACGCTACTCGGTCTCGGTTCCGACTCTCGAGCGTCGAGTGCGGCCCCGAGTTCCGTTGGCTCGCGGCGATCAGGGCAGCGCCGCTATGAAGGCGACAACGAGTTCAGCGAGGGTGAGTTTGCGTCCGCGTCCGAATCGGAATACTCCGCGTCTAGCACGGTGCTCGACGCGGATCTGGACCCTGCGGTACTCGCAGCAGGCTCGTCCTCAGGGCTACCCCTTCTCGCTGTACAGCATTCAGCCTCGATGTCCGGCTCAAGTTCCAGAACGGTCGAAGGCGACGTGACTCCGCGTGCGGTAGCACGCGGTATAGGCCCGTTTTCACCTCCCCTCCAACCGCACGGGTCCACGCCTCGTGCTGGGGGCCAGCAGTATCTCACACCCACATCTTCGACTGCACACGTCACACCCATCCCGGAGTCGCAAACACCGAATGGCAGCGGAACCCAGCCTTCCGCGACGAACGCAGACGGGACCAGCAGCGCGATACGCCCGCGGACTCTCGTCCCGTTCGAAGCGGACTCGGACCTGTGGCCGTACCCCCGTGCGCCGCTAGACGACCGCGCGCTGGAACAAGGCGACGCAGACGTGGTGGAGCTCGACTTCACGGACACGCGCGCACTGAGCGACCCCGCGCTGTTCTCGAGCCGGCTGAAGGAGAAGCAGAGTCGCGTGGGGGGCAAGAAGAAGACGCGCAAAGAACGCGCCGCGGACCGGGAGAAGGAGCGCCGAGAGATCGAGGATAGCTGGGACGACCCAGTGCGTGGACAGATGCAGACTATGAGTGCACTTCAGCAGCCCGTTGCATCTGCGAGTGCACCTACCGTCAACGGTACTGGCAAGGGAAAGCAAGCAGCGTCGAAAGCAACAAACGGCGACGGCTCGCACGGCGTGAATGGTCTGCATGCGCATGCTGCACGAGACGCAATTGTGTCCTCTATGTCCTCCCAGCTCAACCAGCCACTGACGGATATGCCTCGCAATGACTTTGTCCGTGAGCTGCTCACATTAATTCACGTAAGCGACAACCTTTCTTGCAGACATGACCAAAGTACTTACCCACGCTTCTCGATAGACGGACAAACATTTTGTGGACCAGCTGTGGCACGACTACCTCAGTCGTGTGGGATAGGCGCACAAAGCATATTTACTGTGCTTTCGTTTATTCATATGTCGACGTTAGACCCTGGCGATTTACATCAGCTCTTTCTTGGCGTATCGCAATGTATCTGCTTTGACTGCAAACAACGTGATGCGCGATGCAGATTTGGTCTCTGCTTGAGGCAAGCAACCACGTGCGCTCTGTTAGTGTTCTCGTGTTGTTCGATGAATGCTTGCGATGCCTCGCTCATATTAAGTAGTGTGGATGCCCGGTATTCACAGCATGACTTAACTTGTCTCGTACCCATCCCCTCGTATCCGCACCCCACCACCGCGATAGCTTAACAAAGTTCTGGGTCAAGCGATCTGTCAGATAATATCACAGTGGCTGAGCGCACTCTTGCAATCAAACGTGCCCTTCAGCCTTGTACGACTTTGTTGATTCGGTGTATTTGATGGTCATCATATGCGACATTAGAACTCAGGAGTAATAACAAACAGTATTATACATGACCGTTGTTGGAACAATGGTGCGAACGGCGACAGGGCGCGTTTGTCCACGGGCGTAGCGATGCCCGTAAGGGACAATCGCGTAGCGTACATACATCGCGCGCGGTCGTTAAATACTACGATAGGGGTCTCCAGCCCCCGGCTACTCGCGCGCCCGAGCTTGCAAGCTCGTTCCTGAACGCGTGCTTCAACAACCGTAATATTTTCAGATCATGAGCGAGTCAAACGCCATCCATGAACCGTCGCGCGAACCTCTTCCGCGCCAGGATCGTCCGGGAACATCGGCTATGAGCAGAGTTAGATAGCCACCGTACAACAGTGAGAACTTGAGCTCTGCGCACTCCACGTCCTTCAGATCGTAACTACTCACCGGGAACGTCTGGGTCAATACTTCCTCACAAATCCAACCACGCTCCTGCGCCTTGCTGAAGAACTCCATATCTCTGTGGGCGAGGTGGGGGCGATGATGGGTATAGAAGACAAGAAGGCAGGGTTTTTTTGCATCGCCTACAGACACATTGTCCTCTGACTTTGACTTTTCTGGCGGAGAAGGTCTCAAAACCTGTTCACACGTTTTAAGCAGAGCATCGTGCTGAACAATGTGGTCAGTTAGGAGAGTCAAGTCGAGTTTCGGTGGCTTACCTGAGAGTGATTGAATACGAGATCCGACATGATGATCAAGTCAAAGCCCCTGGAAGCCTCCGTCTCCGGTAGCATCTCCATAAGGGGTGCTACGGGATGGCCCCAGATGTAGCCTTTCACATGTACACGGGGTAATGACTCTGGTGGTACGTTCGTCTGGACATTGTGAGCGAGGTTCTCAAGGAGTGCAGCATCCGGGTAGTCGGTAAGAACCACCTAGGGTTTGAATAATGAGGGCGAGCGAGTTCGTAGAAGCATGGTAGCTGACCATTCCAGCATCATTCTTAGCCGTAACGATCCCAGGTAGCCCGCCCCCTGCACCGAGCTCGAGAACGGTACGATCATGATATAGCTGAGGCCGCTCGTCTAGATATGAGGCAAATGCTCGCGAGGCATTCCATCTACGACGCATGAGATACTTTGTTGAAGAAGATTGCAGAGCTCTGTACCCACAAGTAGTGGCCCCACAGCGGATGGGAGCCAACAAGGCGGATTTCAATCGATGACCAAGTTTGATTCTTCGTTGTTTCGTCGCCTGGAATATCTTGATTGCGTTTATATATTGCTGTCGTAGGTTCAGGTGTCGGCGGTCTGGGTGGTTCCTGAGGCAAAACTTCAATTTCGAGGAGTTCAAGTTCGATTATGAGATAACACTGACAGTGAAGACGGAATCGAGCGCGAACTCTTCCTCTCCCTCCGAGTCAGACATATTTTTTGTTCCGCAAAATGGTCGATAATATTCACCGCTTCGTCGAGCGCAAAGTACCCACCGAGACAAACCAAGTACTTACTGATGCGGACTTTTGAGACAAGTGGTTCAAATTTGTGCGGATCTAAATAGCAGATCTCGATCGATCACACAATTTCCTTTTTGGATGCACATGTAATTTCTAAAAATCAAATGTGTCGATACTTACCGAAGTAAGGAGATAAGTTACATCATCGTAATACTTGTCTAGCCGACAACTAGAGAGTCATGGCAGCAACATGTCCCGGTCCAACCAAGCTCTAATCGTCCGCTTCCTCCGACAGCGTTAGTCGTTCGTGGCACAACCGCGCAACGGCAGCACCGTCGATGGGAATCTCGTTACCCTGGAAGCCCTCAGGGTAATTGACCGGGGGCACGTCAGGACGCGTAAAAGCCCTGGCATCCATCAAACGTTAACTTCGCCACACAGGTTAATGAGTCCGACGTACCTATCATTCCAGAACCCGTAGTGCACCATGCCGAGCGCCCGTGTGGTGTATTCGTAGTCGTGTGCAAAGCCTTCGGGGTAGAAAAATTCCATGACTGTCGAGCGCGGCGTCGGCCGCATCCAGACAAGGGACGTCAAACCGTTCCCGTGCACGCCCATCATGATCTAACCGTTTACGATAAGCTAAGGTTGATGAGTCGGCACGCATAAGCTTACCGTGGTCCGCCCAGAAAGCTGGAACTGCTCGATGCGCGACAGCTTGTCCATGCTCACAATATTGATCTCGTAGCCGTATTTGTCGCGCAAGCCATGCAGCTCGCGCACGAGCCGATCGTGATGTTCAGGGATCAACATGCGGCGACCCCAGTCCTGCCGCGAGACATATGTGATAACCGGGTTGCTCGCGACGCCCTTCACCGATGCGGCGCCCTCGTTTTGTGAGAGCCCTGCGAATCCCACGACGGCGTTACGGACCGTGCTCCACCAGTTCACGCTCCCAGGCAGCGCGAACGGATTCGAGGCCGTGCGCTGCGTACGCAGGAAGTTGTCGCCGTGCATGGCTGCAGCACGGTCTGCAAACACGACGCGGTCGAACACGAACACGCGGCCCGTGTCTGCGCGTTCCTTCCAGTCGTTCATGAACTCCATCGAGATCGACGGGAACGAGCTGCGCAGGATGAACTGGTTCATCTCGGCGTAGTCGCGCCAGTTGTTCGCATCCAGGTGGGCGAAGATCATCCGGCGAGGTGCCGGCAGAGACGTTTCCCCTGTCGGTGGGATACTAGGATCAAGAGAGGAATAGGTGCGCCAGAAGCCGAAGAATAACTCTGCGGCCCAGTGGTAGTAGTGGGTGATGCTGAAGGAATGTTAGGAAGACGGCCCAGATGCGCTCACATCACGTACAATTGTTTTGGGTCATTTGCCAGCCACTGGGGGTAGCTACGGTGAGTGAGGGAACGACAACGCTGTGGTAACCTGAAGAACTTACCGTCACGCCATCTAATCGTTCTGCACTTGGGCCGAAAAGAAGCCGAGCCTGATTAGTGCTCACAATACGCATCTCTTTGTCAGTAGGGATCCGTTCTGCCTCAGCAATCGGCCCATTGTTGATGAAGACCGCTGTCGAAGTTATTCGACTGCGGTCGGGTATTGTTTCAGGTGTGTCCGTCACAATGTAGACTGTGCCATTCAAGAGGTATAGTCGGTCAAAGATTGACCACCCTGCAGGTGAATCAGCAACGCGTCCGAATCAATATTCTCAATGCGCAAATAGGGCTTCAAAGCGATTCCCGGGAGCGACAATGGCATGAAATGCATTTTGACGATGTAGAATAAATACGGCGTTCAACACCTCATTTAGCGAGGTGCACTAAGATCAAATCGCATGGCGACTCGTTAGGCATAGCACTGCCAACGTCTAACAAACGCAATACGACTTAAGAACACACACACTCCGGGCAATAAACTATGCCCAAGAGCCTGTATCAAAGGCCATGCGACTTACCGGGCACATGGACGACTACTTTCGTCTCCGGTACTTGGCCAAGACCCCATACGAGGGCAGGATTTAGAGACTGCAGGGTATATTGAGACTCAAGTGTCGGCGTTAGTGCCTCTGAGCTCTTCGTAGATTGCAAGTAAGCTTTGGAGAAAGTAAGAGCATCTCCTGCACTTGTTGGGAGGTTTGGTGTGACGACGAGCAGCAGAACGAGTAAGACCGCTAGGAGAACAACCTCGCGCGCAGTGGGCGCAAGCGGCGGCATCGTCTTGAGCACTACGGCTTATATTAGTGTTGCCAGGTTTATTGTATGCAGATTGTTACGGCTTGGACTAACAAGAGTCTCCAGTTAACCGAAAGCCGGTCGTAGAAGGTGAAGGCTGCAGCGATGGTGTGACACACCGTGGCAGTGACCCAGCAACGCGACCTGTCACGCGTTCAGCACGCGTCTTGTCATGTCGTGGGCCTTGGTCCGGGCAACATACAGCATCATGATAATGTTCAAGGCATACTTCTACATTTCCTCGGGGGAAAGTACGGATACATTATAACTGACGCATACGCAGAATGACTACAGATGCGAGGCTTAATTAAAACGGCTCCTCAGTGGGAAAGAACGTCGGGTCATAAGGAATGCAAGGTGTGTGGTCGTTCATGGACCTCGTACATGTAGCTGCTCCGCTGGTGCTACAAGCTGGCACGCAACTTGAGTCAAGGCAAATATCGCAAAACGTCAGTCGATGCATACCTCGAGCCGTTGGCTTGACGATCAGGGCAATAGACATGGCGTGGTAGTCTGGTACTGGGGCACACGGTCAACATGTTATTGTAGGCCCTTGAGGCTGAAACATTCTCACCTGTACAGATGTGTGGAACGCTCAGGGTATACAGGTGAACATAGACCACTGGGTTGTGGGCGGTTGGTCCGTAGTCACGCTCGGTTGGCTTTTATCCGTCGCGCAAGTTGCCTGTGCGTACCGAAAGCGCAGAGCAACCCCGGACAGCCTGGATGAAGTCGTGAGGTCCCCAGGCAAGTGAAGAGTCGTTATTATGCATGTATCGATAATCTAACGATACCACTAGACGAGGTGCTATCGATCGTACAGCCGGCGCGTATAACGCCCTGGGATACAGGGCTGACGAACACAGTCCTTACGTATTAATCTCTTGGTAGCAATGTCCATAAACAGGACGAAACACCACTTCAAGAGCATCGTCTCTTGCTGAGATGAAGCCCCCCTCGTGACATCTTCGGCCTTCACTTCGGCCGACGTTCGTCGCAGCAAGACAATTACCTCAATCTCTAGTCGCCGTTATCCTACATGGAACGTTCTTAAGACAAAGGACTCGCCGCGACCCTCGGATGTGGTGCTGTATTTCATCTCGGGGGAACAGCACAGCCAAGTCGCTACGTCACGTTGGGGTATCCGTGCCTGCTAGGAAAGACCACCCATCTCGACCAGCGAGGCTGCCGCATGCAACATAAGAGGACAACACGACTTGAGCAGAGTTCCGATTGGGTCGAGACGGGATGTATCTAGCCTCATGCATGTCGTACACTTTTCCGCAGCCTGATCAAGGTCCGACTATGCGAGGCTTCGAGAAGGTCTGCATTGCGTTTGAAATGGGAAACGGTTGTACCTTTGTACCTGAACTGCGGCTATGATAGCTTGTCCGAGGATGGAGGTTACATACCGGAACTCGTCAAAGGTGATAAGTCAAGCCCGAGGCGATGGCGCTCATATACAACACATTTGATCGGCAAACTTATCTTCATTCCTCGAATCACATATTCTCTTCCATACTGACTTCAGGCGAACTCTCACTAGCGCCTATGCTTAGCCTGCGCTTCACCAACCTAGCACGTACATCAGAGCACTTGTGAGCATCTTCCAAAATGGCTCCGCAGTCCACACGCACCGTTCAAACACCACCAACGGGCTCTCTGCAGCGTTGTCAATGCGCTCGTTCCCAGGGTTCCGGGCGTCCGCAGAAGTCGCGTATCCTTGCAGTGGCACCCAACTGCTCAATGGACTCGTCCCGGGCTCGTACGTCGCTTGCGCAACGTATAGCAGCAGCCCATCGGACTTGATCTCCGCCGGGACTGTTTGTAGCTGGATGAGGGGCGCCGGCGCTGCATCGAGATCCATCGCGGGTGCATCATGCTGATCGGCACTGGGAATGGAGACCGAAACACAGCGCGGAGCGCGCGTCATGGGGATCAGTGCGTTCGCGAGGTGCGAAAGGGTAGTGTTCGTGTGATATGGAATGGGAAGAAGGGTGTTGGGGTGCGGAAATTGGTAACGAGATGACTCGCTAGAGGACTTTGGTGCATCCTGTGCATGGAAATCAGCTGCGCTGGGTGGGGGCGGGAACGGCGTGAGCTCAGAGAGGCGCGTGTCTCGCCACCAGAACCTGAAGGGTGTCTCGCATTCTCCGACGTCTTGACCTTTCCACTTGAGGACGTCAAGCACGTGCAGGATGCCGTTCTCTCGCCAGTTCTCGTCCAGGATGCAGTCAAGCACCGTCTGAGGTGGGAGCGGAGACGGGAAGGGCTTCATGAGGGGTTTGCCAAGCACTCGGGAGCGTAGTGTCAGATTGGGAGCTATAGATAGTTTTCAATTATGCTTTGCGAGTAGTGCGCGGGATGTAGGCTCACCTATACCGGCGATCCCAGAGGTATGGTGTGTGACAGCAAGACAGCGCTTGCCAGCGGGTACGGGTGTGACGGCGACCCAGCCGGTTTCGATGTCCTCGGGTATACCGTCGTGGATTGGCATGATAATTTCCGCATCCTCGATCATCTCGAGGAGCTCTGCGTACATGCACTTGTCTGCCCAGCGGCCGAGATTCTTGTTCTTTGGTCCTTGCGCGTCTTGCCGCGCCTTACCCTTGCGCTTCTTACCTCGCTTTTTTTCTTTCATCGATATGTCTTTCGTCTCCGACGAAGATTGAGTCTGTGCGGCGGCTGTGCTGGAGAAAGTAGTCTCTGAGAGACCTGACGACGGAAGCATGCTGGCAAAGGAGGAAACGCCTTCATGAACAATCTCGGGTTCGTGTTTTGCGCTGTCGTCCTCATCTGCCTCCTCATCGGACGGACCAAGGGTGAGATCGGCGAAAAAATCTAGTTGTCTGGTGGAGTCAAAACGCTCTGCGCGACGCTACGGAAATCAAGTGTCCTTTAGCACCGTCCAAAACAAAGTGGATATGGATAGCGCACACGTTTCTGTTCTTCCAACGCCTGTCTCAAATCTCAGCGTGGCCAGCATATAAGAAGAGGCGTGTGCTCACTTTCTGTCTACGGTGCTCCTGCGATGTCAGTGGATTTATCACAGCCGCAGGAGGCACCTTGTAGCTTGTTTTTCGATCGTGCGACATGGTCTGTTTCTGACAACAACAGGGTTTGAGCGCTACATTTGATAACATCTGCTGAGCCTCATCACCTTGATGTGAATAAATGCAGCAAATGGATCTGGGCAGAATCGTCAAGTGTGGGTTACGATGCAACTATCAACACAAAGTTTGACCTTGTCGTCCACCCTGGCGTGAGTGATCACTGGCCGTGGGACGCCACCGCAGGGGTGTATGTGTGTAAGGTCAAGCGGTTAGCGAGTCACCTTTACGCGCGACTGTGAGTGTTACAGAAGGTTTCTACCATAAATGTGATCAACAGACCGTGAAGACGCACTACTTCAGAAAACTGATATGCTGCTCTAGCGAACGCCTGGAATTGAAAGCATTCGTCCCTTGGCTTGCCACTGACGCGATCGGCACGTGCATCCCCGGCTCCTGATTCGCTGGCGAGCGACGCGTCGTATTGATGTTATTTGTTTACAATATATGTCGATCCTAACTTGCCAATCATCACGACCTCTTGCTTACCGAACCGTTGGGTGTCTACTCAGATTTCTGAGCAAGCGACATAGTTCGCATGACATGAAGCTTTGCATTTGATTCATTTGTTAAACTCAGCACAACCAACCGGGCGAGTACGGGGAGGTGGCCGAGGGCAAGCATCTCATGGATTGTTCTCTCGGTGGTGGAAGGCAGGCATGAGAAGCCGCAAGGCACCTTATATGTACTTTCTATGCTCACCAACGAGGTACGTGGAACACGCAGAGCTATAAAAGGGAATCTCAGTTTGATGACCATCGTACGTCGCCATTGACTACACCAATACCAAGCCCGAGGCCCATCGTTTCGCGTCTGGTAGGTGAATGTCTCCTGATCAGCGGCTGCTGTTGCACCAGTCGGTTCCACCTCGTACTCGCTCATTGGTCAATTTGCAAGGCAAGCCCGAGGGCATCCGCGGACTGTCATCCCTGCAAGGGGAAACACTGTTGAATCTTGATCCTAGTTTCACCTTCCTTCCCACTTCTGGGCTGTCGTTTCCCTAGCTGTGGCTTCCTTCGTGGAACACTATGGCACCTAGTGGGAGAGTGGTCTCACACTCCAGAGGGCGGATGCAATATGATATCGCAAGATCAGTTGAAAATAATGCTGGCAGCCCTGTGAAGGTGGCAGCTTTCGACAGCGACTTGGCAGCGAACTTTGTCGCGAGAAGGACATAATATGCAATCCAAGCCATCGTGCCCTGCTTGCAGACATTCCACGTGATGTGGCACCCGAAGACGGATGTCCTATCACGATGTGCATGCATCTCACGGGATCCACACTTGATCAAGAAGCTCGTTCGCTAACGTGGGGTACCCCGCAGAAATCTGTTTGCTCACCAGCCGACCATCTACGGTATTTGTAGACATGCCCCGTGGTTTTATTCGCAGGATCCTCCTCGCGCTGCTGGAATTGGTTTATAAAGTCTCATGACTCGGGAAGGACTTGCGTCCCCCAGCTTCTCGCCAGGCGATTCCTCTCATGCTGGCAGCAGTCTCGCCGTTTTGATCTCAACATCACGGCATTGGCTTCTCTCATTCAGTCATATCTTCGGCTGTTTTCATTTCGCACAATGCTGCCTGGGGACGCACGAGGGAAGAGTATCTCCAGCATTGCTGCGGATACCGAGAAGGATGTGGTCGAAGAGAAGATCGTGGCTGTCCAGGAGCGTGAGGCAACACCGTCCGACGTCACGGAGTCAGATTTCTACGCATATCATGAACGAAACCCCGGGCGTCTTATTCTCGATCCAGAGTGAGCCACATGTATCGTCATCAAATCCAGCGTTTGAACATTATGTTGCGCAGAGAAGCGAAGGTCGAATTTGGCGAGGAGTGTCTGAAAAGGCTCAAGCTCTCAAAGGACGGCTCGAAGATTCTATGGCCGCAGCCTACAGACGATCCGGAGGATCCACAGAACGTGAGTTGATTTGAGCTCCGCAAGTGTGGAGCTCCCCATGATCGCCCTTGGCACATCAGTGGTCAGATCGCCGCAAGAGCTTCCAGCTAGTGATCATTACCCTTGCTGCCATTGTTCCGGATTTCGACTCGGGTATCGGTATGTCTCACACACTCGCCCGATTTTGATCGTTTCTCATGTAAAACTTGCACTCGACAATAGGCATTGCGTCTCTGTTTCAACTGGCCAAGAAATTCAACACCACGACTGGTCTAATCAACGATGAAACATCGAAGTGCGCGATTTGTGGCGGTATTTTTAATGCAATTGAACATCTAACATCGCCTATGGCTTCATTTCCCGCTTCCATTCATTGCAATATCTTGCACGACAATGGGAACTTCTTGATGGTCTACGCTTCTATTGCAGTTGGAGCATATTCTTGCTTGGTACGTCGAAGTTTCTCATGCGCATCATGGCATATTCATTTAGTTCACAATGGCAGGTTGGGGTAGTATATTCGCTGTCATGTTGATGCGCCGGTATGGGAGGTTACCGATCCTGTTTTGGTCGCAGGCAGGTCTTTTCTGCGCAAATGTGTCACACTTAATGTCTTACGCTTCGCACATGTCCTTCGTGGATTGCAGCTCCTAGCCGTGTCCTTCCTGGTCGGATGCACATTCGCGCCGAATCTCAACACGTTTGCAGGCATGTTCTTCACGACAGCAGTAGACTTACAACTGAACGCTCATGGGATGCTGCAGCAATGCGCTGCTTGACGGCGTTCTTTGGGTATGTACTTGGTCTTGGGCCGTACTGCACATTTTGACGTTGATATCGTATGTGCTGCGGTTGATTAATACGCAGAACCTGTCCTCAGGTGGCGGTAAGTCGATCGATAATTTCTGCTCTTGAATAGTCGATGCATCTGCACAGGGATTATATACGGTAACGGACATGTACCCGTTCCATCTACAGGCGAGGAAGGTCGGTGAATTCTGAATTCATACTCCGTTTTCGGCGTTCTTAACCTCCTCTAGCTCAACATTTGGACGATGGGCTTCATTGTCTCGCCTTTTATATCGCCTTGCGTATTCGGATTCCTCGCTGCTCGTGCCAAGTATGTCCAGTTTTGTTCGTTCCGGTATCGGGCAGCATCTCAGAAGCTTGGTTATCGTAATGATCAGCTGGCGCTGGGCATATGGTATAGGGTCTATGTACGGAGTGTTTGTAGTATTCATGATCACATTCTTCATGGAGGAGACGTGAGTGTATATTCACTCCAAGTCCGAACCGTTGATACAATTGACTTACGATTTTATCCTCTCCCTAGACTATACGATCGCTCCTTACCAGACCCTCGGCCGATCCCTCGACCACGTTCCCGAGTGCTCAATCGTTTCCAATCTCTGGTGGGCGTGTCAGGCTGGCGGATGGCACAATACCGGCCACGGTGGCGTACAGTTGTATTCGGCTGTATCAACCTTATTTGGCGCCCACACATCCTGAGCATCCTGATCTTCGAGGTATACTGAAATGCAGGATGCAGTGAATTCATGCTCATAATAGTTTTTTTGTTCAGTCTATCATTTGGGGATTCACCGTTGGGATAAATGTACATCTGGTCTTTGTCCGCCCTGGATGCGATTAACTGACAGGTTGCTCATGGGACAGACAACAGAAACTGTTCTACTGTCGGAGCCGCGGCCCAAAGGCTATGGATTCAGCGAGTACGCGATTGCTGGCGCATACGCGACTCCGATCGTGCGTTGCGTTCGCATATTGGCACACAGCGTCATCACACACAAACGTTCTCATAGGTCGCAACGCTACTGGGCGAGCAGATTGGCCACTACCTCAATGACTGGATTATGGAGTTCTGTGTGCGACGGAACAAGGGAGTCTTCGAGGCCGAAATGCGTCTGTGGTGAGTTACAACATGTTCCCATTCATTGAGCGGGCCCGTCTTCTGAATTATATCCCTGCCATCTACTAAATCGATCTTCACTCAGGGCTTGCTACTTCGCGGTGGCCCTGTACGTGCTAGGTTTTGGTGTGCTTGGATCTTCCATGCAGCGCTTGAATATCGCCGGACTTGTCATCGGCTGGGGCCTTGCACAATGCGTAGTCGTGTTCAACACCGTAGCAGTCTGTGCGTCCTTCCTCCTCCTTCGTTGTTTCCTTTGTCTGATAGCAATCCAAGATGCGTATTGCAACGATTGTTTCCCTGGCAGCCAGGTACGTTCGGCAATTAATGATGCAAGCTCAGGTAGATTGTGACGGTGACCTCTAGGGCGAGATATCTGCCCTGGTAAACCTCTGTCGCACTCTTGGTGGATTTAGCGTAGCGTTCTACCAAGTCCCTTGGGCCACACGAAATGGCCCTTTGCAGACATTTGGCGTGGAGGCAGCAGTTGTTGTAGGATTATTTTTCCTAATTGTCCCGGCCCTGCAATACAAGGGCGCATATCTCAGGGTAAGCAACGCACCATGACTTATATAGAGTCACGTACTGAAATTGTCTTCGCAGGCGAGGTTTTCAAAGTGATGTCCACCTTTGTATTGCATCTGTGGCAGTGGCGGGTCTTAGTTTTGGAAGAAAATATTGCCTTACCAACGCTTTGACTGTTCTTTGAGGCCTCAGCTTTTCCCTCGTATTCAACGCAATATCTAGAGCCCAGATATGTCAACGAGATCCGCTGCACTCTTCTGCGCTAGTCCAAACAAATATTACAGAGAATACACGCAGGATGTAAGCGTTAGTAAATGCACAAATAAGCGACAATAAGAAGGTCGGCCACCTTATGGAACTTATTACAGGATATAGATAAACCATTAATGCTACTGATCGGCGTTCTTCCGTCGACTAAGCGGTCGGTTTCTCTAGATAGCACAGCAAACGGGTCTTAGGCAAACCACCGGGCATCCAGAGAAGGCAAATGTGGGGAAAACCTTTGATACTATTTTTCGCTTGAAGGAGTATATGGTACGTATTCTCTGGACAAGGTAACTCATAGCGAATGTATAAGAGGTCCCGATGAGGATCACAATGTCATGTGCGACAGTATGTGCACAACATCGTCTTGCGATTCTATGATTGAATATGTTTCTTCCGGTTCGAATGCAATACGCGGGATCTTTTTAGTCCATTTCTCCAGGGCAAGTTCGAGCTTCGCAGCATTGGATTGGCCAGGCATCCATAAGGGATGCAAGATGAATTCTCGTACTCGCTCCTCGGTGATATCCTCGCGTGTCACCACCGGTTCAAGCACGGGCCAAGGGAAATTCACGAATTCGAATGAGAAGGGCTTGCACGGAGCAAGACTTTCAAGCTGCATCCATTTGTAGTTGTACGTCGAAAACACCTTCGTGAGTCGTTCTTTCTCTCGACGAGCACGCCTGGTGGTCTCTTCCTGGAACTGTCGCTGCCGTGCTGCCGCCGATTTCCATCCTGCGGCTTGTTCGGCGTTGAGCGTACCCAAAGCAGCTCCACGCTCCATCGTGGACCGCGCCCTAGCAAACGCTACGCGGTTGGCCTTGCTAGCTTCTATCTTCTCCAGCTGACGAATGAAGTGTTTATCCTCCTCATCGAGAGGACCGTTAAATCTGACACCGTGTGCCCAACGCATGGGAGCCTTGACAGTCGAGTGCGAGCCCGTGGAAGTAGATGGTGCAGTTTGTGGAGTATGCTGAGCGGTCGTGCGCGGAGGCGCCAGCTGCAGCATAAGAGTGTCATCCCGATTCTCAGGTGTGGCTTTGGGACGCGTCATTGGGGTGGCTGCCGCCGAGGCCACATTCATGATAGACTCGTTGTGGGTGGGCGAGCCCATGTGGTAGTCAGGCAACCTAGAACCAAGTGGTGATTTATTTCCGGTCGGCATAGGATTGGTCCTAAGCCTCCAGGGGCGCGGTGGAGGACTCGGATATGGGCGCGGGCGATTAACGCGAGGCTGTTGTCGATGCATGACGAGGAGGCGAATAGAAATACGTCGGGAGTCAGGGTATTTATTAGATCCTAAGCAATCAGCCACAGGAGTTAGCGGAATTGCTGGAACGAAGACGACGAGCGCATTAAGCACTCGCGCTCCCTTGTGCTTGTTCCCCTTGTTCTTCACAGAATAAACGCTTGCTCCGAGGCGCCTGGGAACAGTGTTGGTATCAGAAGTTCGGGACTCAGGGGCGCTGCCGCGCTTAGGGGCACGGGATCACGATATTGACAATGACGACGGGTGGCTCGACTCAACGGTGGCGTCAAGCAATGCGGCCACGTGCCAAAGCAAATGGTTTGGGACTGAATATGGAATGGATTCCCTCACAGTAACATCAATATGAACGTAAATAGCAGGGCGGGCAGGGGAGCATTGCCTTTCAATGGTCTGGAAACTTCAACTATGGTGGCAAGATACAGATCAATGTCTCTGGGAACGGCCCAAGTGTAGCCTATCACAGCGGCTGGTCCCCGCTTTGAAGGTCCGGGCGGCAGGCTACGCTTCCGGAGACAATGTGGCGACAAAGACAATGCGAAGGCACAAAGCGAGGATGTGGCGTCGTCGGGGCTTGGAGACATAAAAGAAGGCAAGGACAAACCAAGAAGAAAGCCTCTCCGAGCCGGCCATTCGACTGCAAGTATTCTCTCCATACATAAGGTGTGTCTGTCACGCATCCAGTTGGTGCCACTTCAATAATGTTTGTTAGGCTTCGCGCGATTGCCTCAAGCCATGGACGCTGACATCGCCATCATCACACCAACTCCAACAGGCCAGGGGAAGCGTACGCGCTGGATCCCGGCGGACTCCAGAATGGTGACCCTGCACCCAATGAAACGAATAATCCCGAATCGTGTGACTGGTGGTTTCCACTACGCGGACGAGGAGGCAGCCGCCGGCGAGAAGATGGCTGATGGTGCTTCTGAGTACGCGGGCGTAACACGCGTCCAGGACGATACCGAGGAGAACCCGCTCAGCGATAACAACCAGGATGAGAGCGACGACGACGACGATTCCGACTCTGGTGCATGTCGTGCACAGTCTCTCGAGGCCACGGAGCCCTATAGGACTGTCGCTTCCATTGGCAACTCAACGGAGGCGACCGCCATCTTTTCCTCTCAAGCCACAGTCAGGGTAGATTCTGTCGTTCGAACGCCCGGCAGGCCTCAGCTTCCGAGGCCCACGGCGCGCACATCATGCAAGCCTGAGTCCCATGTCGACGACAAAGCGATGGACACCGAGACGGAGACCAACTCTCAAGCCGACGACGAGGAGATATATGACTGCACAACGACCGGCGACGAAGACGAGTATATGGACGACTACACTGGGTCTGATGACGACGACGGCGACGAGATGGACCAACGTTCGGAGGCTGACACCGAGATGGCAGACGACCGGACGGAGATTGCTTCGCAGCCTTCTCAGGCAAGCATCATAGATGCTTCCCCAGCTGGACAGCCCCACGGTCCCGGCGAGTTGGGCCCCAGGCAACACAAACGGCAGCCCATGTCGGCGCGTGAGCGTTGTAACGCGGAGGACGGGGTCATCATGAAAATTTGCAACCCCACCAAAGAGCTTCGAAAGATACTATGGAGGAGTATTCCAGGGGTGCCAGAGCAATACATGCCATTCCCGGAGGACCACCCGCCTCCTGAGGTGGCGCACCCTCCGGTTCGCGCAACAGAGTATCGCGACAAGAATGACACAGTCTGCATCGACATCTTCGAGACGTCTCCCGAGATCCGAAACAAGATCCGCGAGCACTTAATGGCAGAAATTTGGCCGCAGAATGACGATAATGCCGAAGACCGAGACAAGGAGAACTTAGAGCCGCCGCCGACACATCGTCGCAGGTCGAGTTAGGCCGGCTCGTGCAGCTCTAACTCACAGAACATGAGCGGGCTCGATAACATGGCCTAGTCGGAGTGCGTCGCATCCTGAAAGCAAACGACACAAGGCATGAGAGATGTCCCATCGGGCAAGGCTATGCCTAAACGTCACCTAAGTTGATAGCAGACACCGTAGCCCTCTCCAAGGAACCTGATAGAAGGTAGCTTTCGCCGGCGAGAATGTACATATCCTCTTATTGCATCACGAATGAGTTGGCATCGATAATCTGGAACAATTGTGAGACTGTGATTGAGGGAGCTATGTCTCGGAAGTTTGATGAAACGGGTAAACCTGATCCAGCCTTCCTTCTATTAGGTCTCGCTCACGACTGTGACGAGAACGAGAGAGAATTATCAACTCTGTATAAATTCTGTATGAACATAGAACCAAATAGCACTAGCAATACAACAACGACTGAATGAAGGAACCAAGAACGTACGTACGATGCAGTCATGAACGATCATAGATATACCCAGCCAGATCCACAAGAACGCCATCACTCTGCCTTCTTCGCGTCCGCAGTCGGTGCAGGGCCCTCTACCGCCTTGCGCCGCTCCAACACCTGGACCCACTTTCGTGGGAACCAGCCTTCCCGGCCATCACGCGTGCGGCCCTTCCACCATTCGCTTCCCTCGGGCTGTTGGAGGACGTGCATCAGCGGGACAGCTCACAAAGCGGATTCACAACACATACCTCGAGCCGCGGGTCCATCTCCATCCCCGTCGCTGGGTCCAATTTACCCATGATCGCGACGATTTCGTTTTCTTTGAGTGCAAGCTCCGCGGGCGTTGACGCCTCGAACGGATACAGTGCCCGCGCAAACGTGAGCTGCGAAGGGTCCAAGGGCGGCAAAGCGCCACCCTGCTGCTCGGCGAGTGCCTGCTGGCGGGCAACAAGTAGCCGCACGAGCCTGTGCATCGCGTACGGTATGCCAAAGATCGCGAGCAGGAAGATCACCAGCGGCTTCTTGCTTGCCTTTGGTGGCGGTGCGCCTCCGCTAACGGGCTGCACAGGACGGCCGTTCATGAACTCGCTGAACTCGCCGCGCATGCCGCCAGAACTGTGTCTGCCTGTGACGAGGTCGCGTAGCCAGCGCAACAGACCAAACAGCCCGAGCACACTCCCGAGCGCCGCGCGCAGCTGGCCAATCTGGTCGACGACGCCGACCATGGCAAAGAAGCTCGAGTGCGTCGCCATGAAGGTGCTCTCGAGCATCTGTGCGACGCCCCCGAAGGTCTGCACAATGGAATGCAGCAGCGCGAATGTATTTTGTGTCGTGCTCTCCAGAGTCTGCGTGAGCGTCGGCTGCGAGGGGTCGAATTGTCCTGGTCCTGGCATGCCGTAGCCGGGCATGCCGCCGTACATCCCGCCCATTCCGCCCATTCCGCCGTAGGAGCCGTATCCACCACCGTACATCCCGCCCATTCCTCCGTAGCCCATTCCGCCGCCCATTCCGCCGCCGTACATGCTGTTCATCCCGTAGGGTGAGTACGAGCTGCCGACCCGATTGTAGGGGCTGTATGATGAATATGGTGAAGAGTAGCCCGCTCCCTGGTTCATCAATGTCGCAGAGGGACTGGCGAGGCTTGCAGGACGAGCGGGAAGAGTTGGCGGGGTCGAGGTGGATGCGACTGGTGTGGAAGTTGTATTTGCTGCCAAGCTGCTCGCGCCTGCTGTTGTCATCGGCGTCGATGCAGCAGCACTCCCACGTTCCCAAGGTTTTGGAGGAGAAGGCATTGTTGTGCAAAAGATGAAAGAGAAGTGCAAGTGTTAGAGCAGAGCTTGATTAAAGGTAATTGTCGGAGTTTGAATTATCACTAGGAACCTGTACTTACTTATTTACTTACTTACTTACTTACTTACTTACTTACCATATCATTGCTAGCTTTCCTGCACCCGTCTTGCGAAGTTGTGACTTATATCGCGCTCCGCCATCTGCGAGCTTTATGTATAATTGTTTCAATCAGCTCACTACAAGTGTAAATGACGGATTTAGAGCGGCTCTTCTAGGTTGTTGCCGTGGGACCCCCCTCGTTCCTGTGTTAAGAGGAGCGTATCGCTGCAGACCGTTGCAATCAGGTTCACATACCATATCAGGTTTGTTCAGCCTCTCCTTACCCACAGTTTCACTGAACGGTAGATGTCACCATGCACGCAAGGCGTGCCACCTGCCGCCGTTCGCCGCAACGCGCAATGCTGTGACTCATGCACTTCTAAACCCTCCGTTCTCTAGGGTTTATTCAAAGGTGCGCAAACGTGTCATGATGTTCCATGATAAGAGCTATGCAATCGCCGCAACCCCGGACTGAGGTATTATACTGATTGATCGAATATACACAGGACTGCGTTCTGTCACGACTCTGCCATGGTGATGATAATATGCTACACGTTGTCCATCTCGTGGGATGCGGGTAGAGGTGATGTTTGCATTGCCTGACGATATTCTTTTAGCAGATTCCACGCATACGTGCAAAGTCATTAACTCACTGGGCGCATTCAGAAAGTACAAGATGGATATATCGGCGACGTACACGGCCCCTCAGGCGGGCACCCGACAATATCCGGGCATGGATGGGCGACATGAATCGTCGTTGTCGTAGGTGTAGGCTGAGGTCGGCCTGCGGTCATGCCCACAAACGCGATGAGCGGGACGATGACGATCGCTGTGCTGAAATACATAGTGGTAATATTGCGGTGCAGTGCAGCGAACGACGTTTGTAGGCCTGAAGGTTTGCGTGCTTGGACGAGAATGACGCACCCAAATGCCACACAGCCGTCTCTTATACGTTTCGCGACCGCCGTAGCGTCTTTGGCCCCGCCTCGAAGGCCCAACATCACCCAGTTGCGCTCCCGGGCCTGTTGTTATTGAAGCAGGCGCTACGTTTCGACTTGACGGCCGCGATATGGAGAACACCGCCTCCCGCCGCCACCAGCGCGAAACTATGCGATCCCCCGCGCCCACTCCCGCCGTGCCTGGGCGTTGCGCGCACATCAGCACTTGTGCCATTGACCGGCGACGGGGCCGGGTCTGGGATCGGTCCTATGCTCAAAAGGGCTAAAATCTGAATAGGTGCTGCTGCCGCCACCATTCTTGCCATTTTGTGCGTCCTCTCCTAGCCGTGGGGCTTGATGTTATGACAGCGCCTGCACCAAAAGGTCAAACCTAGTATTGCGAGTGCATCTGACGCGGAGAGGCTGACGAGCGCTCCATCGGTTGCTCACTGTTGACTTGTTTCTATCGATGATACCTGCAGCAACGGCGGTTCGTTGGCAAGTGCCACTGACGAACTGTGCGTTCTCAGCACTGCAGGGGATGATGAGTCGCTCAGAAATGGATCCGCATAACTGTACCACTCCCCAAGCGCTTTTGACAGGTTTTGAACGTGAGACACCGGGGAGAGCGGTAGTTGTTAACAGTTGTTGACTAGTTTCCGACATAACTCACACGAGTTTCCGGGCAGCGGCTAGACCATCCGTTCCGAGTCTTGCGCTTCACGGGACATCACTGGCGTACTGACAGACGATACTGGCTCAGATGCAGACAACTGTGCCATAGCGGATAGCATGTCTAATAGTAGGTTGCGGAGTCTCCAAGGGGCTCCTACATTCATGTGATTATCACCCCATGATGACCAGATCACCAAATAAGGCCCCAGCATCCTCATCTGTCTCGCTTTCATCCGACTTGCTGAGACCATCTACAGAGTCAGAAACCTCGTCCAATTTGTCATCAGAATCGGTAGTGTTCTCGCCAAACGCAAAGATGTCTCGCCACATAACGTCTGGGCCATATCATGATATTTTGAGTAGGATGAAAGAGTAGCACAGCGGTCTGGAAGGGCGTTTACGGCCCTGCGGAGTTTTGACATCATTGTATGTTAGCAACAGCCAAAATGATACCTCGAGTTTTCGACATAGACAATAACATATTTACAAAGACCTCTCCGTCAAAAATCTAAGAACTTGTCTGGGAACAATAATCCGCAAAGCTGTTTATGGGCAAGACTGGTCAAAAGCCTGCCCTCTCCGTATCTTTATAGATGCGATACCCTAGAGACACCACTCAGAGCGGAGCACAAGTCAGTCAGGTGCTGGTGCACTGCGACTGCGTCCGCACCTCCTTAATTCTTGAACATCAGGTTCGCTCTGGGAATGTTGCTTTTCCTTGCGTGAGCATGACTTAACATATGATTAAGAGTCCCCACAGTCAATATGGTGAGATGGCCGAGCGGTCTAAGGCGCCAGACTAAGGTGGCGTGAATCCACACTGAGGGATAATCTGGTCCGAAAGGGCGTGGGTTCGAATCCCACTCTCATCATTATTCATGACACTGTCAAATCAACCTTTTGTAACTTTTGCAATGTTTTTCATTGTCGATTCGAGCAAATTTTGGGACAGGGATTTACAAGATGAGGAGATTCATCCTTTGTGCATGGCTAAGTAACAACTGCAAAAGCCGTAATTGTGTAAGGTCGCGGACACAAGGCTTGGCTGATCATGCATTATTGGTGAAAGATCTTCTCGAAACCCCCGTCCACTCGTAGATTGTAACCGACAAACCAACTGAGCCTCACGAGGGGCAACTCTGCATTGATGAACAAACTGTATAACGTATGTAAACGATCCGTGCCTCAGGGCGAGTGCCTTGGAGCTGATCTCAAACAAGAACTGACATCCGCTCCGAGACTGCGCGTACGTATTTTAACAATAAGAAAGCGAACTAGGTTATGTGCCAAAGCATGACGTCATCGACGAGGGTATCAAAGAGACTGCGTATAAGACGTCTCTAGTAGACACCCTCCGAGCGCGAGATGATCCACCTGCACGATAAGTACTGAATTAGCACCGAGCACGCAGGCAGAGAACGGGAGTACGTACCAGGCATGTATAACACCGGGGATCCAACCGAGGATCCACAAGCAGATGTTGATCCAGAAGTCTGGCGAACTTGACTGAGGGAGTGCGAAAAGGGGCGGGATAATTTACAACATACCTGCCCTGATGCCGCGCTCTGGTGAATAAGTGTCAGCGCTGTGAAGGGTACCCGATGGATTTATCACGTACTGAAGAACACAGCGAGCGGCGGGATGAACCTGCGGGGTGTCGGTCGGTTCAGTCAGGCGGATAGAGAAGAGGATGAAATGGGCACTCACAGAGCGAGAAAGTAGAGAAGCACGTCGTGAGTCGGCGAGACCGACCTCCGAGGAGCGACGGCGACGGGCGCAGCGCCGGTGGTGGTGGTTGCGCCGTATGTGGTGGGTTGAGCAGTGGCCATTGTGTAGAGTCGGGCGAAGGTCGTGAAGAGTTCGTCAGGGGCGTCGAAGGGGTTGAGGTTTTGGTATAGGGGTAGAGTGGTCTCGTGAAAGAAGTGTTCGATAAAGCGCGGGGCAAACGCACTTTATAAAGTAATGCGGCGGAGTAAGCTGGAGTAAGGTTATCCGGCTAGGCACCACACTGGCGTGGCTGTATTCCGCGTGCGGTGGGCTGAACGATGCGACGATGACGTCATCGCCATGAACGGTCGCCCCTACGCGTGCATACTTAGTATAATACAGTAGCTCGATGTACTTGTTATTTTACACTAACTCATAATTTCGTACGTATGTCCATGCTTGCGACCATATCCTAGAATACCCTCGGGGACAAAACTGGGTATAAAGCAGGTACTCGCCTTAGATCATGACCTGAAGGATTCATCATGACTGCCAAAACAACTAAATATCATGTTCGGATAGCATGAGTAGCCTCCGAGTCTCGAGGGCATGATGCAGTCAACGCCGCAGGCCTGTCTCGAAAAGCCACTCGGAGGCCCCAAGTCCAACTTGAAGATGGCAAATTCAATAGAACTCGTTGATGGTGTAGAGTGAAAAGAAGTATGTCAATTTGCAGTATTTCCAGCAGCATAAAATTAACATTCAGCAGTACACGCTGATTACGGTACGAATCTAACGGAGAACCCTCAGCCATGACAGCAGAAGTCGGCGCGTCGACGCGACCACGTGACCGCATGACTTGATTCCTCGACGCGCTCGTGCAGTCGTCTAACCTTGTCAGCAAATGGGCTGGGCGGTCGAGTGTGGGACGAGCGGTGCGGAAAGGCCGCGGCCCTCCGCAATACGGACAAGGAGTGCCTAACAAACAGAACGCACACACAGGGTCGAAGAATCACCCTACCATTGTGACACTTTCTCCACCGAGTGGTCCTTACAGCGGTCCTCAGCACCGTTTGACGCGTCCTGTACATAACAATGATCCCGGGCCAGGTTTTCCAGAAAATGCGGGTGTGGGTATCCTGCCTGGAGCTCGAACAGGCTCCGCTAAGCATTGGGGCCGAGTGGGATCCAGCTTGACGCTGATCCGAGTCATTGATTCCATTAGCAACCATTAAAGTATAAAGTATCTTGTGCTAAGTCTAGATGTGCCTACGGGCTCATTTATATTTGTATGCTATTCCCCCCCTCCCTCGAGACATTGAAAGATGTGTCGAGCTTGTATTCCTCAGAGAGCAACCGGTACATCTCAAATTAAGCAATAGAACTACAGCGGAGTGTATATCAGATTTGCTAGGATACTTCTAACCGCCGTACTGCACATGCAAATCAGTCGACTAGGCGTCAGGATACCGGTGGATTGTGCGTCGGACCTAGTACGGCGGACCGGGATCTATCGACGACGCTAATAGCTACAACACGCGGTACTCATTTCCGTTCAGTCCACGAACTGGACCGAAGAGAGGATCACATAAACTCCAACAGCTGCCGCGGGTTCTTCTTCCATAAAGCCGCTGTTCGTTAACGCCAGAACAACAAGCTCTTGCTGCAGCCCGATCCCGGTGACGTGTGCATACCTGCGGAAGATGACTAGTAGGACAACGTGAGAACGAAAGAATAGGCAGAAGCAACCAGAATACCGATCCCGTGCACCTAGCGCTACTCTAGTGGACAAACTACCTGACGGATGCTACCCTGACGGTGACCATGTCGCCCTGAGCAAAGCTAATCGTAACATCGTGTCTGATCCACGGTTCGACCGAGCCGAAAAGGAATCCGGCACTACTTCCATGAGAAGTTGTGCCCATTATAGGGCATAGCACTGCCGCAAGGCCGTGAGACACCATCAGGTAGAAATCTCGTTGGAAGTACGTACCCTGTTGCAGGGATGCATCAAGCTACGCCGAGGCCCATGCTCCCGGTGCTTCGTGCAGCTCTTTCACACAGCAGCATCGGGAAAGCACCTAGTAGAATGGTTGTGAACAGTCAGACTGAGTTCCCAAAAAGGACGAGTAGCGTTGCATTACGCCTCGTCGGCGAACTGATCTTGAAGATATGCGTTCTACGAGACCAGTGGCTCGCTCTTGCACGCCGATGGCGCCAAGGTATCTTGAAAAGGATGACGTACCGCCGCAGCTGCAACGACATGAGGGAACCACAAAAGAGCGGAATGGTTGCTCGGCAATCTGCGTAGCGCAAAACGCACAATCAAACATGGTCAAAATCGCAAAATCCTTGATGGAGAAGGAAAGGGATTTGAAGTGTGGGACAGACAGCTCCCTTTGAAGACGTTGGGGAATGGAGACCATACGTAGAGCATTTCGCGAAGCACTCGGTGACTGCATCCTGATGGTCAGAGACACTCAAACTATTCAGCGTAGGGGTCAACGGATATCGAACGCTGGGGGCGAATCGGCGGACGATGCGTGCTCCGGAGCTGACTGCCCGCCGAAACGCACGCACGCATTCCAGCGTAAACGTCACTCACCACCCAAAGGCTGCGAAGCAGCGCGTTCCCGGCTTCCTTATCGCGAACTCTACAAAACGTACCCTCATGGAAGTGAGGCGTACTTTTGGGGATAGATGCCCTTGCAGGTTAATCAGCATGCTGACAACTCAACTTGCATAGACCACGCACATGTTCGCTGGAACGCACAAGAATACGTACACAAACTACCCTTGCCGTTTATTGTGAGACAGCAAGGGCAGTGCGCCGTCATCTGCTCTACCAGTCCTCGACGAACATGCCAGGGCAACCATCGGATATAGAGCGGCCAGCAAGCTGGAGGCTATGCCGTCGTTTCCTGCAGGCGCATCACGAGATCCAATGAATGGGTTACATCGTCGGGGTGCAAACTTGCGGACGCTTCAACCGTATACCATCGAATGTGCGACGTAAACATCGCCGCAGCCAAGCATGCTTGGACGATCTTGACACATTACTGCGTGAAGGAGAAGCAGTCTTGCTGCAAGAGAACAATTCTGTATGAGGCGGTAGGCAGTGCAGCCTGGTCGGAAATCATGACTATCGCCTACCATCGGAATGTCGCATAGAATGAAGGTGCGCTGCCAAGCAGACCAGAACTATCCTAGTACGCGAAGATGGGGAGACAGCGCCTTCCGTGGGACCTAGTAGCAAAATCTTCGCGATCCCTTTCGCAAGGATGCACACCCCTAGACCATAGCAAAGCCGAAGAATGACTGGCAGGAATCGAAGCTCTACGTGCTGCCCGGGGACCTAGAGGGACACCGAAACATCGGAGACCACCCGTATCGGGCGAAGAAGAGTGCTCCAGTCTGGCCCTTGAAGCTTGAACCGTGGAGCAGTGCCGGCAGCGGTGATTTCGAAAATGTGGAGAAACCTAGGGCCACTGAGAACGCGCGTCTTGTCACCGAGAAAGGGTGAAGCGCAAGGCCGAGTTTGGTTACGTCCTCGACAGCCGGTGAAGTTGCCTAATGCACAACTCTATATTACCACGGCGTCGTGTTGGAAGCAGTTAGTGTATATCGCACAATCACAGCTGACGTCCTTCCAGGTACGGTGCGGTGCCTATAGGGCGACACGAACACAGAGACGGCGGGGCTTAGCTGTCGTAATCGAGTGCGCTGAACTTACCTCAGCGTCTAGATAGACATCTCGAGGAGGCTTCAATCGCCAGTAGAAGCAGGTACGAGCAATTCAAGTCGAAAGTGTCTGGCAGAGGAGGAAAGGCGGACACGGCTGCCCATTCGCGAGTCGTCGTCATCCGGGCCGACGATGGTGTCGAGTACTACGAGCACTTCGATTGGAGGTGACATCTCCCTACTCTGATTGACAAAATGGTCAATGAAGATCATCGAATAGCCTACCATGCATTAGTCGGCATACAAGAGATATGGATGTCACGGCTGCACGTCATTGCCGACCGTACCGAGGATCAGGTAACAGTTTCGCCGCAATGCAGCGGTCACGTGCGGACAAGTCTGCGAAACATAGTATCCCAGACATGGGTCTAGTAGTCTGACTAAGACCGTCTAGAGCTGGCGAAGGCCAAAGATGCTACCTATACGATGCATCTCCCAATGTTCCTTGAGAGCAACCACACGCGCATAGGATACTTCTGGGGAGCGAGTGTCGCACAGTTGTGTGGGAGCATGCTGACCAGCTGTTCTTGGGGTTCCAAGACACTGCGACACTGACCCCATGGGCTGCGTGAGCCCCCCATACCCCGAGTTGAGTGCTTCCTGGCATGTTCCACTGAGCCAAACCCACACGGAGGCATATCCCCCGCACCCTATCTATGCCAATGCACCGCGGGGAAATGACCTGAAAAAGGCACGACATCAAGCTGGAAACGCACCATGTACGGAACGTAAACTTTGGAATGGAGTGCACCACGATCGATCCGTCCATACCCTAGTAGTCCAATATGTGTCAGGTATGACCTGCCCATGTCAAGATTTGGTTTCACGTCCGCACGAGTAGTGGCCGCGCTCCGCATCAAGATCGCCCTGCTACATGATGAACGCAGCGAAAATCCTGCTCTCACGTCCAGCCAGTCTGATTTGTGAGTGACTGCCAAGGCACTGCGTCCGCTGTTCGCGCACATCGTTGCGCCTCGTCCCGGCTCTTCCGCCAACGACAGGTTGGCTCGGATTGAATGTGCGGCATGCGATTCATCGGATAAGATTCTTGCACATGTGACACTGAGCAGTATGGCTGCCCGCCTTCGTGACTATATCCGCTGTACATTCGCATGGAATACGCCTGGGTTTATTGTGAGTATAATGATGATGTCACTGCGGAGGGGAAGAGGAAGAACTTCGGTAACGCACGTACATTATCCTGGATGACCTCTTCCCCTGCCGAATGCCTCGGCGTATGCTGTCTGCCAGCTGCTACATCGCACGGCCGCATCGTGAGCGACTCTGCACACGCCCACCGATTGGGTAGATACTGAGTCTGTGTCCATCATTCGGCGCTGACGTCCTGCTGGACAGTCTCCATGCGGAGTAATTGCTCGCGGGAGAACGCCTTCGCAGGCCGACGTGACAGATGATGCAGATGCACGGATAACAGCCTGTGACTGAGCCGAACGCACAGCGCCGTGGCGCACCCCAGGACACCCGGAGCAGTGGCGGATCCGCTGATCGTCAGAGTTGATTGCCTGAGCGTACGTTCTCCAGGCGTCGCGGGCGAGATACGACACGCGCCACATCTGCGCCGCCCCGCCCTGCTCAATCGGCCGCTACCGACCGAGCCTGCGAAGGACAGCGCCAATATTACAGCCGGCGACTAATTTGCGTTGATAAACCGGCGCGCCGTGCCAGGTCAGGTGGATCTGGGCGGCCGGACTCCGTGAAGTGCGGTGGTTGTCAGGCGCAGTTCGTCGGTCAGTGCTCTGCTCCACCCATCTGGACCAGGGATGCTGACGAGGGGCGTGAATGCAGAGATAGTGCGAAGGTTACGCTCCCTGTCGCTAGCCGTGACCACCCATCAATCCATCTGCGCGATGGAAGGGGACGCACGCTCGCGCAGGCCAGTACGGGGTCTGTGGCACATCAGACGTCCAGCTGCAGGTCGAGACGTCCGCCACATGCTCAGGCCGGCCGCAGCACCCAAACTGCAGCAGCAAGCCCCAAGTTTGCGCAGCGCGTTGGCGGCGGCTCGCGCGGCGGCTGTGGCGCGCCCAGCCGGGTAATTAGGATGCACTAGTCAGGCGCTTCGTGCCTGTATGATGGCCGCACGGCCTGATATAGAACTGTGCTCACGCTGCCGCTATGGCTGCTGTAAGACGCCTGTTTGACATGTCTGCAGCGAGCATCTACTCGCGAATACGAAGCATGCTAGTCCTCATGAAACCTGGCCCGGTTCGTAGGCCAGCCTCTGATGACACTTTCCGAATCACGTGAAGCATGTTTCCTTGTAAACGCGCCTCTCACAATGCACATCGCCACATTGCACACGTTCAATTCGAGGGTATCTGCGCGGGTAAAATGCTCTATGTGTACTATTGACTTTCTGTAGCCTTTCTGATCGCATTCTCGGGTGTGACATTGCCTTCAAATCGCTCGAAAGAAGGGACTCCTCAACCAGTCGTCTGTTTGCTCTCATTCAAGTTGGAGGTGCGATCAGGAATACCAAACTGCATGACTGACACATCATTCCGAGGGCAGTAAGTGCGTGATTATTGCAGCATCACACACCTGGCCATCTAAAGGGACTATCCCCGGGTAAACCATAGTATACTAGATACGGATTGAGTCTCATCACTGTCCGCATAAGGTCAGTAACGCAGACCAGGATCGTACGCATGTGTGGCTGACAAGTTCGATGCATCGGTCCCGCGGGTCTGCCCGATCCAGAGAACGTGTGGTGGGCGGTGGGCGGCCGCCGTCAAGACTGCCAAGGTTTCGGTTCTCAGCTTTTTGCCCATTCAAAGTGCTTATGAGGCAAACCAAGTGCTTGTGCATGGGGCCGGCAGAGGGGCGAGAGGGGCGGAGATGGGTGGAAGCACCGCGCGCCAGACGAGAGGGCCCTGGACACGAAGTGCGGCGGCAAGGGACACGAAGCGGCGCTCAGATCCCGCCTGGATTCGCGTGCCCAAAGCGGCAATCCCTCCTCCGCATGCCACTGAATGCGCCGCGGCGGGCTCGCGCACTTCCTCCTGCAGCGACAAGGTCCGACCTCGGCGGCGGGTGGAGACGCTGTCCGACGTCAGCAGTACACCACGCAGCACGCAGTGTGGCAATCGTAGCCAGCTCGGCAGCTGACACAGTGATGGGCGGGTGCTTGGCAGGTTGGAGCACCCGACGGCAGCCTCGCGTTCCTGCAGAAGGTGGACGGGCGGGCAGTTCGGCGAGCGCCGTTTGTATCAAATCGGAATTGCGGCCGGGGATAGAGGGTGCCTACTGCTATGCGTACGTCGATCTGATCGCGGCCGGAGGATGCGACCGACGGGGAGTCCAAGGGGCTGTAATGAAACTTTACACATGTTCCGACTCCCGGAACACGGTGGACTCATCAGCAGTCTTATAGCTGTATTGAAGGAAGGCAAATCAAATCGTTGTTGCATTTCGTACTTGTCTGGTCGGGCATGAGACTGACAGGCACTCGTGAATATCAGTGTGCTGCATATGTGACGAACTTATTCAAAGGCTCGGAAAGGGATGCAAATGGAACCTTTTGGCTTCGTACGATACATCGACACACCAGATCATCTTACTTCGATCCCGAGACCCGGGAGTGAAAGTTTATGGAGAACGCAAAGTGTCGCACGATTTGGAAGACTGCGAAAGGTTGACCGCCGGTGGAGGATCTGTCGAAGAAAGTAACTTCGCGAGTTCCACAACGCATTCCCGCCCGAAGAGAACTCTCCCCAGAGGCCCAGCGAGGGCTCAGCGATTCCAGCGGATCTGGGCGATGACTACAGTGTGCGGAATAGCAGCATAAGGCATTCGCGACTCGACGACGTGGGCCGTGGTCGCCCTAGAAGCGGGCAGTGATGGGATACACAGACTCGGTGTGCACGCCAATCACTGGTGGTGGGAGTCTATGCCGGCAGCGCATCCGAGGCTTTCTCCGTGCACAGCGTGATGCCAGCACGGGCTTCCAGGAGGAAGATGACACGGCGATTCGTGCTCCTGGCAGTTCCCCGCCTCGCAATGCAAGCACAGACGTCTGCTTTTAATCGGGTGCTGTGTACATATGAGGAATTGGGTAGACCCGGCCGGCGCTCGGGGTTGCCGGCAGGAAGCGTCGAGAGCAGATTCCATCAGGCCGGGCGTTGGACGGGGACCGCCGAGCTGCGATTGGCCGGGCTCCTGCAAAGGGAGGTACTGCTGAGGTAAGCCGCTGATGGCTTCGAGACCGCGGGCCCAAAAGGCAAGTCTGAAAATTGGACGGGAACCAACCCTGGGGTTCTGGAATTGATGTGTACTGCAAGCGAAGCGAATCCATGGTCAGTCAAATACTTCCCCTGTCCGCCCGACTCCCTGATTGACTCCCCCGTCATCCGACACGACCCCCGCCACCAACATTCGCACCGTTGATCACTGCTGCCTGCCACCATGCATTCGAAGCGCAGCATTGAGGCCAACCCGGACGAACTCGACGCGAAGCTCGAGCTGCTCTCCCAGCTTTGCCTGACCGAGTCCCCGCGCCATTCCCGCAAGCCGTCCTTCGTCGACGAACCCCACGCGCGCGACAACCCCAGCAAGCCCTCGTACGTCGAGGAGCACTGGCTTAACGCCGACTATTCCTGGGTCTCGGACGCGGCACACGACTCTGCTGTCGACCTGTCTACCGCGCTCGCCGATGGTGAGCTGCTTTCCAACTCGTACACGTTGCGTATCTTGACTCCGGCACGACAGAGGAAGATGGTGCACACCTCTACGACCCAACATTCTTCTCGGACCCTCGCACGCCGACCTCTGAGACCCATAGCGCGTTCGCATCGCACCCACGCGCGTACGGCGAAAAAGACAAGGTGAGCATGCCTATGCAATTCTGACGTGCTCGCGCCCGTGTTTCGTGTCCGTCGCGTTACCGTTTCTCCCATTGCGAGGGTCGTGTCGCGTCGCTAGGGTGTCGACGTCGATGCGCTAAGTCAACCTTCCTGCTGCATCAACTTTTGCGCCAGAATGGTTTCCGCCCCTGTGGCGCTCGTGGCCGGCCATCTCCGCAACCCGGCGTTGCCTTATTTGGCTTAAGGCCTCTCTGCCCAATCGTTGGCAGATGCGCGGTCTTCGCGCGCGAACTTGCAACGATACGCTGACTATGTCTGGGAAATGACTTTGATGACCGTACGAAGGCTTCACCCACGGTCTGATGTACTGTGGATACCATACGGGGTCATATGACCTCGACCACTCCTGTATCCAGAACCCCGGGGCTATCTCGGAGTCGTGATGTGTTTGACCCTACTGTACATCACTGGCGTGAAGACAGATGGGTGTTAGCGGGAGTTGTAAATCTTGTTATGCTCCGCTGTGAGCGGCACGGAGATGGTGGGAGACGCTGCGCATGGCACGGACATGTGTTCATGGGTAAATAATTTGCGGGGGGCTCGCGCCCAGGCATTACCTGTGGGCGGAGCAATCCCGCGGCCCGGTTGATGGACAGACCTGCTCGTATTCGACTAGCGACAAGGCTTGTTGCGGATGGCTCGCAGGTATAAAACATGTATTCCTGGGCTTCGTGCTGGACTCCTAATAAAATATACCAGTCATAATCCAGACCGGTCGTCTCAGCCGCCCGGGCGGCAGAGGCGATTGGTCGGTGTCGTCGCATCCTAATATCAATAAGGCTGCTATGTTGTACTCCGTGTCCCTGCGCCGCAATATTCTATCCGCCGTAGCTGGTGGTCATTCCCATAACAGGCGAATGCCCTCTTGGGAAGATGTCCGCTCGGTTCGGGGAATGTGCATCGTGCAAAGTGCGGTTGGGGGAAAGCCGACTACCCCAATAGCGCACATTTTGGATCTGAGAAGGATCATTTGTATACACACTGGCAAATGGTATGCCATGTCCATGCACTTCCCGTAAATGTCTTATATTCGGGCAGCCACGTCCCACAGCGAGCTTGACTGTCCCATCGCAAGTTTGGCTGTCCCATCGCAAGTTTGGCTGTCCCATCGCAAGTTTGGCTGTCCCATCACAAACTTGACCGTCCCTTTACTCCGAGAAGCACGTATACCGAATGCTGATTGATACTTGTCTTCGCTAGCCACTGCCCGAAATACCGCGCCCTTCGCTAGTCCGCGCGGGAGTGCCAGACGCGCCGCCTCCTTCCCCGCGCACAGCCAGTGCACCGTTCTTCGCATCCAGGACGCCGCCGCGCTCCCCTCCTCGTTCGCCACTGCAGATGGCGTTCTCGCTCTCGCCACCTCGCACTGCCCCGACGACGCCCTCTGCAACGCCACCCACTTCTCCGCGCATCTCATCTTCGCCCCCGCGCTCACCCAAGGCGCACACATTCCCACGCGGCCCCCAGCGTGCGAGCCAGCCTGACGCCCGCCCTTGCCCGCCCGATTCGCGCCCGCAGGTTCCGCAGCGTCATGCGACCTTCCCATCCATCTCGTCGACCCTGGAGAACCTCGGGGAGCGGACGAGCCCTACGGAGAAGCGCTCAGGCATGTACGTTGCGGACCCGAGTATGGCTGCCGATGGCGCCCCGCGCATGAGGAGCGCCAGCGCCAGCATTGGTAGGAGCAACGGCGAGACAATCAAACCTGTCCTCGCGGGCGGCAGCCAGAGCCCCCAGCGGAAACAGCGCCCGACGCTCCCGACGCTATCCACCTCCAGCTCGTCCCCGCAGTTGCGCACCTTCCCCGGCCTCGCATCGGCGTCGACAGCATCGTCCTCGTACATGTCGTCAGAGTCGCCTGTGACGCTCGTGGGCTCGCCTATTGTCAAGGCGCCCGCCGCGCTCGAGGCCTTCCCGTCCGATTCGCTAGATGACGAGGCCGCCCAGCCTTCATCGAGGTGGTCCCTGGATTCTGTCGCTTCGCGGCCCGCGCCGTCCTCTGTCCGCACACCGGCTGAGCCGACGGGTACGCAGCCGCAGGCTTCTGCAGGGAGGAAGCGCGACCGGCTGCTCAGCTTCATCACGCGTGGGCGGTCTGGCTCACTCGGCAAAGCACCCGCACTCCCGAACAGCCCCCCGCCTCCTCCGCAGGATGTGCTAGACATCCGGTGCCCTGAGCCGTCGTTCGAGATGGTCACGCCCCGCCCGTCGCTTTCGGTGCAATCGCCGCTGCAAGCGCCCTCTGCGATCTCTGTGGCGGCATCGTCGTCGTCGAGCTCGTCTGCCGGCTCATCGCGGTCAAGCCTGCCGACGCCCGCTGAACCGATGCCCCCGAGACTACCTCCAAAGTTCAGCGACCCGTTCGCCTCTGCGCCGGATACCGAGCCTTTCATCTTGCGACGATCTGTCTCGCACCGCTACTCCGGTGCGCCCTCGCTGCTCCCTCCTTTCGAACTGCCCCCACGATCGGAAGACGCGGACTACGATCGACCGCCAACGCCCAGTTCTCCACCACTCGAGCCGACGCTCCCACCGCCTTCGCCCGGCACGCCGTCGCCGTCGTTCTACCTGCCACCACGCCAGGACTCGTCGTTTTTATCCTCGCTCGGGATCAAGCGCGTGAAGCGGCGGCAGAAGAAGCTCGTCATCTCGAACGTGCAGCCTACGTGGCGGGACGACAACCCGAACGAGCCAGAGCAGGAACGGCGCGAACGTGTGCGCAAGCAGCGGTACGAGAACGTGGTGCTGTGGTGTAAGAGCTTTGGCGAGATCCGCAAGCTCGAGTGCAAGCCTGACGGGAGCGTGCACGTGTATTACCGCGAATGGGAGGTCGCAGACATGGTGAGTTTCTTTGGTATCGGGATGCTGTGTGTATAACGGCGACTGACGTGAATGCCATGCAGGTGTGCCGGGTGCACGGCCAAGTTTATATCAAGGACGTCGGGCGGGTGAACCTGTCCTGGCATTATCTCAACTAGACCCCCTCGCGCAGCGGATACCGGCCATAGCAAATAAATAAATAAACCCGCACTGGACGATCTTCGACGCAATGGACTCTAGCGGCGCCGCTCAGCACTCTCACTAAACCCTCAGGAAATCTGCTTTCTCTGTGCTTTCTGCGCTCACACGCTCTCTCGCTCTCAACTCGCGCATTGTCTCGCTTACGTCGCATTTGTATCATACATGCATCCGGAACACACGCTCGTTATTCCACTTGTCTCTGTCCAGCGGCTGCTCTCGTCTCGCATAGCGTCCTATATCCAGTGCATATCTCGTGTTTGTCTTGTCGGCTGTCCCTGCTCTGGCCTCATTGGGCTTGTGTTGCTACATTCCTGTCTGTTGTGTCGTCATCCACATTATCTCCTGTTATTTCATCTGGTGCACTCCTGGTAGATAGTAGGTCGCGTGCAAAATAGTGTCTGCTGTCGTGCAGCAAAGTAGTGTACAGAGTGTATCTTAGAATGTAATACAAGCTAGATTCAAATGTCTAAATGATAAATATTCCAGCGGGCGAAAAAAAGACAGGCGCGACCACCCAAATTAATTGTTCTCTCCGGCTGATGATCCGAGATGCTGCCGCCACAGCAGCCACATTGTAGCCACCGACTTGAGCAAACCATCGCATTTGACATACTGCTCATTCTTGATCCTGCTCATTCGTACATACGCCTTGTAGACCTTATGATGCTCCTGCAACTCAAATGAGCTACCGCTTCCATATTCAATCAATACAAAAGAAGGATATGTATTAATGCGCTGCCGTGCCTGCCACTCCGAAACGAGCAATATTCCCACGCCTCACCTTGAGCCGTCATGCAAGCCAAAGAAACATACAACTTTCTAGGGATCTCTCATCGAAAGGTTGCTATACACCTTGTGCAAAGTGTGTGATACACTGGCTTCTGGCTGCAGCGCAGAGGTATCGTATTCTAGAACAATTGTAAGTGCTTTCGAGCAATATGATTGATTATACAAGAATGTATGTAGTATTGATTCCCTATATATGAGCATTCCGTTTCTGGGATGGAGTGGCAACCATACAAGGAAGTGTGGTACAGTGGCCAGCAAAGTACGTACAAATCGGCCTGTTCTAGTATGTCAACTGTGTTTCCCTAACATCATCGAACCTGCTGTGGCTGCCAGCCTGTAGATCTGTGGCTGCTGTGGTTGCGGCATCTCGGATCATCGCCCAGAAAGAACAGTTACTTTGGGTGATCGCGCCTATCGTTTTTCGCTTGCTGTTATATCTACTAATAGTACTGACGTTTTCGACTGGTGTTGCCCAGGCACATTGAATGTGTGGTCGTGCCCCTGGCATAATGAAAACGGCGAAGACACCTCCGTAATGAAAATTCCAATACAATGAACCTTTGGTGCCTGACATAAGACATGGCGTCAAGAACGTTCGATGTAGTCGCCAGGGCCGCTTCCTCAGGCTGATAGATGTCGTAGAGCAGACTCCAACTGTCGCAAACGCAATTTTTGACAGAAGGTTTGTCCAAAATGGGGGTCGAAGGCGTCGCTGATGCTGCGGCCAGTGCGCCGTTGGGTCCAGGGTGCTCGGACCCATCTATTGAAGGGGGGAGCTGCGTATCTCCGCGATGCGCATTAGCAATAGGTCCGCCGGAGACACGCTGACGGTGGGTATGAAGGTTAAATGGCCCTTTCGCGACCGCATGCAGCCGCGCATTGCCCATTTCTTGCCGTGTGGTAATGCGTCTCTTCGGCTAGCTGCAGAGACGTCGAAACATACCCTATTTGATTCGAAAGTTGAAGAGAACCATGACGTGTGAACAGCCGAGGCGATTGCGACTGCGTATACGTTCTCGAACACGAGAGGCGTGTTTCAAATTCGACGGTGCAAAACCCACAGCGTCGCACAGCGCCTGTAAAGTTGCCATCAACGAATGTCCCTAATTCCCGAGATATGAAAGTAGTCCGGAGCGCCGCAAGGTCCGTTCACAGCGGGCTGTTTTATCACAGCGGACCGTTTTATTTCGTGTCATTGCTCCTTCGTCCGGCTTCCTTCTGCCTCTTTCCACCACTGCAGTCCACGTCAGCACAGATGATCACATCAAAAACCGCGGCCGGAGCCATCATACCTTGATCGTCTCCCGCACGCCCTCCTGCATCGTCCACCGCGGTTCGTAGTCGAGCGCCTCCCGCGCTGCCCGGATATCGCACCACCTCGTCGCGGTCACGTACACGACACGGAAGCGCGAAAGCACCGGCGGGCGGCCGCTCAGCCAGGACCATACTTCCATCAGCACCGCGATCAGCATCGCGGCCCAGCGCGGAAGCACTGTGATGCGCGCGGGGACGTGCCCCGCCTCGCGCCAGAGCATGCGCGGGAAGTCCCAGAACGGGAGCGGGTGGCCGTTTGTGATGAAAAACGACTTCCCGGCGACGCGCGCGTGCGCCGGGTGCGTGGGCGCAAGGCGGTCTGCCGCGAGCAGGTGGGCGAGCGCGGCGTTCGGAATATATGTGAAGTCGAAGAGGTTCGTGTTGTCTCCGATCTGCATGCCTGTGCGTCCTGCCTGCAGCGCGCCCATGAAGCCTGGGATGGCGTGGCGGTCGCCCGGCCTGAGGGAGAAGTGAGTGGGTGAGGGTTAGAACAGGTCGGAGCAGTTGCGCACCCGAAGAGCCCTGCAACTCTGAGGGACACAGTCTTGAGCCCGTCCTCTTTGTCCTCGTTTGCAGCGAGCACGAGGCGCTCTGCAGCCGCCTTGCTCCCGTTGTATTCGTCAAATGGCACCTTGGGGTACGGTGCGCTCTCGTCGACACCTGCCTGATCGTGTCCGTCGAACACGACGCTCGCGCTGCTCGTGAAGACAAGCTTCCGTACACCGTGTGCCTTCGCCGTGGCAATGACGCACTCGGTGCCTGTGACATTGACGCAGAACATCGCGTCCCGCGGCGCGCCCTGGATGAGCGCAGCGGTGTGGATGATACATGTTGCTCTGCACTATTACGCCTTCAGTAACATCCAGGAGCAGGTGTTTCGGCAGACCCTCACATCTTGGACAGCTTGAGAGAATTGGGTTCCATTAGTGATGTCTCCGGTGTATACCTTGACACGTTCGTCGGGGTGTGGGGCGGGGACGATGTCAAAGACAGCAACAGCGTTCTCTCCGCGCTCTAGCAGCTGCCGTACGACGTGCTGCCCCAGAAGACCATTGCCGCCAGTGACTAAGTACGAGTCGAGCATGTTGATTGTCCAGCAGTGGTATGTGTGGGTTCCAATTACGCGTATCTAAAGCAGCCTTCGCGAGAGATTATATGAGAGCACGTATGTCAAGAATGAAGACGTTTAATATCTTCTGGGTGAGTGCATTCAGTGGATATCCGGAGCTGGCGTAAGTTGAAGGAATTGTCTAGTCTTAGGTCTGCTCTAGCATTCAGCAAATCCTAAGTAGCATGCGGCCGGCCGAACTCCCGGCCGAACCCCCGGCGGCCCCCGCATTCGGCTCCGCGAGCCCCTCGGCCGGCGCCGTTTTCCCGTGCGCGCTATCGACGCGTCCCTCTGCCTGTGGTGCACGTCCGGCATGATTGTTGGACGTCGAGCCTAGCTATAAAAAGTTTGAAGATGGGATGTAACCATTAAGATCCCCAGTGTCCAATCATGCACCGCAAGTCCCAAACGAGCAAAGCCACCTTTTAAAACGGTTGAGAGCCGTGTACACGTCTGACCATTGCTCAGTTCCTCGCGAGAGGCGTTGTGCAGAGCACTTCAAGTTGCATCTTCTCGTTCGGCGCGTTTTTTCTGTCGTCTTCCGAACCCAGCGCGTAATTCGATAAATCAGTTTATACGGTCACATGATCGCGTCGACGACCGACTTCTACTGAGGGCTTTCTGTTAGACTTCTTTCATGATCCATTTGTACTGCTGAATACTCATCGCTGTGCTTCCGGAAACACTACGAATCAGCACTCCTTGCTCTGGTTTACTCCATCGACCAGTTCTACCGAATTTGCTACATCGGGGCCTCCGCATCATGCCTTCGAGACTTGATAGGTTTTCATGTTGCTAAGCATGATGTCTGCTTGTACTGGTAGTCACAATGGATTCTCTTTTTCGTAAAGTGCCGACCCAAGGCGAGTATCTGCTTTACACAAATCTCCCGAAGGATACTCCACGTAGGTGCTGGAACGCGACCACGTGACGTCTGTAACGATGTGACAAGACGCGTCTATGTACCTCGACGCGGATGCCACTCTGTCTTCATCCTCATTTTACTCCAATCTACTTCATCGAGTCTACGCCGCCCATAACGGTGTTCTGAACGTTTTTTATTGATTACATTGAATGTACGTCCGCTCATAGATCGTAAATATGCCAGTGCTACTGAACACCTGTGGCTGCACAGTCATGTTTATAGCAGAATGCTGCACTTTGGTTGTGGGCGACGTTCGGGCGACTCTTATTCTTTGTAAGTGACTCGTATTAATAAGCTAAAATATCCCGCACGTTAAAGACTCCTCAATACTCAGAGTCCTGGTATTGCGTACCAGGTCACGATATCTGACTATCAATGAACTAGTCGAGTTAATGTCAAAATATCAAGAAAGCACTTTCGAGGACACCTTTCCAGTCTTACACGCCTGACGAACACATGCAAGATAGTATCCTCAAAAAGCGGGTGTATATGCGCTATTAGACTGCATATATGCGCTGATCCTAATGTCTCCAAGTTCGATCTTTTTCAATCCCGTTATCGTCGTCTTGTACCGTTCAACGCTCACGCCAACACCTGCAGTTCTAGATGTAGCGCTTGTAGAGCACCCGGTGACTACATTCTCCACTCTGACTGGACAGACCCCGCGACAAATTCGGTGGCTGTAGCTTGTCGCCCCCGGACGGGCCTATATTGACCGCGACTGACGGCGAGCGTATTATCAAAGCCAAAAAGCCAAACACGAGACTACAGGCGACTGCTACCGCATCTGGCAAATTGGAGGTTGACTCATTCGCTCTTGGACTAAAACACCCTTGTTGTTGGCGACTCACCTTGGAGCGTGTAGCGACATCGTTTGCTTACAATCCGCAGAACTAACATCGCGCTCGTGCGTCTGCACGAAGATTGTGATGGATACGTGATGGGCTAGCAAAAGCAGGCGATTTGGTCATTTGACCACAAGGTAAGCTGGGATACAACACTTCCGCTCAGGCTACTCATACAGATTCATGAACTGCTACATAGATGGTGCATTCTTTCAATCCCCAATAGCCGCATGATAAGCATACATAGCGTAAGTCGATGTCATATTACAAGTATTCTGCAAGCTGCTGCAGCGATCAGAGGTACGCTTTATGAATTACTCTCCATGCACTCACCGAATTATGAAATGAAGTCATTGTTGGCTCTTGACTGGCGTGTCAGCAGCTCGTTCAAATTCCTCGCGACAAGGCCTGCGCCTTGCTTGACCTTCTCGCGCTCGTCATCCCGCACCTTGCACAAGAGCTTCGTCTCGAACCGGTCCGGATGCCACCGTCTGATGTGCTCCTTGATGCGGTCTTTCGAGGATTTCCCAGCGTCCTTCGGATTATGAGGCGACAGGACGTATGCATCGATAGCATATACAGTCAAATCGTCCGGCTCCTTCGGCGGTCGCAGTACCGGCCATGGGAAGGAATTCCAAGTGAGGTAGTCCATCGACGTTAAGCGGGCCCATCGCCGCTCATGCTCGTCAAACAACTGCATGACCTCCTCCTTGGTCATCTGTTTCGTCGTCTTGGCTAGCCTGTCTTGTTCTGCTTGCTCCTGCATGCGCTGGAATTGCTCCTGCTGCCTGCGCGCGTGCTCTTTCTGCCGCCGTTTCCACTCCTCTTCCTCTTGCGGGGTAAAGCTCGCGGGTGCTGGTGACGCCGGTGGCTTCTTACTACTGGCAGCGCCAGCTGCGGGTGTCGACTTCCATCCACCTGCGGCGGGCTTCGTCGGAGTGGTCGAGGTCGTTCCTGTCGCGGTGGATGTCTGCGTATAGGTCGAGGCGCCGGACCGAGTCGAGAAGGAAAAACTGGGTGAACTCGTGAAACTCGAAGAAGAAGTGGTGCTACTCCGGTCGCCGGCGCTGCTCGAGGTTGAACCACTTCGCCCAGGGATGTTCCACGGCGCGGTGGGTGCTGCTGAAGACGAGGAAGAATGTGGAGAAGCTGAGGAACGACTCTGGTAGTCAGAAGCATTGCTGTCTTGTCTGTTACGCTGGGCGTACATTCGAAAGAGCGCCTCCTGTTCTCTGATGAGGTCTGGGTCATTCAAGTTCAGGGCATCTTGTACGACTGGCTCTTGATTCTCAGGATGTTGCAGCTCAGCGTCGTGTATTCTCGACGCTACACCTTCGGCGGCAACAGGCTCGGCTTCTGGTCGCACAGCCTCCCCTCGAGAAGCATCCTGTCGCAATGCCTCTTGTTGTCGGACTTCTTGTCGCAATGCCTCTTGCTGTAGAACTTCCTGCTGCAATATCTCCCCTCTGCGTCGTTCTGCTCGCTGACGCGCGGCTTCCTGCTTGCGTAGTTCACCCTGCTTGCGCAACTCTTCTTGCTGCCGAATCTCGTCCTGTCTCCGCGCTTCTGCCTGCCTTTCTCGTTCCTTTTGCTCAAGTTCTTCCTGCTGTACCCGTTCTTCCTCCAGCCGGCGCTCTTCCTCCCGCCGTTTATCTTCCGCCTGCTGACGCTCTTCCTCTCGCCTTCGATCCTCCTCCCGCTGGCGTTCTGCCTGCCGGCGCCGATCTTCCTCCCGCCGAGCTCGCTGTCTTGCCTGCTCTTCTTCTCGACTAATCTGCTCTCGTCGACATAGCTCCTCTTCCTGACTTCGAAGTCTGGCTTCCTCCCTTTCCACTTCTCTCTCGCGGAGTCTCAGCTCCTCCTGTTTCTTCTCTAGCTCCGCCTGCTTCCGCTGGACCGCTTCCTCCAACAGCCTCGCCCCCTCCACTCTGCGTTTGACCTCCTCACCTTGCCGTTGAGCACTCTCCGTTTGTAGTAGCGCCTCCTCGAGCCGGCGTTTAGCCTCTTCAGCATGTAGTTGAGCTTGCTTCTCTATGCGTTTCGCCTCCTGCTCCCGTCGAGTGGTCTCTTCTCTCTGTCGCTTTACATCCTCCGCTTGACGCTTGGTTAATTCCGTCTGCCTCTCCAGCTCCTGTTCCCTCCGCTTCACCTCCTCCTCTCGCCGTTTTGTCTCCGCCTCCTTGCGATTAAGTTCTTCTTCCTTTCGCCTCGCCTCTTGCTGCTTCCGTTTCGCCTCCGCTGCTACCCGCCTCGCCTCTTCGTCGATCAGTCGTCTCTCCTCCGCCAAGTCCTCGAGCAGGCCCAATCCATATCCCGCATCTTCCCAATCGCTATCGTACTCGTTCAAGTCCGACACCGATTGTTCGTCATAAGGAGAAAGTCGGCCCACCGCGTGCCACACTTGGAAGTCTTGTTTCGAAGACTGCGATCGGACGGAGCGCGAGCCTATGGAGTCCCGCCGGCCGATCCTAGGTAGACTCTCCGATCCCGACCAAGCCCTCGCGCTCGGACTTGACTGGAGCTGGCGGGCATCATCAGCGGTGAACGAACGCTTGTTCACGACACGTCTTCCCGGGCTCGCAATAGGAATGGCTTGTGTACCTTGTGGCGCGTAGAATGCCCTCGAGCTAGGACTCGACTGACCCTGGCTGAAGTCTCCATCATTCGATAGCTTCGACACCAAGGGCCGAGTCGAACCTAAACCTGATGGTTGATAACGCGTAGTCTCTGGTGACCCCTGATAGTACGATGAAGTCGACGATCGCGAAGACGATCGAATAGGGATTCCCGGTCGGTCAACCGGTGAGGGAAAGTGCTCTTCACTGGGGGTCGTGCGCGTCTGGGACGCCGTATTGCTATCCACAGGTCTCGCGTGCTGCGACCAGCCCGAAGAAATTGACGGCGGGGGTCGCCCCTCGGCTCGTCGAGATTGGTGGTCACTAGAAGAGCGTTGGCGTCTTGGCTGTGGATCTTGCGTCTCTCTCTGCTTCTCTCTAGGTCTCGCAATCGGCGCATATTGTTCCTCAATAGTATCAGTCTCTACACGCTCTCGATGAAGACTCGCCGTGGCATCCAAATCTATAGAGTATGCCGGCTCTCTCGACTGCGAATGCCTGGAATCCATGCGAATGCTACCTGTCCGGGAAGGACCCCTGGGTGAGTCTCCAGGATAGCCATCCGACCCGTTCAACCCAGAGGTCTCAGACGTCGCGTGGATAAATGTTCTTGATGCCCTCGGCTTGTCGTTCGGAGAACTTGACGGATGCCAAAACTCGGCTGCAGGTCGCGCTTGTGACAAAGACACTGAGCTATGCTTCCTACTGACCCCTCCAAGCTCCGCATCAGAGATGGTCGCACTCTGGGGGGGCGTGTGCGTGCCTGCAGCCCGGAGGGCTGCTGTGATTCCAGAAACAGGTTGTGCGCCTCTTGTCGTGGTAGGACTACGCGACGAGTGGTAGCTCTCGGGGATATCGCTGGGTGGCTGGGACTGTCGCTCCTGAAAGGTGGTCCGCGATCGATCTAATCTAGGATGCTCTCTGTGATCTCCAAAACAGACAGAACGAAGATCATGCCCTGGCCTCCAAGTATCAATACCGGCAACACGCTTACCTCGCGACATTGCCTCGGAGGTGGTCTCTCCAGCGATCTCATCTGCCACCGCGCCGCTCGCATTCGAACCACTTCTCTGCCGTCCTGCTGCCTCCCTATGGATGTCTTCCAGGAGCTCCTGCTGCTGCCGCGCCCACTCGCCCATCTCCTCCTGTGTAAGATTTCCTGCGGCAAACTTGCGAGCTCGTCGCTCGTTCAAGAGTAACGCCCGATATTGCCCCTCTGCCATAAGACAGATCTCCGCCATCCTCTCATTGTACTCGTTCATAACATCCTGCTGGATTGCAAGCTCCGACGATTCCTTCAGCTTCGCCTCTCTGTCCGCTCTCGCCTTGTCAACGAGGGAGCGCAAGTTGATTTCTACCTGCCTTCTCGTCTGGTTCTTCCACTCGACATCGGGCTCAATGTCGGCATCCGCGCTGACAACAGTGTCTCGATCAATAGCGGAGGGAAAGAGGGTAGTGGTTGTGAGGGTAGCCATCGGGTTCCAAAAGTGTGATGCCGCGGAGGAGGCAGGCGACTAGTGGTGACCAATACTGAGGCAGTTGTGCGGCGTATGGGAGGAGCCTCACGGTATAGTGGTGTTCATGAACGACCTATGCCATCCAGGAAGGGAAGGGCCCTGCGACGATCGCGCCTCATGTTCAGCACACGCGTCTGCCGAAGTATCAAGAATGACCAGTCACGAACCTGTCGATAGTAGCCGTCGAACTGTGAGTGGGCCCGGGCAGTGTTAACGCATCCGCGGACGACAGGAAACGGCTGTAAAGCCACGATGACATCCTCGAGGCTGCATCGGATCTTTATATCGCCCCGCGCTGCGTGACGCGTTCTCCGAATCGTCTTTCACTCGCCACGCTCTACACGCCATGATCTTTGGCGCCTACGCGGGTGTGCATCGTGTTTGTCACGCCGCACAGCGCCGCACCCTCAATCTGATTCTAGGCCCGTGACTTGTCACAGCAGGGCCTCTGGACGATTCTGTACACCAGATCACAGCACTTGCGCACACGAGGTAGACTGGAGCCACATTGAGATATCGGACGGTATCAACTCGGGGCACTAGCAGTCAATTCAATTTCAGAACAAGGATAGTTTGCGTAGACCGAGCAAACGAGATCGTGGCTCTATGGCGCTACAAACCAAATTCGAAGACATCGCCTTATCAGTAAGCGAGACTGATTGGGAAAACTATCTTCGATTCAATTGTGCGGAGGATGATGTATGATTATGCGAGTAATGGAGTTACTGATATATGCATACAGAATATACGATGATTCATAAAGAACATCCAGAATGTTCATATCCGGTCATATAAGAAGTGAAGAATGAACTTCTTACCTCGACGTATTCGTATTCTAGAACCAAGTGGCACCTAGCAGAATCAAGGCAACGCGGCTCCAGAATTGATCGCATTTGCTACTTGACTTGTGTTGGGGCGATTGAACGCATACCTTTACAGACAATCAAATAAGCATGGACATGGAAGTAAGTCTGCACTAACCGTTCGTAGCTATCAATGTACAGCTGCTCCGTGCTGCATGTACGCTTGAAAGCCGGGAAGCTGAGCAGGCGCTCCACATAAGAGCGGAACTGCGTGCCTTCGGGGAGCTGGAAGCCGCGATAGTGCACCAAGACATTGGTGGCGCGGAAGATCCCTGGCCGATGGATAGGTACGTTGAAAACCAATAGCCAAATGCAACATGTACACACAAGGAGCGACCATCACGTCCGCCAGACTTAGTGTGCCTCCTTCAGACCATAGGCCGCAGTGAATGTCGCCTTCCCTCTGCGCCCTCTGGAAGAGCTTCACAAGGCCGTCAATTGCTTGGACGAACTCCTTGCCCCCGCGTATTTGACTCTCTTGTCATTCAGATCAGCAAGCTCTTAGCCATGGCAGAGACCGCAAATACCTTCATTTTGGGCCTGAATATACCGATAGAAAGCCGGAACCAGCGTGCGGTTCACATGATCGGCCTGAAGCCGGACGAGAGTGCGGGCATCTATTGACAAAACTTAGCCCAGCAAGCTTGCTGTTATCTGTTCGGTCTTACATGGATTTATTCCTGGGGGCAAAAGGGTGCGCTGGGTCGTCATCGCTGCTAGACTGAGAACAATACGCAATTGAGCCAAACAACTCAAAGAACTGCAACTTTGCGAAACATACTCCTCCAAAAACTCCAGGATCACAGTACTTTCACTTATCGCTCGCGGAGGATCGTACGTTTCAAGCCGAAGCGCAGGGACTAGACCCTTCGCGGACACCTCAAGAAGGTCAGCTGGCTTTGAATACGGATCGACTTCGTCTATAGTCGACTGTTTAGGCAGCTATCACAGGATCAGAAGTAGGGAAGGCTGACAGTACTATCCACCATTCAGTAAGTATGCATCCTCCATGACGCGACTAAACAGACCTTGTAATCAATGCCAAGGAATTCCAAGGCTATCCATACGCGCTGCACGAACGGACAAAAGCAGCTGCCGAACATAGTAATATCCTTGGGGCTGCCGTGTGCCTTTGCGGTCTCCAGCGCCTCGCCCGTGCATTCACGATGGTAGGACTTTCCTGAATCGCTGTTGGTGGTCATGGTTGATATTGTGTGCACAGAACGAGAGAACTGGTAGGGATTAAGTAAGAAGATGGGCATTGCGTCATGGTTAAGTATGCCTTCACGATCATGTGATCGTGACGACGAGAAAGGCAGCCTAAGGCGTTGACGGCAGGCCCTTGAGTTCGTGATTGACATACAGCTTCAAGGGAACCTTTCTGGATACCATATTGCTTTGTAATAGCATTGGCTGCCAGTGAGTTGTAGCTATTCTGGTGCGTAGTTAGTCCCGCATACAATAAGCATCGAGCGCTGATGCGCTCTGTGCGCCTCTTAACATCTATATTTCAAAGCATCGGCGGCGGCGGCATATTTTCGTGTCAGAAGTGGCCGCCGTTTCAAGTAGCAGAAGGTACCTACCAGCACCATCAGGACAGCTCTGAGACAGTGAGAAGATATTTCTTACACGTCCTTGGCGCAGGCCAGCGAAATAGCTACATATGTCGCCAACACACAAGCTCAGGGATTTAACTTGAGATGACAAATAGTAGCCATGATACAACAGCGAGAGCGAAAGTGAGTGTTTGCTAGTTCAGGTACGTCATATTTGGCATGGTTGGGCGCACGTCATGTGATATCTACGCCTCAGGCTATCAGCCTCCTCACTACTTCGAGTCTGTCTCCAACACTCCAGCTCTCTACTTCCGCCGTCCGCCGTCAGCTACGCCGAGCTTGTTGTACAAAACGCGGCTGTGTTTTGTGCTTGAAAGAATCAACGCAGTCGACTGCGGGCCCGGGCGCGCAGCTATTGGCAACATATATAACAGGTATCTCGACGTCACCACTTTCACTCCAACACTCTCCCATACACCATGGACGCCCTGCGATTGCGCAAGAAATTTCCCGAAGTCTCTCAAGATGAGATGTTTGACTTCATCAGCCGCTTCAAGTAAGTCTGATCGCAAGATCTCTCGAGACATCGGTATTGAACGCGTTCGTAGCGCGCTTCACACAGACACTCCGGGTCGCGTCGACAAGGCGAGCGTGCTGCAGGCGCTGCAAGCCAATGGAGAGTCCTATGACCGCGTGCGAGAGACGTTGAAGCATGTTAGTGTGGATGCGAGTGGGAAGGTCGAACTGGAGGACTGGGTGGAGGTATGTGATCGTGCCCGTCCGGACAGGGGATAATGACTCACGGCGTAATGCAGCTGAATGTGAAGCTGAAGACGGAGGCACCCGCGCTGGCGTCACACAAGGGTAAGGTCACCGTGCAAGGGTCCAATGCGAACGTCAGCCATACGATCAATGAAGATGAGCGGGCCGAGTTCACAAATCACATCAACTCGGTGCGTCCTCTTCGCAGCCGTTCACTCACGAGTCTAGAGCTTCAGAGCAGGTCCTCGAGAACGACTCGGATGTTGGTTCCCGTCTTCCTATCCCCACAAATACGATGCAACTCTTCGATGAGTGTCGTGATGGCTTGATCCTGTGCAAGCTCATCAACGACTCTGTTCCCGAGACGATCGACCCGCGTGTGCTCAACAAGCCCACCGCCCGCAAACCTTTGAATGCGTTCCAGATGACCGAGAACAACAACATTGTTATCACGTCTGCTAAAGCCATCGGATGCTCCGTAGTGAACATCGGTCCGACGGACATCGCGGAGGGCCGTGAGCATCTTATTCTCGGGCTGATCTGGCAGGTCATTCGCCGTGGTCTGCTTGCGCAAGTCGACATCAAGATCCACCCGGAGCTATACCGCCTGTGCGAGGACGGCGAGACAATCGAGGACCTGCTCCGGCTCACGCCCGACCAGATTCTGTTGCGATGGTTCAACTATCATCTAAAGCAGGCCGGATGGAAGCGCAGGTAAGAAGTGCCTTATTCAGTTTTCCGCCATCGTACTGATCACCGTGCGTCCAGAGTGAACAACTTCAGCCGGGATGTTTCTGATGCAGAGAACTACACGGTGCTACTGAACCAGCTCAAGCCGGAACAGTGTTCGCTTGCGCCATTGCAGACGCGCGATGTGCGACAGCGTGCAGAGCAGGTGCGTCGGTCAGTCACATTGCGGACTCAGTTTGACCCCCGTCCAGGTCCTGCAAAACGCGGATGCCATCGGGTGCAGAAAGTACCTGGCAGTATCCTCTCTTGTGTCCGGGAATCCACGTCTGAACCTTGCGTTCGTCGCTAACTTGTTCAACAACCACCCGGGCCTCGCGCCGCTGGACGAACAGGAGGCGAAGGACTACGGCGTGGTAGAGGACTTCGATGCAGAGGGCGAGCGCGAGGCACGCGTCTTCACGCTCTGGCTCAATTCGCTTGGCGTCGAGCCAGGCGTGTTCAACCTGTTCGAGAACCTCAAGGATGGTTTGGTCATTCTCCAGGCGTTCGACAAGATCTCGCCTGGGAGCGTCGTCTGGCGGCGTGTGAGCAAGCCGAAAGCAGGGGCAGAGGCACCGACAAACTACGCGACTGCGGAGGGAGAAGAGGAGGAGGATATCGGTGTGACGCCGAACCAGTCCAAGCTTTCGCGCTTCAAGCAGGTGGAGAACTGCAACTATTCCATTGACCTCGCGAAGCAGAGCGGGATGCACATGGTAGGCATCCAAGGCGCTGATATCACCGACGGCACGAAGACTCTTGTCCTTGGTCTGGTTTGGCAACTTATGCGGTAGGCGTGTCCCAACGCAGCAGGAGACCAGTGCCACTGATTTCGCTTCTTCAATCCACAGAATGAGCATCACAAAGACCCTCACAGCTATTTCTGGCAAAGGTCGTCCGATCAGCGATACGGAGATCTTGAAATGGGCGAACACGACAGCACAGAAGGCGAAGCCGGGCGTCAAGCCAATACGGTCGTTCAAGGACCCGTCGCTCACCACGGGACTCTTCTTCCTCGACCTGCTCGAGGCGCTGCGCCCCGGAATTGTCGATCCTACGTTGGTCATTCAGGTCAGTGATGCCGGACCGTATGAGGACAGGAGACAGAACGGTGAGTTGGGCTCCCATGGTTAGTGACGAGCGTGCTGACGCCTTACGCTGTACAGCGAAACTGGCCATTTCCATTGCAAGAAAAATGAACGCACTCATCTTCCTTGTTCCTGAAGATATTGTTGACATCCGCCCACGCCTGGTATGCCCCTTGCGCTTTCCATGACCCTTTGTCGACCTGACGCTTCCGCAGATCATGACCTTCGTCGGCAGTCTGATGGCGATTGGCAGCCAACAATGAAGATTCAAGACCTGACTTATTTCCTGATGTATCCGGAGCCACGCTATATGAGTGTGCTCACAGCTTCTCGGACAGCTCGAAGATGTATCGAAAATTCTGCGTTGTAATATTGTGTCGGGAAAGGAAGCCAATGTTCTTAGTATCCAGCGGACGTGTAGTACCGTAAAGCAATATGAATTGAAGATGAGTATGCATGACCCCTCCACGCACATGAGCTATCCATGTCTTCAAACTAACTAGTAAGGTCTGTTGACGAACCCTTCTAATGATGTCACAATAATTTGCCGGGGTTAATCAACAGGATCTTTGAAACCAGCTCAATCGTCAACGTGCAACAAGGGATAACCCTTCCCATCCTCCCTCAGAAGTCTTTCGATGAGCTTCATGCCCTCCAAAACTTTCTCTTCCTCAAGACGCTTGCCGACCACTTGTACACCAACCGGCAGCCCATGCATCTTCTGCGCGTCGTACATGGAGTACTGTCCGGCCTCTATGGCGTTCGATCCTTTGACTTTCCCAATCGCATCAAGGTCCTTATCGACATGCGTTACAGGCAATACGCCTGCCGAATAATCGAGCTGCACGCCACGCTGCGTGAGCCTGGCATGAATACGATGTTCACCTTCGACGTACCAGATTGAACAGGAAGGTGTACCCGCAGGCCTTGAAGCCCTCCTTCATGCCTCCGTGCGGGACGGCGGGCAGCGCGTTCGGCACGGTCAATATGAAGTCCAGCCCTTCCTTACGCATCCACTCGAACCAGTACTCGCGGTATGCCTCACGCCGGGCAACGAGCGCGAGATATTCTGGCACCGTCTTCTCGTGCCAGACCTCGATGAGTCCCGCGTAGACTTCATCGCGGCGTATGTACCGCAGGTACCAGGCATAGAGCTTCTTGATGAAGCGTGGCACGCGGAACATCGCGATCGCCTCACGGACGCCAGGGTCGTTCGACTCTCCGGATCGCATGGGTTTAATGCAGGTCTTGCCTGCAGTGGGAATAAGTCAGTGGTGAAGAGGCTGTTAAGAGTTCTACAGGGGCATTTCACCTCCATCGGCAAGGAGCAGCTGCGATGCAATCTTGAGACCCTCGTATGGGCTTGGAGGTTCTCTGAGGGGTCACAAGATGCATCAGCGAATCGGGTCGTATCATGAAACCTGAGGTACTTACGCAATTACGACTTGGTGCCCGTGGGCTACTAGCGTGGAAGTCACTAACTTCAAAGCCCTGAAGCATGCAGGCGATGCAGCCACAACACCTGGATGGAGTGCGCTCAATAGACAATGTGCGGCGAGTCGCATTAACGTACCGTCACTGTACATGACACCCCAGCGGATATCTTTCGCCTCTGGCAGATGTACTTCACGCCACGGAATAGACAAGACCTGTTAGAACGCCATGAGCAATGTCGCCGGTTTGCCTAGCAGATGAGCTACCGAGTGATCATAGTTCCACGGCTCCATGCTCATTATGGCTTTCCAGAACATCTCAAGGTCCTCCAGTGTTCGCGTCATAGGCGAGTAGACAGCGGGAACCCCTTCCTGCCCAGGCATACTGGTAGGATTCCCCGTCTTCAGGAACCGGCCCATTGACGCTTTGATCGTATAGACTCCCGCGTAGTGGCTTCAAGATCGCGAGGGATTTGAGCCACTGGAAACCGCAGAGACTCAAGACGAAGACGCTTACGCTGGTGCACGCACAGACCCCGCAACGTCCGTCCCGATACCGAGACGAGACCCCCCGTAGGCCAGCAATGCCGCCTCCCCACCGGTCGACCCACCGGGCGTGTAGTCCTTTCCGTGCGGGTTCGTCGTCGTCCCAAAGACGTCATTTGTCGACTCGAACGACAGCAGGGTGATCGGCACGTTTGTCTTCACGAACGGCACCGCACCCGCATCGCGCAGGAGCCGCACCAACGCGGACTCCTTCCGCAACGGTTTGCCCACCCACGCCGAGTACCCGATGCAGCTGTCGAACCCCGGAATCGCCGCGGTGTCCTTCAGGCTGACGGCCATGCCCGCGAGCGGACCCTGCGTGTTACATGTCTTCGCCCACTCCTCCGCCGGCGCGATGAGCACCTCGGTGAGGCAGTTCGTCGCCGCGTGCGCCTTCAGGGCCTTCTTGCCGTACGCCGCCAGGACGTCCGAGGGGCTCAGTGTGCCCGCCTGTACGCCGGCCACGATTTGAGACGCGGGCTGCGCCAGGATGCTCTTATCTGCAGGCGACAGGGGTTCATGGTAGATCGGCGGGAGGTTCTGAATGCGCTCCCGACGCTCTCGCTGCTTCGCCTGACTGGGAGTTTCTGCCGGTCAGTAGAACACATGCACATGTAGTACAATACGCACCAGGCGCGCCGATGTGCGATGTACGACAGCATGACGGCGAGATCGTGTGAGAAGCGGAGCACCTAGTGCATGGTCGTCCTGTCCCATATATCATCGAGATAGACATAACACGCTTGGGAAGCACTCTCATGACTTCGGCGGCTGTGATAAAGGCGCCCCTCCTTTCTGATCATGAGGGCTGGTACTGAATGATGCTTCGAGATACTCGAGATCGAATGATAGTATGCTGATACGACCTTCCTGGGGAAGAATTACGGATTGGTCGTCTATCGCGAACGTATAGCTCCAGAGCTCGGTTGTTTGGAAAAGGACAATAACCATCCAGACGTTGCTAATGGATTCAGAGATCAGCTTTGCGTCAAGAGTGACTGTAATACCTACAGGGACTCTGGAGGCACACTCGCAGACAGTGTACAGTCATGAATACGTGCTATCAACTCGGGATGTGTAATAGGCTTAAGTCAAGTTTTGAAGCGCGATCGAATGAAGTGCACGATAACGCGATCAGAGTGCACAGACTGCGTTCGCTCGCACAACGACAACGGAGGGAGCAAGATTGCGGAGACAGAAGACCGTCACAAAACAAGTGCTCTCGGCGATGTTGACAAGGTTGAGCTCGGCGATGTTCGTGCCAAAGAAGACTTAGAGTGCAATCCTTGACTTGTGAATTTGCAGAGGTCAGGTCAACAGACACATACACACATTCGAGAGCACTCACTGAACGTTGCCACACGAGGTTCATACATCCACCATTCAGGGTAGAATCGCACCAAAAGATGCAAAAGTACAAGTTGCCAGTTGTCCATGTACGCCCAGAGTACACATGCGACGTCCAAATTACCAAATGCTATGCTGTGTATGCGAGGTGTATGTCCGTGAAAAGACTGAACAGAAGAAGCAGTACCGTATCGTAGCCGTCGTGCCCAACGTAGTCCGTAACCAATGTCAGAACGTCAGAACCATACTCTACGTCATATTCAAACCCAGAAAGCTAACGCCAGACCGGTCAGTGCCAGGCCTGTCGTATGAGCGCCCAGCCGGAGAGGAACATGATGAGGAACGTCGCAACGAGACTGACGGTGGCAGGATGTGCGGCATATGTTGACCACGCGGCGTTGACGTTACACCCTGCGCATGTCCAACCTGCCCGAATATTATTTAGTAAATTCTGGGAACCGTATTGCAGACACAGCCCTTTATAAGTTACTGGGTCACTCGAGAAGCGAAACTCAAGCAGCGATGACAGCGCGGATCAATGCAGTCACGCTAAAACAGTCCCCGAATGATTTGTTGTATCGAATGACCCTTTAGCATATGGAGCAAACAGGGACCGTGCAAAAGCCAGGCATAAGTTTGAATGAAGCCATTCAAAAGCTCTGGCCGAAACGATGCAGTAGACGAACAATCCGATACTCACTTGAAAGCGGGGTGTAGGGTTGTGGTGAGTAGAGCGCAAACTGGAGGTTCGTGTTCTCCGACAGCTGGCCGGGCTGCTGCCCCGCGCCCCTGCCCAAGTCTCCCCATATCTCCAGCGTATACGTCGCGACGGCCAGCGGTGTGCTGGGGTTCGCTTCCTGCCACGACCAGAGGTCCCACGTTACGCTGGACGCCGTGCCATTGAGAATGCCGTTCGTGGGCCCGACGGGGTAGGTGTTGCCATTGTCGCAGACGGCAGAAATGGTGAGCGCGCTCGGGGTGACCAGGACATCGGTGAAGTTCCAGCCGAAGGTGATCGTGTTGGACGGCGCGATCTTGTAGTACGACGTCGCCGTCTGCGGGGGCTGAGTGATGGATAGACTCCCCGCGGGTGCAGTCGACGGGATTATGATTTGGTTGCTCGAGCCTCCCGACATGTTAGCAGACCGCTTGTTTGTCGTGCAAGACGATGAGAAAGGAGCGGGGACGTCGAGGACGGTGATGAAGGAGCGTGGCAACGGGCGAGCAAGGCTTGCAGCGGAAGCGTGACTGTAGCGCAATTCGTGACGTGACTGTGACGCGGTCTATGAAGCCCGGGTCACGTCCGTGGTGTGACATTCCGACCTCTTGAAGCTGCACCATCCCTCACCATCCTCTTGTTGGCAACGTGAGCAGCAGATTTCATTCAAGCGAAATTACCAGAGGTCAGAATCTCTCGTATTCAACAAGCATAGCATCGGCCTCATTTCTCATCCAAAAGTGAGGTTTTAATCATGAATTCTGTCATCTCGGTGGAGTACTAGTATATTTGCTGGAGGCAGAGTATTGTCTTTGGAGAGCACACTGCTTACTTGAAAATACGACTCGGATGCAGCATTGTCTGTCGACGTGCGCAACTTGTTGTCCTGACTCAATTGCACACAAGCGCGTAAACTTAACTTCCTACACAGGGAGCCCCCGTTTACGGATCGGGTGTCATTGGTCTTGGGTACAGGCCGGTATGTCCAGCACAACCGCGTGTTTGCAGTGATATCGCTCACGATACAGGAGTCACTAATGTCAATGTGTGCCATGGAACCAAGGTCTCCTGATCATGTTTAGACCTGAACTCACTTAACCCCATGTTGTTCTCTATAGCTTTCGAGGCATCAGCATGAATAAGGTACTCTCTGACTTGTGTGTTCTGTGCTGTACACTGCAAGGATGAAGCTACCGTGCAATCTCTACCAACTGTCATTCCCAGAGATGTTTTCTTGGCTATTGACTGCGCCAATTGGCTTTTTATAGTCACCCCCAGCAGCTGTAGAGTTGGTGGTGTACCCATCTCACTCCCCTGCACGAGGCTTATTACCAAGCCATGCATGGATATAAACAGCATCAAGATCACTTGAAATTGAATTGCATCGCTCGGTGCTGTCAACGTTGAACAGTTCAACAGATCATCACATCGAAGCTGCCCATTGTGGATCGCACACGAAGCGCACCCATTGATTTCGGTGGTCCTCTTCTATGGCCGCCGTATGTACTCGTGAGTCTTCCCATACGCTCTGTGGTTCCCTTCCTTGTTTCTGCCGCCGGGATCCTGCCACTCCGGCTGGACGCCTATCCTACAGTGGCAACAGGCCGTCCTCAGTTTGCAAATCCTGGAAATTTTAACCTACAAATATGGAATGGAACCGCCGCATCATGCCCGAGGCCCTGCGAGAATCAGGAGCGGAACATCATCGTGTCAAACCAAAACTCGATGTCCTTGCGGGATCTCCTGCTTCCCATCACTCCTGCACGTCCTTCGTATCTTCGCGTTGCCACTTCCAGATCCGACGCCCCTCGCACCGGGCCCTTCTGCGTGCAACCTCAATCCATTCCGCTCCGCTTCAATCCCGATGCGCATATACTCGCGTGATGCCGAGGCGTCGCCCCCAGCCTACTCACAGTACGTGATATCGCACCCTGTCCCCCTGTCCGTTCTTCGCATTCTCAGGGCCGTAGCCCTGACATTGTCTCTTGGCCGCTGCTTCCGTGCTTATCTGCATGCTAGATATGGAACCAGCTCTCTCTGTAGCCTCCTTCCCTACGCGTGCGGACATCCCTCCCTCACACGTTACGCAATCCCCAACGACCGGCCTGGTGCCCTGGAAAGTAACGTACATTAGGCGTACAGCACGACCCGTAAAGCCGCCGCTGCCCACTTCCTCAAGCAAGAGCGGTGCAGACAGAATGCCATTCCCCTCGTTCAGCTCGGTCGTCTCGCGGAGACGGCTGTTCAGCACCTCCAAGCCAACTAGCAATCAGGACTCGGACGCAAGTGCGTCCAGCAGTCGGTCCACCGCATCCACATCCACATCCATTTCTATATCCCAATCCGTCTCGCAGATATCGGAGGCACCCTCTCGCGACGCATATCGATCGCATGGCCTCACGTCAAGGAGCACGTTCAGCGTCCGCTCAAGCCCGCCCGCCAACCAGACCGGCAAGCAGCCTGCGGGCCGTCCGTCGGCACACCTGGCCACGGGTGACCATGGCCCGCCACCGCGCGCAGAGAGGGGCCGCTCGCTGGACCTGTCGCCATACCGCGACATGCGCGTCGAGGACATGGACCGGGCGAACTCTAGCACAGAAAGCATCATGATCTTCATACACCCCACACCCTCGCACTCGTCGCTCTCGCTCCCATTTCCCCCCCTCTCGCCCACTTCCTCCGTCTCCGTGGACGTTGCCCCCAAAACTGCACCGCCGCCAGTCGTTGCGCCCGCTGCGCCGAAGAAACCCAAGAAAACAAAGCGACCATCTACGGCCGACCCGCATCGTGCGCGCTCGCCACGGCGCGACTCCATCCCGTCCTACCCGTACTTCATCACGCCGATGGCGTTCAGTTCCATAAGCCCGCACGTCGCCGCCATGCCTGTGGTCTATCTGCCGGCCCCCGCCTCCCCCACGTCAGACAAGGCGAGTTCGCACAAGCAGTCGCAGTCTGCCGCCGCATCGACTGCACGCCCGCCAACAGCGCCACCAGAGTCGGTCGCACCGCCGGGCGCCGCTGCATCGCCCGCCGCGCCTTCCTCTCCCAAGATGAGCTTCAAGCGGATGTCTTCCAAAGGCAGGCTCTTCCGTCGGGCGACCGTCCAGGCGCCGGAGGCGCCGGACGACGGCCTGTGCCGCGTGTACGACCTGACGACACTGCCTGTCGTGTCTCCTCCGCCCGCCGTGCCGGCAGAAGAGCCCAAGCCCCTCGAAGCGGCTGAGACCGTGACGCAGAATCCCAATCCCAATCCTGATTCTAATTCTGCCGCGCCACCTGACTCTGATGCTCCCACGACGCGTCCGAGGAATGCAGTCAGCGTCTCCGACGACCGCCGGGTCGAGGTGGCGGTGGCGACGCTGAGGATGCGGAAGGACGTTCGCGAGGAGAGGGGCCTCGATCAGGTCATTCCGAAACTCAGGATGCTCCGAGGGCGATGAGGCTGCTGTGGTCATGATGGAAAACTTGCACATTTGACCCATCGTGATTCGTGAGACTGAATGCCATCTTCATACATACAGTATCTGCGAGGATCAAAGGAAGCTAATGCTTGCGTCAATTCTCCGGCTCCATTCTTCTACATCCCATCCCTCGCCTCGTCGCCTCGTCTGCGTGTTGGCTGACTACTATCGATTATTTTGTTGAGCTCCCCAATGATCACTGCATTCAGTCCGTATGCGAACAAACAGTCTGCCTGATCATATGTTAGCATCCGCGTGCCGCCCCATAGGCTACCTAATACATAGCATACATCTCATGAATGGCATCAACGTATTTTTACAAATGCTGCGTGCAACAGAGTGCTACAAAACGAGGCACTGTCCCCCGAAATGAAAACGAGATGCCGATATAATATGGAGAGGATAAGATAGATGAACAAAACCGTGAAATGAGATCCGCGTGGTCATCGCCATCCCGTCTTCCCAGACATCATCGCAGCTACACACAGCACCGACCACTCCAACAAGCCAAGCGTACAGCCACGACGTGCAGCAGGCCCAGCACGAGCGTCGGCATGAGCGTCTCGAACCACGTATCCACCACCGCGAGCGCGAGCACGAGCGCCGCGACGAGCGGGTTCGCGTGCGCGTCAAGGCCGAGGCCGGTGCGCGTGCCGGTGCCAACGCAGATCCGCGACACGCTGAGCACCTTGGCCACAAGCACGCACGACTTGACCGTCCGCAGCCACACCACGCGCGGGATCCGCACGTGGGCCTGCCGCCCGCCCACGCTCAGCGTACACGCCCACACGCCGTTCGTGCTCAGGCCGAACGGGAGCGCTCTCGCGTGCGCAGGCACGGGCGTGGGCGCAGCGGATGGCTCGCGCGCGCGCTTCTCTGCGGCCGACGGTTCGCGCGCGGCCAGCGGGGCGGCGTCCGGCTCCTGCGACGACACCCAGGCGTGCAGGTCCGGGCTCGGGCTCGGGCTGATGGAGCTGGCGAGCAGCGCCGTGGCGTCGAACACGCGCCGCAGGGGCATCGGGATGAGCGACCCGCTGGAGCCCGGCCGGTCGCTCGCCTCGGCTGAAAGGGGGTCGAGCTGGAGGCGGCCGGTGATGGTGAGTGTACCGTTAACGGTGAGTGATGTAATGGTGAGTGTATTGCTAGCGGTGCGGACGCGGTGGAATACGCACCCTGCCCTCGCGGACGGCGGCCAGCACGCGCTCTGCCGTCGGCCGTGTCGATGGGTTGATATTCAGGAGGCCCTCGAGCAGCATCAGATACGCCTCGGGGAGCCTGCGCGACTGGAACGCGGTGGCGAGCGCGCTCGACGGCCTGAAGCTGGGCGATTCCCGGGGTAAGAGCCGCACGTCACGCATACGAGGAAATAGAAAACCTACCCAGCGTACGTCTGCACCTCCCTCTCCAGCGCGTCCGCATCCGCATCCGCCGCATCCGTCGCGTCTCCCGACTGGCCCGCGCCGTGCGCCCGTGCACTGTCGGACGCGTGCTGGTATGGCAGCCGGAAGAACAGCAGCTTGTGGAGGATCATGCCGACAGACCACATGTCCGCCTTGGAGGTGACCTGCTTCAGCTGGCCGGTGGGCGAGGGCAGCGACTCCGGCGAGGAGTATTCCAGGCTGAGGGCGCGAGAATCAGACAAATATTGGTCAGGGCGCAAGGCGCGAGAACCAGACAAATATTGGTCAGGCGCACGCAAGAAGAGGGAGAGAACAGAGCACAACGTACGTGCCGGTGTTCCCCGATCGCATCCGCGACTTGAGCATGTCCTGCGAGGTGCCAAAGTCGGAGAGCATCGCGCGCGGGCTGCCGTCCGTCCGTCAAAATGGGCGTAAGCATGCAAGCCACCCCCGCAGCCAAGAAGAGCAGAACGCACATCAGACGGCCCTCGTCCCATGTCAGGAGCACGTTCCCGGGCTTCAGGTCGAGGTGCAGGATCGACTTGTCGTGCTGCAGCGGCGAGCGGCAAACAGTAAGCCCGCGATCAGCACGGTGCACGGTGACGGGGTTCGGACCCAGAGTCGACCATCTCGCTCACCAAGAACGCGATCCCGGAGACGATGTCCCCGAACAGCCCCCGCACCTCCTCCGCACTCAGTAAATGCACCGCCTTCCAGTCGGCGGGCCCCCCGCTCTTCCCGCCGCCGTCCAGGCCCAGCTCCCGCCTCAGCCGCTCGCGCTCGCCCGGCGGGGCGCGCTGCAGTGCGCGGAACGCGCGGATGCGCGCTGAGCGCGAGTACGCGGAGGGCGACGGCAGTGTGTTTGTGTCGGCCGCAAGGCCAGGGGAGGACGCGCCGGACGAGCCAGGTGCGGTGGTAGTCGCCAGGTGGAGGTGGGGCAGATGCGTCGGAGCGCGGCGCCCCAGGCGGGCGTCGATGAAGTCGTCAAGACTCCCTCCTTCCGCCCATTGCATGAGAACGCTGCGGAACCAGCATCAATTATTCGGTCCATAGCTGGTAACACCGTGAAAGCCACGGCGTTGTGGTGCCGCAATGGCAGGACGTGTCCAGTGTATTGCCACTGTTTCCATTGCTCTTCATGAGTAGTGGAAGCACATTTGACGCGTCTTGCGACGTACACACGGTCGAACATCAAGACAGACGAAACTCACTGCAGCGTGGGCACATGAGGGCCAAACGTAGAGAACTGACATGTCTCCATCCATGCATGGTGGTACGTGACGATGTTCGGATGATGGAGCTGCTCCAACAAGCGTACTTCACGTAGGATGTTGAGAAGGTAGCTATGAGACTGGCCGACGGCGATCTTCTTCACCGCAAAATGGCCTGAGACGTGAGACGTTAGTACGCGAAGGCAGCATCGCTGAACCACAGCTAGTCAGGGTCAACACATACCTAATGAGTTTCCATCCAAGACATGCTGACAGCAACGTTGTTATTAGCCGTCCCCACAACTGCAGTACTCGGACACTCACCTGGCACAAGTAGACCGTCCCGTTTGCACCCATTCCCAATCTGCCTTCTTCGCGGAAGAAGGCCTTGAAGTAGCCTTCTGCCATATTGTCGGCCCTGAACGCTCGTCCGCCATTTGAGCTGTCGGTCGAGCGCGAGCTGTCTTCGTGCGCGGGTATGGTGCGCTGGGGGGTTGCCGGTCTCGACATTGTCTCGTTCGCCGTTTCCAGCAGCTGGAAATAGTTCGACGCGCGGCTCCGCGGCCGCCAGGTGAACTCGTCGTCCTCGAATTTGCCGTGCTCAACATCGTCGACGTCGACGTCCTGCGCGGCATGCATTTCGGCAGGGATCGTCCGGTGGCAATACGGGCAATGGCGAGACGCGCGGCGGGCCAGGCTCGCGTTTGGCGTTGTGCGGATGGAGAGAGCATGTGAGGTCGGGTTGTAGAGCACGACCTGGTCGGATATGTGCAGGATCGGCTGCCACTCGGGGTCGAGCGGAGCCAAGGAAACCAGTGCACCGGACGGGGAGGGCGGGTCTATTTCGTCGAACATGGCGGCAGCGGCGAAAGGAGAAGTGTTGAAGTCGAGCCAGAGAGACTCGTGCCATGACGCTGCAGGTGGATATACTATGCTACACTCCTCGAGGATCGGACGTTGCCGCAGTTCTTCCAGGCCCGCGGCTATCACACAGAACACACAGCACCCAGGTCCACGAGGGCCCACAAGGCACGACAAAGGAGTCACAATCAAGCCGCTGCGACGACCAGCTGGAGGACTCGCAGGCAGCGCACATGACAGTTAGCCAGTACGTTTATCATGGCCAGCAGAATATGTTTCCCTTGCACGCGCGCATGTTCGGGGGCGATATATGTAGCTAAGGGAAGGAGATGAGAGGGGAAAGGAGAAAGGACAGTGACTTTGTGTGCCCGGTGAGCCCTTATGTACGGTCTGTGATGCCGATCGAGTAAGACAGCGAGCACAGGCGTGTTGCCATATAAAGGAGGTTTCTACTTTAACTTGCCGGAGCCATGTGGGAAAGTGTGTTGCTTCAACATAGTTTATCGCTTATGTTCGTTTCACAAGCAGTAGTCAGCAGAAAGCATTCCCCGCAAACTCAGAACCGGCTGCGTTCCACAAGAAGATGAAGCCAGCAAGTCATTCCATCGAGTGAGCGAGTGCAGTTCCCACTGGCCAATGAATGAGCGACGCCACAGCAAGTAGGAGGAATACCACGCAGGCTACATAGATCACGGACGGCTTCGCGTAGTTACAACCCAGGGTAACAGCGACCGTGTGGCACGGGGCGTCGCCCTGGAAGCCCAGGTGCACTAAAACACACTCATCAAGGGCTTCAGACACGATCTCGGTGGCGTCCGGGGGAACGCTGACCGCCGACGCGCCGAGAAGGAACGCCAGAGCGAAGAGGACTGCAACAAGCTTGAACTGCATTCTAAGGTGTGAAAATGAGAGAGATGGCCATGGGACGAGGTTAGCTTGGTATTATGCCTTCCCAGGCGCAAAAGATGTACTGAGGGAGACCGCGCAAGACCGCGCAGGCGGTAGAGCTGACGGTCTCCATTTTGTTTCAAACACAACTGCGATAAGGTTGTGGAGGCGGTGGCCGCAGCCGTTTACGATTACGACAGGTCAAGGCGCAATTGATCAAGCTGCGCTTGTCCTCCCATAAGAGGTCAATAATAAAGCAGCATTATTGGCCTCGAGAGGTGACCGCTAGACGCTGAACCCCATTCGCCCATCACGCTCACGCTTCCTTCTCTTCGACGCTCACAACCTCATCAGCACTGAATGCAGAGTCACCGTCGCCGACGACCCCCTCCCACCCGTTGTCGGCGAGGTACAGGAGGAACTTCTCGTCCTCGTCCGCAAAGTCGATGTTCGTCATCTCGGGAACGAAGAAGTACGTGAGCACAACGCCGAGGACACCGCAGATCGCGGCGACGATGAACGTCCACCTGCGAACACATCTGTCAGTCCGAGCGCACTGACGCGTCAAATAAACGGGGAGTGTACTTTTTGCCCAGGTTGTCTTGGATAGGCGTGAATGCTTCCGTGCCGATCGCAGCGCCTGCCTTGCCGACCGCGGCAGATATACCATAGAATGTTCCCCTTGCACGGCGTAATCAAGTGAATGCACGTTCCACATGGCAAGAATCCCAAACTGTACCTGATGGGAGTAGGAAATGATCTGCGGGTGGTTGTCAGAGACTGAGTGCCATAGGCTTAACGCGACTACCCTTACTCGGCGCTGACAAGTCCGTTGAGGTTCCCCGGTCCCTGTACGAGTGTTATGCTCAGGCGGAAAAGCATCACAATACGGTATACTCACCAGACTCCCCATGGCGTGCAGCATGCCATAACTAGATGATGACACCGAGAGTATCAGCGCTGACCAGCAATACGCGAGGCAAGAACAGACTGACAAGAAGATGAACAGGGGCACATTCTTCGTGATCTTGTCATAGCCACACCCGGTGATAAGGCCTGAGGGGCGGGTTCGACGTGACTTGTTTGAGGAACAAATATCGCACTCACCAAACACAACGTAGCCAGTGAAGCCTAGCATCATCTAAGCGATGACGAAGCCATTCAGATGCACATTCAAAACAGCTCTCGAGTGTACCGACCGTATACCGTCTCCCGAGGGGATTGCAAAGGTAGATCCCGAGCCATACGCCTAATCGCGATTGTTAACACATCTGTCATTGTCGTCGTCCTCGTGTATAATGTGGCTTCGACGCACCAGGCAGGACGATAGTCCCCAAGAATAGCTGCCATTCCGCAGTTGACTTTATACTCCCGTCGTGTATGATCTCGGAGATGATGAGGCCCGAGAAAATGGTGTTAGGAAAGAAGACCTGTGTAGATTAGGCTCAAGTTCATCACAGGGAAGACAACACCAAGAGCTATTTTTGGCAAAACGTACAAAGTCATATATAAACCTGTGCCAAGCAAGGCTCAGCTCACCAGCTCAAGATGTAGTATGCGGTGACGGCGGTGCGTACCAAGTTCCTGCCGTACCGATGAGCGCTTTCCAATACCTCTTCAGGGCCAGACGGTACGGGACATGATCTAGATCCAGATATTAACTCGGGCCATGCGCGAGACAGGCTCATCCTACGCTTGATCGCATTGTCGCGGAACCTTGTTCATCCAGACGTCGTCAGGACAGAACATGTGCAGTGGATGGTCACTCACAGCTTGGGGCTTAGCATGCGCATACGGAAGTAGAACACTAGAAGAGGAAACACAATGCCGATGGCGAAACAGACACGCCAGACGGTCTCAAGGTGGTTTTCACCGGCAGCCTCCAGAACGATGAGGAATACCGCAACCGAAAATGGCGTAGCAAACTTGATACGAGTCAGATAGGACTTTCGACGCAAATAAATTCGCAACGCACGCTGAGAAGACCATTTGTGACACCAATGAATACTGGGTGAGGAACGTCAGGTAACGTTAAGGAATGCACTGTGAACCTACTCCTGCCCCTCTGCTTCACAGTGAGCTCGTTCGCTGCCTCGCTGGCGCTGGCCGACGACGCAGGATATTCTCCGCCAGTGCCCTACGTATCATAGTCTGGTCACAGCGGGGTAGATATATGGGAACATTCAACACAACTTACAACTCCAATAGTCCCGCGTGCCACTGTGAGGAACCAGAACAGGCCAACGATGCTTCCATGTGCCCCGTGAGCAGCAGTGGCAAGGATGGCCCCGATGACGATTAAGGAGGTCGTGATTACTACCCCTGCTTTGCGCCCGACTCTGTCGCATAGGACGCCAATTAAGAGCTGACCAAGGACTTCACCTAATAATCCGAACGACTCAGTTTCAACCAATCCAAAAGACATCCTGGCTACGAGGCTTACCAACGAGAAGTGAATTCGACACTCGAGTAGACACCTTGGATGTGTATGATTTAGGATACTGTTTCCTAAGTACAACCTGTCTCCTATTCAGCGAACCGGTTGCATACAGATCACTGTGAGTGGCAGACATTGATCATCGTCATGATATTGTTTTGGTCTAGTTGTTGCAATCATCAGCTGAGCTTTCTAGGTCAGTGAAACAGAATACTCACATCCATCCGAGAACAGTCCGAACGCCGCAGCGGCAATGGCCATATAGGAGCCTACAATTTCCCTCCTTGTACTAGTCCGCTTTCGAGGCACTTGCTTGCTGCTGGAAGCGTCATTTGACATATGCTCTTTCAAGTCCAAGGAAGACTCGACGGGGAGCTCAGGGGCAGCAGCCCCAACTGCATCTACGGTGTATGACATTGGGGCGGGAGGAAAAGGTATGGCAGATAGTACTGCTGGAGACCACACGTCTCCCACATCAGGAACCTACAGTATTAAGTATTGAGATAAATCAATTTGCAAAGGATGGAGACCGCAGAGCGCGTGTCTCCAATTGAAAGGGATTGGATTTATGAATGGACGACGGCCCTTGGCTGCTATAATTACCCCTCGATCATTATGTTCTATTAATAGAGCAACACTAGTGTCTTGTCAACGTCACTGGTGCGGGTATCACAAGTTTCAGAGTCCGGAAGACATATCCCCTTTCGGATATTGATAACACTTTGGACAGATGGAGCACCGTACATGAACTCGAGTCTATGGTTCCAGTAATCATTCATCAGTCCCGAGATGGTAGAAGTACACGAGACGTAACAACGAGCTTACGGCGTTCCACTCAGGATCCATCGGGACCATCAACCGAATCCAACACTTCTCTGAACTACATCCGAGTACCGTCCTTACTGGGACAGCCATCTACTCTCCCGGTTTTGCGGTCATGCAAAGCAAAATCCTTATGTGCATATCATGCAGCAGCGTTTGGAGCATAGCGTATACATCTTCTGCACTGAGGCAGCGGTTCCTTCCCAAGTAGGATGGCAAGAAGGTAGGCATGGAGAAGCACTTCCTGCTCATTGAGGTAGGCGTCGCCCTGTAAACCTCAAGCGACATCTAAGAGAAAGGGTTCAGCGTACAGTAGTCATGTAGAGGCTGGCATACCAGATCAATACGGATATACTGCACATTTGTGTGGGCGAGCGCTGAAAGGCACGAAGTCTCCGGACTCGGGCAGGCGGGGCAGATTAACTGACAGCCTGAGCTGCTCCGGTCGCCCAATGCTCCCTATCATCGCCTTGATTCTCACCTCATTAAAACGACACTTTGCCAGCTGCAGGCTTCGCAAGTGTGGACTTTACAGCGAATTTATTTGACACCTCGCAGCTTACTGAAGTCAATACATTTGCATGTCTAGAAACCAAACCACGGATTTTGAACGAGGGTGCGTCACGGTTTTGACAAGAGATTCGACGCTAAATTGGGCGTCGATATAAACGCCCATGTCTCCCTGTGACACGATCACGTGCCGTGAGATGGCATGGCGGGTCGGGCCCTGCGCAAATCGAGGAACTCGGTGCGCGTTCTTACACTACTTCGATGCCCCATGGGAAGGTTATCGGCAACAGAAGATGAATGAATGTCACATAGCATGCATACTAGTACAACATAATATGGTGTGGCAGGCTAGCATCAATCGTCGCGGTCGAAGAGGACGTACGCCTTCCTATCCTGCTTCAATAGCTTCTCAATCATTTTCATTCCCTCAAGAACCTTTTCCTCTTGCAGCCGACGCCCGACAACCTCCACGCCTACTGGTAGGCCATGCATCTTTTCCGCATCATACATACCGTATGCTCCCCTCTCCACAGCATTTCTCGGCTTGAAGGCCCCAAGCGCATCGCGTGTGCGATCAACGTGTGTGACAGGCAGTATACCCGCAGTGTAGTCCAACTGGATCCAGGAGTGAGATTCCATTGGCGAGAACACGCGAGGGATCATCGGAGAAACTCACCAGGTTCCACATGAACGTGTATCCGCACACTTTCCATCCGTTCAGCATACCGAGGTGGGGTACTGCGGGGAGCGCATTTGGCACCGTGATGACGAAGTCCAGCTCCTCCTTCTTCCAAAACTCAAACCATTGCTCGCGGTATCCTTCACGCCGCGCGACCAGTGCTAGATACTCTGGAACGGTCTTCTCCGACCAATCTTCGACGAGACCCGCATACACCTCGTCCCTGCGGATGTAACGGAGATACCACGCGTAGAGGCGCTTGATGAAGCGTGGTGCGCGAAACATGGCAAGGGGTTGCTGGACGCCAGGATCTAGGAACTCGCCGGTGCGCATAGGCTTTATGCAGCTCTTCGCTATAGGGTACGTGAGAACAGATTACCGTATTCATCCTTGTGTACTTACCGCCATCTGCATACAGCAACTGAGACGCGAGCTTCAGAGCTTCGTAGGAACTAGGAGGATCACTGTTGATATAGACTCTGGTGGTCAGCATGCGATCACAATCTGGATAACAGTGCCTAACATAGATATGACTTCGTGTCCGTTAGCACTCAACACGGAAGCCACCTCTTGCAATGCACGACGACACGCAGGTGCTGGAGCGACCACCCCTGACAGACTGTGAGACTGACAATGGAATGAGCGTTATTCAAGCTCAAGATCGTACCATCATCCCATAAGACGCCCCAACGCAGGGGTTTCGATACAGGTAGCTCGACTTCCCGCCAAGGGATTGGTAACACCTAACAGATCGACCATCAAAAATCAGACATCGAAGTGTGATATAGTTCATCGTGGATCTTACTGAAGCATCATACTCCCATGGCTTCATGCTCATGACGGCGCGCCACACCGTCTCCAGATCTTCCAGTGTACGAGTCATAGGCGAAAAAGAACAAGGCACCCCCTCCTCGCCAGGAATACTGCTGTGCGGGTTTCCTGCTTTCATAAACCGGAACGAAGACGCCTTGATCGTGTAACACCCCGAATAATGTCTATCAGGCGTACGTTATCTCCTCGCTGCTCAGCGCGAGAGAGACAACTTACGACGGGACACGGACAGAGCCTGCGACGTCAGAGCCAATACCCACGCGCGACCCACCATATGCAAGGAGAGCACCCTCCCCACCGCTTGACCCCCCGGGTGAGTGGTCCTTACTATGGGGATTCGTGGTACGTCCGAACACGTCGTTCGCACACTCGAAAGTGAGCAAGGTGACTGGAATGTTCGTCTTCACAAATGGGATCGCGCCCGCATCCTTGAACAGACGGACGACCGCTGAGTCGCGCGTCATGGGCTTGCCAACCCACGCAGAATACCCGATGCAGGCGTCGTATCCCGCAACAGACTGCTCGTCTTTCAGACTCACAGGCACTCCAGCGAGGGGCCCCTTGGTACTGCATGTGCGCGCCCATTCCTCCGCGGACGGGATGAGGATCTCAGTGAGGCAGTTCGTTGCGGCGTGAGCCTTCAATGCCTTCTTCCCATACGCAGCAAGTATCGCTGATGGCGATAGTTCGCCCGCCTGAACGTTGGAAACAAGCTGCGAGAGGGGCAGGGCAAGAATGCCTTTATCGCTGGCGGAGAGCGGCGCTCGGTATATCGGTGGGAGGCTTTGAATGCGCTCCTTGCGCTCCTGCTGCTTTGACTGGCTGTCAGGTCGTTAGCATGGATCATCATTGGCGACATTGGACACGCACCAAGCGCGACGATGCGCGAGATATGAGAACATGGCTCGTTGAGGAGACTCGTGCGAGCGTCGGAAAGCATGGCACCCCAGCTTCTATGCTCGCCGGAGACAATGGATAGCGCCCCACGGCCGAGCGCCTTTCTGCTTTGCATTGGTCATGCGACAAGCTCAGGAAGCACACACGGTCGTCCGTGAGGGATGGCGGTCACACACGGTGAGGGATGGTGGTCCGTTATCATGGTAGGCGGATAGCACGATAGAAGCAACGTAGTTAGAATAAGATGTTCTATGACGTCAGTCCTTTGATACTACACCGACTTCGTCTGATACAGGGCTCGGCGAGCTGCGGAAGTGAAGTTGTCGCGTAGAAGCCCCAAATCAAACATTCGTTGTCCACACTTAAGGAAACAGTACTCACACGATGGAAACAGGAAAATAGCCGACGTCCTACCACGAGATAGTGCGTTTCCATAACGGTAGCTTTGTGTACGCATTTGTCATGTGTTTGCTGGAAGCTCAGACATCCCGCTCTAGGACCTCATACGCCTTCCCTTCCCGTCTGAGCAGTCGCTCAACCGTTTTCATGCCTTCGAGCACCTTTTCTTCTTGGAAGCGCCTCCCCACTATCTGCACCCCAACGGGCAGCCCATGCATTTTCTGGGCATCGTACATGCGATATGCGCCCGCTTCGATAGCGTTCCTCGGCTTGAATGCGCTGAGCAGGACGTCGCGCTCCTTGTCGACATGCGTCACCGGTAGCACGCCTGCAGAATAATCGAGCTGGGTGCAGCTCCGAGTCAACTCTTATTTGGGAGGACGGATGCCGGCATGCAACCCTCACCAGATTGAAGAGCACCGTATAAGTGCACGACTTCCACCCCTCCAACATACCGCCGTTCGGGACAGCAGGATGCGCGTTCGGTACAGTAACCACGAAGTCGAGCCCCTCGTTCTGCCAGAACTCGTGCCAGCGCGCGCGATAGGCCTCGCGCCGCGCGACCAGCCCAAGGTACTGCGGTACCGTTTTGTCAAACCACTCTTCGATGAGCGCCGCGTACTGCGGGTCCCGCCGAACGCGTCGGATATACCATGCGTAGAGACGCTTGATGAAGCGTGGCGCGCGGAACATTGCCAGAGCTTGTTCAACACCAGGGTCTTGATACTCGCCGGTACGCATTGGCGCCACGCACAACTTCCCTAGAGTATGGTAGTAAGTACAAGACGACCACTTTACAGGTGACTGCAATGCCCACCGCTATCAGGGTAGAATAACTGCGACCCAAGCTCCAGACCTTCGAAGAGACTCGGTGGCTCGCTGTGTCCTAGTGTCAGCATGCGAATAATGAATCAGGCAAGGAGCCCACATTGCGACCACTTCGTGCCCGTTGCTTTCAAGTGCAGATACGACATCTTGTAAAGCCCTCAGACACGCAGGTGACGGCGCTACTACGCCTACAAAACATCATATCAATATGCATTGACCGAGCACACAAGCCACACTGACCGTCATCCCAGATCACACCCCAGCGAACAGGTTTCGTTGGAGGCAGCTCAACGTCACGCCATGGCATCGGTACCACCTATGCATCCCCCCAGCGGTGAGTCCCCCTCTGCATCTGGGCGCAACCCAATCAACCCACATATGGATCGTACTCCCATGGTTTCATGCTCATGACCGCACGCCAGAACGTCTCCAGGTCCGCCAACGTCCTCGCCATGGGCGAGAAGGCAACCGAGACGCCCTCCAGCCCCGGGGTACTTGTAGGACCGTTCCCTGACTTCAGGAAGCGAGATGAGGACGCTTTGATCGTATACGTTCCAGAGTAGTGTCTGCAGACGCAAAGTGCATCAATCACAATGGAACATACAGCAACAGCATCACGCCGCGTACGAGGGTACCCGCACCGAGCCCGCACCATCCGATCCAACGCCCACGCGCGAGCCCCCATAAGCAAGCAGCGCCGCCTCGCCGCCGCTCGACCCCCCAGGCGCGTAGTTCGCATTGTGTGGATTCGTCGTGCGCCCAAACAGGTCGTTCGTGCACTCGAACGAGCACATCGTGATCGGCACGTTCGTCTTCACGTACAGCACCGCCCCCGCGTCGCGCAGCAGCCGCACGAGCGCACTATCGCGCGGGGCGTGTTTGCCGACCCACGCAGAATACCCGATGCATGCGTCGTACCCTGCTACGGCGTGCTCGTCTTTCAGGCTCACGGGTACGCCAGCAAGCGGGCCCTGCTTTCTGCAGCCGCGCGCCCAGAGCTCAGCGTCCGAGATCATGATTTCGGTGAGGCAGTTGGTGGCCGCGTGCGCCCGGAGCGCTTTCTTGCCATAGGCGAGGAGAACGTCGTTAGGAGAGAGAGCGCCGGATTGTACGCCTGAGACAACCTCTGCGATGGGTTTGGTGAGGATGACCTTGTCGGCGCTGGATAATGGCTCATGATAAGCAGGTGGGAGACTTTCAATTCTGGTACGCCGCTCCGCCTGCTTCGAACGACTGGGCAGAACGTTAGCGCTACAAATTGATGAATGCATCTAACATTGCTGCAAACGTACCAATCACGACGGTGTGCAAAATAGGAGGACATGATTGCGCCAGTCAGATAAAGCGATCTTTGAGTCGCCTGCTTATAGCGTATTTATGGGGAGCGTACTTTAGAGGTCTCACGGAGCTTCTGATAGGTACGCTAGGTCATGAGCTGAAGAACGCGAAGACCTGCCTGAAGATGTTTGGGTGATTGGACGAGCAGTCTGAAGACGCCCTGTTATCGAGCTTCCTTTTGCGATAGCAAAACTGGGTCGGGCAGCCGTGCGTGCACCCTGACAAGCAAGACGTATTGTGTATTTGAGTAGGACTCGGCCTTGGAAGTGGGATTTCTCAGATCTGAAAGTATATTTACGTGACTCGGCGGGGGAAGTCGACAGCACACCTAATGGCGAGCACCATCGAGACACATATGTGGTGTATGTTGATATGGGCATCAGGCGCGACACGTTGAGCATTCCATTAAGTTAAGTTCTACAAGCGTTGCCGTGAGCTCTCGGTATGGTGCGCTTGTCGTTCTAAGCAGCGGGGAAGGCCGACTATTTCTAACACAGATATGTCGGTCGCCTGCAAGTGGGAGTAAGACAGTGAGAAAGACGGGGGTGCCGTAAATAGGGACGGACATTGCCGCTATTGGATCTGGCATTTGATGTAGTGGCTAGCCAAAATAGGAAAGCGATGAAAGTCGATCACTTCCCGTGAATTTTGGCGTATTTGGGTGGAAGGAACTGAGTTCGAAATGGGACACGATAGTAATAGTAGTCCAGTCGCTACCATTCCTTGAACCCGATAAACTGCATCTGATCTCGATGTTTACACGAGCCACCAGTACGTCACCGTCACGCTGCTCCCGACGCTCACATTATTGACTTATGAATCGGATATATTATGAGCCCGCAACGGAAAGAAGCACTGTCATACTGCCTACAGTATTAACCTGAAAATATATAAGTATCTCATCTTCTTGGAGTTAGCGCTCGAGCCTTGGCATGTTCCAAGTTTGCCTATTGCGCGTGCTACTCAAGCCTTACCAGCTTGTCGAAACCGCAGGCATGTTTTCCATGACGGGATATGACGGAAGTTGATGACCTTGATGGAGTATACGTATAATACCAACGAGGACATTCGAATCAGCTACGCCAGCCGTACTCACTCAGCCCAGTAATCCCAGTAGTCTCACGCGCAAGTCTGTGCTCTAACTTCTAAGCCCCAGACAACTGGACAAGGAACGAGTCGAAGCGACACGTTGAATTCCGTGTCAGCGGATGTTATGCACCGAAAGCAGAGGCAAGAGATGCTCCAGCACTGCATGCGTACAAGCTCAGTGCAGTTCATTCCACACGTATAACTGAAGCAGCTTGTGATTTGTCATGGGCGTGCTGGCGAGCTGACGATCATGACGCTCCTCAGATCTGACAGTATATTTCCCAAAAGATCGTAGTACCACTTGGATCTCATCACCCTCAAATGCTCGATGAGCATTGAAGGCTTACCCCATCGAATTGACTGATTCCTGTGGGGTTCTCCCCGGTACTCGTGGACCGGCTGGCATGCAGATAACGCCATCATGCCGCCACAGAGCATGCCTCTTCGTGTTAGTTGTGAGTACCAGGGCAAACAGGAGATATTTCGATGCAACAAGCTGATATCACCTGCGGAGGTTACTTTAGAATTTCTTGTCACGCCGTATAACCCGTATTCTGCGGTCTCTGATGCTGAGACAATTGGACGGTACACAGCAGCCGCGTATGTAGAATGCGTTCGAGGTGTGCGCCAAACTCGTCGCGCGTCTGGGCGTACTGCATGTCTGTGTGCTCCGTAGGTGGCGCCAGACGAGATGTCTGCAGTGGCAGTCTTCCATCCCGAGACCTCGCGTATTCCATGCACCGCCAATGCCTGAATAGGGCGCTCCTCGTCGTCTACTGGCCTTGCAGCAGCTGTCCAGCGTGGCGCAAACTCGACCACACACCCACAGGGTATTAAAGCAGTCGCGTTTAGCGGGTAGTCCTCAGTGAGCCAAGCTTCCTTCCTCACTTTCGCATTCGCATTCGCATCTCGCCCAGCCAGCCAGCCCCGCACTTCACAATGCAGTTCAAGTACGCCGCCCTGCTCTTCGCCGCCCTGGCCTCCTTCATCGGCGCGACCGCCTCCGCCGTTCCCCCCGAGCAGAGTAAGATTTCCGCGTCTACTTATCGGTCGGTTTGCTAGGGCTAACGCACCGCGCGCAGCCGGCGCCGTCGCCAGCTCAATCCTGAGTGAGTCCGGGCCGCCTCTCGCGTCTGCCACAGGAACACTGACGGTTTGGCCGCCCAGCTGCCGACCCGGACGCCTCGACCGTGTCTGTCGGTCTAGGCTTCACCTACTCCTCACCGTGAATGCAAGCGCCGTGAGCATCCTTCTCCGTGTGGGCGCGCTACCGCTGACCATCTGCCCTCGCAGTCTTGTAGAAGGGTATGGACTGGTAAGCCGCGTCCCACGCACTGCTGGGTCCTGCAGCATGGACGCACGCTGATTGACGTTTCGCACCGGCAGCGATGGCCCACAGTCTGCTGGAAGTCGTGTGCATAGAGGCTTTCCAGGTAGCGGTCAAGGATGCGGGGCGTTGCGGCCAGTTGTACCCTGTCGTGTTGTTCGAAGTCCGTAGTTGAATTGTGCATAAAGCCGTTTGAGATTAAAGAAACACCAGATTGTTCTCACCATACTGTGGGCTAGATGCTGGAGGTGTGTTGCCGAACTTCGAAGTAACCAGTCCGTCATGATCGTCACCGGATCCATCCTTCTTTACTCGAAGGCAGTCGATCTTCTGGTGTCGGCTATGTATTCACCGACGTCGTTTCGCTGGTTGTATATTGCCTCACGAGAGTATGGTACCAGAACTCGTAACATAAGTACGCGCGGAAACACTATGGGCTTGCGCACCTGGAATCCGATACGCGATCATGCAATATAGGGCTTCGAGCCACAGAAGATTACTGGAGACACCCACTGACACTTGCGTACATCTATATTCGGTACCGTCTTCGGCCGTGACGTTTCTGAGCTGCAGTGTGCCAGATAATCACGGTACTTTGTGTGACCCGATCTGACCGGGCATACTCAATCGGCAGCACTGTCGACATCCAAGGCGAGGAACAGACCACTCGCGAGGCGAGTAGCACAGGTCACAAGTGAGGTTATGCACGATTTCAACTTTCGCGGCGGCAATGATCGACGTGTCGACGTCCCGTTGGCGCTGACACGCGCCGCGGAGCCGGCCAAGGTTGCCTTCGCCTGCGCCACCCAACGCGCCTTCAGGTGCATGCCTGTAGGCTGTCATCCCGGCAGAAAGAGCATGTAAAGCAATGATGTCTGTGCGCGCGAATCTCTGGCCATCGGTGTTCAAGTTGATTGCACCCCGCCTGTTGCGAGAACGCCGTCTGTGATCTTTAAGCTTCGAGGGCGCTCAGCCGGCCACGCCACCAGCTTCCGAGCCCCGACGCCCGACGATGCGAGCACCGCCACCCGTGCATTCTTTCTGAACCTCTGAGCAGACGCACCGCCTGTCGCCTGTTGCCTGTCCGCTCCTCCAGCCGACGAAGAGCACTGGCCTCGCGTGATGTCTTCTTGAACGAAGGTGACGTTTACTCCTCCGGGCGTCCTTGCACACTCGACGCCACATCGCTGATCAGTCGGCCCCCTGCAGGCTGCACTGCGGCTGTGCCACCGTCCCCAGCGTATCGTCGCATCATTCCCAGCGGCGCGCGGAATGCACGGCGGCGCGGTCGGCGCACGAGCGCAGGTGTAGGCGTGGCGGAGGTCTATAAAAGCAGGCGCGAGCAGCGAGCAGCTGTCAGTCGCCGACCTCGCAGCATTCCTTCGCAGCACCTCTTCTCACCTCAATTCCCGCAACGCACACCTCAGAATGCAGTTCAAGCTCGCCGCCGTCCTCTTCGCTCTGGCGTCCCTTCTCGGCGCGTCGTCGGCCAGCGTCTCGCGGACGCCGGTGAAATCGCGTCTGAAGTCCTTGGTGAGTGTGTTCTGGTGCACCTGGGCTTCCGGGCGCGCGGCGCTGACGGCGGCCTGCGCCAGGCGACGCCCCGAGCAACACGGTCGGTGTGACCCTGGGTTTTAACTACGCGAAGCCGTCCGATACCCAGGCAACGTGCGTAGGATTCGTCCTGCTTGCTGTGGCGTCGCTCATTGATTCCTCATTCAGGTTGGGAAGAATCCGCCAGTGGTGAGTGCACCGCACTCAGCCGAAATTGCAGTGGGCTGATTTCAGGCACGCCCGTGAAGCTATACTGGAAATCAGGCGCACAGAGGTCATACTGTGCTTGGCAAATGACCTGGGACTACTCACTCGATAGAATGACCTGTTGGCTTCGTCTTCTTGTGGAACGCAGCCGGTTCTGAACTTGCGGGGAATTATTTTCCTAGACTATGTGTGGCTGCTTGTGAAAAGAACATAAGCGATAAACTATTATGAAGCAACGCACTTTCTCAAACGGCTCCGGCAAGTCGACGTGGAAACCTGATTCACTACGTCATCGATGTCAGGCCTTCTTGCCATACACGGCAAGCCACTTTCTCTATATGGCAGAAACGCCTGTGCTCGCTGGCTGGCCGACATTGCCAGGATTCTACTCGATCGGCACCACAGACCGTATATAAGGGCTCACCGGGCACACAAAGTCACTGTCCTTTCTCCTCCCTCCCCTAATCTTCTTCCCCTAGCTACACATATGTTGGAGCTTGGGATTGTGGCGAGCGCACGCCATTGTATTTGGCATTGTTTGTAGTACCTCGCAGACTTTGTGCGAGCCGCTCTGACGTTCCTTACGCGTTTGACAGAGCTCAGACAAACGCGATATATCTTTGTTGGTCGTGCTCGCTTTGAGTCTCGGACGAAATTTAACAATATATCGCCCCCGAAGATGCGCGCACAACCAGAGGCATCAGGAATCATATTCTGCTACTCACAGTAAACGTACTGGTCGACTGTCATGTGCGCCACCTGCGGGTCCCTCGAGTCCTCCAGCTGGTCATCGCAGCAACTTGGTTGTAACTCCTTTGTCGTGCCTTGTGGGCCCTCGTAGACCTGGGTGATGTGTGTTCTGGCAGAGGAATGTGATAGCCGCGGGCCTGGAAGGCTCAACCCCGAGTGGCAGCCGATCCTGCATATATCTAACCAGGTCGTGCTCTACAACCCGACCTCACATGCCCTCTCCATCCGCACAACGCCGAATACGAGCCTTGCTCCTACAACGACCGAAAAGGGATATGTCTCCCAGGCTTTGAAACTTGTGAGGACCCGTACAGTGACGTTGACAAGACAGTGTTACTCTATGAATAGAATAGAACATAGAGATCGAGGGGTAATTATAGCAGCCAAGGGCAGTCGTCCTTCATGAATCCAATCCCTTTCAATTGGAGACACATGCGCTGCGGTCTCCGAGTCCTTCATTTGCAAATTGATTCATTTCAGTACTTAAAGCTGCAGGTTCCTACTGTTAGAGACCTGTGGTCTCCAGCAGTGCTATCTGCCATACTCTTCCCTCCCGTTCCAATGTCGTACACCGTAGATGCAGTTGGGGCTGCTGCCCCTGAGCTCCCAGTCCAGTCTTCCTTGGACTTGAAGGAGAATATGTCAGATGACGCTCACAACAGCAAGCAGGTGCTGTTGGAACTTGAGATTGTGGCGAGCGCATGCCACCGTATTTGGCATTGTTTGTAGTACCTCGCAGACTGCGCGAGCCGTCCTGTATGTTGCTTACGCGTTTGACAGAGCTCAGACAAACGCGATATATCTTCGTTGATCGTTCTCGCTTCGGGTCTCGGACGAACTTTAACAGGTGCCTCGAAAGCGGATTAGTACAAGGAGGAAAATTGTGGTGGATTACACTGCTGGTACACTGTCTGTCACACATGTTGATCGCACACGCGATGCGCTTGGGGCCTTCAAGCCGAGAAATGCTGTGGAGAGGGGAGCATACGGTATGTATGATGCGGAAAAGATGCATGGCCTACCAGTAGGTGTTGAGGTTGTTGGGCGGAGGCTGCAAGAGGAAAAGGTTCTTGTGGGGATGAAGATAGTTGAGAAGCTATTGAAGCAGGACAGGAATGCGTACGTCCTCTTCGAACGCGACGATTGATGCTAGCCTGCCACACGATATTATGCTGTACTAGTATGCATGTTACGTTCATGTCATCTTTTATTTCCGATATCCTTCCCATGATGCATCGAAGTAGCGTAAGAACCGCACCGAGTTCCTCGATATTGCGCAGGGACCAACCCGCCATGCCATCTCACGCGTCGTGGCATACATTTGTACACGTGACCGTGTCGTAGGGAAACTTGGGCGCTCAGATCGACGCCCAATTTAGCGTTGAATCTTTTGTCAAACCGTGACGCACCCCCGCTCAAAATTTGCATCTTGGCTTCCAGAAATGCAAATGAATGTATCGACTTCAGTAAGCTGTAAGGTGTCAAAAAAGGCCCACCCCAATGTCCGCACTTGCGAAGCCTGAAGCTGGCACAGCGTCGCTTCAATGAGGTGAGAATCAAAGCTAAAATAGGGATCGAGATTGAAGACTCACGATGTGTTCGGATTGATGGGTCACGAATATGGAGACTTAAAACATGGGAAGTTAAATTTGCGCAAGTATTAGAAATTGCCCCTGCAGCTGTGGTAGCTGGCTCGCGCATGTTACAGCACATTTTTTCAGAGTCACCGTCTCACCCCTACAAAATACTTGGGATGTCAGTGGAGGACAGGAAATACCTGAGTCCTGACGCGAAGAGACGCAAACGATATCAACATTTACACGAGGTATCATTGACGAAGCCATTGGGAACGTTTCGTGATATGACAGACGTGCATTCTCGAGCTGGTTAACACGAAGCCGCTGGCACATCTTCTGCTCTTTTTACGTCGAGCGCGGTCGAAGTTGACGTACCCTCTCAAGGCTCTCCTGCTCTTCATCAGCACCCATATTGCTATCGCATGCCGCTTCTCTCTACGCCTTTCTTCAAGTCTGGAGAAATATGCTTAGCAGTTGTACGCGGCAGGCTCTATAATTCCTGCCACCATCACGTTAGCGGTATATTTCCGAGCGACCACGCGTTCGCTATCTTCCCGACTTCGTGTCAGTCATGACGCTGAAGCTCACTCGCCGCAATCTCTCCTTTCCCGCGATACGTTGATTGATGGCGACATTTAATGCCTATATCATTCATTTCTCAATGTCCTCTGTCTTCATGACTACGTATCGCCACGCATTCAGCCCTTCCACCACGTCGAAACTTGGACTCTACTTGACTGTTCATCACCTTCCAGTGTGGGACGTATCTCGAGTAGGCCTAGGTTTGCTCGTGACACGTTCAAGCGAGACACTTTGTAGCCTGAAATATGGTCCGTCTCTCTTCTCATTCCCATGTACTACAACCCGCCAGGGGGGCTTGCTGAGAACATTGGTATCGGCCGTATGGCAACCGGCGCTTGACGTTACCGCATTTCAGCGACCGGAGCAGCTACTATTGCGCGATGCTGCGCCTATACTAGCGCAAGGTCTGCGTATCGGAAAGCTTAGGCTGTCAGTCTTCATCTGCCCGGCCTGCCCGAGTCCCGAGATTTCGTGCCTTTCAGCGCTCGCCCACACAGATGTGCATTATATCGGTATTGATCTGGTACGCCGGCCTCTACATGACTTATACGAGCTAGTGTACACTGAACCCTTTCTCTTAGATGTCGCTTGAGTTATACATGACGATACCTACCACAATGAGCGGCAAGTGCTTCTCCGTGCCTACCTTCTTGCCATCCTGCTTGGGAAGCCTCAGCGCATGATATGTATACGCTATGCTCCAAACGCTGCTGCCTGATATCCACACAAGAATTTTGCTTTGCGTGACCGCAAGACCAGGAGAGTCGATGGCTGCCACAGTAAAGACAGTACTCGGATGTTGTTCAGAGAAGTGTTGGATTTGGTTGATGGTTCCGATTGGTCCTGAGTGGAACGCCGTAAGCTGTCAGGTTTCGTGCACTTCTACCGTCTCGAGGCTGATGAATGATTACTAGAACCATAGACTCGAGTTCATGCACGGTGCTCCGTCTGTCCAAACATACTCCTGGTGCTATCCACATGACCGAAAAGGGGTATGTTTCCCAGGCTTTTTGCCTGTGAGGACCCGCACAGTGACGTTGACAAGACAGTGTTGCTCTATGAATAGAATAGAACATACTCATAATGATCGAGGCGTACTTAATAATAGCAGCCAAGGGCCGTCGTCCATTCATGAATCCAATTCCTTTCAATTGGAGACACGCGCTCTGCGGTGTCCTTTCCTTTGCAAATTGATTCATCTCAGTACTTAAAACTGCAGGTTCCTGCGGTTGGAGACCTGTGGTGTCCAGCAGTGCTATCTGCCATACTCTTTCCTCCCATCCCAATGCCGTACACCGTAGATGCAGTTGGGGCTGCTGCCCCTGAGCTACCCGTCGAGTCTTCCTTGGACTTGAAGGAGAATATGTCAGATGACGCTCACAACAGCAAGCAGGTGCCTCGAAAGCGGACTAGTACAAGGAGGGAAATTGTAGGCTCCTATATGGCCATTGCCGCCGCGGCATTTGGACTGTTCTCGGATGGATGTAGGTATTCTGTTTCAATGGCCAGGAAAGCTCAGCTGATGATTGCAACAACTAGACCAAAACAATATCATGACGATGATCAATGTCTGCCATTCAAAGTACTCTATATCCGATCGGTTTACTGACTAAAAAACAGGTCGTACTTAGGAAACAGTACCCTAAATCATACACATCCAAGGTATCTACTCGAGTGTCGAATTCACTTCTCGTTGGTAAGCCTCGTAGTCAGGATGTCCCTTGGCTTTGTTGAAACCGAACCGTTCTGTTGTTAGGCGACGTTCTTGGTCAGCTCTTAATTGGCGTTCTGTGCGACAGAGTCGGGCGCAAAGCAGGGGTAGTAATCACGACCTCCTTAATCGTCATCGGGGCCATCCTTGCCACTGCTGCTCACGGGTCGCATGGAAGCGTCGTTGGCCTGTTCTGGTTCCTCACAGTGGCACGCGGGACTATTGGAGTCGTAAGTTGTGTTCCTAATTAGCTACCCCGCTGTGACCGGACTATGATACGTAGGGCACTGGCGGAGAATATCCCGCATCGTCGACCAGCGCCAGCGAGGCAGCGAACGAGCTCACTGTAAAGCAGAGGGGCAGGAGTAGGTCCACATCGCACTCCATTGACAACATTTTCTAACGTTCCTTACCTAGTATTCCTTGCTGTTACAAATGGTCTTCTCAGCGTGCGTTGCGAATTTACATTTGCGTCGGAAGTCCTATCTGACATGCATCAAGTTCGGCACGCCGTTTGCTGTTGCGGTATTCCTTATCGTTCTGGAGGCTGCCGGTGAAAACCACCTTGAGACCGTCTGGCGTGTCTGTTTCGCCATCGGCATTGTGTTTCCTCTTCTAGTGTTCTACTTCCGTATGCGCATGCTAAGCCCCAAGCTGTGAGTGACCATCCACTGCACATGTTCTGTCCTGACGACGTCTGGATGAACAAGGTTCCGCGACAATGCGATCAAGCGTAGGATGAGCCTGTCTCGCGCATGGCCTGAGTTAATATCTGGATCTAGATCATGTCCCGTACCGTCTGGCCTTCAAGAGGTATTGGAAAGCGCTCATAGGCACAGCAGGAACTTGGTACGTACCGCTGCCACCGCATGCCACATCTTGAGCTGGTGAGCTGAACCTTACTTGGCACAGGTTTATATATGACTTCGTACGTTGAGCCAAAAATAAGTGTTAGTGTTGTTCCCCCTGTGATGAACTTGAACCTACACAGGTCTTCTTTCCTAACACCATTTTCTCGGGCCTTATAATCTCCGAGATCATACACGACGGGAGTATAAAGTCAACTGCAGAATGGCAGCTATTCTTGGGGACTATCGTCCTGCCTGGTGCGTCAAAGTCACATTAGACGCGAGGGCAATGACAATGACAGATGTGTTAACAATCGTGATCAGGCACATGGCTTGGGATCTATCTTTGCAATCCCCTCGGGAGGCGATATACGGTCGGTACACTCATGGACTGCTTTGAATGTGCGTCTGATTGGCTTCATCATCACTCAGATGATGTTGGGCTTCACTGGCTACATTGTATTTGGTGAGTGCGATGCTTGTTCCTTAAACAAGTCATGTCGAACCCGACCCACAGGCCTTATCACCGGGTGCGGCTATGACAAGATCACTAAGATTGTACCCCTGTTCATCTTCTGGTCAGCCTTTCCTTACCTCGCGTATTGCTGATTAGCGCTGATACTCTCCGTGCTGTCATCTAGTTATGGCATGCTGCATGCCATGGGGAGTCTGGTCGGTATCTCTATCATGATTCTTTACCACTTGAAGCTGACACTCGTACAGGGACCTGGAAACCTTAACGGACTTGTCAGCGCCGAGTAAGTACAGCCACGTTGTGCCTGTGGCACTCAGTAGCTAATGATTACCCGCAGATCGTTTCCTACTCCCATCAGGTACAGTCTATAATCATTGTCATGTGGAACGTGCATTGACTTGACCACGCCGTGCAAGGGGAACATTCTATGGTATATCTGCCGCGGTCGGCAAGGCAGGCGCTGCGATCGGCACGGAAGCATTCACGCCTATCCAAGACAACCTGGGCAAAAAGTACACTCCCCGTTTATTTGACGCGTCAGTGCGCTCGGACTGACAGATGTGTTCGCAGGTGGACGTTCATCGTCGCTGCGATCTGCGGTGTCCTCGGCGTTGTGCTCACGTACTTCTTCGTTCCCGAGATGACGAACATCGATTTTGCGGACGAGGACGAGAAGTTCCTCCTGTACCTCGCCGACAACGGGTGGGAGGGGGTCGTCGGCGACGGTGACTCTGCATTCAGTGCTGATGAGGTTGTGAGCGTCGAAGAGAAGGAAGCGTGAGCGTGATGGGAGAGTCGGGTTCAGGCGCTCCAATGTATACAGGACTGATACTGGTTGGCCTTTGCGGCTCATGGCTTGTTCAGGGTGATATTTCTTGATTGCGACCGCACATATATCAAATGAGCGGCGCCCCTTTATGATCTAAAACGCACAATATACAGGTGATTGGAAGTGAGCAGAAAACGCTTCTCAGTCGGGACACGGAATACACATATACAAGAAGGTGATTGATTGTCATGACTATTTCTTTTTGGTCAGCGACGGAACTGACCGTACTCATGGATATTCGTCGCCGATCTTTACAAGAAGCATTGACAAGTATCGAGCGCGGCTAGCGTCGACGATATGACAAGACGGGTGGAAGGCCAAACAGCATCAGGTAAGTCAACGATCGTACAATTAAAAAAATGCTTGCCAAAACGTGTTTGCTGATAGCTCTGCTTTCTTCGAGTCGGTCGTGCGGCTACTTCCGTCTAGCGGTCACCTGGGCTTCGAGTCGAGATCACCTACTACGGTACTTATGCGAGAATAGACGCAGCTTAACCAATGGCGCCTTGACTGGTCGTGAACGGCTGCCGCTACCGTCTTCACAACCCCATCACTGTTGTGCTTGGAAAAAATTGGCGACCGCCAGTTCTACCACCTTTGTCGCCTTGCGCTCTCTTACTCAGCACATCTTTTGCGCCTGGTAAGCCATGATACCCAGCTGATACGGACGCCGATAGTTTTGTGGTTGATGACACTGTTCGGGACTGGGGGCTCAAGACCTTAGACGGCCTGCAACCTCAGGCTGTGTGACTCCTACACCGCCCACATATTAGAGGAAGATTTGTTTTGCAGCTTATGCGAGTGCGGTTGTATAATAATGTATGTGTGTAGCCTGACGATTAACAGTTTGTTTGCTGCGTTCTCACGCCACACTGACTATCTCTATAGCGCAATGAGCGCTAGAGCCACGAAGTCTTGAACTAGAATCATCACCGGCCCTGCGCCTTTACTTAAGCACACCTACCTCTGTGCGCATCCACATGGGGCAGACATCTAGCACAAGTGATGATGAAGGCCGACGCGGTTCGCTTGGGATTCTGCTATGTCGCAGTGGTCTACCTTTCGCAGTGAGTCTCAAACACTTGATTGGCAACTCGCGCAATGGCTGAGCAAGTTGCAGGATATGGATATAGCTTCGCACCTAACTCCGAATTGGACTGTACAGGGCTGTTCACCAATTCGCTTGCCGTTAGAACTCGTTGACCATGTCATAGACCATCTACAGCACGACAGGTGCTCGTTACTCGCTTGTGCATTGACTGGCCGTGCGTGGCTCCCTCGAAGCCGCTACTACCTCTTTCGCGTTGTCGACGTCTCTGCGGACAGTCGGCGATTAGACGCTCTAGCCCTGTTGGCGCAATCTCCCTCGGCATTTTTGTTAAAGTTGGTTCAACACTTGGACATTGATGCACAGCAATACACCAGCTCTATTCAGGAAGTACTCCAAATGTTCACGGGGACCATTCTTCATGCCGTGCGATTGACCATACGCAACGTCGCATATGCTGGAGCCAATGAGCCACGCGAATTATTCATGCGCTTGCCTGTTTTCACCTCAGTCACCACCTTGATAGTGCACTCGTCAATGATCAAATCCTTCAGCCTGCTCTGTCGCCTCGTCTCCGCATTCCCCCATCTGTCGGTTTTGAGCTTGCATCGCGTCTACGTTGCGACCCTGGATCAACCCACGAACCCTACGGATCAGTCTCCGATTGTGTGTAGCATTCGCTTGACGATGCTCTCCGTGTTTGCCATGCAGGCGCAGGAAATGAATCACCTGTTGACCTGGATCACTGAATCGCCCATCACTCATCCTATCCGTGATTTGGTCTTATGGCGCGATTGTTACAAGGGGAACCTTCAGAAGAGTCTGGTGATCAATCTACTACAAACCACAGGCTCGACTCTCGAATCGCTAGCACTCGATGTGACCGCTCTCAAGAGCGAAGATATCACAGGTAGAGTCGAGCGAGTTCTATGAAAAGCTTCTGCAAATTCATGGCGTTACGCAGATGTTGCTTCCGCCTTCGGCAGCAGCAGCTGCAACCTCCGATCACTGATCATGCCGTTGGACCTGTCACCTAGTACAAATGTACGGATATGGCTATCCAATGTTTCCAGCCGATCACTGAAGGAGCTCAAATTTGTGATTCGGAGCACTTGGTATTGCCAGGCCGACCTCGAAGCAGCCAAATCCTTCTGCTTGCTAATCGATTGCGTAACCGAGCTCGATGTCTTTGCCAGCCTGAGCACGGTTTCTTTCCAACTACCACCCAGATCCGGTCTGTCGACACACTCCCGCTGCTGCACGGACGACCCGTACGCGGTGCTACAGGCCCTATTTCCAAGTCTCTATCGCAGAGGGCTCTTACGACTCGCCGATGATGGTGACTTGTTCAGAGCAAACTGACTAGGGCACCTATGAGAGAATCGATCGTTGGTACGTCGCGACCCGCGGCCGAATAGCGACCTGGGAGGAAAAACTGACCCTGTCGCGGGCCCAGATTAGCCAAACTCAATCTCGCTTGCACCGCGATAAGACAAAGACCGAGGTTGTTCCAAGCAACTCGTGGCTCGAACATCAGCTGGCTCACGGAGGGCCCCTTGTGGTGCCAGATTGAGTTCGACGACTTATGTCTATCGCGTATAGAGATGGATTCGCTCTGTAGGCCCATATCTGAATGGATGGAGAGGAGCCTGCGTCGCATTCTCGAGGGCACTTACGGCGAAAGGACGCCCGTTCCGGTGACATGTACGTAACACTATTCCTTCTGTACCGTACACAGTGGCCCAGCCTATTCATTGGTTCTCCTCCTGCATAACAGCTATTCTGATGTCGGTGCAGAAGTAGTTCCAGGACTTGGTCACCTAATGCACTCCGGCTTCGCGAAACACCTCAGCGACACCTCAGCAGCCCCATGACCAACGTGCATATCAGAAGGAGCACCGTGAGATGCCGCTCAGCAGCAACGTATATCGCCTCCAGCAGCGTCACTGACTTCCTTGTTGGAACGGCCAGCCATCTTGACTACCATGTTCTCCTATCTCGCTCATCGTCGCGGGGTGTAAGTGCTGTCGACCAACTTACCACCACTGACTCATATAATATCATCCACAGTCGCGCTAAACAACAAGAACGCCAAGGACGTATAGACAGCTTGCCCCCCGTCTACAATGGTCCAATGTCCGACTTCGAGAAAGGCATCATGGCTAAGCCCATAGCGCAGATCGTGGCCGAAGTACAGTCCGGGACGCTCAACCCGGTCGATGTGCTACGTGCGTACGGCAAAAAGGCGCTGAAGGCCCAGGCTGCGATCAATTGCCTCACGGAAATCATGATCGCCGACGCCGAAGATTGGGCAAAGAACTCCAATACCAAAGGCCCCCTCGCCGGTGTTCCTGTCAGCTTCAAAGACGAGATGGCAATAGCTGGCTATGATGCGAGTCTCGGCTACTCCGCGTGGGTCGGCAAGCCCATGGAGAAGGACAATACTGCCGCGCGGCTTCTGCGTGACGCGGGTGCCGTCCCCTACGTCAAGACCAACGTGCCCATTACATTGCGCTCGTTCGAGTGTACCAACGATGTCTTCGGGCAGACAGGGAATCCGCACAATATCGCATACTCCCCGGGTGGATCGAGCGGAGGGGAAGCGGCGCTGCTTGCTTATGGCGGCTCTAGAGTTGGTATTGGCTCAGATGGTGCTGGATCAGTACGCACTCCAGCGTAGGTGCTCGAACCATGATCACGCTGTGCCGTTTTTCACTTGCCGCATAGGCACTACTCCGGCTGTTATACGATCAAGGCAACGTCGAATCGATTCTTGAAATTTGGAAATGCGCATGGTGCAGTCCCAGGCAACGAAGGTGTCGGTGTCGCATTTTCACCCATGACCAGAACGCTCGAGGATCTGGAGACGGTGTGGCGCGGTATCATGAGCATGAAGCCTTGGGAATACGATCATTCGGTAATTTATGGTATTCATCTTCACATTTTGCACACAATTGATTGCATAAAGGTGGTGCCTATCCCCTGGCGGGAGACTGATTTGTCTGCGGTTAAAGGCCTCAGATGGGGTGTAATATGGGATGATGGTGAGCATTAGTAGCATAGGGCATCGCTGCCAACTTACTCTGTTGAATGTTAGGTGTTGTCGCGCCGTCTCCTCCGTGTCTCAGGGCATTGAAAAGCGTTGTGTCCCTCTTGGAAGCGAACGGACACGAAGTAGTCACAATGTCAGTGATATTTACGGCGCTGAATCTGTCTCTCACCGAAACGGGATTATTCTAGCGATCCTCCAAGTCAGTATGAAGGTCTCAAACTGGCATCACAGTTGATCTATGCAGACGGAGGTACTGCTCACGCGATCGCTGCTGTATTTCGCTGAGACCTCCACGGCATACCAGGCAAGACGATGATGAGGATCATGCATACCGGAGAATACAACGACCCAGGCGTGATTGAGGCACTTGCCATGTTCCGTATGCCGCGATTTTCAAAGCGCCTCTATGCGTGGTATATACGACACATCCGTGGAGATGACGTCTATGCCGGCCTGGTCGAGAACTGGTCGGAGAAGACTGTACCAGAACTTCTCACTCTCGTTGCAGCGCGCGAAGCATATCGAGCTCTATGGTTCGAGTTTTGGAAAACACAGAATTTGGACTTCATAATCACAGTCCCTAATGCCCATCCGGCGGTGCCGCACGGCGGAATGAAGGAGGGATGGAAGTCATGCGGATATACATTCCTGTGGAACTTGGTACGCCCCCTCGCACAATGCACATTTCCATAACTGATGTAATATCTGTCAAGCTCGATTATTCTGCAGGTATACTTCCCGTGACGCATGTCGATAAAAACCGTGATGCATTGTCGCCGACCTTCAAGCCTCGCAATGCGGTAGAAGCGGGAGCTTATCGCATGTACGACGCAACGAAGCAGCACGGGTTACCAATCGGGGTCCAGGTCATTAGCAGACGCTACAGTGAAGAAAAAGTGCTGGAGGGTATGAAGATTGTTGAGAAACTCTTGAAACAAGAGGGGAGCGCATACGAGCTTTTTGAGCGTGATGACTAATCGCTACCAAATGGACTCCCAAGTGTCGATTGAAGCGCTCGCCTCATCGACTTTGACCTGTGCCAGTGTCTCTAGTCATTGTGTCGTCATTTCATACTATACCTATTGGTATCCTTCGTCGAATTTCAAACGACAACTCGTTCTCATGCACGCACTATAGTGAACGATGCTCAAACGTGGTTCGAGAATGACTCATTCTTTGATATGCAAGTACAAGGCCCATTGTCTGTAGGCAGCATCAAGTGTCCAACGGCACAATGTCCATATCTATGCGAGTGTCCGTGGCACGACGTTCTATTCTATGTGAAGCTAAGTTCAACGTCTGTTTCGTTGTTTTATTTTGGTTTCCATGCGTATCGCATTTAGGATATGAGTTGTACAAATTATGACGGCTTTTTTGCCTTTGGTTCGTAAGACGGTATTTGGTTTCGATAACTGTGTTTTCTTTTATATGACTTTATTTTTATGATTGCTTTACTTTGTTTGTGTGACTTTATTTTGTTTTATTTTGGATGACTTTGTTTTTGTTTTGTTTTGGATGACTTTGTTATTATTATTTTAATGGTCTGTGACGGTTTCTTTGTTTTCATGATTGTTTTTGTTTTTGTTCGCATTCAAGCGTCCGCGCGAGATATTCAGGCCAGCACGATCATTTCGAGACGGTCGAGCAGGCCCGGCGCAGGCGACGCGTTCTCCTTCGTCTCTTTCTCCTTCCCGCCCAACGGAGCGCGCGGCGGCAATAGTACCAACGCCTCCCCAAGACTCTCCTCCTCCGGAAGTTCCGGGAAACCCAGTTGGGGTTCGCATGCGTACACTCCGGGAGTAGCGGGACCATCGCTATCGCCACCGGATGTGCTTGCAGAGGTGAGTGGTGAAGTGCATGCGGAACCCCACTGGGAATCATCGTCGAGGTTGACGGTACCCAGGTCGACCTCCTCGGCCGTTGTGATAATGAGGCCGACGTCGGGCTGGTAGATGACCATGTCCTCGACAGGTTCCTCGCAGTAGACATTGTCCTGCAGCACGCTATTACCTCCTCCGACCAGCGGAGAGGGTAGGAAAATATGCGGCTGTTCAGGAAGCATGGGCACGGTGCCCCGCGCAATGTCGTCGTCGCTCATGAAGAACGTTTCCATTTCGAGCACCGCCCTGCGAATCGCGGATATGGGCGGGCGATGAAATGGGTTCAAAGCGAGCATATGTTGGAGGAGCGCCCCTGCGGGGCGCGAAATTGGCATCATGACCTCGAAATGATGCTCGTCGCGGAGAAACTCAGCGAAGCACGGGTCAACCGTGCTCGCGAGTTCCCATGGGCTGCACCCACTGAGCATATTTGCGAGGATGATGCCGAGCGACCAGATGTCGTTGTGCGGAGTGGAATAGCCTCTATAGCTAAACTCTCCCCCGATGCACTCTAGATCCAATGAGGTGAGCGACTTTACGCCCACGCGGAAAGCCGGAGACTTACCGGGCGACATGTAGTGCTGGCTGCCGCAGCCGAACGTGCAGCTGAATCTCCGATCGGTCGCCAGACCGAAATCGGCAAGATACACAGCGCTACCGTCCTTGCTGCACAAGATGTTCTCCGGTTTGAGATCCCGATGGAAGACATGCCTCTTATGACACGCTTCCACGGCGTCCAAGATCTGCACGAAGACCCTACGAACCAGGTCATCGTTCCGGTCGAACGCGTGGTCGTCAGCGATCATCGAAAACAGGTCCCCTCCTGAACAGAAGTCCATCACGAGATAATAGAACCGCTCGTCCTCGAACGCGTCATGGACGGTGAGCACGTTCGGGTGGTCCGAGACGAGGCGGTGCATGTGAATCTCGCGGCGCTGGCGCGCCGTATCGGACTTCAGGGGGCCTGCTTTTTTGATGATCTTGACCGCACACTCGACAGGTGCACCACCCCGGCGAGGGCGGGCTTGCAAGTCGAATGCACGGTAGACGACACCACAGGCGCCAGCGCCAAGCAACTGTACAAGCTCGTAACGACCAGCGTCAACGAGGCTGCCAGTGAAGTCGGGCAAGTAAGCGGCCATAGACTTGCGATTCATTGTCGCGAAGAAAGTATGGCAAGGTAAGAATAAGAGTGGATGTGATGAGTGGTAGGTAAAAACCTGGCCTTCCAACAGCCAGAAGGAGCCGGCTTTTATGCGTTTTCGAGCCCAAGCAGAGCCCAAGTTCATCCTCCTTGAACAGGGACGTGCTGAACGGGAGGCGTGCATCCGTTCATCCATATCCGATGCGGATATTGGACATCCGGTATTCATGGTCAGAATAGAAACGGACGTTGTCGTTGTGCCACATCATTATCCATTACGATATTGACCAGGCAGCTGAGCGTACGGCTCGATCAGTCCAAACCAGAATCATCCGCACAGACACTACGAGCACCACAGGATTGCAGAGGCTTATACTCGCATGGATCTGAAAGTTAAGAATTACGAGCACATTGAGTGATGTACGTTTGATAAGATTATTATCAAGCCGTGCTGTTATGATACAATGAGGATGTAATGTGGAATACGAAGGCTACGTCTAGCTATGCGAGCATCATCGCGTTCTGCTCTGCGATGAAGCGCCTCAGCATCAACCTCTTCCCTGGCATCGCTTGGGATGTCTTATCGACAACATCGACACGCTCGACCGCTTGCCCAATCCCAGAGCCTTCGGCGAGCTCTGGAACAACGACATCGGGATCCTGCGCATGAGTTTCTGGGGTGACAGGGAGGTCACTGTCTTCCCCAGAGAACGATTCGGAGCTGTAGTATGACGAGGACGAGGATGAGGACGAGGTTGTGTCGACGGGGGATGTAGCGTGCGACGGAGACGAGCCCTCGGCTGAGCCGAGGGTGAAGACTTCTATTGGTGCAGGTGGGCGGAAGGAGTTTCGCGAGGAGTCGGGGGCAACTGGCTCTCCAGGTCGTAGACCTTCTTCCACGTAGCGCAGGGAGCGCGAGGGGACGTTGTCGTCAGCATGCTTGTTTGAATCGTCCGAGTCGTCGTCCAGCGAGACCATCGAAGACTCTGCGGAGAGAGATTCCATGATGGAACTGTCGTCGTCGACAAGGGTAACGCCGCTCATCTCTCTGAGACGCGGTACATAGGAGTCATATGCGTCTTTGACATGTACAGACGCGTTGGAGAGATCTTCTTCGCTCATGTAGAAGGTATCGATCTCCGAGATGACTTGACGAAGTGTCTGTAGGTCGATACTATCTTCAGGTAGGATGGTGAAGATGCGGCGGAGGATACTATCGGCGGCGGTTGAAAGGGGGAGCATTTGACGCAGGAAGGTGGGATCGCGAACGTAGTTGTGGAAGCAACCGTCGTCGAGAGCCGCACGCTTCCAAGGGCAGCGCCCGGTGATCATGTTGGTGAGTATGACACCCAATGCCCATATGTCAGCTCGACGTGGTGAGTACGACGTATGGTGTCCATCTGCGTTCAAGCATTCTAACGATAAAACCGTATCAGTTTCCTGCTTAGAAATGCCGATTGTGTACTGACCCGGGCTCATGTAGTAAGAGCTTCCTGCGCCAAAGTTGGTGCTGCTTTCAGTTCTCGTCGCAAGCCCGAAATCGCCCAGATATGCGTTTTGGAGTTCAGCGCTGACGAGAATGTTCTCCGGCTTGAGATCGCGGTGGAAGATGCCATTCTGGTGGCAAGCATCAACTCCATCAATCACTTGGAGGAATATATGCTTGATGAGCGCATCGTTACGGGCAAACTTGCGTGTGCGTGAGACGACACGGAACATGTCGCCGTCTGGGCAGTAGTCGAGGACAATGTAGAGGTACTGCGAGTCGCGCACGACACGGTGCAGCGTAAGAATATTGGGGTGGGCGGTGACATAGTGGTGGTACCCGATCTCGCGGGCTTGGTAGGTTCCACGGCCCGTCCACCGATCTGCGAGCGGAAGGACTTTGACGGCGAGGAACGAGGGTGTGTTCAACTGGGCAGTGCGATCTACTGCACGGTAAATGGTTCCATAGGCACCTGCGCCTAGAATGTCCAGAAGTTGGAGACGACCCTCGTCAATGAGGCCGAAGGACAGATCGGGGAGGATGTATTTGCGCTGGAACATTCTGATGCAATGATAATGAGTGAGTGAAGTGCAAAGGATGGAGGTGTACGACTGTGTCGAGTTCTTGTGGTCGATAGATGGGGACTTCAAGTTCTAAAGTTGCGCGACCTTATATGCAGTGGACTGCGAAAGCTTCCCACTTCCATGATATCCGTCGGAAACGACTTCCGGGCGGAAGGACATACTACCGGATATGGAGCAACACGCTAGATTGCCTTGTCCGCAGACGACCGTGCAACCCAGTCCGATTTCGAATGCACTCGAAATCGGACGGTTGCACGGTCATCTGCGGATGTGTGCTCCTGTAGCATTCAACACTATACGGGGGGATCAGCTATGTTCTCCATTAAAAAAATGTATCATACTACATTGACGAAATCACTACTTCTTGGTACTGACTCCATTCGCGTCTTCAAGCACGTTCTTGATCCCGCTTTTCCATACGCCCAGTTCCGTTTCGAATCGGACGATTGCCTCCCGCACTTCCCTCCCAACCATCCCGCCTCCGTTCTTCCCCCCGAAGCCGACGACTAGCTCGTCACGTGCGTGCACCAGGGTCTCGTACGCCAGCTTCAGCCGCGCGGAGCCGGATGGCGGGAATCGCTGGCCATTTGCGGGCATACCCACGGACGGAGAGGGCTCGTCGACCGCAAGCAGCTTGCCGAGCTCGGCGAGCGCGACGCCGCGAACCGGATGTCCGGGTGGCAGGATTACGGAGAGGCCGGCGCTGTACTTGCCTGCGGTGCGTATGGTGTCGTCAAGGAGCTCCTGGGAGAGGGAAGCGGAGAGAGAGGCGACGAGGAATTCCTGATGCAGTCGAGTGATTGCAAGAAGTGGGTGGCACGAAGGTGTTAGTTTGCTGGCAGTCAGTATGGGGATCATGTTCGTAGTGAGCTGTTTTGCCTTCGCGGGGTCTGGGTCACAGGTCACAGTGTCAAGTAGGAACATCAACTACGTAGATAGCGGCCAACCTATGTATTGTATCGACGCCGCCTTATCGAGCGCCTGTTGTCCGATACGAACGGCATCCAAAACCGCATCTGTAGAGGATACTGCTGCTTTGCACTTTACGCAACGAGTAAGTGGGTCCTCTGAGAATGAGATTTAGTAAATATCTTTGAGAAGAAAAGTCAGCATCACGATACCTTCCGTGGGCACAGGACATGTGCCACCGCAGGACTTTGGACACCATATCGTAGCCCGGGGATCTGCTGAAGAGGTCTTGGCACAGAGGGTACATTCACATGTGAAGTTGTACGTGTCCTTCAGCGCCTTCTGCCTCTGTTCCCGAGGAAGCGTCACGTCAATATACGCAGTGAGTATCTGCCAAAGAGTGGATTTAGTTGATGCAGTAGCGAGGCCCATGCATTCGTACTTCGTCGCCAGGCTTGATCGGTTTGATTGCCACTACGTTCATAAGAGGCTCTTGGGCTTGTGGGTTGCTTGCGCTCCGAGGGAACACTACGACGGCGTTCGGTTCGCAAGAATGGTTGGCGAGGGCTACTGTGGGGCTGACAGCAATGCCGATGGGCGTTAGAGAAAATGATGTGAGGGTGAACGCGTTCGTGGTGACCTATAGATCAATAAGTCAGGATTGCTTGGCAAAAGCATTGCCATATTGACGCAGAACTCACACGTGAGATGACATCGACCAAATCGGCTGAATTGTGGATTCCGTATGGCTCCAGCTCCATAGGCGACGATACATCCAAGTATTTTACGAGGGAATGTGCGATGTGTGTGTGCGACTGGAACACGGAGGGCGGCAATGTTGACCTGTCTGGATACCTTGTGAGTGTCCAAATCTACGATAGTGATGAGCAAAAGAAACACACGAGACTGCATCATGTTGATCTCCTTTGACTATGAAGGCTTCTTTAAGTGCAAACGTGAGTGTATAGGATGCGCGAACACTGACCCAATGATCGCTCGGTCCCTTTTCGCATTGCGTCCAGATAATCCGGCCTAAACATCGTATGACATCGCTCGGGATGGAGACGTCCTGTGATGGCGCCATAGACGCCCACTTCTGCAATGCGGAACATTCATTTTTATGCGATGGCCAGTCGTCGCTCTGGCATTTCTGTCATCTGACAATGAGCACGGGAGGTCGCGTCAGAGCATTATAAACGCACGTGATCGCAATACCAGACGGTCTTACAGCGCGTGCAGCGTTTAAGCCCTGCGGAGGGCGTGGGGCCGCAGCAAAACGAACAGTAGGAATCCAGGTACGGCGTAGACAGTACGGCAGCATGCGGTTTCACCGCTAGCAATACCGTACCTTGGGGATTGTCAGAGCTGCATGAGCTTCACAATACTAAAATAGGTGTACCTGGCTTGTGAGTACTCTGCGAGTAGATCCCTCGGCCTCGCTCGTTTGACTGCCGCACGTCGAGGAAATCGGGCAGCGCTGCATGCAGACCTTGCAAATCAACAACTGCTGGCGCCAGTGGTGTCTGTAATGAAGTTGATCTATTTTCCGAGCTTGATTGTGTTGTGTCTGGGCTGGTCGGACTCTGTTCTGTAATCTCCGGGGATGGTTTCACAAATGACCGAGACTCTTTAGATTGTCGGGCAGACCTTAGGCTTGCGAAGGACATTGTGTCGTTGTAAAATAGCTGTAAGACTTGAGCTAGTTGCGTCTCTATAGAACCAATGATAAGACAACCGCTTTTGGGGGCTGCAAAACGACCCAAACTAATTCCAACCTGAGACGGATAAGGAATTTGATGAAATGACGGAGTTGTTTGTCTTTGTTAGGATCAGAGGCTGTTACCACACAAGGCCAAACAACTACCCTGCCAACCTGGACAAGATAGCTCCAAGAAATTTAGAACAGTGACAAAACGCCAGCAATATATGATCATTAGACAAAGGCGGAATGGGACAAAACTTGCTGCCCATACGATTTTGACGTGAGAACGATTTGGTTGCTGCGAGCGCTTTCGGCGGGTTTCGTAAATTCAATTGAACAAGCTATACACAACAATGCAATTAGACAGGGATGAGTATGTATGAGAGCAGAGTCGAAACTAGAGATGCAAAGTGAGATAGATAGATACAACATCGAGAGAGGATCGTGACAGGTCGTAACAGGTCGTGAGAGGTCGTGACGGTCGTTAAAGCAATATAAAAAACAGGAGGCCAGCAAGGCATGGTTCTCTATCCAACTGCAACACTGCACATCAGATAGAATTCTCAAGACCATAGATGCTGAGAACGTACGTGAGAAAGCAAGACGGCAACCGCAAAGATCCAGAAGGCGAAGATACAAAGACCGTGTGAGGCCGGGCGTTATGATGAAGAGCCGTTGACGACGCTCTCGCTCTGCCCTCGTGGTCGGCCAGCATCGAATGCTGCTGGTGACCGTCGTGATAATATTGAGTCGTCTTGTGCGCGTGTGAAAAAATCATCTTCTCCTTCGTAAGGCGAGGGCCCAGAATTTATCTGTCAAGATATCACCGTGATCAGTCATCGCTCTGCGCCCGTGAAGCAAGCCAGAGGGGCGTCAGGCTCTTGTCCTCGGTCCGCATCGGGAGACTTGGGTCTATGGGGTGGAAACGCGAAGATGCTCACCCATTGCCCCAGCACCTCCGCAATCCTACTCGCCTCCTCCGGGCTGAACGTCACGTCCTTGCCCTTCTCTGAATGCAGCTTCAGCAGCTCGCTCAGCGTCCGCTTGTCCCGCCCCGGTGTGTCCCTGGCCTCCTCTGTCCCCGCCCCTACATTTGCCCCCGCAGGGAATGCAACCGAGTTCCGCGGCGTGCGTGCGCCGTCGGACAGGTTCAGCGAGCGGTCCCAGTCCTCCGTCTCGCCGGCGTTCAGTGATAGTGACGACATGGATAGGTCGGCATGTGTGGTCGACATGGTTGGTTGTGGTTCAGAGCCGGATGTGAGGGGATAGTCAATAGTGACTGCGCCTAGCAGGTGAACTGCGGGGTACGGGGAGGGGTAGCCTGGGTAGGGAGCGCTGGAGCAGGCTGGAGCCTGGGCGGAGGTGGCTGTGAGCGGATGGTGGGAGGTGAGAGGGAATGGTAAATAGCACGTGAGCCGAGGTGAGACGCGTCGCGACGTGTCGGGGCGCGTCCAAATTTGGAAGTTTCCCCGGCTCAGGCCGATGCGAGTTGGCCTCGCTTTGCGAACCTCGTTTGTCCCATCTTGTACATAAGATGCTGTAACATGCATACTGATCCTGTGAGTTTGGAATGTGCCAACTAAATCATTGTTTGCCAGCCTTCCTCAGCTTGGTGCGTAGCCCCCGAACGTCTAGACGTCTTGGCTGACGAAATCGAACTCTGCAGGCCTGGTATTTTTCACCGCCAGTCAGTCTAGATGCGCGCATTCGCTCACATGTGTAGTTTCAACGTCGCTCAATGATTGACATCCTTTTCACAAAACGAGCTCGGCGCCTGCTCTGCCGCATCTTTGACTTGTCGTGGGCGCCTAAACCCGATGCATGCATGGTACAGTACGTATGCAGGCAGCTCGTCTGTCACAGACCCGACCTTTCACCGTGAAGTAAACAAGGAGATCCTGAACGCGACGAGATGGGACGAGATCATCAATCTGTACCCCACTCAAGGTCCTCGGGCTGGCTTGTGCCTCGTCCGAATCGGTCCTGAAGTGCCTACGTCACACAGAGCCTCGGACTAGGTATCTGCGCGTGGTGTAAGCATTCGTACGTTATTTCACATCTCTTCTGCGGCTTTCAAATCTCAAACCTTGATTCATGGTCTTGCAGGAGTGATTGTCGCTCGAAGTCTAACTTCGCAATTGTGTGTCCGAGTCCTTCGGGCTTCGATGTCGGTCAACGCCGACCCACGCTGCCAAGATGCGTTAAAATCGCAACCTATAGACCATGGGACTTGTCAACGCCTGAATTTTCTAACCCGCTCTTCTCGGAATGGCTCGAGGCTAGCCTCCCAGATGTCCAGCATGTGGCTAACGACAAAAATGTCCGTGGTAATTGTCCTGCACATCGCTATTTCGGATCGCCGATAGCCTCGTTGTGCCTTGTGATCGAACCCCGATCGTGGCGTGCTTGGTGGCGTTCAGTAGACGGTCTTCTGGATCTGCTACTGCAACCAATATTCAGGTATACAAGGAAACCTAGTGGAACTGCGTATATACAACCTACCAGTCATCTATAGAAGAGAATTTGAGCTCATATTTGCTACAGACGACGACATTCGACTTCTGAAGCTGCCTCGGCCTAGGATCGGGCAGGAATGCATCCGCTTTCATCGACGCTCGTGAGCGCTTGTGGCAGTGCAGTTGTGACTGAAACACGTGCCGCTATGTGTCACGTGTCACACATTCACCCGTGTTTGCTTTCGCCAGCGCAACCTCCCTCGGCTTCATTGCTTCCCGTTTGCTCTAGCAATTTGCATGCTGGTTGCGATCATCGGCGAATCTTGAGACCCGGGAAATCAATCAATGCTCGTGTCTGTAGAAGCTCTAATAAATTATCGCGGATCAGAATTTCTGTACGCCAACACGCGTCCCATGTCTGATGCTACTACCGTCTGTTCGGGACAAAACCCTTCACATTACGGCGTACAACCGCGACAGTTGGCAGCGGCTGCTGCTTCAATTCCAGGACTCTGCAGTCCGGGTGAGCAGTCGTACTTCTCAGAAGAGTCTGAATATCGTCACAGGCTGTACATCATATCCACGTCTTGATGAATGATGAGTATCCGGATCGGAGCTCATTCTGTCCCACAGTGTTTCGTGTTCTGTGTTGACGGAAATTCCATTCTGCTCATGATGGACGTCATGGGAGCGCCATCTGATCAGTCCGTGCGTCTGTCGTGTCACTACTGTGTCTTATCCTCTTGGGGCCAATTCAACGTGTGACAGCTCTTTTGGATGAACGCGCCTCAAGGCAGACGGAGCGCGGACTACATTGAAATTCAAACAATACCTCGTCCACAAATTGGGCTCAACCTGGGGCCTGCGGGTAGCGATCAGCCGCCGGGATCGCGGATTTTACGCTGCGATTCGCGTCATTATAGATGACGCTGAGCTTTGTACCATCAAAAATGATCCGATGTGGACCCTCGTGGAAATTCGCAGCATGTGACAAAGACCATATGTCGTAACAGAGTTTGCGCTATTGCCAAAGTGTGCATGGGCAGTCCGTCCACGCTGCGGCTCCCGCGGCGCGTGCCGGGCACGCTGCAGACCTATGAATCGCCTCCGTCTGCTTCTCTCAGACTTCTCTGATGCTCATGGGTAGGGATCTTCACTTCTCGCAGCGATGCCCTGACCGTCGCCAGTCGAGCCGGGGCTTTCTCGTCGCGCCGTTATCGCCAATTGATTCTGCGCCGGCCTCTGATTTCATAGTTTTGTGACAGATGCCATCCTCTCGGTGTCCGCTCCTGCCTGTTTTCCCATCATCATTTGCAAAGCAGCCAAGGCGCGCGAGGGTAGATCGAAAGATGTCCCACAGCCAATCTGCCACACGTCTCTGGGGTGTTTGGAGTCCGCGAATTGTCCCCGTTTTGTGGGACGATCTCTGACGAGATACGGCACATGGCAGTTTGTCCGCTCTCTAATCCCTGGCTTCTGTCAGGCCTAGCAACTCCTCGTGGCCCCTGTAAAATCCTGGGCGCGTTATCGAAGATCGCGCCGTGATATGCGGACAGCGAATGCTCTCAGGTCCCGACAAAATGATCCTGCTATAGCCTGGGGCATCAATCTATCCGGCGTGGCTGGGAATACTTAAGTTTGCGCGCGTTCTGAGGACCTACGCACGCAGCTGCGGGTGCGCCCCCTCCCCCCTACCTCCCTAGCTTCCGTCTACGCCCGTGGTTATTCACCGCCTTCTCTTCTGCGGCACGATGTTCTCACATGGATCCGAATACGAGGAAAGGTAAATCCCCGCGTGTGCTATGACTGGTGACCGCTCACTGCGGCATCGGGCGAGAGGGGTGACTAATGAGTGGTTCGCTGTTCAGGCTCAGGAAGCCTTTCGTGCCACCGACGATCACACTGAAGGAGATCCACGAAGCGGTTCCCAAGCACCTGCTCCGTAAGAACCCGTGGCTATCTGCGTACTACTGCGTCCGCGACATCGTGTGCTGTGTCGCAATTTTCTACGTCGGCTTCCACATCGAGGACATTTTGAAGAGCGACTTCGGCGGCTTGGTCCCCTTGACGGCGCTATGGCAGGTCTACCTCGCGAGGACGGGGCTCTGGCTCCTTTACTGGTGGTTCCAGGGACTGTCCTTTGCTAGCTTCTTCTGCATAGGTCAGTGCTTCGATCGACATCTAGACCCTTCTTTCTTTGTATTGACGCATGCATTATAGCACATGAGGTAAGTGTAAACGTGCTTTGCTTTGCTCACAATATCCTCAAACTTTATATTAGCTGGGTCACCAAACGATGTTCAACAACCGTTATGTTAACGATACGCTCGGATACTTCTTCCACGCAGTGAGTACTGCAAATACAACTTACGATAGACAGTCTCTTACTATGCTACGTACCTCCAGTTCATCCTTGCACCATTCTTCGCGTGGAAGGCCAGTCACAATGCGCACCATGTACGGCGGCTCATCTCATGTCTCGTCCAGTACACTGAGACTTCATCCCACAGCGCACAGTCGCGTCCATCGAGCGCGATGAGAACTATGTTCCGTATGAGCGCAGCTACTACAACCTCCCGCCCAGGGAGAAAGCGACGACCGCAGACTACCTCGAGGTGCTCGACGAGACGCCCATTCTCACCCTCGGTCGCCTGCTCGTCATGCAGGGAGTGTGAGTCCCACCGCAGCTCTGTTACCAAGGGGGCTACTCACGCTGTTCCCGTGTTTCGCAGAGGATGGTGGCTATACATCTCGTCAGTTCAACGTACTTGTTTACCCTGTGCGACCGAGGCTCACTTGAGATGCTGTTCATCAGGACAAATGCGATGGGTTCCAAAAGGTACCCCAAGGGCACTAACCACTTCTCGCCCTACTCACCCCTCTTCCGACCGGATCAACGTTAGTAGCACCTGGAAGCACATGGTGTCCCTGCATCTTCACTGACGTAACCGCGTACACAGGTTTGGGCATCTTCCTGTCTGATGTTGGCATTATTGGCATGCTGTCCATCTTGTACTACTGTGGAACGATCTACGGCGGTAAAGCGGTGTTCATGTACTACTTCGTTCCCTATGTGGTACGTCCCCTGCCTTGCTTGCTAGCTGCCGGGCTATACTTACACTTTACGGCAGCTATGCAATCACTGGTATGGTCATATGTCCGACGGTTGTCTCCGTTGCTCACTTTCCCTATCTTGCCCTGGCATTTCCATGACAATCTACTTAGGATCGGTGCGTGCTTTCCCGTCCGCTAAATCTGTCCTATCTGATGTTCTGATTGCCTCATCACGCGTCCGTGATGATCCAGTCATGCTCACCTACCTGCACCATTCCGATCCTACGATTCCCCATTACCGTAAGGAGGAATGGTCGTGGGTGCGCGGCGCGGCGGCCACGGTCGATCGCCCGCTCTTGGGTTGGGCTGGCCGTTTCTTCCTCCACAACGTACGCATGGCTCGCGCTTTAGTTAGCTCGGTCGGCGGTGCTGATCCGTTGTCATACTTGATCTAGGTGTCTCATGACCACGTGGCTCATCACTTTTTCTCATACGCGCCCTTCTGTGCGTCTTCGTCACTCCCGGATGCCATGTACTTTACTGACTCAAGCATTCGCGCTCCTCAGACAACCAACCGGAGATCACAAAGTGTGTACGATCGGTGCTCAAGGAGCACTACAACTACGATTCAACGGTGAGTAACTTCTGCGCACTTTGTGCCAATGACATGCTCATTCCGTTGCAGAACACGTTCTTCGCGCTCTACCGCTCGTTCACGGAGTGCGTGTTCATCGAAGAGGATGGTGCGATTGTATTCTACAAGAACAAGCACGGCCACTCGCAGCGTGATGTCGCGGAGATGAAGCTGAAGGAGATCGATGCGACCTGGAATGCGGAGGAGCAGGACAACGGCGTGCAGGTCATCGAGTGAGATGCCTACGCCCGTGTATTTGATGATGATGTAGCGTTTTCCCTTGCTTCATCCGTTGTTGTGCTTGTTGTGCTCGTATACCGTTGTAAACCTTTCCTGTTATAGCTAGTCCTTGTAGAACAATCTTCCTCGTCTGACGTGTCTGTTCCCAGTCTACTCGTGTTTCTCTTCGCTCGAAAGAGGCCGATTAGTGTGCCCTCTTAGAGTCAGAGATTGCATAGGCACCTGACGATCCTAACGAATACACTGGTCTGCGATTCAAAATGCTGTCATATCACATGTCGCTTACCGTGCGGAAAATCTGTGTCGGAGAGCTGTTTATACTTAATGTGTGTATTGTTGGCCAGGCCACGACTGACTGCAGAGGTCAAAGAAGACAGCGAACATCACTAGTGTATTATGTACATAGCAATGAAGGACTCCATTGTCCTCATCCAACCTGATTTACAATTGTTCGATAACACTATGCATACATCGCACTCGATCGACATCCTACTCCGGGCAGCATGGGCGACAGAAACGTACAAGTCCCAAAATGAAACAAACTCGACATCCGAAGGCAAAGGTCCGAAGACATAATCGACACATCTTCACCAGTTCCTGCTCTTCTTCAGCAGCTTGCCCAGCATGAAGATATCGTGCTCAGGCTTGATCAGCTCGCAGTCGTTGACCCCCTTCGCCCAAGTGATCATTCCAGAAAGGCCAGGCGGGTATCGCACTTCACCCAGCTTGCCCGCCCGATCGAACTCGATGATCCGCGTCCGCGCGCACATGTCATCGACCTCGCCCTCGCCCTGCCCCTCGACCTCAACATAGCCCTCACCCTCAGCCTGGTCCTCAGCCTCGACGTTCCCCCGGGCCGCGGGTACCACATCTGCGACAACGATATTCGGATGACGAATGTCCCCGTGCACCATCCCCGTGTCATGCAGCAGCTTCAACGCTCGCTGAACATCGTCGTACACAGGACGAGGGACGGCAGCTCCGTCCGCGCACAACTTGGACAGGCGGACACCTTTGATGTACTCTATGGACCATGACAACCATCTTCAACCTCCCGCTGATGCCCTGCGCCGGCCACACGTCGCTATAGTAGATCATTTTCGGCGCTAGGTTGTGTGCCGCGAGGAGCTCATGCGCGTCCTTTCCGTACGCCTCAACAAATTTGACGACAAGCTTGCGATTGACGTTGCTTATGTCGGTGACGAGGAAGATGGGGCAGAAGAGGTCTTCCGCTCCTCCCTCCTGATGCTTGAGAGTCCCCTCGTACGTCCACGACAGCATCTCATCGTCCTGCAGCTTGCACAATGTCGCGAGAGGGAAATAACGCTGGTATTCGTTATCTGGCACTGGCAACTGTTCATACCATTTGTTGAGTTCATCGAGAGCCTCACGGAGGGCCCACAATATGCGTGCGATTTCTGTTATCTTGGCTTTGTCGTTGCTGGGGGCACTAGATGCCAGCGAAACATAGCCGGTGAAGTCCTCCACGATGGCGGCTATTGTATAAATGGCCCTGAAAATATTGATCCAGGAACCTCCAAGCGCGATGAGGAATGTCGGGCAAAAGCATGCCAACATAAGTTTCTGTGAACTGTCATCAACGAATATTCGACACATGGGATGAGAACAAGAACGTACCTCACGATCGACGCTACACCAATGCTCATTGTAAGAGAATGCACATCAAACAGACAGATCTGAACATGTCCCGAGCTCTACCTCTTCCTCGATGATAGCGAGGGCGCAGGTTTGCGAACCTCGGGAGATTGGTGTTAGCAATGATGTGGTCAGCAGAGGTCCCGTTTAGGTTGACGAATTTTACGACACTGTGGTTAAGGATTGCGCTCAAACTGTTACGAGTACGGCACGCGCGCTCGGATTCCTCGGTCGATATCTGCGACACCTCATTCATGAACTTCGCAACATCCCTGAGGAAGTATGGCGGCAATGAGGTTGTGTCATCGATCCTTTTCGTCTTAAACTTTGCAAACATGGGATGGAACAACTCGATGGGAAGGGCGATGGGCAATGGGGAACCCTGGGCATAATGTCCATTGATGATGCATTTTTCATCGTTCTCCTGGTTTAAATAGTAATTCTCAGAATTGACGGCCTCAGGTGGTGAACCACGGCCAGTCGTTGCAAGTCTTCGCTTGAGTACTATGGATATGTGAGAACGTGATGTAAGGGATTGGAGCGCATTACATACATTCCACGTACCCCATAGCCATAGCTCCAGGTTTATTATGAACCTCGTCAGCATACTCGTCAGGAATAGGAGGGGATGGCGGTTTCGGTGGTACGCTACTCGAGAGATTAACCACAACAAGGTAGACTGGAGCCTTGTTGCCCCTGAGCCGCTCTTCCGTTCTGTACATGCAGTAGGACATCAACTCTTTTCTATCAATGCAAAAACTCGCGAAGTCATTCCCACAAGTCCTCATCCGACGATAGAGCTCTGTACGACCATCGTTCTTTGCGCTAAGAGCATGCGTAGGCTAACAATACTGGAGCTTAGACCGCGCTGGGTGCAAGAAAAGATATATGTAAACAAAGCGCACTTCTCAAAGCTCGATCCGGGAAGTTTGGATACCGCAATATGACATCAATCGGGGAAGCAGATCCTCGACGGTGGCGGTGAGTGGCAATTGTAGCTCTTGGCATCTAGGGTGCACTTCACCGCCTGCGACAAGCCAGAAATGGAGTATGAAAGTCTGAGCAGTAGGTAAGGACATCTTGGTAGAGACAACATCAGGGTGGGAACGTCAGCCTCGGATGTAAGCTCCTTGCTTCCAACTTCTCATGTCAGGCCATTTTCCCACGATGTGCGCCCATAGCAGCGGGCATAAGACCTCATCTGACGATAGAGTTTTGTATGACCGTCGTTAATTGCGCTAATAGGCTACCAATACTGGAGCTTAGGCCGCACTGGGTGCAAGAAAAGATAAATCTAAACAAAGTGCACCTCCCAAGGCCCAATAAAGTAAGGTTTCATCCCGCAAAGTCTCGTCAACACGCGAAGGGATGACCCGCTGGAACTCGTGCTCATCTTCGAGTTTCGAACCCTGTCGTACATTATGGAGACTCACCATCCTGTCAGCCTATACAGCAGTAAGTGGGTCAAAGTCGCATTTACAAAATTCGGATTGGACTGACTAAGTCTATCAATCTACCAGAGATAGACCGCGAGTCCTGCTGATCACGGGGCCCCACACCATGTCAAGGATCACTCAGTTTGCCCCATCTCAGCTCGGATTAAGAATCTCGCGCCTGCTCCTGTGCAACCTCCAGCGTCACGAGTAAGCACAGCTCTATGCGCCAGCGGGCCGGCAGGTTATTTGTAGGCGGGACATTATGCATAGTTCCCGTCACGGGGATATGCATGCTTCTTTTGCGCACCAAAAGAGGTCACGGGTACCATGGCTTGGAATCTTTTTCACGAAGGATGGACTTTGCCTCCAGGGATCCCTCGTGGAACACCTCTTGCGTGCCTCGACTTCTCGTCCGAAGAACGGCCTGTCGGGAATATAAGACGCGAAGCTAGCGCGATGGCGCTTCGCAGCCGCAATGCTAACTTCTGTGCGTCTTCTAGCTGTGGGCGCTGTTATAGCCTCGTGGGGCATTCCGTCATGCTTTGCGGCTACGACGGTCAGTATCAGTGCCACCGCGAGCCATGCGATCCCTACCACGCTGTGTATGTAGCCATAGCCTTTGACGTCATCTTTGGGAAGTAACATGTCCTTCCGACCCAGACGGCCAGATGTTTGAGGTACGATCATTCAAACGTATTTGCCTGTGACTTTACTGACGATCTCATGACTGCACTCGATAGGATATCAACGTACGTACTACATTTTTGAGGCACATCTCAGTTAATGAACCCTGCCTTCTGGTCCGTTCAGCACGTGTGTGATTCCAATGGTCATACGGTTACATGTCTAACTACAGAACGGTAGAGTGGGGACGGCGGCCTTTATGCAGAATGCAAGCGTCCTTTTCCCTCGTCCTTAATTGTTAATTCACTAATCGAAGTGTAGTATTACAAAACAGAGCATTCCAACAAGTGCAGCCAAGTACGTATATAGCCCAGCGCGACCTGTGAAGAACTGACACTCTCCCGAAAGATGATGCCTCTTCGCTGTATCCGTGGGCCCCCGTCGACGGAGCTCAGCTCACAGTGGTCGCGGATCCCGTCCCCGTGTCTAATGCGCTCCCGAACTCCTTGGAGTTTGTTGTGCCCTCCGATTCAAGCGGTTCAGTGGGCTTCAGCAACACCGGATATTGGGGTAATCCACCCTCATACCTTCTATGCTTTGAGGCGCAGCACTGATTAGCCGTCCAATCTCCTAGGCATCAAGATAGACTCTGCGTGGACGTACAATGCGTCGCTGTACTACCGCTTTCCGAGCGCGTCAGCCTTCTCCGGCATTCTTACCCTTGGGCTCAATTCTTCGTCTGGCACGATACTCGCGTCGAACTCGACAACCATCAGTGGCGCGCAAACAACGTGGAAGCAGGTGTTCCTCACGCTGCACCCGACAGCAAGCGCATCGGACAACAACAACACGTTCTTCGTGACCGTGGATGGCGCTGCGGCGGCAGGCGAGACAATCAACTTTGCGATGTTCTCCTTGTTCCCGCCGACGTATAAGGACCAGCCAAATGGCATGCGTATTGATATTTCCGAGGTGAGTGGATGGCGAGATTGGTATTGCACGAGTTGCTCGAGGTTCTGTCGTCTAGACCCTAGCAGCGATGAAGCCCGCGTTCTTCCGTTTCCCCGGCGGTAACAACCTTGTGCGTGTCATTTCATGTTACATGCAGCTTGGCACTGACGGGTCCTGTGGTGCAACAGGAAGTAAGCAATGTGAAGTCAGTCTAACAAGATCACGTTCTCAACGACACCATAGGGACAAACGTTTGCAACTCGATGGCAATGGAATGCCACTGTCGGTCCGTTGCTCGACCGACCAGGCCGTGTTGGCGATTGGGGCTACGTGAATACTGAGTACGTAAAACCTCAGAAGGCGCGATATGACAGTGCTTGACGGGGTCTCTTAGCGGATTAGGCCTATATGAGTACCTTATTTGGTTCGAGGACGTCGGTATGGAACCCTTCATGGCAGTTTGGGCTGGTACGGTAATCAATTATACACAAGAAATACGACGCACTAACCTCGTGAGATAGGCTACTCCCTAGACGGGGAAAGCATTGCAGAAGGGGATCTCGAACCTTATATCCAGCAAGCGATTGATCAGGTACATAACCACAGCCACGAATCAGTCCCATGGTGGCAGTGTTGATTCCATTCTCCAGATTAACTTCGTGATTGGAGATCCAGCGACAAGTGCCCCAGGTATGTTGAATGTAGTCCTGTTGTGGACAGTGTTCTAAAAATGCCGCGTAGCTGCATTACGTGCCGAATTGGGTCACCCAGAGCCGTTCACTCTACATTACGTCGAAGTGGGGAATGAGGTGCGATAGTAGTGAAGTAAGTACCGTGTGAATGAACTGACGGCCATGTCCAGGACTTTTTCTCGTCTACGTAAGCCTTAGAGGCAGTGTCTTCATCGCTTCACTCACCAATAACATGCCTACAGGTACACGTACAGATGGCCCGCGTTCGTAAACGCACTGCAAGCCGAGTTCCCTGACTTGAGTGAGCGAATGCCAAACCATCTGAACTCTGGACTATTCTGATGTCATGATGCAGACTACATCGCTACTGCATACCCTTTCAACCCGCCCATATACCCGACACCGCTCCAGTATGACGTGCATGTGTACCAGACTCCAGGTTAGTCAGTTACTATGTATAGTGTACATGAACATGTCTCACGTACAATGCAGAGTGGTTCGTAGAGAACGCTTTCTACTATGACAGCTTTGAGGTGAGTGAATGTGCAATTCGATCCATGCCTGTGACATTGAAATGCGTCTGCGCAAAGCGTAACGGGACGAAGTACTTTGAGGTCAGTTAGATCACAATGACTGCTGTCACTAGGTGATCATCCTATCCCAGGGCGAATACGCCGCGATCTCGACGAATCCCAACGATCTATACGGAACTCCGGCGGACGGACGTCTTTTGTACCCCACGATGCAAAGTGAGTGAATGTCACGGCTTATTCATGTCTTAACGATAAATACGGCTCTATAGGCTCGACTGGCGAGGCGGCGTTCATGACGGGCCTCGAGCGGAATAGCGACATAGTTTTCGCTGCAGCCTATGCCCCTCTTCTGCAGGTAGATTCCTCAGATTAGAACAGACGGGTACATGGACTAACTTTTTATTAATGACAGCTCGTCAACGACTCCCAATGGGTGAGCTTTGCGGAATTTACGCTCGAGGTACCATGACTAATGCTGTCACAGACCCCCGATCTTGTCAGTTTTGAGTAAGCTTACATTCTACATGTGCACGGAAGTTCATTCCGCTAACATCTGCTCGACTCCAAGCGCTGGGACCGTCTACCCGTCTACTAGTTACTATGTCCAAAAGGTTGACAATGCCCTTCTGCTTCATCGTGGTAGGTGCTGACTTGCCAATTGCAGCTGTTCAGCCTTAACGTCGGTGATGAATACCTTCCGAGTACCCTTCCTGCTGTAAATGGCACATTGCATTGGACCGTCTCGCGCTCATCGGCCTCCGGGGATGTCTTCATCAAGGTATACCGTTCAACACCGGACGTTGTCCCACATGTTAGAACTGATGGTCCCATCTGGAAACCATGTAGATTTCCAATACCGTGAGCACGGATGCCGACATAACATTCGCGTTGCCGTTCTCGTCAGTCGCCAGTACTGGCACGCTCCAGGTGTTAAGTGGCGGACAGAACGATAGTAACACTCCCGTGACCCCGGATCTCGTCTCACCTGGCAATAGCACGATCACGACGGGCCCGACGTTCGACTACACTGCGCCAGGGTACAGCGTTAGTGTCATCACAGTACACACGGCGTAACTGCCACTTAGCAATGATGTTGGTGTATTTTCATATTGAAATACGGGAACGGAACTTTTAGGCCGCTTTCTGGAATCAGTCGGTAAAGCAACGACATTGGCAATATGCCAACACCAACCACGCATCTCAATCTGCGCGATGTAAACATTGACGTTGACATCAAACATTGTTGTCACGCGCCAGCATGCTGTGGCGTAGATGCTGCGATGAAGTATTTCCTACGAGTGATTAATAGTTCGCGCCGTCGATGGTAGTGCACGTTTGCACTACATATGCTACTAAGCTAGTCCAACGAAGTCGGTTCGCTTCTAGTCAGAGTACCTCCAGTCTAAATTCGACGGTGCGAGTTCTAATGCACGTTACACATATAGATGTTTATGCACTACACTGCACATTCACTTACGCAAGGCACATCGCATCTGGCACCAATTTATAGCTAGATTCAAGCGTCAGCGTTATGCATGTAGCATATACGAGACGCCAGTCTTCATGAGTCCATACTAATAGCTTTCACATCGTTGCTCTCAATCAATCCTGAGCGAGAATTGTCAAATCGGTATGCGATCAGAGAACAGCCAAATCAGTCGACATGGTAGATAGGCTGCGCTGTGTTCGACACACTGCGCTGCTCGCTGTGAGCACCGTTCAGCCCACATTTCATACAGAAACCGATGACTATGCATGCATCGTTGTAAATCCTTCCATTCACGCTTGTCGTCTCATTAATGACTAGTACATCCCCTGTGAGAGACAATGAGTATCCAGATCACGGGGTGATCTGTGCACCATCTTATAGTATTGCGCAGGTCGAGCTGTTCAACACGGGCCTGCGGAGCCCATCACACGTCGCCCAGTGGATACCGAATGATGGCAAATGAACGCAGACGACGTCAAACACTTGCGCCCGCTGTCGGGCAGGTTCTAGGACGCTCCTGGGCCCTGTAGGCTGCACCTTAAAATAGTTTTCAGCCCACATATATCTGAGGTCCTGCTGTGAGTGCCGTCTTCGCTCACCGTCTCAAGTTGTCCTTCCGTGTTCCAAACATGAAGGCATCTTTTTCCTTGATCACCTTGTTTCTTGCTATCGCCCAGATTGCGACGGCATCGCCAGCGGCGCATGGTGAGTAACCCATTTGACTTTACATCTCAATCCTCTGATTGTGGTATCTGCCATCAATGCAATGTGACATCATCAGCAGCTCGCAGTGAGCTGGGAGACATCAATCTGAGAAAGAGAAGCATAGCAGGCAGTGGTAACCGACATTCAATTTCGTTTTTGAGCCTGTAGTGACTTCGTCTACCGCAGCCTTCGAGATACTCGGCCGTGCCCTTCCCCCGGGCGGCGAATGCGCATGCTGCGAGGACAGGGAGTGCATCTGCTGTGGCTGAGCCTAATCAGGCTTGTGAATAGGTTGCGTGGCTATGCCTCACAACAAGTCGCATTTGCACTGTGTTACGGCTTTAGTGGAGAGGCGACGAGATTGTAATGGCATGGCAGCCTTGGAACCGGACTTGCCGCTGTATAATTTCAAAATCACCAGGAATTACCTAAAACTTCAAAATATTGTAAGTGCTTAGACATCAGTGCAAGCTGAACCTACATCGTATGATGAGATTGCTTACTTGCTTGGCCTCAAACGAAATGTTCATGAATTCCGAGTTGTGACGTTGATGGACAAGAATCTGGGTGGAGAATAGATAATAATTGAGGTAATGATGAGTGTGGCGTCTACGGTCTACCGACCATGAATCAATCTGTGTTTTGAGTCCGCACACACGAATATACTAAATTTGAAGCTTGACATTAATACGAGTGATAGAAGTAACAGTCGGTCACGTAAACTGTGTATTCTAGCGATAGCAAAGTTATGGAAAGCGAGCGAGGTGCGCGATAACACGACTGAGGCGGATGTTTATGAGATAAGAATGTATGTATAGATATTAACGAGATGATAGTGGGGGAAGCCCTACCCCCTCCCTCTCCTTGCGGGGGAAAACAAATATTCAAACATTGAGCCGTGATCTGTAGGGTTCCCGAGTGAGAAGCGATATCCAAAGATTAAGAGAGCAATGACACATGCGCGAAGTCGAGACACCCCGCAGGTAAGAGATGAACAACAGGGAGAATGTATAGCTCACCAGTGAGCGTACCGGCGGCATGGAGTAACGAACGAGGTCATCCCGGTGGTCCGGCACGGCCTACATGTAGTCACGGGTGGAGCGCAGATCTTGGCCAGGAGGTCGACGTGCAGTGGGAGAAGCGGAACGGCCAGCACGTGCAGGTGCGTCACGGCGCGGAGAGCGATGAAGCCTGTCCACAGACGCAAGAATGCAGTCGCACTGGCAGTATGTGGAACACAGTGAGGGGAGACGCCGCAGATATGTGGAAAGGGACGTGGGTGCAACATGGATGCGGGGATCAGGAGGGCAAGTGGGACAGACCACGAAGGTAGGATGTAGAGAACATAGGAGGAAGGAACAACTGTCAGCAGAGCAGGACAGGGAGGGACAGGTAGAAGAACGCACCCGACTGATGCGCTCTTCTTGGGCACTGCTCAGAAGTTCTCGCAGGATCCCATTTAAGAGGCCGAGGTTGATCTTGCTGATGTTGTAGCCCTCGTCGCGCGCGAGTTGCTCGTGCCAGTGGCGGCGGACACGGGCCTGGTAGGTGATGAGGGCATCTTTACCCCGGGGCCGCCTTGTGAAAGGGTGTCGAGAGAGAGTGTAGAAAAATGCTTCGAGCATGGCGACGTGAGTCGCAGGCCAATCTGCAGCACTAATGGCGAGTTGAAAATCGCTCTTGCCGATGCAGTACTGATCCCAAGTCAGTTTCTCATCGGGGAGAACATGGCGGGATGCGCGGTGGGCCTCCTGTGCGGTAGAGCATTCGTTGGCGGCAGCAGCACAGCCTTCGAGCGTGAAATACCATAGTTCGACATATTCACCCTTCTCGAGCTTATGGAGAGCGTAGGCGCATGGCCGCGGAGGGAGGTAGGAGGGTGTGTCACGGTCCAAATGTATTTTACCGAGACGGGGGCGTTTTCGTTCACGCGCGAGGCGAGCCTCCTCAGCGGCGGCATCGTCAGCTTGCCTGCGAGCCGAGGCGTCCTGTAGGAGGCGTTCGTCGTCAGCGAGGCGACTAGCCTCTAACTGTGCAGCCCATTGTGCATTCTTGAGGCCGCGAGCAGTCCAGGCCATAACAAGGCGTTCCACGGCAGCGGCGTCGAAATCAACCGGCCCAGTTTCGAGTAAGTCCTGTCGGACGATTCCGTACTCAGGAGCAAGAATTCGGAGCAGAGTTGGAAGCCCGGGTTGGACGTCAACCAGCGATGTATATAATCAGTCAGAAAGCAGGATAAAAGACAGCAGGATAGAGATGTTGGTAGACCTCTATAGTAGTGCGTGCAACATGGCTGGGCTGGAAGCAACCCCAGTGCATTGAGCGCTCAAAACCTGTGGACCTTTCTCCAACACCCTCTCTAGCGCCAGAGCCGATACCTTGTTATAAATCTTCTTATCTACAGACTACGCCCATTTAACAGAAGGCAGAATCCAGCAGCGCAACATATTATAATCAGGCAATCTCATGACATTTGGAGCTTGGAAGCCAAGACAACAAACGCCAACGCATTATGCTTAGTCGAAACTCGACGGACCCTCACTGAAGTGGCACACATTAAAATCGCATCCAAATCATGTCATCGATGTTGTCGTAAGGAAATTACATGCTGTAGAATACACCAATCCTGTTTTCCCAAAATGAAACGAGTCGTCACGCTTAGTACATATCCCAGTCGCGGGCTGCGAGGTACTCGCGCGCCTCGAAGTCATCGTAGATTGCACGGCGAGACTTCTTCGGCAGCGCCACCTTCTCAACCTTGCTGTTCAACGAAGCAAGCTCGGATTTGAATTGATCGATTGTCATCTCACTAGCAGGCTCAATCAACCAGTGGGAGCCGTGGTCGTTGAACACCTTCAAGCTAGAAGGGACACTGGCAGACGCAGGGAGCTTGTAGATGTGCTTCTGGTTCTTGAGCGAGCTGAGACTTGCAGACGTCGAAACACCACCAAATCCTGGACGCTGTCAGCGAGCTGATCCAACCCAAACATTCATTCAACTTACCAGGCTTAAGCTTGCCGTCCTGGAGGGTGACATCCGAATCGCGGACTTTGTCGAACTGCGGACCGCCGGCGTTGCCACCGCGATACAAGTCAGGTCGCGAAGCGCGCGCACTGGAGGTAACAAACAGTCAACACCGCAGCAACTTCGCAGAAACGAAGAAACATACAACAAGTAGTCCATGTACTCGCGGGCCTCGAGATCCGAATACTGACGCCTCTTCGGCGGGACATACTTCTGCACCTTGCTGTTGAGGGCAGTCAAGGCCGACTTGTACTCGTCCTCGGTGATCTCGGTCGAAGGCTGAATAGACCAATGCTTGTCGTGGTCATTGACAGCCTTGAGGTGAGGACCCAAGTCCGCCGACGCTGGAAGGGCCCAGATGTGCTTCTGGCCCTTCAGCGGACCAAGATTAGAGAACGTCGAAATACCGCCAGTACCTACCAATTGTGTTAATAAGCATACAAGAAAGAGTGCATCTATGCACATACCAGGCATGTATTTCCCATCCACCGGCTTGATGTCATTGGGGCGAATGTTGTCGAACTTCGGTCCACCTGCGTTTCCGCTCCGGTAGAGTTCAGGGCGGTCTGCACGAGCACTTTGGGTGGGGAAGGGACGATTAGTATTCAGTCTCATCATCGATGATAATGGACATACAAGAGGCTGTCGTAGTCACTGTAGCCAAATGGCGCAGCAAGAACCGACTGGCAGGCAGCAAGGCCAAGGAAAAGAATGTACGAGTAGGCGTGCATCGTGTTAATCGTAAGGTAGTTTGAGACTTAGATTGAAGTTGGGATCGTTAAGAAACAGGAAAGGCTGTAAATGAGTTAGCGAAGGCGAAAGCAGAGCAAATGTCGGAGAGACTTACTGTCCGGCACCGAAGAAATGAAAAGGATGCGAGAGGGATGACCGCACAGCGATGCCATTTCCTGTTGACGTCCTGCTCCTTTTATCCTCTGTGAGGCACACCGGCCGGATAGAGAACTGCCCGACATTCTCCGCAATTGCATAAAGCTTTACCACAATCCACGCGTTGCCATCGCGTGCGTTCCTGTCAGAGTGACCAACAACACATCGCACAGCAGCGTCAAACGCCGCTAACGGTAAGGCCTCGTGCTGGCCCGAGTTTCATCTCGCGCCAAGACCCTGGAGAAGCGGTGATAGTGATGACCCAGCCGGGAGAATTTCCATGATGCGGGGATGCAGGAAGCCATCACATACACGGAGGGAGGCACACACACATAGCTGGATGCTGCCAGTCAGCGCAATGTATTCTTTCTGGCAACGGTGAAGGAGCCTAAAGGCGAGTGCAGTGGCCCGCGTCGAGCAATGGAAAGCGGGCTGGCCCCAGGGGCGCGCCCTGATGTTATCCACCATCTAGCGACATGGCATCCCGCATTGCACAGAACATGATGCAGATGTAACGCATGATCCGGCGCACCAAACATTGCATTTACGTCTGATTCTGATGTGGCAAAAAACATTTGCAGTGCTTTAGTCTCCAAGGGTTGATCAACGATCTGCATGTGGCTCTATCCAGACTCTGGTCCGGTGCACATCAATAAATATGCATCCGCTCACATCCGCTCGCGTCTCAAATGTGACAGCGTCAGGCGCCTGCACGTGACGCAAGTTCGGTTTTCCTCCCCACCAAAGTAATGCCATGGAACCATCATCGCTTGCCAAAATTTGCACACAAAAGCATAGAGGAAGATGGGTGAGTCACTTGAATTCTACATGACCAGAAGTGATATACTTTTGAACGAGGCACAGCGTACCTAGTTCCGCGAGTGCTCGTGCGCTTGCCGCGAGAGCGAAGCCCCCTCTTACTAATGATATGCGCGCTTTGCCCACAATGAAACACTGAAAACTTATACGTGCGGCAATCTAACTGCCGACCGACGGACCTTCGTCGCTTCCCAACGGCGCCCAGAAGCTTCCTTCCTCTTTGCCACCGTTTACCGCAACATCTCTGGGTTCTCCTGATGGGGGGGGGGGGGGGGATCGTTCTGGTCCATCGATAGTCGTATTGCTGGCGTGCTGCAGCATCACCACGAGACAGTAGCAGCTTCCTGCTCACCGTCGCCCTCCTCAGCCACCGTGTCCGCGAAGTTGCATTCAATAGCTGGAAGATAAGCGTCCAGCTTCCACAAGTCTCCAATTTTGACTCGGGTGTGGTCGAGGGCCAAAGCTAGCGTCCGCCCCCTACCCGAAGGTGGGCCTGTCTTTACAGGAAGCATTTTGGGAAATCGAGCGGAGAAATGCGTTAGAAGGATGTTCTGAGCGTCCATCCTAAAACAAATTGATCAGCAGCCATGCGTATGCGCACGAATTATATGACACTGACCGCTGCCCGATGTCAATGGCTTGACCGCACGTACTGTGCGCCTTTTGTTCAGCCATCTCTTCTTGGTCGTCTGCGAATGAGGCCTCATGTATCAAGAGAGTGGCTCCTTCTCCCGCTATGACGAGATTGTCCGAAGGACTCGTATCGGCGGAGAAACTACAACCGAGGCTCAGTCAGGTGTGCGTTGCAGCGGGAATGTTCGACGTACACGATGCTCCAGCCATCGGAATGTTTGACCACCACGCCGTAACACCGTGTCCCGTGCGAGACATCCACTGTGGTGAAGCTTTCTAGACCGAGTGCACGACACATATTTTTGGCGGCTTGCTGTGACCTGTACGACAATACCCATGAAGCCACTGCAAACGGGGGATGCCTGACATGCTCACCTCTCCTCGTCTACATATGGCTCGCTATTTTTGTGCATCTTCCAGAACGGCCGCACAGGCTTCCAATTGAGCATATCAGATAGAATCGTGATAATGCCGTTTCCGTCCGCCTGATCAACGCCTAAGTCCTCCACTTCAGACTGCTCACGCAGGTAAACGAGTGTGTGGCGCGGCCCGACCACATACAGCGGCTGCGACGGTGGCGGGTTCATCTGCGTCCCAAAAATGCGTCACTATCGGCTTCTCAGCAAACAGGCTCAGGGGCAGAGCCACTCACGAGTTTACGCATCGCCAGGATCTTCGCGAGACCAATGTGGTGATCAGCGTGCATGTGACTGATGAAAATGCACTTCAGGTCTCGCAGGAGCTCCCAGACACCCGATGTCCACGAGTCGATGTCGTCGCCGTACATGCGCGCGAGCTGCCCCCATGATCCCTCGCCCACGTCAAGCAACAGGCTCCCCCATCCCGGGATGCGGACAAGGGTGCTTGACACTGCATCGGGTCAGCTTCTCCTTATCAGCGGCGAGGTAAGGCGACATACCGTTGCGATACTTGCTGGGCACCGTGCTACTTGTGCCAAGCGGAATGATCTCGACATCGTCCCCAGGCTTCTTGCTCGTGTCTCTGGCTGCTGCTAGCTGCTTAACTTTCGCCCTTGATTTGCGGAATACATCGGCAACCGCCGGCGGCAGTAAAACACCCTGGGAGCCTGTAATCGCGGGATGAAAGTGATCGTATTGCTGGGCCAGCACGTCAAGGCAAGGCTTGCGTGGAGGCCTGACATCTACAAGGCGATTGTGCTGAAGCAGCTCGACAAGCGGGGGGAGCCCAGGTACCACTGTTGCATTTTCACTTCAATAGGAGGAAGAGAAGCAGTATAGAATACCCACGTGAGAGGTCGCGTCGTGGCAAAACGCTATAATGGTGGGGCGGAAACATATCGGGATCAAGCTGGTTCAATCGCAGCTGCGAATAGGCAGCGGTAGTGAATGTGGCATTGTCCGCGCCATGTTCTCGTGAGGATATTAGGTGCTATCGTAGTCGCAAGGTGAGCGTGGGCCCGCCATTATCGTGAATTATACGACGTACATGCACCCCGTCTGCAAAACCCCGCATGAACGCTTTATAGCGTTCATCCTCAAGCACTCCGGGGCCGCAAAGATGGAAGACAGCGTGAACATGATACTCTTTCGCGTCTTCCTCCGCCTTCGACCGGAACCGAGCATAGAATGGATTCTCGGTGAATGACGCGACGAGCTCAGGGATGTGCTCAGGCGTGGGCACATCCAGGATCATGGTGACCTGCCTACCGCTCAGTGTTTCGTCTCGCGAAGATCGTAGGCAGTGCTTACATGCGGCTGCTCGGAGGGTCCGACGACCTCCTCAGGCATCACGGTCCTCTCGACCATATTTCCCGTGCCATCGTCCACCATGAACGAGACGCTCTGGCCCTGAGTCAGCAACGCGCGCAATTTGCCCTGCACGCCCAGCGCGTTTGCCCTCGCCGCGTCGAACTTGCCCCGCACGCGTGGGCCCACGACGATGTAGCACAGTGTCGCTGGACCGCTGTCTGGGTGCGCGAAAGGCGGCAGCCGCCGGCTCCTGTGCGCATACGCAGCGTTGTACATTATCGGGTCCACCTGCGGCTGGACAGGCTGGGGCTCGGCCTCGGCTACAACGGGCGGGGTGACATCCTTCTGCTTTTGCTTCCGCTTCTTGATGGGCTCCTCGGCGGGCGGGCTGCACGGGAACATGTTTGCGACCACCATGCGTCGCCATTCCTCCGCATCTTCACCAGAGAGTTCGAGTGGTGAGAAGCCAGACTCGGCTATGCGCTCCAGAAGCGGCCGCGGTACATGCTCAAGGTCCTCATCGCTTGTCGTTGGCGCGGCTGGGTCGCTCGGGGCGGGCCGTTTGAACGACGAGTCGGGCGAAGGGGATCGCTTCCGCTTGCCATGCACAGCTGCGGTGTTCTCGCCCTCGGCGGGCGATGCGGGCACGGCGTGAAGCGGGATCGCGTACAGCCTGATATTCTCGTCTGTGTATGCAGGCTGTGGCTCGTCCAGGTTTCCTGCCGCATACACTGGCGGTGCGGAAGGAACCTCCATGACCTTCACAGACATGGTGAGACTGGAAAGTTGCGGTTTAGTCAATGATTATATGCGAACAAGCAATGTCGACGAACCGCTTGCAATAGCTGCGCATGGAAGCGAGGTAATGCGTGATGCCCGGAGGACCCATCACTTTGACAGCTTGAATGCTTGCATCCGCGCAAAACATAAGAACGCCTGAGTGAGTGTGTCAGTAATGTCGTAGGTAGAACGCATGCAAGAACGGCCGTTATGTATGCAACGCATATGAATGTGTTTTCTCGCTGAAGATGCGCCGACAGGTGCACCACGTGGATTCTGAATTGCACGTAGGAGAGGGATTGAAGGCTATTAAATGACGACTGCTCACGCGACCCGCAATTTGAATCAGGAAATGACCATTGAATCATATCTGCACAAGACAGGCAGAGGATGGCAAGGCAATGACAGGGACTTCGAACGATGTCCAAACGGACATCCAGCCAACCGCGAGTATGTTTGACAACAAGGCCTCCGTAAAGTGACATAGGGTTAAGCGACGAACCATCTCTGGTGTCTCTCGGTTTGACACTTGTCCAAACCCACGGGAGTAGATTCAACTGTAAAACAGTTTACAGATATGCCGACATGCAGTGTTTGATTCCTAGTGCATATTGCCCGGCAACGTGCAAGTCCACGGAAAGCTGCACACACAGCAGACCTGCGAGCATAGGCACCTCATACACAACCAACTGTGTCCAAAGTCTGTAACATCACTTACCAGCAAGGCCACTACATCTCTGCGTCCCAACAGAGGTCAGGAAAACGCCTCTCGCTTTCCTCCAGTGCCGCCTGCTCTGCAGCCATGATCGGCCCGTGCCCTCGCCGGTATTGAAAACATACTTCCCACTTTCGAAATTAACGACTATTGTCGGCTCGGTATCGGAGGTTGCAGTGCTGAGCACAGACACAGACCAGTTCATGCGTTGAAGCGAGGAGTTGCAACCAAAGAGGCTGCGAACAGGAGAACTATGTGTACAAAGTCGGCTTATTCGTGCGCCTGTCAGAACAGCCAACATGCACGATTTCCACGCTCAGTTATATCGAAGGCAAAGGCAAGATACGAGATCAAGACCTAGTGGGCTGGCAAGAACGGGCGGACAAGTGAACCCAATGCGATCAAAATAATTTGAAGGCTCGGCAAAAGCCGGATATATATCTAAACGGTTGGCGTGGTATTCACCTGCAGTCTGCACTGTGCAGACAATTTTTTCTAGTCTCTTGAGAACAGAGTAGACAATTCCATCAACCTGCGCCGGCCCTGGATATCCGTGTCTGACGTATTTTTTGACTCGAACTAACCGCACTACCCTCCGGCAGACAAGGATAGTACCAGTGCTCAACATGTCTAATGGCGGCCACAAACTGGTATCAAATTGCATGTCTCGGAAACAAGCAATCACACACGGTCAGATGGGTATTAATTAGCGTTCGATAAGAAATAAATCGTCCGCGTTGTACATATGGACACTAGCATGCCTAGAGTTCCCAACAGACGCGATATTAAGGTTGACTATGTTCGAGGCCCGCCAAAGGCAAAGGATATAACTGAGGGATATCATCCGCCGCTCAGAGAGCACAAGCCGCCACAGCCAGTACGCATGCGAGTACTAATCCTTGGCTCGTTCTTGCAGCGATGTTGGCACCCGACGTGTTGCCCGACGCAGAACCCGTTGTGCTGGAACCAGCGCTCGATCCCGTCGCGCTCGCACCATGGGAACCGCTCGCCTTGACACCGGTAGCGCTGGGGCTTACAGACGAGCTTGCAGGAGCGACCGAGGCAAGCGCGCTGACCTTCGACCACGCCGCAGCCGTGTTCGCAGATACGTCGCTCTCGGTGTAGGGGAAGAACGAGACCTCGCCTTTGCTGTCAAGCTGTACGAGGGCAGTGATGCTTGCCGCGTATGTCGCAGCGGCATCCTTCGTGGTCGGACCCGCGTACACCTCCGTGGTGTTGGTCTCGACGTTGATCACGTACGTCGCAGAGCCATCGTCCGGAATGAATGCGAACTCCTGCTGCACGCCCTCGGCCTGGAAGAACGACGCGGTCTGGCCGTAAGTCGCTGGGAAGGAGCTGCCGCTTGACGCCGAGTAGAGTTGCGAAGTAGGCTGGAAGTACGAATCTGCAGGACGCGTCAGTTAACAACCGCCGGTAGATACCATCGCACTTACAATGAATAACGAAGATGTCAGCTTCACCAGCAGTCAAACCGGGAACATCCAGGAAGTGAATGTGGTTCTGCGCAAGCGCCATGACGGGGTTGTATGTCGCCGGGTAAGGAGATGCCCTGGCGTCGACCCACGAAATTGCGCTCGAGTTGGCCGTGGTCATCGCGTTCATGTTCAGGAAGAATAGTTCACCCTTGGAGAGCGCGTAGAATACGTTCGTGTCGTGGTCGAGGATGGCCTTGAAGTCGGACGAATCAAACGTCCCGGTCGTTACAGACTGCGTGGACCAAGCCTTCTTGGCTGCGTCGTAGATGTATACGGAGGAAGGATTCTTGGAATCGCCGTTCAAGACGTAGACTGCGTTGTAGAATTGCGCAAGGTAGCACGTAGTGTTGGAACCGTCGAATGGCCTTGATACAGCAGCAATTAGCATGACGTATTACGAAGATTTTCAAAGGCTACACACGGGCGACCAGTTGCCGTGATGTCAGTCGCGGTGCCTAGGAGCAATCAGATCAGCATCTGGTATAATAAATAGAACAAGACATAGCAGTCAGTAAAGTGATGGCGAGGCTGCGTCATTCTAGCAACGGCAGGACCCAGCACACGAATGGGGCAAGCATCATGGTACACAAGATGATAGTGCCAATGTGCGAGATGCTTGACCCGCCGTCAGTTGTGCGCTGACGACCAATGCACGGGCAGCCTACGGCCTAACCTCTTGCGTCCGCTTCCCTCTCTGTAGACCAGTTGCACTACCCCACCCGCAAGTACACTATTCGATTCGTGACGGCTTAGTGGCTCACCATTTGTCCACGAAGCCTGCGGGCCAGCATTCCAATCCTTGCCGTCAAGACCGAACGCAAGGAGGTTGAAGTTGGAGTCGAAGGTCACACATGGTGAAGCCGAGACAATCTTCGAAGCAGCGAGAACAAAAAGAGAGACGAGGGTCGGTAGTTGGAACATGGTGGTCAGGCAGGCGAGGCCGGTAGGAAAAGGTGAGGAGACGTTGCGATGAGGTTTGAAGCGCGGGGGATACAGTATACGACGCGATTATGTCAGCAGCGTGCGGATGAGTGAATACCCAGCAGATCTAGACCGAGCAGACTCGTTTCAACATACAGGCCGAATCCAGGGGTTTGAAAGAACAGGACGACGTCAACAGGGGGTGTAAGGGGATGGAGAGCAAGGAGAAGGGGATTCTTTAATGCGTATCTTCATTCACTAAAGTATCACTCGCTAGTACTGGCATCCTAGTAACTTTAGTCGTTATTATTCTGTTCACAGCGAACAGGAATACATGTTATGACATCCGGTTCATTGTGAACCACGGCAGATTCCGAAAACGTGCGCCAAATGTTCGTACCAGGCCAGAATTCAATCCGTCTGAGTAGCGCGCCCGCCCTCTATGGGCACTCTGAACATCGCGTACGGCTTCGTTCGCAGGTCAGTGCTGAGCAGCATGTCAGCATTTCAATACATATCTTATATATTACCGGTGGTCTGATCTCACCCGTTCTGATAGTCAGGGGCAAGCCAGAGCCTGTACAAGGGTTATGAGTACCCCGAGCACTATGTGGGTAACGAGGCACATACTGATTGACCGTGAAGTACAGGTAGCCTCCTCCGCTCTGAAGGGATACGACAGACATTGTGTCGGCCCACTATCGATTGAATAAGTGGCACTTCGCAAGACAGATGACAGCGCTTCGCCAACCTGGATAACAGGAGTGCGAATGAACGGCTCTACCAAGCCCGTCGTGATGTTGTACCGATGGATTGCATTATGTTCTGCAGCAGTTGGGAATGAGACATTATCTGAGGGACCCATTTCTTCCGACTCACCCTGAGAACCCAGATAGATGTAGCCAGTGCTGTCGGTCTCAAGACCATCAGCATGTCCTCCGAACTCGCCCACATTCTGCACGTTTTCGCGCGCAAGCATGTACGCGTTGGGGTTGGTCGAGGATGGCTGTTGCTTTAGGTAGGATGTCGGCACCCGATAGAGGCGGCGGCTTGTGAGCGGCGTCACGTAAAGATATTCACCATCTGAATAGCACACACGTTGTCAGTCCAGTTTAGATTTCCGTTCGAACGAGGCTCCAGCCTCACCTGCAGAAAGCGCGATACCATCGGCAGCAAACTGGACAACAATAAGGTCAATGGCGCTAGGTTGAAGGGATTGTATGAGATAGACATACGGCAGTAAGCCGCTGTATGACATTCGGTTGAGCGATTGGGCGATAGTAGAAAGGCACTTCCTCGTTCGTGAGCATCAGATGGGCAACGCGATACTTAAGTAACGTACCACCATCATAGACGGGAACAAACGCCGGGTCGGGAGACGTCATCAAAGACCCGTCAAGGTGCCTCCACGACTCTCCAGTCGAAAGGTTGATGACGACGATCGCCGGGCGGTACGGAGAGCTATCGGTGATGTACGCGTAGCCCTCACCGCGAAGGTCGATGCGGACGTCGTTGAGAGACGAGTCGGCGTACACGACGTAGTCCGGGAAGGTGTATGTGACAAAGCTAGTTCCGTTCAGGTAAAAGCCCACAAGCTTGGGGCCGCCAGGTACGGCTGCGAACAGGTAGGTCCCATTCACGCGCGGGCGGCCGGTGTCGAGGGCCCACACGCGGTCAGCACCGTCTACGACGACGGACTGGATAAAGAGCAACTTGTCGGTAGCAATGCTGTAGCCGGGGTTGCTTTCATTGTAGAAGGCCGGAGGGGTGTTCCACTCCTCACTGTAATGTTCGTGGTCAGTCCTCTGGGAAAACGCTGGCGATGAGTGCGTACTTCGGCCAAGCGGCTTCCGACGTCGAGCTGTTAAACACAGCTAACGTGAAAGTCTCATTGCCTCTAGGGAAACAAGTGAAGATAGTGCCATCACTGGCTACACCAACACCCTATAAGCACCACAATGGTAAGTTCCTTGCATCTCATGGCGTCCGAGTGGAGACTGACCGTCGGCCAGTAGTTGTAATACGCATGCACAAGCTCAATTTGTGGGCCAAAGAATCCCGTGTCGTAATGGATGACAGCCTCTGATAGCGCTGGATCGTCAGAGATTCCATACGGCAATGGCGCTGCAGCATTCGCTAGTGTAGCATAGGGACCAGGGGTACCAGGAGGTGGATATTCAGGGAACTGCCGTGTCGCAATATGTGATCAAACATAGCTTCAATATGAATGTAGCATATCTTAACTCACGTCAAAAACGCTCGAGCTTGTCTGCGCGAGAACAATGGAGACCCAGAGAGTCAAGGTTGACAGCGCTGAGAACATTCTGACCCGAGGATCATACCCAGGCAAAAAGGGCCGTGCTTATATATGCCCCCCTCCGGGCTCAATGGGAATACATGCCTCGTCGTCGCGTCAAATTCGCACAGGAAGAGTGAAGTTCGCGCACAAGCTCTTCAGGAGTGTGCCAGACTTTACTCTCCGCGCACCTGGTGATGATATGCGGTACGTCACCCTCATTGGGGCTGATCGATGTGACCATCGCTGACATTCCGGTAAGCAGCATAAATGTATACATAATCGCTAGAACAGTCTTACCGTCTTCCAAGGTCTAATCAACCTTCCATCCAGCAATGAACGTCGCACTGCTTGTGTTCCATTTTTCCGGCGGGGAGGCTACCGCGGGCTTCCGGACGAATTGGATTGGGTCGAAGGTCGAACTCGAGGGATTGAGTACGACTAGCTGGAAGTCACCGAACATCGCAATATCGAAAAGATGCAACTTGAGGTTCGCGGGGACTCCGTCTCTCCCATGCTCAGTGGCAACACAAGACAATGATGGATTGTGGTCGCCGTTCCAAACATACAGTACTTATTCGACAGCCATATGGAATACATACGAATGCAGGCAAACCCCGAAAACCGTGGCCATAGCCGAAAACAGGTGCAGAGCGAGGACAGAGCGAGCGGAGGCCGTCTAGAGCGATACGATCAACATAACAGCAACAGACAAAGCCGGTAAAAGATGCGACAGCGAGCGAGTCTGAGTCATGGCGAATGTGGTTATGCGTAAGAAGTCGTGAATGAAAGAAAGAGAGGCCGTGTCGGCAGTCCACGAGCTGCAGGTCTAGAGATGGCGTCATACGCTGAATACACTGTCGGACTTTCCCACCTCACGCAGATCGGAGAGCCGTCGTGCCAAGGCCTCGATCAGGTGAGGCTCTACCCCGAATTCTATTGCCAAGTCGCCGTACGCCCGGCTTCCCGGCGCAGAGTGTCCCTTGGCCTCGTTCTGAGGCTCAGGATGGGGCTGGGGCTGGGACTGGAGCTCCTCTTCGGCAGGACGAAGCGAAGGGGAGCTAAAACGCTTGGGGGCACCACTGACTTTGTGCAGAGCTGCCTCAAGGATGTCGGAGAGCTTGCTCATCTGCTCAGAGGTGAATGCTGTAGGCTGCGAGTTCAGCAGCAGGCCTGGGTTCGGATCAACGTAGACACCGCACCTTGACACTCCAACGCAGCACGAACAACATCACTAATCAATGGAGCCCATTCGGAAAAGGGATTTTCCTCAATGCGTTCTAAGAGGATGTTGACAGCAGCTGTGAACTCAGGTTAATGTTGCGAGCGTAGTAAACACGAGACGGCTACGAACTGTACGTAATATCTATGAACCAACATTCGTCAGACACATAATGACCCGAAGACACTATTCAACGCTCACCGTAAAGCGAATCTCGCAATGTACCCGACCAAAATACTCGACTGTCATCGTCGGCCGGGAATTTGGATAGAAGGCTGATGAGAGAATGGAATGGAAGTGAAGGAACTTTCAGGAAGTGGCTCTACGTGATGGCATAATCAGCACGAGGGTTGCTGGAAGGTATGACTAAACTATCACGTACATCAGGAGAACGTATCAGGTGCAATAGAGAATTGAGCTCGGCTTCAGAGATCAAGCCACGCTGGAGGGTTGAAATGACGCGTTCATTGTCCAACCCGGAGAGCGAAGGGCGCGAATTGTCGAAATTGCCCTGCCAAGATGGGAACAACTTTTTCGATAGCAAGATGGCAATTGTTACAATTGTGTTGGATATGAACCGCAAAAAGGTGGTACTTACCGCCCGCATAAGTTCCTCCTGGCTACTCTTGGTGACAGTCACACCTCGCGCACGTTTTCCACGTCCAAGAACGGAGTTCTGTGCACTCCTCAGCGCAAGCTTGGCAGCTGCCGTCCCGCACATCTCGACATAGGCGTGGCTTAGGGTTTTGCCCTTCCGGTCAAGCAGAACATGTACACGTTCAATTGGATAGCCAAGCCACTGAGCGATAAGAGGAGGTGTGATGTCCTACATTTGTGACGCGACGAGTAATCAGCATTTGCACCAAGGCGCAGTATATTGGCAAAATAAGCCGTACCCAGGGAACATTGTCAATCCGTAACACAGGGCGTTCGAGGTGTCCTTCCTCATCGTCGAATGTCCCTCGAGCGGCAGCCACAGGTGTAGATGCCCCTTGAGCACGATCCATGAAGTCCTCGAGTTCCTCGCCTGATCCGGCGCCTCTCAAAGCCCCACCATCGAATGCACTTGGAAGGAGCCCGCCATCGTCATCCAGAACACGCAAGTCGCCGTGTGAACGCCCGCCGGCGCTGGTATGGGGTGCTGTTTGATGGAGTCCGTTCCCGAAACTACCTTGGGGTGGTTTGCGCAGCTGGAAGTTATCGACCTTGGCTTTGCAGACTGCGCACTCCATGTCCTTCTCCCCAACAATGTTCAGTGCACTTGTCAAGCATGCTGAGCAAAGCGGATGCTCGCAAGGCTCCAGGATGGCGAGCGGCCCACCACCTGCACTACAAACAGAGCAGACAAACACAGCGTCCTCTACCCTCCGTTTCGACTTCGGCGAGCTGCAGAACGCGGGCGTCTCGTAATATAGAACCGGCTCAGACATGCTGGAAATGTCCCCACTGAGATTAAAGGGATCGTTGAGGCTAAGTGGGAGAGACTGGGATGGCAGCGGAGAGCTGAACGCTGGGGGATAAGGAGTATATTCGTCCTCATCGATGTCAAAGAGCTCAGTGGCCTGCTCACATGTATCAGTAAATACGGGATTCGCCAGTAGTGCTAGACAGTTACCTGCTCGAAAGGAGGTCTTCGTCGAGTATGAGCAGGGTCTGTTACACTGCCTCGCAACATGAAGGCCGGCTGCGGTGGAGGAGTCTCGAGCGAACTTGGAAGACGAAGTGACCTGCTGGGTGTACACAACTGTGTGGGGTCCGGGATCTGCGTTAATGGAGCTTGAACGTGCGTAAATGAGCGAGCGCGACGTTGGGTGGCAAAGAAGGGCGCGGGCAGGAGGGCTATAATAGAAGTGAAAGTTGTAAGATCATATTCGACCACTGCGGAGGTAGATCGACCTTTATCAATGGCAGGAATGCTGATGTCGAGACTGGATTCGTCAGCTAGGAGGAAATCAGTATATTGATTCTCTGCAAGTAAGCACGACAACAGCAAAACGAAGAAGTCGCTATGACGGTTGGCTCGCATACAGCCACCATGTAAGCACCTGCTGCGCGGATGTCGGACGATATTCGTTCACATGGACTGCATGAGCACACTCGAGGAAAGATCTGCACACAACTACCAATGTATGCACATATGTCACAAGGAACGACGGTCTACGTCGACTGTGACACGATGTGGGGGTATTCCATTGCTGCACTTGAGAAACTTGGACTGGTGCTATATATCCCACTACGAGTGAAAATAAAAGTGCAGGATTCGCTCACGGAACCAGAGAAAAAAGGAGTTTTCAAGATCCGAAGTTCGATCGCCACAACGGTGCTGTGTGAATGTGACTATATGCACTTACCTTGATATTGCGAATCATCCCCAGAGGCAACTTTAATACCGTTTTCGTTCGCTCGTGTCCTCCAGTTTTCAGCAATGTCTGCGAGACTCTTGGAATTCGTGTTGACTTCAGGAGACAAGGAGAGACTGAGGCGCCGGCGGCATATTGCCGATGCAGGGGTTGCTAGATTGGACCCATTGGATGAGGAAGACAGAGACCGAAGGCTGAAAGGGGTATATGGTGTCGACAATGTTGTGGCGGGAGTGTAAGGAGAGCTGGATGAGACGGCACGGACTGATTGAGAGACTCGTTGAGGGGTGACGGGAGGATGGCGATCTGTCTTCGAGCGAGTTGCAGCCGGAGAGGTGGGGGCGGAGGCGGGTATCAATATTTGTTTCATGGGCATTTTGGTGGTGGTTGCCGTCGTCGTCGTTGTCGTAGATGGTGGAGGGTTGAAGCCGGGTTCAACGACGTGAGAATTGGAAACGCGTCGCGTCACGGTCACATGATGCACTATGACACGTTGAATGTGTGGCGTGTGGCGAAGCGTCGAAGCCGGCTTGGCGTCGGCAAGCATCGCCGCCACAGCCAGGAACATTCACCTGAACCTTCTATAGTGGCTGATAGCGGGTAACTTGACTCTGTTACTACTTCAACAGACTGCATAGAATGGTCACGATTAAGGTAAGGCACTCACCGGAATATATGCAAAACATGACTGATGCGGAGCACAGGCTCAGGTTATCGCCATAGTGTTCGAGATCATAGTTGATACTACCTGGATCTCAACGTGCTCGTTGAGCTCAGCACTAGGCTCAGTCTGACCCAGCTATTAGACCGGCGCATCACATGGCACAATTGTAAATATGACCAGTCTGCGTCAGTACATCCCGACTTTTGGCACATTTCCGAAAGACACGAGCCCCGAGGATAAGTGTGAGCGACAAAAAGACATTCGCCTGGCGCCTGTGATCATTGCGGTCCTCTATCTTGCAACTCCGCGACGTACTAGGTGAATACTAGTTGCGGAAGTTGCCCTATGATCGGTGCGATTTTGATCTCGTCTAATCTACATATGGTAAGCCTTGCCTCTGAGTGCATTGCGATCATGACCACGAACTTCAGAACACAAAGGAGCCCTATCCTGGGAACATCAACTTAATCTTCAATAAGATGCCCAAACCGAATCAAGCCACTTATGCGGTCAAGCGGAACGTTTGTTCTGTATGCTATGCAGGTGTAATACGATCGGACAAGACAGCCATCAGCGCAGACGGCTTGCGGAAACGGAACGATTTCGTTCTTAACCAGCCAGTTACACTCGACGAGTCCAGACCTTCGGATTTTTGCAATCCGCTGCTGTAATCGCTAACCCATAGCTCCTTGATATCCGGGAGTGCGCGCGTTAGCCCCGCATATCCGTCCTCGAAATGCATAAATACCTGCAGGGCGCAGGCCTTCTCCAACATTGCTTTCTACTTCCACTTGCAGGCCAAGTGTCGATCCATCTTTTTCGTTCATATCTGCACCATTTTCTATCATCTTTTGCGCCATGACGTCTGCCTCATCCACTCTCTGCTCCTCCCTCATCCCAGACATGCTCGGCGAGACCATTGGCAATGGCCGTCTGAAGCTTGTCCAGAGGCTCGGGGAAGGAGCATACGGCGTCGTTTATCGTGCTGTCGAGACCGAGCCCTCATCCTCGTCGTCGTCAAACACTGATATTCAAGAATATGCCGTCAAAGTCCTCGCGAAGGCCCCGGAGAGCTCGCGCAGGTGGCTATTCCAGCAACGCGAGATACTCGGTCACAAGGTCGTCTCGGAAAATCCGAACGTCGTCACCCTCCACCGAGTCATCGAGAAAAAAGGATATGTCTATCTCGTCACCGACTATTGCCCTGGCGGCGATATGTTCAGTGCCATCATGGAACGCCGCATGTTCTGTGGCAGGGATGACTTGATCAAGAAGGTCTTCGTGCAGATCCTCGACGCCGTCCATTCATGTCATGAAAAGGGCATCTTCCACCGTGATTTAAAGCCCGATAATATTTTCTGCATGGACAAGGACGCGTCGGAGATCGCCTTGGGAGACTTTGGTCTATCGACCAGCTCGACCAAGAGTCGAAGCTTCGGGTGCGGTAGCGCCTACTACCTCAGCCCAGGTGAGTATCCTTACAACCAGAAAATCCGAGATGCTGACGCATACATATTAGAATGCATCGGGAAGGAGTTTGATTTCAGACCCTACTCCCCGCAAACTGGCGACGTGTGGGCCCTCGGGATCATCCTATGTAACATGATCGTCGGGCGCAATCCGTGGCATTATGCAACCACGGACGACCAATGTTTCCTTCGATTCATGGCCAATCCCGAATACCTACCCAGCGTGCTGCCTATCTCCGAGGCAGCGAATCAAATATTCCGGCGAATCTTCACCTTCGACCCCAGCTCGCGCATCACCATTCCCGAGTTGCGCGAGCTCATTTTGGAGGCAGATACGTTCCTCATGGCCCCCGAGCAGGTCGCGAAGAGCAGATGCCTGGTAAAGATCGTGGCAGAGACGTACACCGCGATTCAACCCCGCTCCCTCTGTTCCGCGGATATCCGGGCTATCCGCGAGGAGGAAGCAATTTTCAATCGGTCGGAGAATATGTTGGACGGAGTTGTTGTGGAGGACCCTGCGGACCACTTCCGGATTGTCAACGTGGTCGGCACGACCACGTCTGCCTTCGCCGCCGCCCACTACGACTCCGACTCTGGCTCTGGGTCGGACGACGAATGCGAAGGACCAATCACGCCGGAAAGCCATCCGCAGGATTCAAATATCTTGGTGGAGGTGCCAGACTTCCCATCGGAGGAGAATATGGGGATCTCCCTCGTACCCATTGCGCAGAAGAAACTCGGGCAAGGCCCACCAGTAGAATCCCTCGTTGAGCGGCTCGCTAAGTTCGCTCTATAGAATGTTTGAAACAAACAAAAAAAGAAAACAATAAACACCATATAAAGTCCATTTAATGTACCAATTGTAGTATAAAAGTCAAAATAAAGTCAAAGAAAAAACTCAAATACAGTCCAAGTGTCGTGTGCGATCATGAGGTTTACTGCAGGAACAGGTGAGCGAAGAGACACAAGAACCTGAGGTAGAGGACAGTAGAGATGCTTGTGCTCGGCTCGATGCGAATAACGACGCCAAAGGACTCATTAGCCATACGAACGCGCATACAAATAACCAACCGTCCACAAGTCAACTTCTACAGCGCCTCGATCGCTTTCCGAGTCGCAGCCGCCTTCTCTCGGAGTTGCGCCAGTTGCTGTTCGCCATCCACCTTGAGCTGCTTATACTGCCTCTCAATCTCCCGCTTAATGTATTGTTCCACTGTCATTGACGCTTCCTCCTCGGTGAGCGACGTGAGTTTTGTCATAGAGAGCATGGCCATGAGGGGGGTGAAAGAGTCTGGAGAATCTAAGACCTCTGTGCCTTCTGACTCCTCCGCGGGTGAATGTTCACGGCCATTGACTGCTGCGATATGAGTTATTGCTCCTGTCGAAATAACGGGAGACACCCGTGGGGAAGATGGGGAAGTCAGATGCGTCGCTATGGTTCCCTGGTCTTCAGCCATAGCATCGGGGGCAGAGGGCAGCTCCATATCCTCTTGATTAATCGGAGTCGGGTCCTCAGCCTTGGGCAACGGTATCTCGCGCTTGGCTTTCTTAGTCTTCGATAATGGGAGGACGATCTCAACCTGTAGTTTCTGTTTGGCCTTGTGAGAGCCGCTAGACACGCGCGCCGGAGCAGACGGCTGTTGTCGTTCCGCCCCATCCCGCACAGTCGGCGCGACTGGAGAGCGATGCTTGGTCTGGGCGGGGATGTTTCCGGTCTGAGTGTCTTCGCCATCCGAAGGTATCTCCACAATCGTCATTTTCTCCTTGCTGCGAGAGCCCCGAGACGAACGGCTTGCGTCACTGTTTGCCGTGGGCGATACGCGGTTAGGTTTCGTGACACGAACAGAGCCTGCCTCGAGTGGTGTCGAGCGACCTGATGCCGTCGACTCATCCTTGGCGCCTCGTGCAGATGTGTTCGCCATGACCACGTCGCCATTCGCGTCAATTATACGCTTTGATGGTTTGTTTGTTTTACTGCCGATAGCTTGCGCGCCGTGGGTGGGGAGAGGAACGAGGTCCTTATTAGAGGAGCTCTGCTCTGAGAGGTCATCCATGGGCGTGTCTGGCGGCGCAGTCCCTTCGCTGGTGGGATCAACAGCCATCGCCTCTGTAACGCCCACGTCTCCTGGAGGTTCCGCAGTCGCATACCCAGCATCATCGGACACGGACGACACGCTCGCAGCCCGTGCCTTCCCCTTCCTGGTCGAGCTCGATTCCCGTATGACTTTATGTTGTGATGAAGCGGCGCGGGGAGGCTCTTCGTGCATCGGTTCAGGTTCTGGATTAGACTCCAAAACCCGTTTGAACTTCGAACGGGAGACTTTGCTACCCTTCGCAGGCAACTTGGCAGCGGGCGGCGCCTCGCTCGCGGGCTCGAATTGCTCCTCCACAGGTTTCGCCTTCTGCCGACTCGATTTCGGTGCGGGGGCAGGCTTCGCATCCTCCGCCTCTTCGTCTATCTTCTCGGCGGGTGCTATCGCTGTCTTTGACTTGGCGGACGACTTCGTCCTTGGATGTGTCGGTTTCGACGACGACGGCACCGGAGGCTCCGACTCCGACTCTAAGTTCGTCCGGGACCTCGTGCGCGTATGCATGTTCTTCGCCGGTGCAGGCACAGGCTCCATATTCGTCTCCTCCGCTGCACTCTCCTTCGGCGGAGGCACCGCTTTCTTTGCTTTCGGTGGGCGCCCCCTCTTCGGCTTCTCTGGCACAATGGGCACTTCCTCTGCCTCCTCCTCCTCCTCGATCACATTGATCTGCGCCTTCGCCCTCCGCTTCGCCTTTGACACTCGCTTGCCCGCGTCGCTCTCGCTCGCTCCTGCATCCGTATCCTCCACTTCAGAACCTGTATTGGCCCGGCTGGTGGGGGCCTTGCTCGTGCCACGCGTCGACCGCCGCGAGGCTGGTGTCTTGGCGGGCACTGACGACGCCCGACTCGCACCACTTTTCGTTCGCGTGTGTCGAGGAACGGTTTCCTGAGGGGGCGGCCCGGCGAGCTCGTCATCAGACTCAATCAGCGTCGGAGGCTTTGATACGGCCTTGGAGGGTGGTGGCTTGGTCGATCTAGTCCCAGGCGCCATAAAGAATGCACAGGATGAGCCTGACTTTTTTTCTCGTTTGACGTGCTCTTCACTAGAAGCAGGCATTGGGTTATTCACGCACTCACTGGCCATGGTTGAGAAGCACGTACTGAGGATCGTCATCCTCGTCCCACCCGCTAAGCGACAAGTTGCAGTACAGACATGTAGCGGTATCATCTCCCGCAAATTGGGGAGTGAAAACAAACCCGGCTTTGGCCATCTGAGACAGTGTTAGCCGAGGCAAGAACAAGAGAGAATATATTCGGGTATCGTGAGGCAAAATGCCGGTACATCGTATAGAATGCTGGAAGTTCGCGAGTCCTGCAAAAGATCGAGGCTCTGAGAACCGTCTCCAACGTCTGTTCTCTGCAAACTCTCATTTAGGCATGCCGCTGTGGCACGCTATGCGACTATGCCTGATAGAAGTGGCGCAGCGTGCACAACGCGCTAGGGCCCAATCGCGCATGGGCGATGACATTGACTGTGGTACCTGAACATACCTTCTTGGAACTGGCACCGTGACCCTTGACGGAATCATGAGGCCAGATCTGTTGAGCAGTGAACGTTTCGAGCCGCGCTTTCTCCATGGTTTTGCTGGTCGGGAAACGCGTCGGATCCGTGAAGTGAAAGCTACAAGCAAGTCACAGCTCAAGACTATGCCACGAAAGGGGGTAAAACGCGTACTTTCCGCGCTCGTCAACATCCAAGGCCAGCCCACACCGCGCGGCGGCCCAGGGGCACGTACTTCGGCACTTGTCCCAATGTATCTCGAATGGATCGTCATCGGCATCCCAGTCACTAAGCTCCTTTTCGCACATGAAGCATATTACATTGTCCCTGTCTTCGAGGCTGGGATCATAGTAGAAGCCAGCATCGGCGAGAGTCTGTGGAGTCGCCCGGTACGAGGAAGGGTGCGGCCATTTGAGTGAATTCGCGGATGTTGAGCGGCTCAGGGATTGCTTTGTACGTTTGGACTTTTTGAAAGAATCAAGCCTAGCCTGCAAAGTCTGCATAGATGTGGTCGCCGCCATGTCCGTCGTCGCCGCGCTCGACAACGAGCGTCTATTACAAGGTATTCTGTGACTAAGTGACATTGTGTGACACTCGCGAGCGGTCACGCGACCGCGACCACCGTCTACACTACTTTTGCTCGCTATCCTTTTCGTTTTACTGCGTATGAGGTCTTAATTCTCTGAGCTATGCAGAGAACCTACAGCCGCAAAGGCGCATCTCGTCGCGCTCGGATATCTACGGCAGCTGGTCCGGACACAGACGATACAAATGCCGTTCGATCACATAAGCGACAGAGAACAGAAACAGACTCTCCATTGTCTTCTACCGAGAGTGCGCCAGACGGCAATGCGAAAGACCTTAGAATAAAGAGAAAGTTTCGCGAAACAAGTGAGTAAGCAATCTTGCCTACATAATGAGGACTCGTGCGGGGGAGCCTTACGTTGGCTCCGGGTCAAGCTTACCATGAAGCATCAGCTAACAAAAAGGGGCATACATATGAGGATAATAGACGTCTTGTCATGTTTCTTTCTGAGCTATTATGCATTCGAGTGTTGTTAGCTATCGAAGCTGATGCAAACCATAGTCCGCAAACCCGTGCCAACAGCCAAAACGCCGTCACCGCCCATAGGACTATCATCTAACGCAGGCCATTCACGGAAATCTCGGCCATCTACGAAGGCTATTCGATCTACTCCCGCGTCTTCACCGCCATCCATTGCCCGTACAGATACCTTACCAGACATTCCTGCCGCCAGTCGACCCTCTTCGCCTTCGCCGAGGAAAGCAGCCAAGGACCTGTCCAGCCTATTTACATTTGCGGTAGATGATGACACACCGCCGAAATTGCGCGAGAGGAGGCCCCCCTCGAGCGTAGCGAAGCGCATGCTTCGGCGCACAGGCACGGACTCCAGCGCAAGCGGCAGTGGTGCCAGCTTTTCTGCAAGATCGGTCGACATGTTGTTACGTCCGACGCCAGTCACACCCACGAAACTTGCCAAGACAAAGTCTGAATCTATGATCGACCTAACCTATGGGTCACCCCGCAGCGGTCCTCTCACACCATCCAAATCACATGGCCAGGAAGACGTCTCCTCGCCTCCTGTCCAAACATCCTCCCGACCAACCATGGCTGCATCGAACGTTCGAACCTACGGCGGCAAGTCGCGCTCGTTCCTCGTTGCGCTGCCTGCTACACATTTTGACCCTCTCTCGCGGAGCAATACACAGTCACAGACTCCACTTGGGGACGGGGAGGATGCGATGTTGGGCACCAGCCAGGAAGACGACTTCGAAATCCGCGAGTCTTACACAGATTTGCGGAACCGGTGGGGCGTGGACAACTCAGAGGATGACCCGCGTCCTGTTTCCCCGATACAAGCGTCTCCTGGAGACAGGAACAGGCGCAAGGGTAAAGGAAAAGCTGTCGAGCTGCCGTCAGTCTATCTGCCGCCCGGGATGCACAACGATGTCAAAAGCATCACTGAGCTGCGGAGCAAGGGGGAGAACAGGCGATTCTTGGATGACGTCGGTTATCTCTTCGAAGGGCTGGAGGAAGATTCACCTCTTAGCGTCCGCCGTGGAAGGTGCGCATATAGCAAGCTAAAACGCGCTTAGGAGTGAAATGACCCCTTGTATGTTATTTTAGTGCCCTTGAGATCGTGACGAAGTTTTGCGACACCGATTTTGCACGCAAGGCCAAGGCCGCCGACTTCCTCGGTCGTGCCTGGGACGCTCTACGACAGGCCGGCGCTGCCGACGGCGATAAGGTTGGAACCGTAGTTTCCATACATGCGTTATTGGGCTCATCACTGATTTGAGTAGGTGTTAGACAGCACAATTGTCTCCTTTGCAGCTTTGGTCTCTAGAGATGCAGGTGATCTCGTTGAGCTGGCCACAAAATCAGACTTGGTGTCGGTCCTTTACAGCTCTTTAGCCACGCTGGATTGCTCTAATGACCCTCTTTGGCTGATATCATGCTCGCTGACGGATTCCGAGTTGAAGAAGGCGGGAGTCTCTAAACTGGAGAAGACACTGGTAATCACTCATATTCACGAGGCGGGCAAGGGGACCTGACGGCAAATTTTACAGCTTGCGGACCTACATAGACTGGTACGAAAGAAATCTGGTCTCATGGATACCAGTGATATCGTGCGTTGCTCTTGTGGCAAGCTTCCACGCCATGCGTGCTGACATCGGCATTGGAGGTCTCCAATCGTGTGCTCATCTCTATCGCGTTGAGTGCTGTACCACCGTTACTGCATTCGGCAGCTCAGCTTCCGACCGTTTTGAAAAGTCTGACCGCAGAACTGAGCGTGGTATCTTCTCGTGTCTCTGCTTACGAGACTGGTCTTTCGCTGGTCCCATCTGCTTCCTCATCGTTGCTCAAAACACCGTCGCTGCTGCACATCCTTAACTGCCTTCACTTGCTTGATTCTTCTCTACTCGGCCGTTGGGCAAACCATGGAACCGACAACGATCCTGGAACCGATAGACTTGGCTTGCAACGGGAAGCAGGACTTGGGGCGGCTCTCATGACTTTATGTGTTGCCTGCGACGTCATATCACGGGAGGACGAGTACGCTGAGCAGCGGGCTGTAGGTACGCTATATCAACAATGCACACATATGGGGTCATAACCATTTGAACAGCAGCCAAATGTTTGGAGTCCACCCTGCGGGTGCTCATCAATCTAACCCATGACGACTTGCCTTGGTGCCAAGCACTTCTCGATGAACCTTCGTCTATGACGATCCTCGCCCGTCTTATTATTATGGCTCAGTCTCGGAGCGGCATCACTCAGCCAGCACTCAAGAATGAAGACCACACCACAGCGAGCCTCGATAACGATTTTGTGGATGATTCCGCGCTGTCTCTCGACCTCTTATGTTTGGCTCTTGGTCTGCTTACGAATCTGGTACAAGTCTCCCATGAAGCCAAGGAAATGGCTCACGATACATGTAAGCTGGTGTAGATAACTCCACGCACGCCATGCTCTGACCCCTTCGTAGTACTCGACTTCAAATGCCCTGGTAAACGTGCGTGCACCAGGAGCTGTCGCTGCAGCTCTCGACAAAGTGCTTTAGTTTGTCTCGCTTTCGTTTACCTGGAGCGCTGCAAAACGGACAACGAGATCGATCCCTTCGTGCGGGGTCACATGGCAGTCCTCTTCGGGCTCCTGATGCAACAGTGCCCGGCAAACCAGCGCGTTCTCTTAGATGCGTTGCCCGGTACCTCTGACAAACAAAGGCTCAACTCTCTGGTCGAACACGCTCGTGAATTCACTCTCTTCTATGTCGAGTTCACGAAAAAAGTGTCGGCGGCAATCAGAAGTCAAATACGTGAAGAGGAGGAAGATGACGAGGAAAGCGTGGAAGTCAGCGCGGGCGTTGGTTATGGCGCCGTCTTGCGAGACACACGGGGTGAAACGGTTGCGAAGGATGTTATCGTGTTCCTTGAGCGCTTTCGAGATCAAAGACCTGTGCGATAATGACCGTTCCATTCCTGTAACTTATGTACTATGGATAATCACAATCTGAGCGATGCTCTGAGGCCGCAAATTGATAGTTAATTGTCACTCGGGAGCATGTCTGGACACCAGGGAGTGTACGCTTATTGTCTCGCGTAGTCGTCGTGCGTAGATATCTTTCTATATTTGGTGGGATAACAACAAAGCCATGCAGTATCAAAATAGGGATAGTCTACCAGCCATACGCCGAAAGATGCCTCCGTGCGACTTGGCTTGTGCCCTTCTGCTATCATAGGAGGTATCGAGCGGAGCGAAGAACTGTGTTCTACCCCCTACATCGAGACACTCTGGCATATCGTACAGATTTTCGCGTGTGGGGTCTGGTGTTGTCGGTCCACCGCTATCGATTTCGGTGGGCGTTGTATGCAAAGAGTCGTGTCTGGGATAGCCGTTGGCGTGCCCGAGACTGGGCATGGACGCTGTATGCGGGGGCATTTTGCCTGAGGCGTCCGCCACCGAACTCCTTCCTACTCTCCAGAACCGTATTCTCCAATCCGCGTCTGCACGATGCCGTCTTTGGGATGGTGATTTCGATGGTATCCGGGCGTAGAATGTCTCGGTTTGTAGGATCATGAGACGGAGGAAGGGAAGTTCTATGCGGCTCGCGTCGGTGGTGAAAATGCTTCTGAGGATGTCGTTGGTGCCGACCGATATGGGCAACGTTCTGAGCAGGAATTCTGGGTCGTGGACATAGGCGCGATAACATGCGTCGCCGTACACGGCGCGCCGCCAGGGATTATGACCGGAGATCATGGCGGTGAGGATGACGCCGAGCGCCCATATGTCGTTGGCGCGACTAGAATATGGCCGTCCCAGGCCGTCGACGTTCATGCATTCTGCGCCGCACAATTAGAGGACGCTCTACTCGACCGAAGTTATGACCCACCAGGACTCATGTAATAGGAGCTACCTGCACCGAAAGTCGTGCTGTATGGTCGTCGGGTGGACAGGCCGAAGTCGCAAAGGAAGATTCGCGAGCCGTCTTCACTGCAGAGTAGATTTTCCGGCTTGACGTCTCGATGGTATATGCCTAACTGATGACATGCGTCTACAGCGTCGATGATCTGAAGCATGAGCTTCTTCACCATCGCATCGTCTCCACGCCGGACACGATGGTCGAAGAGGAACTGAAACAGATCGCCACCTGAACAATAGTCCATAACCAAGAAAAGGAACACGCCATCTTCGACTACCCGGTGCAGCGTCAGCACGTTCGGGTGGCACGACGCCTTCAGGTGGTTGGCGATCTCTTGTTTCTGGATATGATAACGCCGAGTCCCCTCCTTCGCCTTCAAGATACATTTCAAGGCGTATTGGGTGGGACACACTGGCGAGGAGGTGGTGTCGGTCGCGAGAAAGACGACGCCGTTGGATCCCGCGCCGAGAGTAGACGTGATCTGGAGACGGCCATCGTCTATAGCCTGACCGACTAGGTCAGGGATAGCGGCACTTCTGCGTGTCATGGTGGCGGTTGTGGTTCTTAGTGAGGATTGCGTGAAGCCAGGAGGCGAAGCATTTGAAGCAATCCCTTAATACCGGATGACGGATGCCGCATTCAGTCGGGGGCGCAATGCATCCTCGTCCCGTGGCGGAAGTGCGGCATCGGATGGAAAGGTCGATAGAGGAGGAGTGTCACGCACCTACATAGGGGCGGGTCTTCAGCGGAAAAGACGGATATGGGAATGTCCCGCAGCATTGTAGACCGCAGATACGGTCTGCACTGCGTATCGCACCAGGGTAGGACGTCCTATTGTATACGCACAATGTTATCCACGCGGGCAGGTGGGCCGCATCCCATATAACGACCGCTCATGTTCGGCTAGAAGCACCAGCCTAGGTAGACGCTCAACGTCTGCCAGTACATTAGATCAATGTGGACAGGTCGATGCGAAATGTAGCCAACCTTATCCGAGCTGTGGTCCGGAAGATTTTGATCGAACCTGGCACGCACGAGCTTGCGAGAGCCATGAGTCAAGGCACACGGTCAGGTACCTATTTCGTTTACATGTTTGCATGTTTGATATAGCTCCGAGTGTGCAACGCACATAGGGAAACAACACTGGATATGTTGAATTGTTTTGACCATTTTGTACAAAAAGGGGACGGTCACCAGTCAACAGGGTCAACCGCATACAACCAGCTCTGATCGTCAACCGAGCTGCTGGAGACGCCAGTCAAAGATCAAACGTTTCCGAGCACCGCCTCCAGCAGTCGCTCCCGTACGGCCCGGTTGGAGTCGGTCACCTCTTCGACGATCCAAGAAACGCTATTCGAGACGGAGACCACCCAGCTGTCAGCCGAGTAGACGGATGGAATAGTCGATGCGGGCGAGAATGGCCGGCTTTCCTTCGACGTCTCCGTATCGCCGTTATTCTCACATTTGGGCGGAGCATGGTCGCCGTGAGTCGACTGTTCAGTGTCCACCTCGAAACCTTCATCTCTCCTGCGGATGTCGTCGCGGGCGAGCGCCTCAGTGAGGGAGATAAGCATTTGGTTCTGAACTGCGGCCGGAATGTCGACGCGCTGCAGGTTTCGGTCCATCTCGAAGCCTTCTACGCGTCTGCGGATGTCGTTGCGAGTCCGCGCAGCCGAAAGCGAGATCAAAGGCACGTGGAAGGGGAAGCTTTCTCCTCCGGATTCGATTTCGCCTGGTCCAACTTCAGGGGAGCGCGACAAGGAGGGTCGTGGCGGACTGAGATGGCAATAACGGAATGGAAAATCTGACTCGGGTGTATCCTGCCTCTTGGGCACCGAGTGGCCCGATCTAATCAATTCTTGGATTGCAGGTCTTGAGATTGAGATGGACCGCGGACCGCTGCGACAGAAGTTCTGCGCGTGCGGAAATCGCTTCCATATGAAGGATTCTTGGCGAGATTTCAATTTCGCAACATCTTGACTCGCGATGGTAGAGGCAGATAGTTCACGTTTCGAGGACCCAAATGTGTTTGTGATGACCATCTGCTGTAGGCACTCGTCTCGACGGAACTGATATGAAGACGCAAGGCTTACTTTATGCACAAGATGTCGAAACGCCTGTATAAAGAAGTACTTATCGAAAGCGGGAGAGCAATGGCAGAACAGGAGGAAAGCAGGAGGAAAGCAAGTTGTAGGTAGCCGGGATTGACAAGCCCGAAAAATAATGGTAGTTTGTGAGGCTGACAGTCTCAGACCAGACGCCAGGAAAGAAGATCCTATCGGGATTTGCTGCTTTCAGGAACTGACCATATGTCGAGGAGACAATGGATTCGATATTCGATAATGAATATCACTATTGTCGGCGAGTTGAAGTGGACCAAGTTGCGTGCATGGTCAATGATAACCTGAAGATCAGGTCTGTAGCCGCAATAAGCCCCCTACCTCCTTGAGAGCAGGATTGATTCATGTATATCAGAAGACCATTTGTCAGATGTCGTGAACAGTTTGTAGATATTCCCGCATGAAGGCTCATCGTGGAGAGGAGATCACAAGCGGCACATAAGTATGGCAGTGCAGCGAGAGGCGCCCGGCAATCACCGCATATCCAAATGGGGAAGGTCTAGTGAATGGGCGCTCCAGCATTAATATTGCTGCCTTGATTTCACGAGTCACTGGCTTGATGGAAGGACTCCTCTGAGCGACATCATTCTAAAGGCAAGGTGCAGGTTGCATCATACTCTGAGGTTTAAGCTCCAAGGCCAGGTAAGTTGGTTACAATGTCGCAGATCTCATCCTGAATATGAAGTGAACAGTATTGGCGGAAAACATCATGTTCACGTCCACCGGCAGCCAGTTCTTTCGGAAAGCTGCACTTTGTGCTCTCACTATCAGCAGTTTGGTCAACTTACTTGCTATCCGAAGTATCCAGAAAGGTCCCACAGTCGATGATAGCGCGTACAGTACGCATAGAACTCTCGATACAGCCCTCGATCTCTCATCTGTCCCAATTACAGGCTACATTGGCGATGACTTTCCAACTGAGCTTCCCATTGTACTTGACACTGTCGAGATGGTATTTGAAGACTTCGCGCCAGACGGCCATTTCAGCCAGACCGGGCTCAACTCATGGTTAGAATGGCATGCAGTGGATTACTTTCCCCGAGCACACGGGTTTGTCAGCTTAGGACCGCAGGGTACGCTCCCAAACGCTGCCCGCCATCATTTTCATCGTTGTGACGTACAGTGCAGGGCGTCAATTTGGCGTATCCATGTTTCACCAACTGCACTGTCTCGAGATGCTTAGGGAGTCCATGATTAACGGCCCTGACGGACACGCAGCGCACTGCCTCAATTTCCTGCGTCAAGCGATCCTCTGCAACGCGGACACCACCCTAGAGACGGGGAGGGGGATGACACATACATGCAGGGACTGGACACAGGTATACGCGTACATCAAACGAAACCAGATGAGCTCTAAATGGCCTGTTTCGCACAACAACCAAACTGAAGGCCATGTACACGACAAGAACTGACATGGTCTGCCAAATACGACATACATTTGTCACGCTTGTACATGACGCTCGGTGTACAATACACTATATTCTCACGTACTCATGGGTAGAGATATACGCGAGCGTAGTGCAACCTCTAGGTAATCAGCCAAGTTCAAGCAGGTCGAATGCTACAACACTCTGTCAGTATTAAAAAGTATAACACCAGATAGGACACGTACCCAACGGCGTTGGTTCGAAGATCTGGTCAAATTCGAGCGTGCATCCCTCGCACACGATCTCGAACGTCTCGATTCTCTTCTCTCCGCACGCGAAGCGCGGGGTCGGGGGAAACAGCTGCCAGCCGTCCATGAGCTCCAACATCTCCCTCCGTTTCTCATCGGGATAGAACGCGACAGTGCCTAGCAAAGTCAAACGCTCGGGACGTGTGTTCCACGTGAGGTTGGTCAGGCGTCCCGTGGGCGTGGTCACGTTCCAGACCTGGATCGCGGCAAGGGAGCCCGAGGATGTGTATGACTTGTTTGCCGCGCGGAGCTCTTCCGATGGAGGCACAACGGCGTCGATGTAGCAGGTCTTGTATTTTGAGTCACGCATGTGCCACTGGTAGAACATGGTGTCCTGCAGCGGGTAATTCCATGAGCAGAGATGACGGGCAAGAAGCGAAGACTCACGTTATCACTGAGCACGACATGTGAGCCCCTCTCGTAGATACCGTCTGGCATGGCTTTGTTCGCCCGGATGATGTAGTTGGGAAAGATCATCATAGGTCCTGACGGCACCATGAGGATGGGAAGTATCTAAGATGTTTCGAGACATACTAGCCTTTTTTCTTCTTGGCCAGGAAATCGAGATGTTCAAGCCCTGGATACTGGTCCGGCATGCGCAGCCCACGGGCATCCCGCGGCGCAAGGCGATTACTCGAGCTTGCATAAAGCGCACACGACGAAGCAGCAACGAGAAGGGAAAGGAGCAGGAGTAGCCAGTCCGTCCACATCTGCGACCTTCCAGGGGACTCGCTGACAGCGCTAGTGACGTCGGGATGCTCGTCTTGCTGAAGGTGCGGGTGCTTGTTCACATCGTCCAGACTAAACTCCTCTGGGTCATCGCGCTGTAAAGGCAGATACGAGCCCATGATCAATAGTTAAGCAGGAAATGCAAGGGCCAAGTCGTCATCTGCGCTCCAGATGGGGGAGGAGGGCTGAAATGTTGAGAGCAGCGTAGCAGCCAGAAGTGGTCAGGGGGCTAGGTTTCCGAAAGACAAATGAGCCTGTGGCGTCACTTTGATAGCGCCTTTAATTGTGATGGATATGCATTGCGGTCTTCTGCCGAGCGCCAGTTTATCCCCTCTGATGGTACGACTCTAAACGGCTTGAGATCTGTCAGTGGCGGGAGCCGCGTTGTGCTCGAGTGAGCAAAGGAATACTCAAACAAGGCCTCGATATGAAATTATCGGGATTAGGTGGACGTACGTAGTTTCAATTGGCGAGATATTGGCGCCGATACTTGACGCTGACTTCGTGACTTGTTAGCGCGCCATTTTGATCGGGGCATGGCTCATCAGAGCCCAGACTGACTCGATGTGCACGTTAAACTTTTACACGCAAGGGCGGAATAACTGTCGACTGTCTCTAGTATCCGAGCGCACTGGCAGTGTCATTACTGGCTTCCGCTTGGGGGTCGCAGCTCGGTATAGGTGAGTGAGGTCTCCTTGGCGGAGGTTACCGAGAATGCATGCTGATGCCCCCCTAGACCGTCGTTGGCACTAGTATCTTGTGCAATTATGTACCGGATAACATCAAGGAGTCAATTACCTGACAAGACTACCTGGTGGATCCTCGGTGCCCTCTTTCTGAGCCTGATCCTCAACTCATTCACCGTCCGCCATGTACTGGCCAATCGCGCGTCATATCCTGTTAAAGAATACAGTGGGTTGCTTCCATGACCTTAGCTTCTGCTCAGCTTACCAGTCTCCTTGAGGCTACGTTAGCGACAATCATCCTCGAGAGCTGCCTATTGAGCTGGACACTGTTGCCATGACCTTCGACGACTCTGAGCATTACAATATATCGAGCTTCGACGCTTGGTTGGACTGGGAATCACTCACCTCCTTCCCCAATGGAAGCGCATATGTACAACTGGAACCAAATGGTAAGCACGTCTTTAATTCATAAATCGCATTCTGAGAGCGAACTGGGCACAGGGCGAGAGTTCGGGCTTTCGATGTTCCGGCAGCTAAGATGCCTCAATATTCTGCGAGTAGCTCTGATCGACGGGCCGGGTGACGAGAGCAAGCGGTGCCTCAATCTTCTTCGCCAAGCAATCCTATGCGCCTCGGACATCACTCTTGATGCCCTTAACATTGAGATCGACGGGCAGTTGAAGGCAACTGATGGCGCAGGCATGACACATGTGTGTAGAGATTGGACCCAGGTCTATGCCTTCGTGCGAGAGAACCAGCGAGGGTCAACGTTGTAAATACGGAAGTAAAGCAATGGGGCGATGTTTCTAGTCGGAGAACGTGCTTTTACAGAGCTCTGTGTCAGCGAATGAGGCGCGTACAAAATTTCCCGAATCTGCAGTATATGAGGTAGCCGGACGGCATGGAATATTGTACTAAACACTGTTTGTCCCCTGAGATTGCATCCACAGGTGCAGGAACTGTGAACGGGTGCACTGAGGTGGATCGATCGCCGCCTATTCTGCGCTTTCGAAGTTACTGCGGTAGATGGGACTATTGATTCGCAGAGGGGATTGCCAGGTGGTAGATGACAGTCCTCATCCAGAACTGCGAGTGGCATGGAGTGGCCCCTTTTGAAGACACCGCGTTAAAGATGAGTAGTGATATCTATCCGAGAAGAACCCCAATCCCCACACTTTTCGCAGTCCGCAGCTGGAGTCACAGGACTCACCTTCGTGGTGTATGGTGATCCGAAGAACACCTCCATACCTTCTACGCCAGAGGAAGTCAAGGTCTACGAGTCATGATTGCAAGGAGACAAAATCACTCGCGGGCTTATGTGGTGTCAGAGCGCGCCGCATAGACGCACATATCACGCACCACTGGGTTGGGCATCTGTCAAGTCTGACAGCTGCGTTTTGTAAGCGCTTGCGACACAATAATCTCGGGCGACAAAGTAGCAAGCGGCATGACTGAAGCCCTCACCTTAGGATGATGGAGGCGCAGAGACGTATGCCATGAGGCTGGAGTTTTGAGACAACAGGTGTCGACGAGGAATTGTGCCCCATGTTCCCACACTCCAAAGGAAAAGGGCTGATGAGACTCTTGCGCCGGACATTGGCAATTTGTTAGTCGTCTGATTTTGAGCCTGCAACTCAGTGCTAGCTGACCGCGCTATACTCATGTGTTGCGGATTGAACAAGTACATGAACACATATCTTGAGCTTGAGCTTGAACGATTATCAGCGTACCTAGAATGGATGCAGAAGCCGACCAGCATATTGCGTGCAACTGACGGTGATGACCGGGCTAGATATAAGAGAAATGTGAGCGCCTACGCTGCCGCTAGACTTATTTATGAGCTTATCACTGCGTCCAACGGGGTTCACGGGTTACATCGAAGATCGCTCTGCGTACCAGTGAGATCGTCACTGAAGTATCATGAACCGCTAAGGTCACAGTAATATTATTCGCAGCTACAAAAAAAGAGTTAGGTAGAGGGCTCGGAAAGTTGCTAGTTGATTTGACGTGCCGAATGCAAAGGTACGAATCGGTTCGCGTGGACGGATGACTTATGTATGCGCCATGCATAAGTTAGGCAATGAGGGCTCCGTTTGAGGACCTGCAGATCAGTGTCATTCTGGTTCCGGAACTTAAATGTATACTGATAGTATCTCTTCTTGAACGTCGTTGACAGCCTGAGTCACCAGCAGAACCTAGGATACGGGGTGAGAGAACTGTGGAGCGCATGTCTCGGTTTGAACTGACCCGAGCGACTATCTGACATAGGACGCCTGATCGTCCGATGTGTACGGGGTTGGTATAAGGTCTGTTGAGCGCATCCAGGTGGGAAAAGATCCTGCGTACATGGTCTAGTCACGACTCACCTTGTAACAAAGACATGCAACTCAAGGCCACCTACAAGCCATGTATATGCCAATACCAGTATGCCTGTATCAGATCCTATAGTACGCATCACAGAATAAAGTGGAATGAGGGAGTATAGACTAAATGGTGATAAGGCAATACAGTACAAAGTAGTAAAAGAGCACAGCGCGAGGAGAGAAATTTCAGAGCAATTTCGAAGTCCGAGAGTTCGATTGTTCAGTGAAGAGCGAAATAGAAACAAAGAAAAGAAATGCCGCGAATTATATCTGCAGCGAGATGCTCAACCCCGGTTCGAGAGATGGACTGCCGTGATGTGTGTACCCAAGCTCCTATAGTCCACGGGCCGATTACATTGATAGCCTGAGGGGTGGCACCACTGACACATCGCTCGCTGTATACCATCCACAGGAATAACGTGCGCTTGTTGTAGATGCTGCAGGATACCCTGTGAGTTTGGATGGTGGATAATTTGTCCACACTGGCCCCATCTACAAGGCGCGGGGGACGGTCCTTGTGCCATTCAATGTTGGAGACCTGGCTGCTAGTAACTTCAGCTCCATAGTATCCATGAGCCGGCAGGGGCACATACTGTATATAATGGGTCGTGGGAGAACGATGCGCCCGATGTAGGGTCGAATATTGATGCGCTGCACAAGATACTAAGCCGCGCTGAATGGTGAGATGAGGGATAATCACATACGAGGTGTTGCTGCGAAGACGGTGTTGTGAGTATACTGATACTGAGCAGGATTATATACAGAAGGAGCAGTACGACAACACACATCCACCTTGCAATATTATACACGTATATGCGTGCATTGGCTCCATGCTTGCCGCCGCTCGCCACACATGTCTGTGCTGTAGTAGTATGCAACTGCGAGCCGAGGATGCCTCATTTCTTCGGGTCATGGAGACGAGCCGCACATAATTTATTACACTTTTGGGAAAGGTCGCACTCCTAAAAGTCAATCGGATATACAGCCGGCACGCTGTGCGATATGCGGGTTGAAAAATGGAGGGCGACTCACCAAGCGGGCAATGGACGGCTGTGCGTACCCGGAAGGCTACATGTACCCATTGTAGTGACCTTGTAGGCTCGAGGACCTGTAAAATCAGGAGGAATGTCAGCTTGCCGATCATGACGACAGTAGCGGTCGTGCAGAAGGCGTACTACAGGAGGCTTTATTGCTTCCGCATACCTTACACAGGAAAAAGTCTCCGAGACAGGAAGCACCGCCTCAGCGAAATAGCCGGCTCCGGCTGTGGTACAGACACAACTATAAGTATGTGTATGTTACTACTACTATCCAAGAAGGCATTTGAGGCGTAGAAAATGTGCGATGGTCACCGAGACGTGTACATGGCCGGCTATTTGTGCCTGATCGGCGGAAAGAATCAAGAAGCTGCAGTTACTGTTGGTGTCGGCCGGACTATATGAACACAGCAATGTTTTGAGCAATGGACCTGTATTTGGCGCCAGTGATCTCGAGCCTCGCGGTGCGCCACATCGCAAGTGTGGAACTGAGGACTCCAGCTGTGAAGAATGGTCGGAACGCCGGCCTCGATAACCGTGCCCGCGCTTACGGCAGAGTCGTCGTCCTGAGCAGGTCTTATTCCGCCGCACTTCATGTCCGTCTGGAAAATCCGATGCGAATTGGCCGCTCGTGCTGGATGTCACCAAATCCATCTAACGCGTGACGTCACACGCTATTCGGCAGTGGGCGCTTGCACACTATTTTCTTCTCAAAGACGCATCCGTCGACGGCGAGTATTCCCAACAAATCAAGCAAGTATGTATTACATATATAACTATAGGACAATAATAATCATGCAAAAGGCAGTCATTGAGGTGTTATGATATTACCGAGTAGGGAGTGCTATAATGTCAAGATGACGCGTACTAGGTAATACATATGGTACACGTCTGATGAGATGGGAATGTGGGCCCTCGAATGAATGATTGTTGAGCAAGATAGTGATGATTAAAGTCCGTGGGTTAATGAAATACATTCTTACCGCCGGATGTGCGCGTTGAAAATATGCAATCCAAGGCTACCGGCGTCCACGTCTTTATTGCAAAGTCCTGCGGAGCGCCATCGACATTTCACTACGTCGGAGTGGGACGACGATAGATGTCCTGAGCTCCTTAGATGTTGATTGACCCCGTATGGAGTTGAAGGGTTCTCGATGAAGTCATTGCATCCTTCCCAATTGCATTGCACAGCTTGACTCACTACAGACAGAGTCAGTTCCCTACATGAAGATTCTATTGGGTGACGATTGCAATGTGACGTACTTGTGAATACCTCGTGTCAGTGGCGACCAGGTGGGCTTTGTGACGCAGTACGCTGTAAACAGTAAGAAGGGCGACGTTGAGAGCGAATTATGCAGAGTAGAGAGTGGACGCACTCGAGAGATCGCCTGATCAACTGAAGTGAAGGCAACGCAGAGTATTTCATCGCTCTTTATACAAGACCCTTGCCTGCTACTCACGCAGACATCCCCATCTTCAGCTATAGTCGCTACGCACGATTTCCTACCTATCGATCTGCTCCACACAAGCCGCGGAGGAGATCCCCGGACCTACATCGTCGAGCGCATAGCGGGAAGTCTGCGCCACCATTCTGGGGTTGGAGCATCCTTGTAATGAGGAACCGGGCGGCATACGATGACTACGGGAGCGCGAGACAACTACCAAAAGCTGCGCGCGATAGTCTGGACAAATTGAAAGCAGCGCTCGCTACCTAGCGGATAGAGATCTACACAAAGTGGGTAAGTGCGATCACCGCATTATTTATGAGCTCACACCGCAAGAACGAGTAAAACGTTCTACATCGGGCATCATACTCGTGAACCAATTTGTCGATCATAGCAATGATGCCGGAACACCTGTACCCTTCCTGCAGGAGTCAATGTACAATCACGACAGTGGAGTCATGGACATACCACGCGAGCAGCCACACGGGTAATGGAGAGGACAAATGGGCAGGGCGAACCCCAGGTGTAATCTTTGCAGCGGTTGACTCAGTGATGACAAACAGTCCGACGCAGCAGGAGTAGGTGTGGCCGCAGGTAGAAACAGCTCACTTGGCGCATCCCTATACATCGGCTTGTGGATCGCAGTAACAGGATTGGCTGCGAACCGTTTGCTAAGTTTATAGCTTGGAGAGTTCACCGACGGATGTCCGTACGCATTGTAGCGTGGTTACAGCTTTGGGAGCGGGTATTGCACGTAAGCGGTACCCAGGTACAGCATCTATACGGGGCATTGCTTCCACTAGCATTCCATAGAACTTCTAGAGCCTGGTGGCCAGAACAGGTCAGCCGGGAGCGTCGCAATCCTGCATTAGCGACAGCAAAGTCCGGATACATCTCACCTAGGCCTGCTAGCGTGCTATTGTCTTAGATATATCTGCTTGACATAGAACTTCATTTGACGGGAATTTGAGAGGCTGGCGTCCCGAGCTGACCTTGCCTCGAGGTGATCATTGCTTTAGACGCTCGCGGCTCCAGCCACCACAGATTGAGAGTCAGGGGGCCTGACTCGCTCGGTGGAAAGGACCCCGGAGCAACCTTTCCGCGCGCACACAGACGGCATGAATTCAAGCGAGTCTGCTCCTACTGTCAGTTGCAAAACATATATGCACTGCACACCCAATAAGCGCACCGCAAAGTCTTTGCACAGACCTATATCGGAGCGATGGCGAGGAGGACTCGCTTGAGCCTTGCCGCAGATGCAAAAGTAGAGCTTGTATGTGTATGTCGTCAGCTCCGCCTGACTGCATGGCATGTGAGAGATCCATCGTTTGTAAAGCTATGGGCACTGACATGTTCAAGCGGTTTCTGTCACTGGACCCCACATTTCTTTTTTCCTGTGTTGACAATAATGGAGACCTGAAGCCCATCGAAAGATGAGAATATCTGGTCGGTTGTGCTCATGAATATAGGTGAGTGGCATGAGAGCACCGTATGGGAATTATCACCGAGATGTCGGAAGGTCTGGCTTGTGTATGGTATCAAATACAGGCCTTGATAGGTGGAATGCTTGAGATCTAGATCAAACAAGATCACCGCTTGCCAACTTCATCAGATTTTGGAGCGTCAACATTACATTCTTGCAGCCCTCAAGGTGAATATTGTTACAAATACATGGTCACAGAGTTCAGATGCCCTCAAGTAAGCCATACAGGTAAAAAATGGGATTCAACATCCGCACCTGCCAAAAAAAGGGATCTTCACTCTGCACGTGTCAGACGATCTGACAGATTCAAGATCGCAGTTAGTAAGTATTACTCTGAAGGTGTTCCCAATTGTCCACTCCTATCGCATACTGATGCGCACAAACAGCTAAGCTCATGTTTATTTGGCAGCCGCCTTCAGATTGGGGGCACACTCGGTCACAACACCACACCGAAACCACTGTATCGGAACCACTGTTGTTTCTCACCACAGCAGCCGCATGCTTCTCTGTCGCCTATTTCGACAGCTTCCAGCGTGCGGGTCTTATAACCAAAACAGCGAACGCACGGGCAGTAGATCTCCTCAATGTCCCCGCAGAGAATCGCCACGAGGATATAAAGGGTAAAGACAAAGGACTACCTCAAGAACTGCGCCCGCACTCTGATCATCTTTGTCGAGTTGATGATTTCATGTCGAAATGACCACATGACAGTATGTCGTCAATTTGATGCATTACATATTGGAGTGACAAGCATCCAGCTCTATCAATCACAGAATATTCGTGACATGACAGTACCGGTACGTCCACCATTCAATATTCTCGATTTAGCAAATCAAATGTTAAAGCTCTAGCGCTGCTAGTTGGGTATTATCGCGTTGGGTAGACCAACGGAAGCCCAGCTCTCACGTCGATATTTTCTTTCGCTTCGATAGCCTGGCCACATCTTCTTTGTGGCCTTGATCATCATTGTGCATTTATAATTATGACATTGGCGCCAAACTAGTGGTACTCATTCACGTACTAATTCCCGTTGACGAGGCCTTTTCTCAATTGTCACGACCGCATGAGATCGGTAGTGTTCTTGCCCTTGATTGATCGTATGGTTTGTTCGTACAAGTTCACGGCGTTTCTCTTTCAAAGATTTCCCTTGATCGGATAGTGTCCGCGTCCAAACGTGATACTAATCTTCGGCGGCTGTCATTCTTCTTTCGCCGACACTCACGTACTCACATGGATCTTCGGGTTATGAAGCGATCACGGGGAATTCATACTATAGAGCTATTCAAACTGAAGTACATAGCGGACATGAGCGCGCTGGGAGTAATCGACAGGATACTGACTCCCCGCATGAACACAGCCAAAGACTACAACGAAATGTATCAAGCGTCCTGAAGCCGTCGGCAGGGCTCAGATCATCATTAGTCAGAAGCCGCTGATTGTCTATGACCAACGAACAATCCGGAGGTGACATTTTGGAGCGAGTTGAGTCTGCCAAGATCGATGATTTTATGCAACGGCGGGCCTGCCAGAAACATTGGCTAAATTTGGTAATTTGTCGCTGTGAGAGAGGACGCTTCGCCAAGTCCCCCTGGGTCGGACTCATGCTGGGTCGGACTCATGCTGGGTCGGACTCATGCTGGGCCCGACACATGCTTCGATATCCTGCATGCCGCATCGAGCCTATCCGTGCACACATTATCTTGCACAGGTTTCTCGGTATATCTGTCAATCAAGACCACCGAGACCGAATGCGAACTCCGTTTCGCAATGGCCGAAAAGGATCCAAAAACTATCCGATGACAGAGACAGTAGATATCTTGCAACGCAAACCCTTGGTAATATCTGCAGACCAATCGGGGGTCGACTATTTTGTGAAAAGACGAAACCGCACGAAAGATATAGAGGTGGTTTGCTCTCGAGTAAATATAGCTATGCAGGAGCAATGGATGGTAGACAGGGGCTGCAAGCCAATACATCATAGTTAGAAATCGAAAGATGTTCTGGAAGTGTTTGCTATGCAGCGCTTCCATTGGTGCTAGCATAGCCTACAGCCCGTAATCACGTCAACTGCCTGTAGCCCAGAGGCGTCAATGTGGCTCACCTTGACCGACGTTCTGTCGACCATGCTTGAGATGCGCGTGTCTATTTCTAGAGTCGCCACGAGTGAAATCTTCTCCACAATCAGCGCAAACCGCGGAAGTTGACCTCAGATGCTGGGTAGCGATGTGCTTCGCGAGACTGCGGTAGTACATAGGCTGCGGCCACGTACAGCCGCTCCATTTGCAGTGCCCCCGATTTCCTGGAATCCAGGGGTCACTAGAATCCTGGGCAAAGTGGTGCGCTTTGAGGTGAGTTTCAATAGATGAGAATTTGGGCGAAGTGATGACCCCATTACAATCGCCCCACTGGCAGCGGAAGCTTGTGCTAGGATCAAGCTCTCCTCCAGCGGGGTACACCTCGGCTGTCGGAGAGTAGGAGGTGGTAGCAGAAGGCATCGGATGAGCGTCGAGCCTCGGGCTAACCGCAAGTGGCATCGATGCCGAAGGTCGAATACGCTGGCTGCTGTAAGGCTGTGCTGGGATACCGATATCGCGGTTACTACTCGCGGGAGTAGGGGCGGGCATATGCACAAAAGTCGAATGCTCGCATATTGCATGTAGTTGGTGCCAGAGGTCCGTGGGGATGTCGACCAACGTCCTCCTGCCATACAGAGCGTCTCGAAGACACTCCTGCGCACCCGCGGAGATCGCTATAGTCGTATGCCCCTCATGGCGTGGCCGATGCATACTGGTGGCAGTGGACAATGAAGGAGTATCCTCGCTGCGCTGGAAGGAGTAACCGAGGGCTGGCATGGCATATATGGCCTGTCGAAGGGGAGCATCCGCTACTCTTCCTGCGATGTTGTGGTAGGGCTGATATGATGTGTCCGATCCCGAGTGCGCATGGAGTTCGAGTGCTGTACTGACCATCGCCGTGGAGTAGGGCTGGGAGGCGATATCTGGATATCCTGCACTGCTTTGCCTATCACGGTTGTACTTCAAGATGAGCTGTCAGGTCTAGACTTCTAGGATAAACGTACACGGATTCCATATAGTCCTCGGATATCCCGGCTTGATCCCACGACATCCCTCTGCGGGCAATTTAAGAGACGTTGTGGGTGAAAAGCGGTAGAAGTACATACCGCGCTTTCCGAGTCGAGCTCTCATTAAAAGGCGCGGGGGGAGGGGAAATTACGAAAGAAGTCCAAGCTGTGTTCGAGTGGTCCGTTTTGATCTACATCTCCGGTAATACCCTTCTAGATCCCTTCAGAAAGCGGCCCTTGTATGGACCCAATTCTACGCCGGATAACGTATGGTACTTTCAGGGCTTGACGCGCTTGCGACGCAAAGTATTACTCCGACAAGAATCGCATCGCGAATACGGTGATCGTAATGTCCATAGCGTAAGTACGGAAAATCTGACAATTATGGCCTTATGTCTCGTGGAAGACAAATTCTGCACCTTGCTTATAGCTGGCAGGTCCTGCAAAGTAGCACTGTCAGACGTCAAGGGACAAACCAAGATGACATTTGCACATGCGCACCTGGGAGAAATCGATAAATCTAGTGTGGTCTCTCCATCATTCATAAGATCTGTAACACAGCAGAATACCTCACAAGCGCAGGAACAGTTCGTCAATACCTGCCCGGCCCTTCCTCGCAAGATAAAACTCCTCTTGGCGCCTATAAAACATCAGCATGAGTATGAGAGAGCTTGGGTACGTTCGCAAGCTTTTGAGGATGCATCGAAGGGAAACACAAATTGGAGCATTCGCGAGCTACGTGGATGGAATTATGCTTCCGTCGATAATTTCAATAATTGCATTGCAAACAGTATATCCAGTAAAGCGCCTGCGTCGGCCTATGAGATGCAACACAAGCAAACGAAATAATCAGGAGCGCAGTTACTTCGCATATGGATCCGCATGATGACAAAGCTGTCACCTAGAAAACCATCATAGCCGAGACAGGACCTGGAGCATATATGACGGGAAGCTCAAGCAGCACGCGGATGCGAACTTCATCGAGATAAAATGTGACCGCCTAGATTATCGCAAGAGCTACGGGGGGAGTTGCATCAAAGATCTCAGCGACTTGCGGCTATGCAGATATCTATCTTGCACAGGACTGAGCGACCTCTTAGTAGCTCCATTATGCAGGTATAGTAGTCAAGCCAAATTCTTGATCGCGGGTGCAAGCCCACATGGACGAGAGTTGCGTTGAGTTAGCACATTCCGTCGGCAGCAGACCCATGTTTGGTTCGGCGCTGTGGGCCCAGTAAACCCGCATGACCACCGCTCGGGCGGTCCTGAATATTAGTAACGTGCAAGAAGGCCGAGCTTCAGCGCCTATCGGCAAATCCCGAAAGATTATGCACGGGTTAACGCCGCGATTATGCTGTTCCAGTCAACGTTTTCCCCTTTTCTTCTTACCGCTCATCGAGCAGGGAGCGCCTGAATGTATAAAACAACAACCGATTTGATTAATGACTACCCGACCCAAGCGCTAGGATATGCTCAAGTTGCAATCAAATCAGACAAAGGTAAGGTACAGCTCGTTCAGCCGAAAGTTTGACTCCCTATCCCTCCAATTCGACGTGAATCTATCTCTCTGTCAAACCAACACTTTGAGAAGGGGGCAGTAGGGAGACGTACCCTTTGACCTGGGTGCTTGAGGCTGACGTGCCTCGTCATGGCATCCCGGCGCGAAAATGTGTCTGAACAGCCAGCAACCGCGCACTCCACGATTGTAGAACACAAATGATGTGTTGCGATGTGCTTCGCAAAGCTCTTGAAGTAGAGCTCCTTCCGATACTTGCACTCCCTCCATTGACATTTCCCTCTCCGCTCCATGACCCATTCGTTCGGGCCGAAATGGTGCGCTTTCAGGTGCCCCTCGATATCGGCTATGTTCGTTGAGCCAATGTCAATGGTACAGTCCTTCCAGCAGCACATTGCTCCATTTGCGCCGGGCATAACCTCATAAGGTATATTTGTCCTCTCGGCCACTGGCGGTGCACCGGAGGAAACACCAGGAGATTCCCATGTTGTGCTCAATATAACCTGCCCATCAGCCTGCATATTGACTGTATGAGGAGATACCTCGAGTGGCAACAATTCGCCGCCAATCTCCACCTGCAACCTAGACGAAGGGTTGCAAATGAGCTCATACCACATCCTGTAGTGCTGAGGTATGCTTGGGTCCCGACACGCTTGTCGTATCATGTCCCCAAGGTGGTGCTTCACCTCCGATGGGACATAGTACTGCTCGTACACAGGTGTGACTTCAGGAAAGGCGTCAGGATGGGGTGGTGCAGGAAAGGATCCACCGGAGGTGGTGTTGAAAGCGACGCGTAAGTCGTCGTCGTTGACGATATTTGACTCCCCATAGTTCTGCGGTACGTGTACACGCGGAGGCGCCGCGTCGAATCCACCCCCAACGCCAGAGGTATAAGGCACCATGCTGTAGACTAGTCAGCCTTGTTACAGCGGCAGCTCATCGACTACGTGCAACTGTCGATCCCAGAACACATTTCCTGTAGGTTGTTCTCCGTTCATCGTTCCCGACTGTTAATTGACCTGTGAAACGGTGAGAGACCAACGAAATATCTTGCTCTAAAGAGGGTCGGTCGTGTCAAACTCCACAGGGGCTCGGGCGAGGAAGTGTATCAAAAAGAGGGGGTATACGGAGGGGTGACGCATTGCAAGCCTGTTCTCTCCGGGTATTCATGCATGGGAAAGGAATTTCCCGCCTGTCGTCGATCCTGATCTCGGAATGCGTTTCTTGGTGGAGGTGCCAATTGCAAGATCCCTCCTGGCGCCGGCCAATGGCTCCTCGGGCACGCGGCACTGAACCGCGACTCGCCTACGGCAGCGTTGACATGGAGACAATTGACGGAGTCCACTATTCCGGGCACATACCCAGATATACCCACGCTGCGGATCAACATGCTGCATGCCTTTCGAGGTCGACAATTGAGCATCACGAATCGCCGGCCGCCCGAGCCGTCCTGGTACAGCGTATCCATGGCGTGGCCAGCGAGGTGCAAGAATTGGAGTATGCCAACAGTCGCTTCGGCACCGCACAGGGAAAAACAAAACAATCGGTGTACCAGACGAAGGACAACCCGCCGCCTGGCAAATGCGTGAGACGGCGTATATTGCCTGCGAACGACAATCTATAATGCACGCACAAGTCGATACATGACAGATCCGTCGGGAGTATTACGCATGGCACTCCTCGGCCGGCGGCGCGCTAAACTCTACTGGCCATGCAGCTTCGTGAATCACGACAGGCTGTCGTCCTCATACCAGGGCTTCTAGCATCAGATTTGTACCTGGCACGAGGATCTGAGACCACTTCGCGGTACCCATCAGCTCTTCCCAAGCCGCTCTGCGAACATGCCTCTCATCGTGTTGTGCGAGATTCCACTCAAGCCGTAGCTTGTTTTGCGAGTAACGACTGATCGACATCATTGTGATTACCGATAATGGCGCTGTATCAACGGCGGAGATGCACAGTAACACTACTTGTCCTGCTTGCGAGTGGAGATTCCTTACTGACAAGCAGATCATCGGCCGACAAGCCCGCAGAATTCGAGGATTGGTAGGGCAACGTGGGTCTTCTTGTGCCCTGAGATAGCCCGTGGTATTGTCTGAGAACCAAAGAAGCTAGGAAGCAAGATGTCCGCGAGCAATGTCGACGGAGACGGAATAATCCAACCTCACCAAGGGAAATGAAGTAGTCGTGTACCTTCAAGGGACGCATTTACTATATCATTCGCGGTGATAGCGCAACACTGATACTTGACGATGAAACGCGAGAACGGCCAGCGCTCGCCGGCCTGTAGCCATGCTTCTGAAGTCAGAAGTCATCCATTTGGTTATACGTCGCACTCATGACGACAGGAGATCTATGATGCGAAGCTTGGCATTTCCATGTTTCATATTTCTCTTTGGGTAATGAGACAGGAAGACGGCGAGACTATAATCATAGACCAAGCACAATGTTCGCAGTACCCGAGCCTGTGTGAAACCTGTATAAACACGAGTTACGTTTGGGCGATGCGCGGAAGTATTCTTGGAGAAGCACGGAACGAACGGCGGGTATCTGCCATAACTGCGCCAGAGAATATCATTTGCGGACTTCGAAGCGTGTGCTTCCCTGGGTTCCGGACCCTGAGATGTCATCGGCGAGCTTTGATCAACGGCGTTTATTGAAGACAGTGTAGGTGAGACGTACCTGAAGAATGTGGCGGCTTCACAGGACGATGGGTGACGTTCCAAGTAAATATTCTCATCAGGGGCATGTATGTCAATGATGAGATTGCACGCTGTACCTACACGGCAGGTGACCAGCGTAGTTTGTAACTATGACAGGCGCAGTGCCAGACTTGGGCGATTACTTGTCCAGTATGGATGCATCATTGGAACGAACAGTAGCGTTGTACTTGAAACGACTAGATGTTCGGAAGACGAAATAAACCTCGCATGGAGGTGAAGAGGGTAGCGAGCTATGCCGTCTCTTAAAATGGTATGCCGGATTCGCGGTCTGGGGCCTACGAGCATTCACTAGAGCCAATGCTGATTATTCAATCAACAGGTCCGCTCGTCAAGCCGGAGCAAGACGTCTGCTGCTTGTCAACTCGAACAAAAGCAAGACAAGAAAGAGTGTTGAAGGGCAAAGAAACAACGGACTGTTTAGGGTTGCTAATTGGACGTAATATTGTAATTTGTGAGAAAATGAGGAGCAGTAGGACTCAAGGCGACTATAGACCCGATATTGAAAAGGTCGCCAAGTGCCTTCAAAAATGCAACTGGCACGACCCCGATTGCTTACGCTCAACTTCGATCTCTGGCAGTCGGCAATCTCCGCGCTTAGTCACTTGGTCACTAGACTCGAATCGGTGTCTCGCTGAGTTTCGTTCTTACTTCATAGATCCTGCGGTCTGGATTTGGTCCAAACTTTGGGCGGAATGCCAACGACACGCATGCTCGGAATAGACCTGGAAATTCTACGATGTTTAGTAACTGTATGGCGCTGGACTTCATCGTGAGTAATATTACAGACTTCCCAATGATAAAAGTCTTCACCATGTTTAGATGTCTGTTTTGTGAATGGAACCAGCAGACCCCATATCAATAGACCTATTAAACTTAACATGTGCGTAAGCGCACTTTGGGCGGATAGGTGTGCCCTGGAAACAACAGCCTACCTGGCCGGGTCTGGCCAGGTCGGGATCATGGTGCCGAGCGTTGATTCCGAGTTCCGCTCACAAATACTCTCGGGTAGGTCTATCGATATGGATACAGGACCTCTTATAAAGCTGATAAAACGACCATCTAGCATTTAGCAGGGGACATGAGAACATTATGGACGAAATCATACGCGGCCCAGGTTTACATATGGAAGTATACAAGAATGAGATGAACAAGTCAATTCTAGGGATGTTCAATTCAAGCGTATAGTTGATTCAATATGCTGTCGTTACAGCTAGCAGCGATCCCATTTTGAAATACACTGCCGTCTCGACTCGAGCGCGTGCTACGTCACCTTGTGGTCAGCGTTTGCTTGTGGAGAAAGGGTGCACCTTTCTCCACTAGGTAGGACAAAGACACCGATACATGAACAAAAGTTGCACATGCCTCAGAGCTGCCTCGGGACCCTGAGCGCCAATAAATGAGAGTTCCGAGAAAGCGGGTGGAAGACCACACGCACCGGTCACTCCGTGCGAGGACACCACCATACGAACGAGTCCACAGTCCACACGATGGGATGCGATGGGCAATATCAGAAACCACAGTGGACACCGACCCTGATCTTTGCTAGCGCCCTACAGTGCACCCTGAGTGCGGCGAGTGCAGTAATATCCGATAGAACAAAGAAAGCAGATATCCGTTTCTAGTAGCAGGTCTGCGACCCAACGCACGTTCCGCCGAACATTCTATCAGAGGAAACATATTTGTGGCAAGTTAACAGATACAGATGTCAGGATGTTGCCCGCGCGGTGATAGCGTGGCAAATTCCTCGGCGATACCTCCTTGACGTGAGCGCATAACATTTTGTGGACGGCCGGAAGTGCATGATTTAGTCCAAAGAGATACGCCCATCGGAGATATTTAGTCGTGAGAAAGAGCGGTTTGGGGGTGGGCTAAGCTTCGGTGAGGGTCACGGCAGCCTACGTTTGAACAGGGCTCACTAGCACTAGCGTGGTAATCGGTTCATCGCGGGCAACTCGCCGACTCCCTACTACATGCGCGAGACTGCGAGGGTTGATGCTAAGCACGCCCCTTTTTGGTAATTACAACGGAAAGTGACCTGCCAAATACGCAAGACGCCGCGATGCATAAAGGAAACATGGCACCGGATGTATCGGAAATTAAAAGGCAGCGGCGTATGGCGGGGAGTATGCAGGATAGTGGCAGCCGGCCTACCAGATGGTCTCTCCCCGCAGATGTATGTTCTTGTAGTTCATCAGCAATGCTACACGTGGACCTTACCCGTAGAATATGAACAAGTTGGTCTTGTAGCAAGACCCTCACACATATGTGAGAGGCTTTGTGTAAAACCTGAATGTTGGAACAACCGGGCGAGCGCATGCCCGACTACCGGCTCGCCGACCCGCCGCGCTGCGGCGCGATAGTACCTTGTTCCTTCGTACCTTATTTAGATAAGGTTTTGCTATATTAGGTTGAGTTCCCGCATGTAGTTTCCTCGCGCGTTTGCCTCCCCGCCCCGAGGACGAGGCAAACCGCTTCGTATTTGATCTTTTCCCGCGCCGCTCGCTTCCGTATACCCTCACGCTCGCTCGTTCGAACCCGACGCCGACACTCGTTTCTACACTGAAACCACCGCGATTAGTCACGAGTATCAGGATGTAACTTCTGGCAAGGGAGCAGTTATAGCAGTATGCTGAATCGTCGCATATCACAGGCATCTGTCCACATGAGCACCCGTTCGTTCAATGTTCAAGTTTCAAGTTTAGTAGTCGTCAAATGGTCGGAGGCGCTCACAGTGTAGGCAAGCGCCAGGACTTCGGAAATCGCCGCTCAGTACAGCGCCAGACAGTGCCTCCGCGAGTTTCTTAGTCTCAGCGACTCTCCAACACCCTACTACAATTGAATACACTATTTGCCGTACGACATTCCAGTCCATAGGTTATACCATAGCGGGCAAGTCCAGAGAGCAGGCATCTGCTCTGAGATCTTATGCTCTGCTGACGACGTTGAATCCAAAATCCAGCAGCACATCGCTGTCATCCGAGCAATTGACATGTTCTATTCAATGGGCTTGATAGTGAAGGGCGCATTTCAACTTGCTCGACAAGTGGGCGCGATATCTGTCTGAGTGTATGTAAGGGTCTTCGTAAGGTCTACTATCGTTCCAGCGATCGGTCTCAGCGGTACTTCGGGCGTATTCTGTGTGTCAAGCTAAAGCTCCAAGCGCTGCCTTCGCTCCTTCCCCCCGACGGCAATTATACAGCTAGCGTTCGGGAATCTTTTTACTAGCCGTCATTAGGGAGGGCAGGCAGGTACCGAACTAGCATTCCTCATACCCACTCCGTAGTGCTTTGGAGTCTCCCCTTCCTTTTTCCCCTCTCTCACTCTCTCACTAAGTTGCAGGGAATATATCTCAAGTCTGACACGAGATGATAGCATCGCGAATGTTTGCGAGATATTTCAAGCCAGACAACTCGGCAGGGCGTGTGTCTAGTAATTGTCTTTTTGCCTTCATACATTGCAGCACCCATATACCCTTATACTCCTTAAGCATGCCATGTCTTCTTATGACGCCCCGTCTATCTAACGACTTCTGCAATTGCTTCTGCCGCGACAGCATCCTCGAAGGCAAGCTCCGGGCGCGCACCAGTGGCATTAGGCTTGGTTCGCCCACAGTGACATAGAACATTGCGGGATCCCCTAGGCGCCATCGGTAAGACGCCGAGCCGCTAGGAAAGACGCGCAGGCATCAACGTGCGGCGGGATGTAGCAGGTGTGTCCCATTGATACCATCCAGAGAGTAAGTAACCGATGTCCCTGTGCAAGTAGCCGGTAACTTACAGCTGCCGGGGGTGCTGGACACCATAGGGAGTCTGCGGTCGTTTGTTCATCAAGTGTCTCGATGCGCAGATACGTGCCAAATGACAGCTGGCGGGTTTACGGCAGCGTTAGTAGGTGGCTGTAAACAAGGTCAACAGACCATTACGCTTGATATGGATGCATTGCGAGTCGACTGGCGAGATTCGCGGAGATGGCGATAATTTCGCGGGACGCTACCGGTGTGCGTCGCAGTTTCTTCGTCATGCAGTTCAGCACATCGAGTCGAGAACCCATGGTGCAGCGTGCTCCGATAGGCTGGTGTGCGACCGAGCGAGCACTAATGTTCTTTCAGCGGTAATCTGTCGGCCTCGGACGTACCGCTGTCCCCCCGCCCTCCACCAGCAGCCACCTCCGACGCTCTGCCGCCGCTACGACATTAGCTTCATTCTGCCACCTCGCGGTGGCTCGTCTACCTCCAAACTGCGCTTCCTACAAGGGTCACTGGCGTCCCTGCGATGGTGTCAAGGCGACACCAGGCGGATCCGCTTTGCGCTTGCTGGTAAGTATATAAGTATCATTGAACGTTCTCTGTGTAACTCAGTTTCGACCAGCATTCCGTGCACTCTACACACTCTCGAACTCCTTGTGAGCCTGTCTTGTGCTTGTCTTTGTGCGGCGCACTTGCTAACAGCCCTAGTTCGCTTAAGACACCATAATAGCCGGTACACCAATGTCAGCACCAATTGATCAGTAAGTGAACCGTATCGGAATTAGGCAGCATGCTGATAGGTCGTCCTTGATCTCCTTTCAATAACACGACAACACTATGAACGTTTCCTCCTTACCATCAGGTATAACAGACTCCCGTGCCAATGGAGCGGCGGTTCATGCGGAGTTAGCCTCGACGATGTGTCACCCGCTGGGATCACACGTCATCTAAAGGACTTTCACTTTCCGGCTAGCAATCCATGGAATAACAGGCGGCGCATAGGTTGCCTGTGGGGTGGCAATTGCCACTCGGAGATGAACTGTGAGAATGTGGGCAAGCACGTCGCCTCTGTTCACATTCAGAGCACTGCAAAGGTGTGCGAGGGATGCGGGAAACCCTTCGCGAGAAGTGACACTCTCCGTCGTCACCAAGTTGAGAATTGTACAGGTTTTGCATGAAGGTTAGTCTAATGTGTTCTTGCATGATGATCAACAGGTTGATTTCCTTACCTTGTTTAGACGATCGATCCTAGTATGATCATAGATCGTCAGAGTACCAGCGACAACGCCAGCTTTGGATCGCTTACGTCGATACATAATACTTGGCGGTTGGTAACGTGTAGGAATATATGTATCACATCGAATTGCGCAAATACCACCGGGTCTACATCCGCACCAGGCAGCCCTGCAGGAATCTGAAATGAAGTACAAGAAATCTAATGGGGATTCCCAAGGGTCTAAGTAGCGAATACAACAACGCAGAACTAGGTTAGGTAACATAAGATACACCAAGACAGCATGTCGGCATAGAGACTATCATACAATCATGCACGCAATTCAAACAAGCTATTCAAAAGCATGGTCAGCACCAATTCATCGCTGAGCAGTGGTATATATATGATGCTTACCAGAAGCGGGCCACTACCGAGGTGCACTCGGACAGTAGTTCTGAACATGCCGTTCCAGCAGGCCGGACCGCCCGACATCGCGATAACAGTATGGACATTGCACGCGACTGCGTAAGTGCACCGCCGCGACGTGCTTGCCATAGCTCGCGAATGCCATCTCCTTGCCGCAGTCGCCGCCCCACTCGCATACTCCGCGGGCACGCTTGTCCCACGGGCGATCAGGGTCGCAGAGGTGGTACACCCGCAGATGGCGCATGATTCCGGCAGCAGAGACGTCGTCGAGCATGATCGAGCAGGTGCCGCCGCCCCAGAGGCACGGGACGCGGTGGACGAGCCCGGGGTTCTGGATCTGAGATGCGTGGCTTGACGTGCATGTCTGGTAATAGGGAATAGGGGTGTACTGGGTGGCCATTGCCGCGTATGGATCGTATGATGATCCCGATGGGTAGATGGGGTAGTAGTGATTCGCGGCGTAAGGGTTCATGGGTAGGATGTATATGCCAAGGCTGATGGAGATAGGCTGTTGCTAGAGATGGCACCAGTAGATGGGCTGTCAAAGACTGTGAAGAGCGGTGAAGATGGGGAAGCTACGCATCCTGAAGAAGCTTTATATCTGCACGTATGTTCCGCCTCCATGAGCACACCAGAATGCTCGGAGGTCAACTTGCACCGCATGTGAGGCTCATCAGCGCACGCAAGCGGCACACAAGTTGAGATCTCAGATCCCTGTGCATCAGTGTAAAGACGATCTGCATGTTGTCGAACAGACGATGCTGCGTAACACGAGGCTGGCGACGTACATTGTCGCGAGGGAAGTACAAGGTCGTTGATTTGCACACCGCAACGGAGTGTATCACATCCGCATCGCCCTTGGTGCACGTGGTCTAAACGTGGCATAGGTTTGACGGGACACATCGGCGCTGGACCACTCACCGAAAGGCTGTTCCTGACCGCCTGTCTTATTCCAGGGGCTCGGGCTGTACGTTGCTATTGCAACTAGCAACGGCGTCATTCACAGTGGGGTACGCCCTGGTATCTAGCAAGTTAATCTGACGATATTCAACGAGGGTGGGGCTTCTCATCGGGAAGTCAAATTAAGCAAAAGCTGTGAGTTTTGCTGCCGTCATCGACATATACACCGTCTGTTCCACGTTGCTGCAGCCCACGTCCATGACACCACCTCGCTGCAAGATTACATGTACTATCCTGCTGCGGGCCACAGACGTATCCGAACATCGTTATGAATCATACACGTCTTTTGCCTGGTTAGTGTTATGATATTACACGAACCGCCCCGGGGTGAGCCTGGCGAAATCTCGCCGTAAGCTTAATTTGTTATGGTCTGGACTCAGACTTCCATTGCTATAAGTTCCGCAGCCCTAGGCTGACTATGTTGAGGTGTCTACAACGTGTGGACCTCGAAACGCAATTAGAACGGAGGAAATTGGAAGTCTAGAGCCTGGCACTGTGTCCTCGTCTTGCTGTTGGTGGCGATGTACGCTGGCTTCAGGCTGCCCCCGAATATACCTCTCGCCGCGTTTCTCGTGCGTGGAACAGGGCCTGTTCAGTCCCGAATATCCGCAAACGGCCCATAACATTCTTAGCCTTGTGTTGGTGTTGCCATACGCGAAACGCGCCTTCTCCGCCAGTCCGAGCGCGGCTAACTGGGTCCCCGACCGTCGGTCAAATCAGCATCAAAGCCATCGTGTGCTGATGTGATACAGGCGCGTCAGCAATCTTCCTTGGCGGAGGTTCCTTGTGCCTTCTTAGGTAGCCGATGCGGGCACACACCGATCGGACGATCGAGTTTGATCGTGAAGTTGGGGTGTCTGTACTGTCAGATCACGATTGCATTGTGTTGGTTTGTGTCTCTTCGATCGGGCCTGCATCTGTGCCCCCTGTGGGGCCTGTGGGGAGGCCACGCAAAGGGGTCGAGGTACAGCAGCAGTCCAAGTGGCCTAGCCCGGAGGAGACGATACACAGCACGTTCCTGGACACCCCTGTGGTCTATGTCCAGAGTCAGGGCGTTCGAGGGCGCATATAGATCCAGCCGGCGGTATGGCGAGTGTGATCTGCAGCGCCTTCTCTGATCGCTGCCGAGGTCTGGGCCACAAACGCGGGAACCCGACTGCTCCAGTTTCGTCCTCGTGTCTGGCTGGCGGTTCAGCTGATGATAGACTCGTCTTCTCCGAGAACATGCTTTCATACACCGAACCACATGATCTTTCGGTGTCGATGAGATGCTTTCTCTGCGTGTCCCCCCAACATTTCCATTTGTCGTGATGAACGGACGTCCCGTACCTTGTTGATTGCATCGGAAGTGACTCTTGGCAAGCGCTCAGCTACCACACTCAGATTCACGAAGTATGATCCCCTGCGAGCTTGGTATGCGGCGCGTTTTGTCCCGTGACGAAAGTGCCCCGAACATACATGATCAAATGGTGGCCCCTGCATCAGAGTTAACTGTATAAACTGTAATGAGCTTGACTACATGCCTCAGAGCCGTGGAGAAGGTGCGGAGCCTATACTAATGCCGCATTGAAACTCTCCCACTTACAGGGTGCACAGGATGGCCTCGCACCGCATCCCTCGAGTACCTTGTGCAGGAAACGCGCACGGCCTTCTACGACTGCCGCCTTCCATGTTTGACAATCTCATAAACTTTGTGAGCGGTCAGCATCAATGCGCTTTCTCGTATCGGCTGTGGCACCGAGTGTGGCGGACTCTCGGACCAGCCGGTGGCATGCATCGTGCCCTTTTAGGAACGAAGATCTGCGAATTTGCTGAGAGACGATTGCTCATTTCCTCGTCGGCCATCGATATGAGAGACGATTGCGAGCTGCGAGCTCACAGAGCGGCTTCTTTGGGTGCTACCATCCCAAACAGAGCATCGCTTCGCCGGCGTTGGATCATCGCCGGAAGGCTTCTTGTCGGTCGCGTGACGCAAAGCGCCAGTAATGGCTTCCATGGATCCAGCGATATACCACACATTCAGCCCGATATGAACCTCGGAGCGTTGCTGACGCGTGGCCTGTGTTGGCAAAGTATCATGGCCATGCTGTCCAGGATTAGTGTTGTTCAGGGTCCAATGAGGCTGGGCTTTTGGCCGCTCGGCTTGGTTTCATAGTCAATTCGGGCCCTCATGTATTGCTTTTGAGGACTGGGGGCTGGGCTATATGCAGCTCAGCCGAGCAGGGCTCGGCCGGCATGGTCATCACTATCTAGGATGCCTTCGAGTCAACGAGAATTCCTGCTCTTAGAGATTATGCCTAATGATCACTTGCGAGGCACAATGCTTGCGCATCTATACCCACTACACGATACGGTAGCCATACGACCTGGACTCAACAGTAATACTCGCGAGCGGCTTCTCGCTACAGGCCCGAGCCATTATGTGGCGCATCGAGCTTGTTGCTCCACGTTTATCTCATTTAACGTAAGTCGATCAATCCCACTGACTCGGCCTCTGTTCCACCACAGGATCGGCATCGGTCGGACAAAGTGGACTTGGGACAGGAAGGTCCGGAGAGACCACACAGCGCTGATGGGTGTCACTTGATAGAAGCGGTCTGCTTCTCTGAGCTGCGGTCTCTCTTTGTGTGTGTGTGCGTGTGTGCGTATAGCATTGGGCACTCTCGGGATGCCTAAGCACGGCGGACAATTCCAGCCGAAAGTATTTTCTGGTTCTGGGCCACTGACCACAGTCCGGCCCTACGGGCTAATTAATGAAGAACCTGTTTCGGATGTCCGGGTTCATCCCGTCGAGAACATAGGAATTGGGGGATGGGAACGAACCTCTTGCACATGCTGGTGGGAGCGCTGACGACGGCTGGCAACTTACAAGCGGGTGGTCGGTGTGTAGACGGGCTTAACGTCACACCGCGGCGCCACGCATCACTTGGTGTCGGTAGTGTAAGCGTATGATATCCCATTCAATGCCGCGGGGTATACGACATTGATATTCTCCGCTGCATTATGGCTATGGTGGCGGTGGATTTCTACCGGTGTCTTTTGCCAGTTTAACTTACGCCTGAGGGCGCCGCCCTATGCCGGATACCACTTGCGTGTGACATATCGTAGCGAGTGCTCGATTTATCGTAGGCTGTCAGTTATCATCGGGTAGTGTAGGGGTGCGCACAAGGTCGGTGGCTCGAGCTTGCAGATACGAACATGACTAAACGACCCTGAAGCGCTCGCGCTCCTCTTCTACTACGTCAAGGCCACCGACTTTCAAACGGCCGGAGGAGGCTCCTAGACCAGCTCCTGAAAACGCCCGCGAGGTATGATCGCCGAATGCACGGACCGGTTTGCTCTCCGCCCCACTCCTGACATACCCCTACCCCCCCCCTTACATACACACGCTTATGTATTTCCTTCTCTTCCTCCGGACTGTACCCCCCATGATTGCCTGCTTGCTCATTGCCTATGAACTTCTCCTCCGCGCTCATGCTATGTACCACGCCCTCACCTGGCTCCCTGACATATTTGACTCAGACAATAACACTTCGCCCACTCACAGACACCACATCACGCATCAAAGCTCGCTCGCGCTTCTTCCTCTATGCTAACGAACGGCCCATATCGCATTGATTTCCTCGATACAATACATACGCGCATGTGTTATCCGGCATAGGGCGTCGTCCTCAAGCGGATACAAACCTGGATTCTGTTCAAATAGTCGGTGGCTTCGATCTGTGCGAGGAGGCCGAGTGAAGGCACTGGAAGGGAGCGTGTGCGCAAAGGGGTTTGTGACTGTGGTGTGTTAGGTCAGATATTAGCGTAGGTACAGTGAATGTCAATGCTTGTTAGATGAGAAGAGACAAGGGGCGAGGAGAAGGAGAGCCAGTGAAAGTACATGCGCAGGCGAGGCGTCATGGCGTGTATGTCGCAGGTCCGGCAGATTGGCGCATCTCGTGCCACTAGTGTTGTGTGCGAGGCTGTTCGCCCCCTCGGCCGCGAAGCAGCCGGTGGCTTTCTGCCAGAGTTCAATGCAGGGCCATCGCGATAGTGCGCGGGGCCGACGCGTGTCCAATTTTTAATGACAGACGCAAGAGCTCTAACTCACCTGTGAGAAAAGAAAAAGCGACCAAAGACATTTTCAGTTTCAGACTAGCTCACAGGGGCGCCGTCTTCTAGGGGTTTTTTTGCGGAAGCAATGAGTAGGGGACAGCGCGACTTGGTTGTGCTTCAAGAACCTGAACTTCAAATTGACGGGGATCCCACCCGAAGGTGAATAAAACCTGAGGTCCTCGTCGTCAACTAGGGAATCAACAACATTACTGCGACGAGATTTGAAAGACAGCTGTCAGCGTGTAGGACCTACACGGCCTTCCGCTTATGGCGCGATGTTTGAGAAAGGTTTCAGCGACGCCTCAAGTCTCGGCATCCAGCTGACTTGCTCAAGGCGATCATCGCGGCCACTGCAGGCGGCTCAAAGTGAAAGAAACATACAAAGTCATAAGTAATGATCGCGAGAGTGTTGCATCCTTCTGTGCTCCTCGGACTTCGTTGTCGATGTCTGCAGTCTAAATACCTAAATCAAGTTGCACGCCAAGGCCTTGTCATTGATCGCGGCAGCATGAATACTGGGCGCCTTGTCCCGACATAGTCCATGTCGGAAGGCACTCGATCGGACACGTCTATGCTTGCCGTGATATATCAATATACAATTTCATCAACGTCTCAATATGACGAGAGATGAACCACGATGTCTGCGGACATGTCGACGTTCGTGCAGGTTGTTCGTTTCGTCCCTCCTTCCTTTTCTGTTCTCTAATAGTACTGGAGTAAGTATCCACTGCATGCAGGAATCAATCTTCCTGCACAAAATATCAAATCATAATTCAATTAAAAGCAATTAGCACCTATTGAATCTTACTGCTGTAGAAATCGAATGGAAATTGAAGAAAAATTGAAGGAAAATTGAAAGAGACAATGGAAGATGGATTACATAATCGATTTTCCTTCGATTTCACCTCCATGATAGGCGCTAGAGTACTCATTAGGTAAATTAACTTTTCTTTCGATTTTTATCTGATTTTTTTGTACTAGAAAATTGAATACTGCATGCAGTGATCAGGATTAGTTCAGGTTAAACACGACTTCTAATCTAGACGCTCGAACCAGACGCTGGAGCGCCCAATGACCTCAATTTCTAGGATCGCAACACTCCGGCGTCCGCCCAAGTCGGCGGCAGTTCGACACCCACGACAGCGGAAGGCAACGACTGCATCTTACTTTCTAAATCAACGGCGCTGCATCGTCAACAGATGATGACCCCGTCAATTCTGTCTTTGCGGTGGTTGTGGATGCGGTTAGCTTCTCAACGTGCTCCACAATTAAAGACGGATCTTCTATTTGTTCTGATTTAGCTTGCAGCGCGGCGGTCGGTATCCCCTCGCGACGCTCTCCAGCCTCGGAGTCGCATAAAATGGACCGGCTTTACGCAAAGCCTTTGCACGGCCTTCCAGTCTTCCTCGGGCTGAACCTCCAGGATGCTGCCAGTTCAACGACTCCTTGCGCTCTTGATCCTTGCGCAGTGCGCCATCACCGCCAGCCTGTCACCGCGTGTCGTCCATGAATCCCGGAGCAGTCTTCCAACTGGCTGGACGCCTGCCCGTCGCGCCGATCCCGCGACTCGTCTTCCTCTGCGCATCGGCCTCGCTCAGTCGAACCTGGACAACCTCGACGCCTACGTGCTGGACGTGTCCCATCCGGAGTCGCCGAACTATGGCAAGCACTGGACGCCGGCACAGGTCGCGCAGGCCTTCCGTCCTTCACGCGATGCCGTCGACGCGGTCCGTGAATGGCTGATGGAGGAAGGCATGCCGCCGGAGGGGGTGAAGGTGCACACGGGCGGCGGATGGGTCCAGGTGGACGTGACAGTCGAAGAGGCGGAGCGCCTGCTGAGCACAGAGTACTACGTGTACCAGTTCGGCGACGGCGAAGGGCGGAGCAGCGAGCACGTCGCGTGCAAGGAAAAGTACCATCTGCCGGAGCACGTCTCGAAACATGTCGAGCTGGTGGTGCCGACGCTGCACTTTGACGTGCACGTGAAGCGCGAGAGGGTCGCGGAGAAGAGGTCTGGGTCGAAGAACATGGGCCAGTCGCGCAGTGGGATCGTTAATCCCAAATTCATTGGGGAAATTGAGGTACGTGGACACGGCCGTGCCGGTTCTGCGGTGGTACTCATTATCTGGCAGACTGCCTTGACAGAGCTTGCAGACTGCGATAAGCAGATTACACCTGACTGCCTGCGCGCACTGTACGACTTCGTGTACCTCCCGGTGGCCACGGATAGGAATACCATTGGCATTGGTGCGCAGTGTTCATACCGCTGTGAATTGGCCGCTTGATGATCCTGCGGTCACGCGCAGTTGAGTACACGCCCGAAGCCTATCTCGATCAAGACATGGACTGGTTCTTCGGGAACTACTCTCCGAGCCAGGTGGGCCAGCGCCCTGCGCTTGTCAGCATCGACGGAGGTTGGTTGCTGCGCAACTTTGGAACGTGAGGGTGAGCTAATGCGTCGACGTGCAGGATACGACCAAACACTCTTCCAAGGCTTTAGCGTGAACGGCGAGGCCGATCTCGACCTGCAGTACGCGATGGCACTCGTCGGTGCGACCCAGAACGTTACATTGTACCAAGCGGGTGACCTGTACGAAGGTGCGTTCACCACCCATTCCGTGGTGTACAATGCTGATAACACTTCATAGGCGCGTCATTCAACAACTTCCTGGACGCTCTCGACGGGTCCTATTGCACGTACGAAGGAGGTGACAACCCGGAGTATGACTCAGTTTACCCGGATCCGTACGGTGGTTACACAGGTAAGTTCTACATACGTAGACGTGCTCTTTCAGGTTCTCAATAGCGTTCGATCATGTGCCCAGGCAAGGAGAACTGCGGCACTGCCCCCCTTTCAAACATCATCTCGACGTCTTACGGAGCCACCGAGGCATCCTACGGCGCCGCCTATACTCAACGACAGTGTGCAGAGTATGGCAAGGTGTGTTTTTGTATTTGTAACTATACATACTAGACATGATCTTGACGTGTTGCACACGACAGCTCGGCCTCATGGGCGTGACAATCTTGTACTCTTCAGGAGACACCGGCGTAGCAGGAAATGGCCTGTGTCTCAACGCCGACGGGACCGAGTCATCGAGCGGAACGCGGTTCGACCCCGGCTTTCCCGGGTCGTGTCCGTACGTGACCAGCGTGGGCGCAACGCAGATCCAGGCCGGCAGCACAGTACGTCCTCGTCGTACCCCTACTATCCCGTCTCACTGGACATGTGCGGGCATAGGTGTGGGACCCCGAGACGGCGTGCGGACAGTACATCTACTCGGGAGGCGGCTTCTCGAACGTGTTCTCCACACCCGCGTGGCAGGCGTCCGCCGTGGACGATTACTTGGCGAAGTATCCGCCGCCATACGCGTCGGACGTGTTCAACGCGTCAGGGCGCGGGTATCCGGATATATCGGCCAATGGGTGCGTCGCTGTCCTCGAACGAACTGTAGAGGCGGCTGTTGATCCGCGGCTGCAGGCTGAACTACTCGGTCGTCGTCGACGGGACGCTCCAGCTCGTCGCGGGCACGTCGTGTTCCTCGCCCGTCGCTGCGGCGATCCTGTCCGCGGTGAACGATGCACGGCTTGCGATCGGGAAGAGCACGATCGGCTTCATCAACCCCACCGTGCGTCCGCGTTTCTGGCATCTTGCTGCGCTGAGGGCGACTGACATTCGTGCGTATGTAGATCTACACGCCCCCGTTTATGGCCGCGTTCAACGATATCACGACGGGAAACAACCCCGGCTGCGGGACGGACGGATTCGCTGCCGCCCCTGGATGGGACCCGGTCACTGGACTGGGCACGCCGAACTTTCCGAAGCTCCTCGCGTTGTGGCTGGCACTCCCATAGTGATGACCTCTACGCATGGAAGGTGTGGGTTGGTCGTGGACTTAGTAAGTAGTAATGATGTAGCCGATGCTGTCTATCATCTCTTGCACACTCTTATAGTCGGACGTTATGTATCGTTATTGAATGGACGTTTATTGACGCGCGATGTCGTCTATTCCCTCGCACGGCTAGATGGATTGTGTGGCCCTATTTCCTTTCTACGAATGTCGAGTGCTGATCCTATTTGAGTATGCCAATCAGAGCTACAGGGCGACTTACCGCGGTGCCTAATCTGTCCTTCACGTACGACACAATCGGGATCGCGCATCAGACAGATTATTATATCCGTGTATCGTGCGCAGTAGTGTACAGTGCTTGCGTTCTCAATTCGTCTTGGCTTATAGCCGTGTCACAGACCACACCAAGAAGTAGAATTTGGCATCAGACGGGGTGTCCAGATCGCGCCGCTGCGTTTCACGCAGAAACGCGTCCACTTTGACAGTCCCCTTCTGGAACACCCGTCCGTCCCAAAGCTCCGTCCAGCTCTCGGGTGAGTGGCAGAACATGTATGTCCCGCGGGGGTTCAGCTTGCCCTGTTCCACGCGCAGGCCTCTTTCGTGTCGGCCGCCATGCAGGCCAAAGATCATGGACCCCGGGGTCGGCGCGAGCAGGCCTGCGAGTGCCTTTGCGAGCTGCAGCTGCGGCTCCTCGTCGAAGAGGTGGAAGAGCGAGGACGCGTGGATGGCGGAGACGTGGCCGAGCAGGGGCGTCAGGGTGGTGAGCGAGGATAGAGCGGGGGCGGGTGAGTCGGGCGGTGCGTAGAAGGGCGGAACGGGCTCTAGGAACGTGTGGTCGAACGCGTCGCCGGGGACGAAGGGCACCGGGAACGTAGCGGGGGTAGACCTGAAGAGGCTGTGGCCTAGGTCCCAGAACCCTTTCACGGTTCCGAGCGATCAGCTCAGACGACCACGTGCAGAAGGTGCACGAGCGAACTCACGCGGGTCCAAGTCGGAAGCAATGACGCCTTCGAGCGGGAAGCCATCTGCAATGGCCTTGCGGGCGTCATTCCCAACTTATAGAGGTGGTCAGTAAAGCGTCGGTTTGGTCGACTCGAGGTAATCACAGCAGCAGCCAATGTCGAGGAAGATTGCGCCTGGACGCTCTCGCCCAATCTGGAGCAGCTGGTTGTACGCTGGCAGACGAGATATTTTGAGCCTGCAAATGAGCTAGTTCTCTCAGCATCCCTCCAAATATTACGATATAACACGCACTTCGTGAAGGCGAACCTGAGAATGCAGGGGTACGGGTGGACCTGCGCGTATCATGGTTGGCAGTCTCAGCCCTAGATGACTCAGAGGTCGTACCTCGTAGGCGTCCGCTTGTACCCTCATGATGTGCTGCTTGAGTTCATTCTCGTCTTGAATACCCGTCTGGGATTTAAAGAACCCCAGCTCCTGCTCATCTAAGCTGTAGTAACTGGCATCGAGAGCACGCTTTGCTGGAATATTGGTGATTGGGCTTGGGTTCTTGGAGGTGTTTGCATCCGCCATAGAGATCAAAGGCAAGTCCGTTATCGTCGAAAGCCGTGGGCTTTAACATTGCGATGGCGTCCGAGGTCCTGATAAGATGACGTTCCGAATGTGTGGTACATCTAAGCGCCCAACGTGTCTCACGGAGAGCTCACGACTTGAGACCATCATTGCTTCGTTCCCGTGTGCCAGTACTGTATAGGAACGTTCTAGGCATCGTCGCGCTGTGCTCGGGCCGCATTTGCGATGCTCACTCGGATTTCGACTATATTTGGCTCACGTCTGCCCCGCAAGGATCTGGAGCTGCTCATCAACATCTTGATACGACTTGTGCACGATTCATGATCGTTGTTCAGCAACTTACCAAACTTTACCAAACCCTGATCATCGCTGCCTCGCGGGGCAAGAAGCTCTGTCATCTTACGAGTAGATATCCAAACGTATATGCAAGAGATTTCATGGTCTGCTTGCGCAACATTATTCTACCAGTTCGGGTTATACACGTATAGGTTCACATTGCTAATGTGCTTGGGGCCGCTCACGATCGATATCACAGGTCAAAGACTCTGGGCCTCTTCAGGGTTCTGGTGACACTGCATACGTTCGGCAATCTGTCACCGCTACGCGCCAGTGTGGTACGTTCTGATAGAATACTCTGGATGCTGCCCATTCGAAGCCCATATGGTCCGGGATGACGCTCGCACTGTCAGTGGAAGCCCAGATCCTAAAGCACCGCCTCCTGGGGCCATGAAAACACGCGCGGGGCTGTACAATATACCTCTGAAGACAAAACACAGCAGGCTGAAGCACAGCGCAGTTCTCAGGAGATATAGAGTCCGTGGATCTGTGCGCATCCCGTGAATTGCGTATTTGGATTTGATGTCCCCGATTATGTGGATAACTAGCATAGCATTTTGTTTCTAGATTCTATGCATCGCCTTGCATGTCAGCGTGCGGATCTACGTATAAAAGGCGAGGAAGGTAACGCAACGAACACCGATCTGCTGCCTTTATATCAAACTCTACTCTGCTCATATGTCTACACCCTGGGATGTCTACGCGAAGGAGCTCGGGGACGCGTGCCGCCTTGGGTATCCTCTCTGGGACCCTGAACCCGAGGAGCAGGGTACAGTATGCATCGGGGATGTAGGCTACATCAGCGAGGGTCGCTTCCGCCGCCTCTTCAACGCCACACGCCCAGCGAATGACGCGCTCAACGCGCTCTTCGGTGTGCCCGACGGATATGAGCCATTACAGATCAAGGAGCCGCTCTTCGAGGACAAGGAACCACGCATGCTTAGGGTAGGGAAGTCCCTGAACAGCAACAGCATCACCTCGACCCAAGTGAGCGGGGGTGCCAGTGGGTGAGCAGATGTTCTCCTAGCTGACAGGCGTGTGTGAAGATCTCGATCTAATGAGGTTCGTAGCAAGGGCATCGGGGGGAGTATCCACTTCAAGTGCAGCGAAGACAGAGGGGCCATCCTTGCGCTGCCCCGGCAGACCCTTCTCCAGCAGAAGCTCCGCAAGAACAAGACTTTGGCCGGCTGGATGCTCAAATATCACAAGACTTGGTACCGATGGGCTACCGAGACACATGACCTTGACCTGAAGGAAGAAGAGATCATCTTCGTCACCGGCTGGGTGAAGACGGAGGAATGGGCCGTGGGCGCTTTCGTCGACCGTGGGCATGTCGCTCATTTGGAGCTGAACATCGGCGCTGGTCCGGTTGCAGGCGCGTCGTTCTCCGTGACAACGACGAGCTCAACGTCCAGGGCCTGGCACCAGCGCTCTGGGCCTTGTGCACGACAAGCCGACGGCCTCGGCGTGCAAGATGCGCACGCTTCGGGAGATCAACATGAGCTACTTGGGGGGCAATGGCATGGAAGGGATGGCGGTGCTTCTCAAAAATCGCGAAAGGGACGGACAGAGAACCGCGGAAAACGCGGAAACAGGAACAATGAGGCTGGACACGTCCACGATCAGTGCGTTTTTCTGCACTACACCGGCTTTAAGGAGCGCACAGGTATATTGCCGCGATTTCTGCCAAAGAGGCTCAAGGCTGCTGCCGACGGTGAAGACGCCTCGTTGACGTCGGATGATGACGAGGATGACGACGATGACGTTGGCATGGCTGGCTACTCACTGGTCGAGGATACGTCGTTGGAGGACGCCTATGAGATCGAGAATATGCCTCTTATACCAGAAGTAAGCACGTACAGTATGTCTTATTCACTGTCTGATTAACTCTCATAGCAGCGTTACGATCCTGTGAACTGCCTTATGGAATACATACTCGACGTAAGTTCATACGGCTTCAGGCGTAGGCTGTCAAAGCTGAGTATGTGCTCATAGCACTCTGATGCTGCATATGCTTCTGCCGATACTGAGGATGTTGCCTTCATCCAGAAGGCAAGTATCCTTTGAGGATGTCCTTCCACCATCATCGCTTATGGGTACCATAGATCGCGCTTGGGGAGGACCTCACAGACATCCTCGACCGCATCCGCCCGGCTGTGATTGTTGACAGGAGTGGACGTCAGTATCCTCACCATTTCCGAGTCGACCAGTATTGACAAGCATTTCTCGCCACTAGTCGGAATTCTCGATATTGTGAGCGTTCAGCAGGACCTGCCTCGTCAGGGCGAAAGGACTGGAGCCCGCGAGGATACTCCTGACCCCACCGATGGTCAATCACTTCATGATCCCGGGGAGGTTCATGCTTCCACGACATCCTGCTCCGACAGGACCTTAGTCAATGTTCAGCATCCACGGTCATATCAGAGTAGTCGTCAAGAATGGAGGACGCCCCACATGTCAGAATCATGGACACAGACATGGGATCCACCTGACAAGCACAATGTAATCGCTGCCGTCGCTAAGGATGACCTGGATGCCGGTGAGTGCGTTGCGACAGTTGTCCGGATATCCGTGACATTCATCGCGCACGTTGCTGACTACTCTATCTCGCCTAAGACTCCATAATAGTCGGTACTCCAATGGCAGGACCAAGTGATCAGTAAGTGAGCCGTATCGAGTTGGGGTAGTGTGCTTATCGCTCGACCTTGATCTCCCTCATCCTCGCAGCGTTCACCCGAACCAATCCTTCAATGACCATGTCAGAAATCCGCAAAAAAGGATGACAATGGCTGAGGCGGCTACTCGCGGCAGTGTCAAGAGACGGAGGAGTAACAGCATCAATAGCAACGTAACATACCTTGTGGCGGATATACGGGAAGTATGTGCTCCAAAGCGCGCTAGACCCAAGCGATGGTGTCCCGTTCGTGAGTGTCATTGACCATTGCCTTGATCGCGACACAAACACGACTGACGAGGGACACAGGGGTCGAACACGATAAATTTGAAGATGTTTCCATCATGACGCACAACACCCAACCGTATGCCGCGGGCTCCCGGAAGAATATTAACCCAGTGTGTTTTCTTTGCCATAAACATCCGCTTCTTCTCTTGACCGGAATTGCCGACTGCAGCGTATCGTACAGTCATTCCTCGCTAGCGCTGATGCAGGTGCTCAGCATCTTGCCATTGACAGTACGTAGAGTCCTTCCCATATGGTAACATTGTTGACAAATTATGGCGATGGGCAGATTGGGCAGCGGAAACTACTACCCACTCGACATCGACTTACCGGCCCTGCAGAGAAACTCGGATATTGCCCCTAATCAACAACTTCTCTGGCAGCCTACATGAAGCAACGACCATAGACTCTACAACCTACGAACATGGCATTATCGGCTCCCGTGGAGGCGATCCCAGGCAAAACCATCTGAAGGTTGATTGGCTGGGCTTGACAGTGAGCATAATGCCCTACAGAGAGGCTGATTCACTTCGTTGACTGTTGTGACCAGGCCGTTTTTGACACTTGTCACTCTGGCACATACTTGGGTATGCCTTCTAAGCCTAGGTTTCACGGGTGTATGTCGCTGATGACCAGTTAATAGTGCAAACTCAAGATATCAACAATCGAGCACCTCGTGCAAAGCGTCCCTCCGCCACAAGGGGAAACATCAGGGGACACTCTAAACCTCATCCTCATACTCGGGCTCTAGACTGTCGCGAACGAAGATTCTTCCCGGGAGATAGCTATCGAATACCTCCGCAGGCAGAGCCGCGTTGTGCTCTCAGCATGCAGAAATGCACAGCTAAGCCTCCTCAGACCGATGCGGTGCTTGGCAGCGAGCACTGTATGAGTCATCCCGATTTGATGCTACCCCTCGGCGACTGTGAGAGTGATATCATTGGTGAGCACCGAGAATGAGGGCGAATCCGCGCGTGTTAATGGTATGCTTGCTCAAACATCACCAGATATTCTCATGTCGTCCGACGAAAATGATACTAGTGCGACCATCTATGGATGCAGGAATGGGATTCGAGCACATTAGGATGTCGCAAGTAAGAGTCATGCAGTACTGAATGCGCTCATCTCTCCCAACGGCTGTCTTGCATGCTGTCCTGGCAAAGCAACTGTTCTACGAGTACATGTGTACAAGACTGTCAAGCGTAGAAGAGGTCTGGAATATCCAATCCGAACACGATGCAGAATGGGCGAGCAGGACGAGCGATCGCGCAGGATCAGATGTACGTACGGGTAACAGAATATATGAAATGTCCGCTCCTTCCACGGTGGTCCTCTGGCACCTCTGAGAATGCGGTTGGCTGCGCGACGACTCGGGTCTTTCGAACGGGTCGCCCAGAGGCGCGCGGACTGCAATATGAATCACAGGCGGTCGACGCAAAGGGCATAAAGGTGGTGGTGTGCGGAGGTGATGGCGGTACGAGGTCGGGAAGGTGACGATGAAGACAGGCCAGAGACTAGCAATCTCCAATAGCCGACGGCACGAATATGAATAGGTGCGATTTGACAGAGAGGACGGTAGGATGATGATCACCACGGCTCTCAGGTGGAATTGTTCGAATGACAGCGGCGAGAGCAAGGAGTACGAACAGGAGGGCGGTATTGCTGTGCTAATGGGATGTCGCAGCTGTTCAGCTGGGAAACGTGCTTGAGCGACCTGCGCGACCGATAGCGTGCCCATGTCTTGTTACGCTATAGGCATGCTCTGCTGGGTACACTAGGCTTGTAGGGATCGCTGTGTGACTCCTAGGAACTGCGGGGAAGCTGAGTGGGACGTTTATATACAACGCCTAACTCGATTCTTCATCCGCTTGGGTCCAGAGGGGTTTCTTGCAATGCATGCACCAGAGGCCCAATGTTGGTCCGGCAGCCCACGTTTCATCGTTAACTTGACTGTTCACTGTCAATCAATGCATGCAACAGCATCAAAGAACTGATGCTCACAAGGTAATATGATGCAATACTTTAGATTTCCGGGACTTCGGGAACCATGTACAAAGTCTAGGCATCCAGATATCTGGGTGCAATGGAGCACAGCAGCATATCTGAATCCTCACCAAGAGGTGGAAGAATGTTAACGAGGAACATATATCCCGTATGTTCCATAAGACACAAGACCCTGGCATTGTCATGTGTCCCCATAGATGGAGGCTTGGTGAGTACAACTATGGGGATTAGACTGGTACTGTGCTCACCGTTCTATCCAGTCCTTCGAAGAACTATCTGAAGGGTGCGATGCCCCCATCTACAAATACTGTGTCGTTGCCCATCGCGACCTTCCCGTTTAAAAAAGGAACGCTGCGTTCCCGAGGCATTGGAAGACCATAGGCTGGTTGGAATCCCGCGTTCCTCCCCATTTCGTCATATATAACGGCGGCCTGGCGCTATCGAAGGGTGCCGGACCAGCTGACTTCGCAGCGGCATTAACCGCCTTCTACAAGCGCCACAAAGTTCACTTCAACGCGATCATTGTTCTGCAAAACATGCAAAAGGTCTGTCGACGATGGGTAAACAACACGCCGGCTGATAGAAGCATGGTTTCCACCTCCTAAGATGCTTCCTTGTGCTAGCTGTCTCGATTGGTGCGTTGGCTACACTCGACTCACACACCTTCTGTAACGGATGTGAACTCTAGGCGGGTTCAAGAAATCCATGTGTTACTCGGATCATGCTGTGTGTGGAGGTTATCAGGATTATGTGGCCCTATGGCCAGTTTGGACACGAGAAGTATGCCTTGCTATGACTAACCTTCTATGCCTCATTATGTAGTACCTTGACATACCATCATCCATGCATTTTTCTACTTCATGTCTGTGAGTAGTGATCTAATCATATCGCTGCTCGTCAGAGGTATGAGAGCCGGCTACGTTGTACAGTCATACGGAACATCCTAGGGCGTTGCAGTACACAATCAATGTATGAATGACATTTGCTTATGTGAGGCTAGTAGAACACAGACCCCAGCCCCCCAACAACCAACCGCACCGTGTACGACGTCTGAGCGCGAGTGGCGCAATCTAGTTGAAACTTGAAGGGGATTAGCACAATGCTACATCGCTGAGCTTGTGCAGAACCATGATGTTGCATCTCCCCAGCGGTCTGACATCCTCGCCATGCATAAGTATGCAGGCCACCACGAGGCCTTTAGCGACAAAAGCCTCTGCTGATACTCCAGGAGCCCCGTGGCAGGATGCCCCACACTTGACACCCCTGGGGGCAGGTTTTCACCTCACGAGCGGCGCCGAGCAGAACTCGACTCATGGAGCCAACCGAGTCAGCCCACAGTGCGAATAAAAGCTCACGACCGTGATGGGGACACAACACCGCCGCCAAAACATCAGGGCCATAACGCCTGCTGCTCTACCTCCTCCGTCACAGCACAACACCGCCGCGCATGTGCAGAAATTCATGGATGCTGCAGGCTTTGCAAAAGAAAGAACACCACTCAAATGGTATGTGGAGGGCTTCCTCTCCAGTACATTGCACCAGTTCTGAGTACACGCAGAGTAGGGCAAGAAGGAAAATGTCCCATCCCAGCTCCTCCATGCTTTACATGACGACAGGCACTGCAGCGCTATCGAATCGTGGGGAGAGCCCGCTCTTCACTCAGACATTGAGGCCCACCTCCTCGCGCTTCGCAAGCCCAAGACCCACGCCGAGGATGCGAGCACGACTTCGCAAACAACAAAGCGCATATGAAACCAATACTCTAGGCCTAATTCTGCAGAGCTGTCTACCCTCCGTAATGTCTGTGGTCCCGCGTCGAAACACCAAGAATTTGCACTACATCAAGGGTGGGTTCCGTTTGTCCATCCCCAAAGTCTATCACTGACGTTCAAGGGGCGAACCGTTGGGGCTCCTGACCGCTGCAATGTGTGAACAGATTACGATAGCATTCAGCCACAGAACTGCATCGCGAATTAGGTCCAGAGGCTCGAGCCGTGAACTAGCCAGAGAAGGTTGTCACGCTGCACGAGGTGTTCAGACGGGAGTGGCACACAATGGAGTGAAGAGGTAATCCTGGAAAGGTGACAATTGCACCCTTGTCACAGTCAATTCAACATGAACTAACGCAACTCTTCCTAAGGACCGTCGTGCTTTTCCACATTCGAAGAGACGCTGAATGCAAGACGGTTCAGGAAGCTCGTTGCTTCGCGTGGTCATAGGGGCACGCACCATGAACGGGCCTGCGACGCTTTCTTGCACCTAATGCCAGACCGTGGGATACACTGAACTCGAGAACGGCGGAAGCCAGGTGTGTTCGTTCTTGACAACACGTTGCATCAGCGAGAGAATCGGGAGATGTCACCGTCCTCTGATCGCCTCACCGAGAACAAAGGCCTGTAGCTACATTTTGCATCTCATTTCGTATGCTTTTGACCGGTCCTGCCTCTCTGGTCTGTCATTCGTCATTCAGGAATGTATTGCCTGGAAGATCCTGACGCTCACCTCCGTAAGGACAATGTAAACATGCCCGGTGTTCGACGTGTCCATAATTGGACCAGAGGCGTCAGAAAAGTGATATATAAGCAGTGCCCTTTGGTCAGCTTCGCACTCAGCAACGACCTTTTCCAGCTCCATAGACGGACTAATTTCTACGTGAGTCAGACAACCACATCATGAGCTCCCCGCTGACCTCAATTATGTATATACATAGCTCACCAACCACGTCGTCCTGGCTACCTTGACAATGGCCTCGGACCCATTCTTGGATTTTTGCGACCAGCTCAAAGAGATGTCGTCCGCAAGTACTGACGAGTGGTCATTCTTCTCACCGGCCCCAGTAGAGCCCGCGCAGGTCAACGAACCTCAGAACCCAGAGTACTCTCCTGCCGTGCCTAATCTCGATATTATCAGTGGCATCACTGAGGACTTGCGCTTTCCCAAATCACAAGGGGTATGTTGTATTTCTGACAGTACGTGTGTCACATCTGACATTCGGTATCGTTCATACAGGCTCCTAGCGCCGGGAGTGGGTGTTCAGAGATGAACCCCATAGAGATGCTGCTCGAATCCCCTGCCGGAAACTACCCTAGTCAAACACCTGCTGCACAAGAGCCCGTATCGGTCATGAGTTACGCGTGGCCAACACATCAAGCCGCAGCACCCTACTACGGCATACCATATATTGAACAGCCCCGCTACCTCGAGCAAGCGGTTACTCCTGCGACTCTCATGCACTGGTATACAATGGGATACAACACCGGAGTTGCTCTTCATGGGCCCCATGTTGCGCCTTATGGCGTAACCAGTGCACCGATGACTGGCCTACCATATGTAGGGCAGACAACGGATTACAACGATTACATCAATGGTGGCCTCGGAAGCACCACCGCACACGCTGCAAATACGCCACGTCCTCGCAAGAAGGTCCGCACCAGGTTCCGCCAATCCCACGTCGTCAGGAAGCCGAGGACTTGGACGCCCGTCGCACTGAATTATCAGTGCAGCCACTGCCATGCATGGTTCTCGCGCAGCGGCGTGCGCGACCGCCACATGACAACAGGCTGCACCAAGGGCAAGCAGCAGGAGTGTCAATGCCCTATCTGCCTTAAAATGTACTCGCGCACCGACTCGCGCGGGAGGCATTGCCATAGCCAGCACGGCATGTCGTACCAGGATGCAGTGGAATGGGCCGAGGAAAGGCTGTCCGATAGAGATGCGAGTGTGGACGAAGGCTCACCTGCACAGCCCAATGACTACTAGCCTCGCATCGTATTCTTCCTCTCCGCTTTCTCTGCTGATCCACTTTCTCTTTCGCGAACGCTGGCCTCTGTTCATGTACGACTGCTTTGACCATTGTGCTTGATCGTCATGGGCCTATGTCTACGGCTTCTGTCTTCGTCGCCTGTGCCACAATGTATTATATGTCTCGTTCATTAAGGGTGGGCTATGTGCTCACGCGTGGCCCGATAGCCTGACGCAACCACCAATCACTAGTTCACGAGATTGACTGTAGGGCTTGGATCAGCGGAATACAGAGACGCTTGGACATGCGATGCGATGGCGTTCTGCTCTGAGGAACAGCGAGAACTGATTGACAGCAAGGTGACCTTCTAGTCATCGGAAATTTGAGCGAGTAGAGCGGTGTATGCCCGAGCGACAGAAATTCATGTTGAACAGAAGGTGATGATGGAAGTTTGAGTTGTACTTAGCATTTGTCTCGTCATTTAACTTTGTAATCTCAGATGCATCGCATCGGCATCCGCCGGAGGTCGCCTAGGCAGTTCGCTAACTTCATGATCTCAGATGTGGTCGCCCACAGCAAACGCTGGTGGCTGTCACGTCGCCCGCCTGATAAACCATCCGCGCATCACGAGATGGCATGGCTTTGTACGACTGGGAAAGACTGATGCGCTCAGCTGCAATACATGTGGGCGAACTGGAGATGCCGTCGGTTTCAGTCGAAATTGAACCTGTTGCCTCCGTTGTCCTCTAATTTTTAACCACACTTGAAGTCGTGTCCTCATATCGGATAGACGCCGCAAGTACGCTGCGATTTCTCGGGATAGCGCACCATCATATCCAGCATTTGGATTGTGCTCCGCAAGCCAAGACGTGGCAGAACGGCTACGAGACTCGTACACTCGTGCAGAGGTACCACCCAGGCTGGAAATTGAGGATCATATGTCACAATGATTGTATATTGCGTGTATGTTAGACTATTATAACAAAATAGCTGATTGAAGCAGTACGGCTACGATCGATTTAGCTCAGAACTAGACCGCTGGAGCGTGGCAAGTAATCGCGTCGGCTATTGTAATGACAGGAGCGCATGTTTAACAGATTCGTTATTCGTTCCGAGTCGTTCTGCATGCTCATGTTCGTGATATTTATAAGCCGAGAGTATGAATTGGACGGACATTGAGTTGAGCTGACAATCAATAAGTCACAAATGCATCGGAGTTGTCAGAAAAGTGCTCACTTGGCACGCGCGTTCAAGTGCGTAAGGAAGTGGAGGTCGTTGCGAACTTCTGCGCGACGCGTCTAGATAAGGGATAGAACGGATGGCACAATGATGTGCATAGTTCTGCGAGACATTTTGAAACGATGATGATCCGGGGCGTGATGAGTGCGTCCTCTGCAGGAGCGCGATAGGGTATGATGCGCGTTGTTGATAGAGATGTCTACTCATTTGTATGAAAGTGTGATTAAGACTGACGACCAAACTGCATCTGAATAAGTATGAGGGATACTAGCAAGCGAAGCAGATACTCACTAGCTATGACCAGCAAGGCAGCCGGGAGCCGGTATTCTAGACCACTGGATAGGCGAATGAGGTCGTAACGTATATTCGACTGTTGCGTTGTCGCAAGTAGTCATGGGTAGGCACGCGATGCGGATAGCTGTGATGTGCGACTTGAAGGCTAGTTTGGTATGTAGGGAACCCGTCCGAGATATGTTCAGAGGCTAGAGTCATTCGCGACGAGTCAGAATAATGTCGGGCGACGCAGAGATAGCACTCACAGTATGTGTTCACGCGCTAGTAACGAACCTAGCCCACGAACGATAGAATGTTGGATAGAATGTTGGATAGATAGGGTGTTTTGGAGGATGAGCAGCAACAGAATGGCCGTGAGATGGATTGTAGAGTGCAAAATGGGCAAAGGACCTCAACATCAACGAATGTGGGACCTCTTGAAGACCGGGAGGAGGATTACGATGCAAGGGTGAAAAACAGAGACGAGAGAGAAATCATAACAAGCAGTCGGCGAAGCGAGCACGAGAGAGCATTGAGACGAAATCAAGGAGTAATATTTGGCCAGAGGCAAAGACGCGGTCAGCTTGGGATGGTGAAGAGTTCAGAGTTTGAAGACGTAGTTCGCCTTGAGGTGGGAAATGTGAGGCGCATTGATGTTTGAGAGCAAAGCCATAACGCGCGACAGAGTGGCTTGAGGAAGCATTAATCTTATGGGGATGAGCGATCGCAAAGAACTGATAAGGCCAGATGAGCGGAACTATTCTAAGATTGCGACGAGGAGGCAACGATGAGTTGAGACCAGAGAGGAGGCATCCAAGAGGAACACTACCACAAGGGAAGAGCCAATGTGGAAGAATAGCTAGACTAATAACGTGGAGGTGCGAAAGTGACAATGCGCCCCGATGTGCGATAGTGGAGTAGTCGGTACGCAAGGCGAGCAATCGAGTACATTAGGAGTTGTAATGCAATTCGAGGGGATCTTCGCTTGAGGGGTGTACAACGCGACCGCGCGACCGAGATCCAAGGCAAGCACAGAGATTGTAACATCATTGTCGTGAACGGGTCGTCAGAGCCAGCCCATTCCGGTGTTTTCGGACTGTAGTTTAACGTCGAGTCCAGGAGAGCTTGTTCGGACTCATGTCCAAGAACTAGACAATATGGCGGCGTACGAAGGACTGTACGCCAGTAAGATCCGTTGACCATTCCAGGGTGAGCAGACGAAGGCCAGAGATATCGACGAGGAGCTGACGTCGTCAGAGGAGAAACAAGGCCGATTCTTCAGCGAGCGGTGACGAGCTAAACACCGGCCGCCAGATGCCAGGAAGCCGCGAGAAGACTGCACGACGCTACCGAGCCCATGAACCATGAGATGAGGCGATACTAGATCAAAGTGACAACTCACCGACGGGAGAAACGGCCGTGACAGACCAAGACTGTTCACGTCCAAGATACGAATGGACCTGCACCTTGCATAACGCGACAGCCACAGAGGATGCGAACGGAGACAGTTCCTAGACCGATACGGAAGATGGCTAGTGAATTCTGTTCTTCGCGAGGACACGCACGATGCGCGTCGAGCTGGACAGACTTTGAGGCCCAGCGGTGTGAGACGAGTAGCAGCAGTAACGACACTCGAGTGTTCGATCCACCCAAGAAGTCGGGCGCTACCGATGTGAGCACCGACCGAGCGGACGAGGCCGATGTCGACGCTTGAGTGAGCCAGATCGTGACTAGAGCCAGAGGATGCGGCCACTCCAAGGTAGTTTGTGTAAATCCAAAGACAATAGAGGAGGCAAATCCAGAAACGAAACGAAACGAGACGAGACGACGAGAAACCGAGACAGTCAATTTGTAGTGTTTTGTCTTTTCTTCTGTTTTTGTCGTGTTTCTTAATTATCTTCTTTTTATATGTTTCTTGTATGTTCGTGAGCCAGAGTAAGCCTAAGATACGATTCGCCTCTTGCTGCGGCGCGTTCAAGTTGTTTCGTAGTCTTCGGAATTGTTGTGTAGCGATCCAGTAGTGAGAACAGGTCGGCCAGTGCGCGAGAAGGCTAGGGCGTAAACCAAGAAGAGATAGTTTTGACAAATCGATGTCGATGCCGAGACGTTGATGAGACCGAGTCGAGAATATGAGATCAAGCCAGAATGAGTGATCGAGACGATTCCAAGCCATAGAAAGATCCGAGGTCGAAGAAATATAAGTAGAGGGATCCAAGGCTTGGGCAAGTGAGCGAGAAGACCATGGCGCGAGACAGTTGTGAAAAACAGATGCCAAGTCGAGATGTTGATGAGATCGAGTCAAGAATACGAGAAACGGAGCCCAGAATGAAAAATCAAGACAGACGTAGATAGATTCGAGACTTGAGGCGTCGTAGAGTCACGTCAAGGTAGATCACTGGAAATCGTGTCTGGAGTTCACGGCAGGAAGAGACTCAGACCAGCGCATTGAAGAGGTCGCACAGATCGTCTAGCGCCGAGCCACCTGTCGACGATGCCGAGGGAGCGTCCGTCGAGAGCCCAAAAGATGCAAACGCACCGAGCAGGTCGTCCGCAGAATCCGTCACCTCTTGAGTACCGGTGCGCCCTTGGGACGATGTCGTCAACGACAGACTCGACGACATGCGACACAGCACGTCAAGGTCGAGGTCGTCGTCGGTGCTCTCCTTGACCGTGGTGATCGGCATCATCTTCTCGCGCCGTCCGGTCTTTGGATTCCTGTCCAACACAGCGTGAGCACAAAAGCAGGAACACACAACATGGGCACGTACACAGCTGATAGCAGGAATCGTCCACATCCTCCCTTGGGTTCCGCGCTCTCCGCGTCCTGGCGTGCAAGCTTCCGCGATATCTTCTTGTATCGCTTGCGTGTGTCCTTGCGCGCCTTCTGCTCTGCCGCACTCTTGTTGCGCACCGCCCTGAACGCGTCGTTGTCCAGTAGCCTACTCGACAAACTAGACATGGATTTGCGCGTCGGCTGGGCGACAGTCTTGTTGGCCTTGCTAATCCCGCCGCCATACACCTTGCCGCTTCTCGTTGCCCTAGCAAATGAACCTGCCATCAAGCACGCGATAGTCAGTGGCGCAGATTCAAAATCGATCAGACGGTTGCGCTCGTACCCATGTTCGGAGTGAAATCATCGTCAGAGAAATCACCTTTGAAGGTACTGAATAGTCCTGAATTACCTGTGTTCGTCGTCTTCTCCGCGCCTTCAGTGGAGTTTGTAGGGAGTGTCGAGTATAGCGATTGCATGTCGAACATCGGCTTAGTAGATGGAACTGGGTCCTCGAGGAGACGGTCGGGTAGCGCGGGGTGGGGAGCAATGGCGTCCAACAGTGTCTGCAGGTTGATAACAGGCGTGAACGAGGTGGGTGGGTTGGAGACGTCCTCCACTCCAGCGACGACAGCCTGCTTGCCGATATCCGACCCAGAAACCGCGAGCTCCAGGAGTGGCATCGCAGGAAGCCCATTTTCCTTCTCCTTGTTCGGCGACGAAGATGCAACAGCGTCCTCTACGAACGTTGTGTCCCAATCCTGATCAGACATCGTGTTGTGGTTCTCGTCAAGTGCGCCACCGACAAGCGTGATGTCTCCCACGGATGCGTCCTCCTGGTCGAGGTGAGCGACAGTGCACTCTTGTACAAACCCAAAGTGGTCTAGCACTGCATCGATGTCTTGCTCAATGCTGTCGCCTCCGTCTCCTGCTGCGATCAATGCTGCTGTGACCGCACCGAAGACCGCGTCCACAGACACCAGCTGGACACCCATCTCGATGTCTTCCTCCACCATCACAGACTGCTCCTGGTGTCCCATCTCGATGTCCTCTTCAGGCTGCGCCATATCAATCGCTGCGGAGATCAACTCGACCGGAACCCCTGCGAGCCCTGCATTGGTAGATGGGTTGGCCGCAATCTGAGTAGACATGAACGCAAACAGTCTGTCGTCAGACCCTGCTTGCACATAAAAGCGTCATCGCCTTACCTCGTTCGTGTCACATACTATCTCGATCTGAGCAAGCAATGCCTGCGGAGCTGCCACGCTCTCAAACTCGTCCATCTCCATCTCCACAGCCTGTTCCTCTGCGTGCAGCATATCGCTATCCTCGTCAACAGCAACCGTGTCTGTTGAATCTACAACGGGAGACGCCATCTCGACCAGCACGTCGTCAGTGGCGCATACTTCCTCCATTTCTTCCTCTGCGATGGACGAGGCCTCGGCGTGAATAGTGCCCATATCCACCACGAAAGCATCGTACGTGTCGCGAGCCGGCTCGGGTGAGAGGATCTCAGCATCGACGGCCATGACTGTAACCTCTGCAATCTGGCCTCCCGTCGCAGGCGTCTCTTGGGCCTCTGCCACCGTGAAGACGTGGGCAGGCTCGTTGAGTGTTGCGAGGACGTCCGCCGATATTCCTGGACACGAGTCAAAGTCAAAGGCAAAGTCCTCCATCCGCACGCCCCATTCGCGCGGCTCCCCTTCTACGGGCATCGCTACTTGCGCAGGCTGGACCTCGACGGCAGAAGCAGCGGTGTGATGTTCTGGTGATGTACAGACCGGTGCGACGGGGTGCTCAATCTTGTCGGCAGTGAAGGCTGGGGTGGTGAGGTTCAACGGGACACGCTCTTCGTTGGCTTGAGGAACTACAGGCTGGTGCTTGACTTCTGCTGCTGTGACGGACCGGATGGCCTTGGACGCAGACTTGGGCTTCATGCGAACACTCTTGAGCTTGGTCGCGGAGCTCTTAGGCACTCGCTTCGTATTGCCTTCCACAAGCCCGAGCAGCTTCCGCCATCCGCGCCGACTGCGACTAGGTCCAGACGCAGAGTGCTTGATCTTGACACTGCATCCTTGCCCAGGTATCATCTTCACCGTTGTCGAGCTCTTCAGCACGTATGAGCAATAACAGACCATGTCAGACTCACCGACGCCGTTTTCTCGCGTTCACCCTTGTGTTCCGACTCTTGCTCAGCCCAACCATATCTCTGCCAGGCCTCTTCATCGTATTGGTGCTCCTCTTGCTTGCCAAACTCGTGTCGCGTCTTCCTCCGCAGTGCCTTGTGCCGCCCGTTCATACTCGACAGTGTCCGGACGACCTCGACCTCCAACCTCCGTGTCCCCGCAGGTGTCCGCGGAGGGAGAACGTCGACCTCACTGGCCGCAGCCGCCGCTTTCGCAGCCCTGCACAGTGCGAGGAACGGGTACAATGGCTCATCCCCGGCCTCGTTCCTCTGAGCCCGCGGTCTCTCGATCCTCAACTCCCCATGGACTGCCTGTCGACGGAGTTGAATGACCAGCGGAGCAACCGACTTGCCTTTGCCGCGCGCTCTATTACGGATCCCGCTGCCGGGACCCATGTTGTATGTCGAAGAGACTATAGGAGGATTAAAGTAGCAATAATTAGGAGAATTAGGAGATGCAGGCGTTGAATAGTGATAGATGAAAGAGTGTGGGTCTGGTATGTTCGGGTTCGACTTGGGCGTAACGCGTGACCGTTCAACAACGCGTCGACACGTGTCACGTGATCGCGCGCAAGGCTCGCGTTGCCGATGTTGGCGGCGTTTGCTCGCTGACTTCAGACATTATCCAGGCATCAGACGCCAATTTTCGTGTGCGATTACTTTGTGACCAGTAGGCCAACGCATAGCGGTCACTACATTCTCAATTTCTGGGTTCGAAACGGCACTGTCGCATCTCTCTTGACGCGCAGAAGGTGTTACAAATCAATGGAAGGGCTCGCAAGATATGTCTATTTGAGAATTTGGGATATCTTAAGCCTGACGTGAACTGTTACGCCCGCGAAGCTGTGTTTAGTACCACTCGCCGTCGTTTATCGTGGTTGCTCCGCAGAGTCATAGGCAACGAAGTAAACGATATGGTGATGTTTAGCAGGACAAGAATGGGAAAAGGCGAAAAGTTTGCATACAGCAATCATCGACTGGACGCATCCGACATCGAGGAGCTCGATTCATCGTCACATCCATCGTTAATACGACTAGTCCCACAAACGTAAATAATCATATGTATGGTAACAGCCCCGCATAGGAGAATACCATGACATCTTATTTGGTGCATTTTGAGCTATACCGGCGGGCACCTATGTTGGTAGGGTACCGACGATATAACCAAAGCCCCTCCGACTTCACCCTGCATCAGTGTTGCATTATCATTGAGGATTGGAACGCACTCAAAGATACGGAAATGAAGTAATACATTATGAGGGCTGCAGAGAGATGTGTTCTGTCTTCGGGACAAAGCACCCAGGTCGACAATGACATCTTCTGCTCTTCGTTCGTACCCACACGAGATGCTTAAAGCACCACAGACGGCCAGACAGCATTCAAACAACGTATAGGGCTGGGCCATGACAGACATCTGCTTAGGCGAGCATTATGCGCATCCGCCACAACGAAGACCAAAGAGTGCACCAAGAGCAATCGCTCCAAACCTGCAATACGCGGGGCTATATAGAGACAACAATCAGTGCACTATCATAAATCATAAATTACGACAAGAGAAGCGCCGCAGGACATGCTGACGCGCTTCCCACCGCCGAGGCATCCGGCGCTCCCCGTACAAGCTCAGGCGGCCACGCTCGTTCCGCGGAAGCCAACAAGATGGAGACAGTGCGGCGTCCCCGCGCACCAGCAGTCAGTCATACCGACCACTGCGGACGACACGGCCGACGGGCCAATCAAGTGCAAAGTCTGCGGAAAGATATACGCACAAAAGCAAATCCTGAACAGACATGCGCAGACCACGCACCTGGGTGGGTGCAAATGGGACTATGTCATATGTGGCTCCAAGATATCGAAACATGACGCGTTGAAGCGTCATCTCGATAACATCCACAAGCTATCGGATTTGGAGGCAAAGGAAGACATCGCGCTCGGAGCAGCCGGCAACGATCCTCACCGAGTGAAACGCGTACGTTACACTTGCCACAGCTCTATACCAGGAGTTTCCCACCGCCAGACATCGTGAAATAACACTCGCTAATCAAATTGGCGACATCTTCTGCATGCGCGAGTCCCTGAGGACTCCCTTTGAGAAGATTTTTCAGGGCGCATACAGCCAATCGATCTCACAGTATGTAAGGGTTATGAATTATTCTAATGCAAGTGAATGCTTACCACTTTTTGCTTTAGGCTTTCAGTCAATGAACGCGCGATAATATCGATCCGGAACCAAATATCGGAGCCTAGCACATGTCCTATGCGAAGATGGGGAGGAGCGTAGAGTGTATGTGGACGTGCCGATAAAAGAGAACGACTGCACTCTTGATTGAGTGTTCCGTCCAGGGAAGAAACAGGTCGTGGGCCGTCGCGGCGAGATTTGTGATGGTGAAACGAATCGGCAACGGCCGGTGACTGGGCACGACGGCTAATCTGCGTTGCCTTCTCGTTCTCTTACTGTTATGTACAGGACTCGTGCGATGTCGTACTTGGTCAGCTGCTCCCTGCTCATTATCATTACATTCGCACGATGCTACTTCGAGGGGCTTTGCCCGTCGTCATAATCCTCGTCTTTCACATACTCAGCAACGCCGATCGATAGTGCTACACTGGTAAGCTTTCAGCTTGAATATCATTAAGATCGAAAGAAGTACAATGCATGTATAAAGGAAATCTCGTAGAACCTTCCACCGCAAGTGCAACGCAGTCATGGAGAATAAGGGGTCGCTCGCAGGACAGATACATACGGGCCAGGTACGAGGCGAGGCGAGAACGCAAGGCATGGTGAGTGGTTCACACGGCAGCATTGATCTTCTCCCCGACAAATGTGACGATATGCTTCGCCTCCAGATCCGACAGATTGTGGATGTTGTTCAGATGACGCTTCAGTGCGTCGTGTCTCGAATTCTTGGTGCTACATATCACGCAGTCCCATTTGCGAGCGCCCAGGTGCGTGATGCGCACATGCCTGTTCAGGTTCTGTCTATGTGAGAATTTCTTTCCACAGACCTTGCACTTGATCGGCCCGTCGGTTGTCTCGTCCGGAGTGGTGGCTATCACTGCTGGCGCGCGTGAACGCCGTGATGTCGTCTTGCTGTTGGCCTTTGTAGATGAGCGTCGCCGCCTGAGCTTATATGGAGGTGCGGCGGACGTCTCGGCAGTGGCGTTATTGCTTCCGCTAGCGCCATTGATGTGTGAAGTGTTATCGATTTCCTGCCCTACAACCTGTAGGCCAGGAGTTGGTGCGCTTGACACACGAGAAGGTGTGTAGCGCGATGATGGCCCACTGAGATCGTCTATTCCCAATCCCGCGGCAATCAAGTCGAGAATGCACGGATCAATGTGCACAAACGGATCCATGGTGAAGGGTATCTCAGTATTAGAAGCCACCTGCGGAGCTGCCTGAGGGGCTTCAATATGGACGTCTGATCCGTAGTGAATGCGAATCTGTGCGTCGTAGGATATTCCTGCTTGATGTGTCGCAATGTTCTGCGTCGGGTGTGGAATATGTCGAATGATGCTGTGAGGCATTGGATGATAGTATCCCGGTGGCAAATACGCATCGTTTATGGTTGTGGGTGGCACAGCCATCCCAAAAGCCTGCATGGAATACAGGTCATAGCTGCTCTCTGCAGCGCTGTCTGGATGTACTGATTGCCGGACACTGGAGAGGTTCCCTGGAGGAAGAGATCGAGGGTCGATACTGGTGTGTTGCGCAGGTTCCATGCCGTGGGTGGCGAAGTTTTCGTAGCCGCTGTGAGTCTGCGCATCGTAATAGAAATTCTGGAATGGCATGTTGAATGAGACCAGTTGTGGTTGGTAACAAGGTACGGTTGGTGGTGCTATCGGCTTTGCGATGAACTCCAGGCGCTCAGTATTGGCTAGTTGGGACAGGACTTACTATGCAGGAGCGGCAGTTCACAGACTTTGTCAAGCTGCGGTAGGAGAATTGGTTGTGAGGGAAGAAGACGGGCAGGACGCAATTTATATAGAAGACCATGGTACGGCGTCCCCGGCGCTCATGCAAAGTCCTTGTCCTTTGTTCTGAAGACCTTCACGTTCAGTCCTGACCGGAGACTGCGGCGTGCATCCTTTCATTTCCGATCTCCGAAGAGGGTTCTGGATCCCCAGGGATAATGCAAACATCGAAGCTGATGGCGAGAGACGTTGATCGCAGGTGCGGAGTGAACCGCTGGCTACCGGTCGGACAAGGCAGACATAATAGGCCATGATGTGCCTTTGTTCTCGTCAGGCCGATTGGATGGTTGGACACTTGTCACTCGCGCGCGCCTCCATGAGTGCGTGTCTCATTGTGGTACAGATGTGGCTGCAAGAAACCTGTGAGCCCTATTTCCTGAAGATGCCCCCCGATTTATTTAGCCAAATTGATATCATGCCAGAATAAACTCCCAGTGATAGCAAAGAATACACGAGCGAGGAGTATCCCTGAGAGCACATTCAAGTATTGTGTCATGGCCTATATCAAAGTCACCGTTAACAATTCCATCGGTCAATTTTGGATTGTTGGAGCGTCATGGAGCCTATTAAGGTACCAGCCACAATCTACAACAAGAACACGGGTGCAGAAGCCCCACCATGGGTAGGCCACCCCAGTAATAATGTGCCACAGCGCTCGTTACTATCTTCACTCTTATTCAGTGCACTTTTTTGGCACCTGGCTTTTGTTCATATCCTCTCGCAGCCGTAGAAGAACCTGTTGCGCGGCTCAAATAGGTGACTTCGTCCAAACAAGTCACACAGCGTTATATATCAGCCAGTCGGCCGTATGTCCAATCACAACTCAGACGCCGCACGAGAATCCTCAGATTGCGACACTTTCTCCTTTCGTTACCCATGTCTCAGAACGCCGCTTCGACCTTTCTCTACCGCCATACACTGGCTAGTATTTATGTGTGAGATGCGTTATCGCGTGCTCAGGAACTTCAGATGAGCACTTGCCGTAAGTGATCCCCGTAATCGATTCATATATCGTGCTCCTTGTTACGCAATGAATATGGTAGACGTCCAGCATGCCCCGGAGATCGAGTATAACGAGATGCCCCACGGTTTGCTGAATATGCCTGAGTGGGCTAAGAAGCTTGCGCTCTTCGTCGCAATGGACGTTGCCAACGATGACCTTTGCGGGGGTCTCAGCAGTGCGAAGTTCCCGAGCACTCGTGCTGAAATTTTGGTGATAGAAATGTCTTGGAGGGGCGAGCTTGGTATTGACTCCAGGCCGAGGAGGCGGGAATCCTTGGCAAGCTTATGAGCACGTTCAGCAAGCAGCTTCGTCAAGTCGGTGACTCCGATGAAGATGTCTACGGGAATGGTGACTAAGGAGCTGGTTTCATTGGGGCTCAGGACATGTTCGTGCACAGTGCTGGACTGCGAGACTCCCTTGAGGTGGAGAAGGCGGCACAGGGATTCGAGTTTTGGGGTCTGTAAGCAACAATCGCACTTTCAGGTTCGATGGAGGAAGGCGCGTTCCAGTCGAGCGTTTGAGGGCATAGCTCTCTCTGCCAGTGCCGCATGTAGAGCACAGTGCCGAGTTTGCTTAGGTGGGAAAGGGGCGCGTGTCCGGAGCGCAGTTCACGACGTTGCCAGTCCTTCTCCTCTAGAAGTTCAGGCGAGCTTGAATGACTGGTCAAATAGGAGAGGAAAGTCGATGTGGCTAATTGTGACACAGTGAGAAGATGATTCCCGACGTGTGAATGTATCCCTATGTCCGGATGGCCACTGTGCGAGGCTGCTCAGGAGCACGGGTTCGCATCCATGGATCTGATTTGCCTGCTGAATATAGCTGTCGTCAGACGACCGATTACTTCACCACGAATATCGCCAACACTTGCGTCAATGGAATTCTGGCGCCGGTCGTCTGCCATCAGCGCTCTAAACCCAATAATTCCTTGTCGAATGGCTCAGCGTGGCCAGCTCTAGGCTTCGGAAGGAATATCCGCTTCGTCTTCTGTAGGTCTTTTCAATGTCGATTTGAGTTCGTTCTTGACTGCGAGCCACCGATTAGATTGCTCATAGTCGCCGGAGATATTCGTCTCAATCATAAGATTAGGAAGGATTTTCCCCAATAGCGTTGCGACCTCGGTGACATGTTCGTCGATGAGTACCCATTTCAGGTCGAGAGAGAATCCAAAGGAGCAAAATGTGTGGACCAGCCGCTACAAAGGTGAGACAGTCGGTACAAAGGAGACCAATGCAACCCAGATGATGACGAGACTCAGATATGAGCACGTTCGAGAGCATGATGCTGTGGAGTACGTGGCGGCAGGAGGTGGATATTGGCACCTGCGCGAAACGGTATGTCCAAATGGATCAAGCATGATCAATCTGTGGCGAACGATTGCAACGATCGCAACGTTGCTTGTATCTCGTCTTTTTTCCAATTGTTTCCATTGCGGTGAGATGCGCAACTTCTATATCTGTGGCCACGCTGCTGACATCTCCTCCGCGATGTCGTCGTTGAGTTCAGCCACCATATATGCGTGTAATTTCATTTTCCGTAGTTTGCAAAACGCAAGAAGTTTGCATAGATGCTCGTGCCACAGAGTACCACCACAATACCTGCGCCATTGATCATTCCAGGAACTTGTCTCCATAAATAGACACCGAATGTGCGAGGGCGAGAACCGATCCTGAAGAGCGTGGAGGGATGTATCGACCTCAGATGCAGATGGAAACGAGGCACAGTAAATGCTGAATGTTTCCACAAGTAGAAACATAACATTGCAATCCGCCAGATCATTGAACACTGCCAGGTCTTGTGTCCGGATCTCTGATTTTCGGAGTGTGGCGAAGCGCGCTTGAATGCGAGAACCGAGAGATATGGAAGACCAGGAGCTGACAACATCGGGAGCCAGAAGCACGCATAGCTCCTCCACAGCGGACGAACAGCCAAAATAAGCCAACGCATTTCCGCGCAGAGGAATGTTACCGCAAAGAAGCACCTCGAGCCGTGCAAATTGGCAGGCCAGCGAGGAGACCTTTTTTGCAATAGAGAGAAGAGGTCCAGTACTTTCCCATCCAGTGACATCGACGTCCATCTAAGTAACCTCTGGGCACTCTGTGCCAATTATCATCGTGAATTTGATGAATTCTACGCTCCAGTCTTTTCCTGAAACATGCTGGCAGAGGATGGTCAAGTCTATGGCGACCTTCTTGAGCTGAGAACCGGTGTAAAGACATGCGCAAGTCCAAAAGCCCTTGCACGCAATGTAAGGGCCTGAATCATGAACAATGAAAGTGTGCAGCCAATCCAAGGAACGGAGAGCCGGGAACAGGAGGGGCTGATGCGAGTATCGCGTCATGATCTGCATCGGTCTTGCAGGAAGGACATCGGATTCGTAGCGAGGATATTTTCGCCACCCCGCCTGAAGCCAATGGTCTTCACGAGTGGCGCATTTCTCGCAATCGCTGCGAAGTCCTCGGAATGAGGTCACCCTGTAGGCGCTTGTGGACAGCATCTATGTCAGTATCGCCAATTGGCGTTTAGAAGTAGAGCACGTACATAAACTCGGCGTGAAGTCCTTCCATCAACATGAAATGCCCAGGCAACAACCGGAATATTGGTATGTCGGGTTTCAGACCTCCACATAGGACTTCGATAGCAGATACGCGGAGCGCACGACATTTCAGAGCGAGTATAGCAAGCCACTTAATGTCGGCCTGTCGGACAAAGTGGCAGCCTTTTACCATGATCTTCGCGACCACAGGTGCTCAGTGCGTCGACTACCTGGAGAATGCGGACAGTCGATCCACATGAGGCCATTTTGCGAGGTAGGGGCGACGTGTTAAGGAGGGAGAGAAGGGGATAGTGAGACACGGGGAGAGAGAGTTCGTGGCGCAAGATTCCCACGGTGTTTGTGGCGAAGCCCTTTGATGCACTCGCAAAGCATTGCAGACAGTCAGATTTGGCAGTGTTACTCATTCTGTGGCGAGGCTTTGGAAGCCATCTTCGACAGTATGAATCCGGTGCATCCATGTACTTCAGGAGATGCTTCCACAGTCTGCACAAAGGGCAGTTTATTCTCTGCCGCTGAGGAAAACCGCCACAAAATATACTAATGGCGCTTCACGACAAATACGGTGAAAGAATATTCCAGCAGTTCATAAACGAGGTTCCCACCATCATAGCCGTCTTCTATTTCCGTCCTCGCAGGTCATACAACGTCGGCGGAAATTAAGACTACACTTTGGAAGACTACGCTGCAGACACCACCACAGACTACCAACCCTAAGAAAATACAAGGAACGGAAGTTGTTCAGTCCTCTAAAAAATGCGATGCAGGATCTTCATCTGAATGGTCTCATCAGTGGAGTGGAGAATACCACACGTCAGTAGCGTGAGGCGCGAAGTCGACCGATCATGTGGCAGTTCCGAGGCCTCCGCGAGTCTCTAGGCCTGAACATCTCGCAGTCAATATCACCCCACAGGTATAGCGGACGCCAGGAGTCATCACTGCAACGCTGCTGGTCTGGAAGAGGCAATACAATCTGCAAGTAGGAAGTCCTTGAAGGGGAGCTGGACGCACCCAGCCACACAAAGCCACAAAGCCAACGTGCCGCAGCTTGACCAGCGTATATAAAATGAAAGCGCGTCACAGCCTATTACGACCGACCTTGTGGATCAGCGACCACCAATTCAGTTCGGATCCACAATCTGCGTCCCTTCCCGTCAGCAGAGCCCATGTTCGAAGAGCCAGCCTGATCACTGGAGTGACATGCTCACTACCGAGAAACATCCAAGTGACGTCACGTCGAAGGTTTCAGATGTAGAATCGGCATAGGGTCATTTTCCGTGGCTTTTGGGACCAGAGGCGATTCACCCAGGCCCTGATCGGTCCACGGCAAATGCCGGCGGCTCGTCCCTCTCTTCTTGTGGAGACTCAATGCTATCTCAAAGTTCTCTCATCTTGTGTCACTGACTACCATTATTCCTTGAAAGCCTACCAGGCGGATGTGCTTCATTCATCAAACATGCGACAAAATCTCGTGTATCGATCAGTATCATCATTTTGGTCCACAAATAGACGACTAGTCGCCTGCCAGCACAAGCAATTAGTAAGTATGCAGCTCTTGTCGGCTAATCAACCAAAATCACGGCACATAGCTTCTGAACTGGTGATTATATAGGCATCGAGTCATAAATACAAGGCAACAATAAATGCGATCAGGAACGTACCACATTGACATAGAGACAGTATACAAGAAGGGCAATGCGAGAGGGAGGGAGGACGATTACCCGAGAACAGTGAGTGATCACCCGGTGAGATACTTGCTAGCAGCAATCTGCGCGACGACCGCTTTTGCCCTCGCGTCGGACATGTGGTGCTGCTTTTTTAGATGCCGCCCCAGTGCGTCGCTCCTGATCATTGACTTGTCGCACAAGGTACATTGCCATCGTGAGGAGTCGAGGTGCGCTGTTCGTATGTGCCGATTCAGGGACGCTTGGTGGGCGTACTCCGACCTTGTGTCTTTGTTGCGACGACATATCTCGCACCGGAGCGGCCCCTTCGACGCCACTTGGGGCCGCGTTGCCTTGATCGCAGGTGCGCGTGGCCGCTGTGGTATCTTCTTTGTCTTCCTTGCCTTTGCGGGGGAGCGTGGCTTTGCGAGCCGGTACGCTAGATCCGGGGAAGACTCGGCGAGGAGAGGTGTCTCCGTATGCCCGTCAGATTCTGTGGCGTCTTCGCTGGCGCCGTTGGTTTGTTTAGTGTTACTGAGTTCTTGTCCTACAGCCTGTAGGTCAGGAATCAGTGCGCTTGACACACCGGGAGGCGTGTAGCGCCATGATGTCTCGTCGCTGTCATCTATTCCAGACCCCGTCGCGATCAGATCCAGAATAAACGGATCGATATGAGGGAAAGGATCTGGCTCTGGGTGCTGAATCCACCCACGACCGTTAGCCATGATATGGCCTCGATGACCAATTGCGTATGTGGGGTTAGATGAGACCAAATTGAATTCTGATGCTCCTCCGAGTACCACTCCAGCGCCCATCTCGAAACCTGAAGCTGCTGGGAGAATGATCTCGGACAGGCATGTCTGGGACAGATCATCAGCCTTTGTGCAGCCAAGCGTGAGTGGCCAGCTCACCTCCCGTATATCCTCAAGCGACTTAGAACTGGAGTAAGGAAGAGGATAGACGATGTTGTCTGCTGTTGGTCCGAATAATACGGAGTAGTCGAATGCATCACGAGTATCGTCATGCATCGAGGTGCGCAAAGAATGATAAGACATTGCTGGATATATGAAAGAGCACAAAGGAGCAACCGTTGCTGCTGCCGACTGGACGTCAGTACTTGGACCCTGATGTTGAGTATAGGATGAAACTCACATTAATAGGAGCGACACGTCCCTGTCTTTACGAGGCTGTGATAAGAGAGTTATGGTGAGGGACTGAGACGGGCAGAACACGGTTTATATAGCAGACCACGGTGCGCCCCCGACGCTCATGCAAAATTCTTGTTCTTTGTTCCGAAGACCTTCACATCCAGTCCTGAAGTGTACAACGTATCTTTTCATTTCCGCTCCTCCAGGTAAGTTCCGGATAATGCAAACATAGAAGCTGATGGCCAGGGACATTGTTCGCAGGTGCGGAGTGGATCGCTGGCTACCGGTCGGACAAGACGGACATGATTGGCCATGGTGTGCCTTTGTTCTCGTCAGGCCGGTTAGACGGCTGGAGTCTCGTCATTCGCACGTGCCTTCACTCGCGCGCAGTTCATCGCGTGGTAGATGTGGCTTCAAGACTCCCGTTCCTTTCCGGAGGAGTACTGGACTTGTTTAGCTGGATAATCGTCATTTTAAATGAATCCCTTTATGTTAGCAAGCAGTTTGCGAGGGCATTTTAAAAGGCACGCTCATGTATTGCATCGTGGTAGATGTGAATGTCAATGTCGACGGTTTATGCGACCAGTTATAGAATGTCGGAGGGTTACGGAGGTTGTTAATGTGCTAGACACAATCCACATCAAGAGCACGAGTATAGAAGCCCGATCGCTAGACTGCTGTGAGAAGGCTGCGCCAGTCATATTATTGCCACAGGCCTCGTCACTGTATTCTCTCCCATCCAGTCGGCCGTATGTTCCATCGTCACAGCTCAAACACTGCGCTTACAGCTTGTCACGCCTTCTCCGTTTTATACCCATGTCTCAGAACATAGCCTTGACTTTCTCCACCGCCACATGCCAGCATGCAGCGGCCAATGCCATTAATGATCTAGAAAACTTTGTCAGCGAAGTTCCCACCCGACAAAGGTAAGCAACCGGGGAGAAGGCGGGTGGCGAACGCTCCTCCAGTCAGCCTTTGATCAACATGCGCCTCCGCCACAATTGTCCGACGCGCTTTCATCCGTGTCAGTCAGTCATGGACTTCTTTGACGAGTAATACATGATAGCTCCTATCTATTATTCGTTCCACGATATTGATATCAAGATCGAGAGATTGAGACGGCTGGGAGTGGCGTTCAACACCTCAGTACCCATGTCTGTGCTGCCCTTGAGACGTGTTCCCCGTGCATTATACGCGAGTAGAAAGAGACCATAGAGCCCTCTTTGCATGCTGGTGTGAGGATTTCGACGTGTGAAACTCGCCAGATTTCACGTAAACCATGAGTGCATGTCTGGCGTCGCTGCATCAAAGTTGAACCGCGCCAGGGAAAACAGCCTTGGATCCATGCATACACCCGCCGGAGACCAGAGTAACCTACAAAGAAAGAAGTCATTGAGTGGTGAGTATAAAGTCCGCGCCGCCGCATATATCGGATGATCCTATCCTACGTGCTATGGCTGCCCCCTTCCGTATCTCTGCCCACCCTATAGCTTGGCCTGCAGGCGCAGTCGTGCCTGCTCGAGCGCACGGTACACATCCGACGCGAAGCTCGAGCCAGGCGGAAGTGCGAAGAGCCGTTCGAGCGCGGGCACGGCCGCGCGTGTAATCAGGAGGCGTGGGCGCGCGTCGCGCTCCATAGTCGTGGCGTTCGACAGTGTTGGGCGCTGGTCGCAGAGAGGAGAGGCGGACGGCATGGAAGACGGGTCAGCACCGAGGCACGAAGGAGCAGGGTCCAACGATGCAGGCGCGTACACTTGGTATGTGGTGTCAAGCTCGGCGCTCTCCTGCGAGAGGATGGCGCCCTGGGCGATGGAGGCTTGGAGGTACTGCGAAGCTTTGAAGGCTGGGCGTTGTCAAGCGGTGTGCACTGGGCGGATAGAGAAAATTAAAACGGGGATGATATACCTCTGTAGTGAGACCACGCGCGCCATGCACAGAAGAAAAACGGAAACCTCGGACTTATGGCTGAAGGAACAATCAGAGACGTGATGTAGAGGCAAAGAACGACGGGAAACGCACGGATGAGCTTGAGGGGAGCAGCGAGCGGGGAGATGGCGATCCAAACGAGACAGCCATTCCAATGTCGCGGGAGTGCGTTTCTCAAGCAGGGCATGCAGGTGCGCCAGTGGCGAGGTACACGCTGAAGGTGGATAAATGAAAGGAATCTATCACCCGAGACACAAGAGCATTCGCGGTGAAAGTAGGAGTCACACGGAATGTGGCGTGCTAAGACACAGAATGCACGGAAGCGAACCAAGGCGGACGCTACGTCAACGAGTTGGCAGGGCGCAGGGGGGAAAGACAGGGAGCACTGACAGTTGGATGGCCATTTGCATCAAGTTTGTCGGTGTGCCCAAGCGGAAGGAGCTTTGGGCCCAGGGACGTGTCAAATGACTTGAGGGCGAGTTCTTCGAAGTCTAAGCGGTCGATGAACCGTTCGCCGTAGAGGAACGCTCTCCGCTTGGAGGAAGTCTGAATTTGTATAATATACAGAAAAAATAACACGAGGGAGGACATTTTCATCTCCACGTGCGCCGACAGAACGCGTGGATATGTCAAGCACATACCTTCCAGTTGCCCTCCGGCGCCTTCCCGAGCCCTGCCCGGAGATGTGCTACTTTCGTGATAATCAAGTTGCTCCAACTCCGCGCTTCGCTTTCGCGTGGGGGTGGAGTAAAGAAATGGTAGTACGTGAGATGATGCGAGGCCTTGTGCGCCGGCGCTGCGGACGTCGCGAGTGGGAGCGCGATGATGCGTACACCGCGTTTTGCCCTCTGTGCCAATGACATTATGTTGCCACATGGCGTGAGGGAAAACTCCAAAGCGCGCAACTCGCAAGCTGATTGAAACGCCGCTATTAGTACTATGCAAAGAACGTCGAGACTTAGTGGCAGCGGAGAGCCGGCAGAGGCGCGCGTCATGCCGACGCGCGCTTCCCTTGACAGCCACCGCCACTGACTGCTCACCACAGTCGGTTTATGTATGGGGACGACAAGGACGCCTGACCGACAGCATGTCCACCACGCATATATGCGTTTATTGACGCTTTACCCAGCCCGCACATGCATATTTTCTCTTTCCGTTAAACTGATCGTTCCTGTCGCTCCCGCGGACCCGGTCATGGATTCTAATTAGCGAGACGGCTTGCGGCGGTCCCATTCCAGTATCTTTCAGACTACCAGCGAGGCTTCCTAACGCTGTTCTACAATACTGTTTGATTTGCCATTGGGCGAGACGATAACGTGCACTGAGTCAACTATCCTGCGAATACATGGATGCCAGACTATAAGGCGTCAAAAAAAGGTCCGAGATATACAAGACGAGCACGACGTAGATTGGGGAATCAGAATAGCGATCGAGAAAAATTAGAGACGTACTGCTGACGGAATTATATCAAATGTCCGTTCGTTTCACGGTAGTCCTCTTGCACCTCCCGGAATGCGGTCGGCAGCCCAACGACTCGGATTTCTGGCGGGCAGGTCACCCATGGGCGCGCGGACTGCGCGCTGATCAAAAAGGCTATGCTGCATTGCGGGCGGAGGGTCGACGCAAAGGGCATAGAGGTGACGGTGAGCGATGGCAATGGTGATGGCGGTACGAGGTCGGGAGAGAGAAGACGAAGATGGGCCCGAAACGGACGATCTCCGATAGCACATGGCACGAATACGCATATATGCGAGTTGACGGAGATGGCGGCAGGATAATGGTCACCGGCTCTCTCCGGTAGAGTTTTCGGAATGGCAGCGGCAATAACAAGGAGTGCGAACAGGAGAGGGGTATCACTGTGCTAACGGGGTGTCGTGGCTGTTCAGCCGGGAAACGGATGTGAACAAATCGTGCGACCGACACAATTTCATGCGGAAGGCATGCTCCGCTGGGTATATTAGACTTGTATAGATCGCTATACGACTCCCGGGAACCGCGGGCAAGCTAAGTGGGATGGTTGTGTAGAACATCTAACTCGATCTTCATCCTGTCGGGTCCAGAGGGCTTGATTGCAATGCATGCACCAGAAGCCCAGCTCCGGCCCGTCAATGTAATCACCACTTTCATTGCGACTATCCACTGCCATTCAATGCATGCAGCAACATCAAAGAAGCGATGCTCACAGGTAATTGTACATTAGCGCTTTAGATTGCCTTGACTGCGGGAGCCATGTACGAAGTCTAGGCATCCAGATCCCTGCATCCAATTGAGCATAGCAGCATATTTGAATCTTTACATGAGGTTTAAAGTCGTCGAGCGAGGGACGCATATCTCGAATGTTCCATGAGGCACAATCCAGCACATCACAGAGACAGTCTTCAGGCTCGCCATGATGTCGTCCAGCACCCCCGGTCCGGTGAGGGGTCGGGTCGGCATCGGATGCAAGGCACAGCCCTTGCATTCGGGGCCTTCGGACACAACAGCTCCGTTACTGAGGTGGACATCGATGATGAAGTCAATCCTCAGGTATTCAATCGCGGGACCTTCTGGTGTCCGGAGGTGTGAGATTACCTTCAGAAGCCATTCATAGGACATTGATTCCTGGACATGTATCTTGAGTGTGAGATCTTCCAGGTCTCAGTTGTATGTGAATAGACTTGGACATCGAGGGAGGGACAGACGTCGTGCTGGAGGGCATCAGCATAAAGACAAGATGACATGACACTAATGTTCCTACCTGAGCTCCATGTAACATCTAGCTGTAGCTCATCCAACCAACTTCCAACTGTTTTGAGAAATGGGATGATGCACGGGACAGTATAAAGGTGGTGCTCATCAAAGTTCCCCAACAAGAGCACCATTTGTGGAAGCAACGTGTGGTACCAGCTCGGAGCGGCAAGCAACCAATGTGCGATCACATCAAGGGAGGTGGCATCCAAGTCATCAAGCTGGTGACAAACGGCTTTGCCGCCAGCACCGTCATGTCTCATCCATGAGAGGAAGGTGAGAGGCATCGATGCATTCTCAAAGCTTACTTGTGCGAGAGCGACGGTCTCGCTCGTGAATCATATTTCAGGGAACCAACTTGAGAGACGAGGCAGCGAAGGATAGCACCCGATGGAAATCTGACATCACATACTCTCAAAGATGGAATCTTCTTGAGCAAGGTATGCAGGTGGTAGAAGACGTCCGGATGGAAGTCGCCCGTTCGCCAGTCCCCATGCTCGATAACAACATCGCGCACGTGCTGCCACCTGGGACCAAACAGGGATGCCACAAATACGAAGTGACCAAGCGACCTGGTGTTCTCTGCGCCTCTGATGGTCACACAGCGCAATCCTTTCCACTCACGACATCTTGTCCGATGCTCGCGGAGCACGTCGCCTCGATGTTGAACACGATATGTCGCACCAGATAGGGACTGCACCTGTTCCGCCAGTGCCGACAAACGAGTGAGATCTTCAGAAGCTGATGGTGCCGAGCGCCGACAAAGCAGTCGAGCACAATGTCCCAAATTTCCACAGGAAGCGCCGGTCCTGCGAAGGGGAATGTTGAGCGACCGCCGACCTGGTGAAACCTGATATTAAGCCCAACGTGCTGCTCGGAATGCACTCCGTGATGGACGCTGAGTCCCACATACCATCTGTACTGCGTTTCGGGCTTGACGATGAGCTCGACATGCCACGCGGGACGCGCTCAGAACGCAAGAGCGATGGTGGGCTTATTGGCGTCAGTACGACAACTCGTGGGTACGAGTCTGCGTGACCTACACATTCTGCTTATCCTCCCTTCTAAAACGGAGGAGTGTGCATCGCAGCAGCGCACCCGACCGGTCGCGAGCTTCACGACGTGCTGCAGTCTGAGTGTACACGCGTGATTGAGTATACGTCTGTAAGGGAAGCAGGTATGTACCTCTGCCTGAGTCGCTTCACCATGTTCGATTAGGTCGACCTGTTCCATCGCGACGGAGGATGAAGAAAGCAGAGGGGCGATTGCGAGGAGGACGGGGACGAGACGGGACAGATCGCGCTTCGCTGGCCCGTGCTCAAGCACGAACGGCACGAAGCAGATAGCAGCCTTGAGGTTACATCATGGCGAGCCCCAGAAGAAGCTACAGACTGTGGGATCAAGGAAGCTTGTGCAGCCGCCCACCGCTGAAGATACTGGAGGCGCGGTAGTATCTGGCGAAATTTACTTGGCATCGTAGTCAAATGGACGCCGAAATACTATTGCGTTCGACAGTCCACATGCGGAGATGTATAATATCAACGGGGTGGCGTTGGGCATACTCGCAACATCGCGAGCATTGAGGGATCCCAGCCTCTGTACGAATGCCGAAACCTGGTCGTGCACGTGCCAGCCATATGACAAGATTCGCACTGATCACATGAACGTGTGGATGTATGCGCATTCCCACAGTGGCAAGAACGGCATCGCAAGGACGTTAGAGGAACGTTCGTCGCAAGTTCCGCGTCCGAGATGAGCGATGATATCGCCGCATTGTCTCAAATTCCCCCGTACGAATACTCTCCGCTGCTGTGTGAACAGAAAGGCCTTGCGTATCCCGTCGAACGCATCTTCGATCGAGCGCTGCGATACACAATGAATGCAAGAATTTCCTCGGCAGCCTACAATGATTATTGAAGGCCCACGCCTCTGGATCGCTGCTCGTAGGCCGTTCACTGCCGCGGCAGCAGATATAGCGCGATCAAGTATGTGTGCTCGTCCAGACTCGATCCGAGCTCAGCCGCGCAAGGTTAGGAGTGCGCGGCGCATCTCACCCTTAAGACGGCTCCTCTGTGGTCGTGTAGGACTTCCGAGGCGTGTAAGATAACGTCTGACTTCGGCGACTGATCCTGTTGTACAGGACAAGACTGTTTTCTGGCACCATGCCTCGTAGAGGGTCGCTCGTTCAAGTCGTAGACCAAGATAGCAGACCTTTCGAGGAATGCACACTAAATCATGAGCGCGAGACACCGTTAAGTATGTACAAGCATTCTGGCGTGCAAACGTACCGCTACAGTGTAACGCACCCCTCGCCAAGCACCAATAGCACGACAGCAGCGGTTCCTACGGGTTCTCCTATGCTTATGGTACCAAACGCAATTGGATTTGCTTCCAGACGAGATGCGCGTACGTCGTGTCAACCAGTCGCCTGGTCAGCGCGTTTCGCCTTCATCGTCGAGTGAGATGTGAACAAGCGACACGAGCAGCACGATGGACGCTGAAAGCCGCTGGATTTCAAGGCGTGTCGGATAGATAGTCGCAACCTGGGGGTAGAAACACGGAAGATCCGTATGACGAGTCCTTTACACAGCTCGCGCGAGGGAAGGTTACAGAAGGGAGGGGAGGGAAGAGCATGAGCATACGCGCGATACTCTCAGTATGCGAGCTACAAGTACCAGCCTGACGGACAACGACAGGGCACATGGGTCCGCTGCAACGTGAAATATGTGAAATGACTAGGAGTGCGATGAATGATGGGGTGGATGACGCCCAAATATGATCTACGACGTACTATGGATGTGGGCTATCCGCCGCCCTGAGAGATCCTCTCTCCATGACAAAGTCGAGACTTGAACTAAATGTACTGAAGTGCTAACAGGTCGTCCAGAGAGGTATCCCAATGCGGACCCCAGTGTAGTGGGCGACGCTACCGAGAACGAGGGAAAACAAATCGCAAGTGATATTCTCGAGCTCAAACGCAGGATTCTCGGGCAAGCAAAGAAACAAGATCGTGATAGCGTGCTTTTGTGATACTCAGAAGAACGTAGAGCCGCAGCTAAGCGTGCGTCGATTGAGCAGCGCTGGGTGAGCGGCAAGCGCCGGTCTTCTATCCTTGCTCCTGCTCCCTTGACGCTCGCCGTGCGTTCACCAGTCTATAGTTCTCACATATTGCATGTCTGTGCGCCCCCAACGGACCGTCACTTCCTGTGTCTCCTGAATAGAACAGGATCCGGAACAGGTTTTCCTGCGGTGAGCTATATCAACGTTCTAATGCAACGTGCGTATTCCTCGACGCTCGACTATAGCCCTGATTGTCTCTGTGTACACGCTAGCCTTGTTTATATGGGCGGAACTGTAGCTGTGCACTCCGGCGCATATCTACAGCCCAGCGTGCTGTATCCCTATTCTCCCTAGTACACAGTCCGTGTAATTCAATCGCGTCTCATCGCGTGCCGTTGCATCCAACGTCGTCTACGACGACCAAGTAGCCCATCTACTTGCGCTTTGGTGCCTGTCCATCTCTTCATGCTTCTCCGGTCTCAAGTAGCCGTCGTCTCGCGCACATAGCCGCCTCCTCAAGCTGCTTACAGATGTCAGGACACTGGTTGGAAGGGCTAATCTTCGCAGGTTCTCTGACATATCAATCACACTTATAAAGGCGGACAATATCATGTCTCCAACGCGCGTATATATACGTTTATGAACAAATCAGGTACTCTGCGCCCGCATCTCTATGACCTCAGTCTACTGGCCTGTATTACTCCTATGGCTCGCCTTCTGCCCAACCTTGTGTTCAAATGGAGACGATAAGGTACTCTCGCTCCTCTGTCTTCGGTTCAATCCTATGAGCTGTCCCACATTATGATGGTATTTGCCTGCAAATTGCGATTGAATGAGACCACGGCGTGCATTACCACGACGCATAAGTATATGTGGGAGGAGGTCCACAGGGAGCCAAGCCAAGAAGCGCAAAGCACCGCATTCTCGATTGCTTCTCGACGGGCATGGCTATGCATTGTGCAGTACAAGAAAGCAACTATTTTGCGAATACATGAGTACAAGACTGCCAAGCGCAGAGTAGTCCGGAATATTCAACTCAATGACGGCATAGAATGGGCGAACTGGAGGAGCAACCGAGCAGAGTCAGACATATGTGGGGCTAGCAGAATCCTATGGAACGGTAACTCCTAAACGATAGCCTTCTTGCGCCTCTGGTAATGCGGTCGGCTAACTGGTGACTCGGATGTTTCAACGTGCAGATCGTTCATGGGCGCGCGGACCTCACGATTAGTCGACAGCGATATGATGTATCTTGGGCAGGCTGTAGATGCAAAGGGAATACAGGTGACGGTGAGCGATGGCGATAGTGGTTCAGGATCGAGGAGAGGAAGACACAGACGGGCCAGAAACCGACCGTAGCGGTAGCAGATGGGACGAATACGTATAGATGCGATTTAATAAAGAGGACGGCGGGACGAAGGTCACCATGACTGCCAGGTGAAACCGTTCGAGTGGCAGGGATGATGACGAGGAATACGAACAAGATGGGGGGTGGGGTGGGGGGGAGTCTCACTGTCGTAACGGGGTGTCATAGCTGTTCGGCCGGGATCCCAGTTTGAGCAATCTGTGCGACCGACAGTGCGCCCGTGCCTCTCTACGACGTAAGCGTGCTCCGCTGAGTCAGTCGGCAAGTAGAAGATGGGCGTGAAACCCCTGATTGCGGGAAAGCTCAGCGGTCTTCCTGTAGAACCACTCACTCCGCTCTTCTCGGTAGGTCCAGAGGGGTTTATCGCAATGCATGCACCAGAGGCCCAATTTCGGTTCCCATATGGTGCATTCAGAAGTGTGATTCCTAATCGCTGCCTATCAATGCATGCAACGGCGTTGAAAAAGTGATGCTCACACGCCATAGGCATACAAGTATTTCATTGACTCCGGGAACCATGTACGGAGTCTAGGCTCCCAGATGTCTGGGTCCAATTGAGCACAGCGGCAGATCTTGATTTTAAACGGGATTTCCATCTTTCTGAGCAGGGGACACATATATCTGAAAACACGATCCAACACATCACAGACGGTCTTCAGCCTCGCCATAGCGTCATCCAACACTCCAGGTCCGGAAAGGGAGGGAGGCGGCTCTGAACGCAAAGCACAGCCCTCGCATTCGGGGCCTTTGGACACAACAGTTCCGTGATCGAGGTGGACGTCGATGATGAAGTTGATACAGAGGCGGCCAACCGGGGGCTCTTCTAGCGTTCGGAAGCGTGAGATTGCCCTTAGGAGCCATCCATATGACATTGATTCTTGGACATATATCTTTAGGACCCACGAAGATTTGTCCCAGCTGTGTGTGATTATGCTTGGACATCGAGGTAGGGAGAGACGTCGTGCTGGAGGGAATCAGCACAAAAAGATAATGACGTGGCATTGACGTTCCTACCTAAGCTCCGATCAATATTCAGCGTTACATATTCAGCGAAGGCCCCAACAGTTTTGAGAAATGGGATTATGGGCGGGACAGTATCAAGGCGGGGTTCGTGCAAGCTCCCGATTGAAAGGAATACGTGTGGCAATAGCGCGCGATCCTTGTCCAGAGCGATATGCAGCCAATGTGCGATGAGATCAAGGGAGTTGGCATCCAAGTTGTCAAGCTGAAGTACAACAGCGTTTCTGCCAGAACTGCCATTGCTCACCCATGAGAGGGAAGCGGGAGGTATCGATACATTCTCAAAGCTTATTTGCTCGAGAGCGAGCATCCCGTAACCTTTCCGGTAAGTAGATTTCAGAAAACGCAGTTGAGAGACGAGGCTGCGAAGAATAGCACCTGATGGCAACGCGACATCGTTCAATCTCAAAACTCGTATTGGCTGCAACAAGGCACACAGGTGGTGGAAGACGTCCGGATGGAAGTCGCCCGTTCGCCAGTCCCCATGCTCGATAACCACATCGCACACGTTCTGCCACCTGGGACCAAGCAAGGCTGCCAAAAATCCAAGATGGCCGAGCGACCTCGTGTTCTCTGCGCCTCTAATGGTCACACAGTACGGTCCTTTCCACTCACGACGTCTTGTACGATGCTCACGGAGCACGTCGCCTCGATTGCTGAATACGATATTGTGCACCAGATAGGGCCCACACCTGGCACACCAGTGCCGGCAAACGAGTGAGAGGTCGAGAAGCTCCTGAGGTTTAGCACCGACGAGGTACTCAAGCACTATGTCCCAAATCTCCACAGGAAGCGCTGGTCCAGCAAAGGGGAATGTGAATTTGAGCGGCCGCCAACCTGGTGACACGCGAGCCTGACCTGATGCTGAGCTCGACATGTTATTCGGAGTGCTTTTTATGATCGACGCTGAGTCCCACATACCATCTCTGCTGCGTTTCGGGCTTGACGATGAGTTCGACGTGCCACTCGCAGCGCATGTCGAACCTTTAGCGACATGCGATCGATGCAGCACCGCAGCCAATCTTCTAATTCGATCTGAAGCGGAAGGCGTCCGTGGTTCCTGTTCGCGAGCCTCGCCGCTTCCTGTGGTCTGAGCGCACACGCTTGTGTGAATATGAGTATATATTCAACGAAAGGAGGTACGCACGTTTGCTTGGGCTTCTTGACCATGTTCAATGTGGCCGGCTTCTTCCATTGCGGCGCAGAATGAATGGCAGAGGGTTAAGATAGCAGAAGGGAAGATCAGAGAGGTGGGATGAATGGAGCTTTTCTAGTGAAGCGCAGGCATCATCGGAAGCAGACCACAGCCTTGTGACTGTCTCACGGCGAGCTATCAAAGAAGGATACAGATGATGAGAAGAAGAAAGCGTGTACAGCCGCCCACCGCCACAAATACAGGAGTCGCGGTATCTGGGACCCATTTAGTTGGTCTCTGGGTCAAATTGATGCTTCGTTCGACAACGAATATACGCAGATGTACAATGTCAGCGGTGTGGCGCGGCGTCTGGCGGGAAGCTGAGGATGCGCAGCGCATACTCACCCCATCGCGAACACTCGAAGGTTTCGGCCCTGCACAACCGCCAAGGCCATATATCTGGGCACGTGTACCTCATACAACAAGGTTCGTGCTTAATAGGGCCATATGGATGGAACGTAACGTATGACCCTGCACAGCTGACATAGATCAGGTATACCCGGCGCTGTGGAATGCGCTTCAGGAGTGTTCTCCGTGAACTCCGTGGTGCATGCGCATCCCCGCAAAGTGGTCAGGCCAGCATCAGAAGGGCGTGAGAGTGACGTCCGCGGTGCGCTTTGCGTGTGAAGTGGGCGATGATATTGTCGCAGCATCTCCGCTGCTCCGTACGAACAGGCTCAGCTCCTATGTGAATAATTGGTATCAGCTGGCGTACGACACGATTAGTTGAAGTAACTACCAGGTGTTGACTTTTGGGTATGTCGGGCAAGCGTCGCTGCCGGCCCGGGTCACGTGGTCGTGCGCCGGTGTGGGAATAGGACTTATGTAGGCATCGCGCGCCGTAGGTAGCCCCATCGGTTTGTAACCTAATCACCCATTGATCCCTGTCCATCGAGGACGTTGTCTGCCGGCGGTCTTTCCGGCGTCGTTCTCACACAAACCGATCGACAAATCAAGTGCTTTGCTGTTGCCTAGAACCTCGCTATACTACTCTCTCGTCTGGTACTGGCGCCAACATGACTTTGGAGCATGACACCAAGTTCCCCCTCTTGGTCGAGGGGAAGTATCGGGTCTGGGCAATGAAGATGGAGGCGGAGCTGGTTAGGAAGGGACTGTGGGGGGTAGTGGAAGTCGAGGTGGAGCCCAAGGAGGGGGAAGACGGGGCTGAGGCGTTAGCAAAGGAGCTGAAGAAGCGGAAGAAGGCCGACATGGCCAAGGCGCGGGCGGAGATCGTGCTCCGGGTTGGTGACGACCAGTTGGAGCTGTTGGAGGACGAAACGGACCCCCGTGAGTGCTGGCGGGTCCTCCAGGATGCGCACCGTTCACGAGGTTTCGCCACGGAGCTGGCAAAGTGGCGGCAGTTTTACCGCACGGAGATGGAAGGCGGCGAGACAGCACAGGCTTGGATCTCCCGGGTCAAAGGCTATGCACGGGTGCTCCGGGATGTCGACGTCGAGGTATCAGACCAGCAGAAGGTCCTTGTTCTCATCATGGGACTTGGCGAGGACTTCGAGCGGGTGGTCACGGTGGTTGATGAGATGCCGACAAGGGAGCGCACATTTGACAATGTGTGTGCAAAGCTGCTGAATGAGGAGACGAGGCTCGGGAAGCGGCGGGACAATGGCGAGGCGACTGTCGCCAACGTTGCAGCTTCAGGGGGAGCTTCGGGGGGCAAGGTGACGTGTTTTCGCTGTGGAAAGGTTGGGCACATTCGACGGAATTGTCCGGACAAAAGGACTCATGCGAGCTTGGCGGTCGTGGAGGATGTCTTCGCATTTTGATTGGGCGTAGGCTAACGGCAGCTCGCTTGAGGGGGAGTGTTGACTTTTGGGTATGTCGGGCAAGCGTCGCTGCCGGCCCGGGTCACGTGGTCGTGCGCCGGTGTGGGAATAGGACTTATGTAGGCATCGCGCGCCGTAGGTAGCCCCATCGGTTTGTAACCTAATCACCCATTGATCCCTGTCCATCGAGGACGTTGTCTGCCGGCGGTCTTTCCGGCGTCGTTCTCACACCAGGAGCTTCGCGAACACCACGCGTGGATAAATAGGGCGGATGCAATGATACTGCTACAACATCGTAGCTGGAGAGCAGGGCTTATATCTAGGGAAGTCCCGTTAGCGTCCACCAAGGGGATGAGGGCATGGCGGTACAAGGGAGGTGTCTACGCAGCAGAGTCGAATAGGGCCATATCTATATGGAGGCATCCCTGACAAGGATGTCCATACTCCTGTCATAAACATCATAAACATCGAAAGGGTATTGTCGCACCCAACATGTTTATGAAAGTGCGACTTGTGTACCGATGATTCCATGTATCCGGCTCGACATTCTCAAGCGAAAGTAGGCAGCAGATCCGTGGAAGACATTAGGCTACGCTGAACGTGAACGCAGCATA